TTTGAAACATGAAAAAACCGAGTAAAAAACACATGTAGGTAGGAGTCAGCTTTTATAAAACTCACTCTGACGCCACCAGCAAAAAATAAACGAAAAAACCCGTGAAAGACACGTCTAATATCGTACTAATCAGCATGAAAACGAAGACAAAGCATTATTAGCCATCTCCATACACATAAACGCTCATTCATTAATTGTCAATTCAAGAACGTGCACAGGCAGCTAAAATATATAGACTTGGTCGTGGCGCAGCGCGGCATTAATTAAACGCGCGGGCTCTAGACTTTGGCTCTCTCGCGATCGCACGTCGCCCACGCTCGGATATTTGACTTGTCTTGAAAAGGCGAGTCAAAAACAAAAAATGACTTTCACTCGGATATACGCGTACACATTTCGCCGGAGGTCGCAGCACACACACGTGCGCGCGCGAGGGGCCTCGTATTCGGAGCTGTCGCCGATCTCTCGCGCGCCAACGTCTCTCGCTGTTGTTGTTGCTCTCGCGCTCGCTTCCCTTTTCGCGCAGACCAACAAGTCCTTTTCAAGAGAGCCAACTATTAATTGTGCAGTTGGCGGCGGCCTAATGCATTATGTTGCGCTCTACGCTCGCGTCGTTTTTCTTATTGCGCTGACTGACTTGCGCGCACTTTATTCGGAAACAATGACTCGAAATAGATTGAAAGTCATAGATTTCCACGACGCTGACCCTTTTTCTTCGCAAGCACGTATAGCGTGGCATTCGCGGCTTTGCGCCTTTTTTCCAGTGGATTCGTGGAAATATCTCTGATGTAATCGCGACAATTGCGCGTCGATGGAAATCTAGAAATAATGCGAATTGATACAAACTTCATAAATGGACTTGTACAAAATTCTTTCGCTATGAATATGTATCATATCCTCTCGATTTATCAACATAACATTGCCGATCAGGTAAATTGTTCGACAGTAACTATTCATTGTCGAATGAGTGTCACGTCTCGATTCCAATCAAACGCCTGTCGCTTTGTCTTTGCCGCACGAAGAGAATTCGAATATTTCCAGCCGAGTTTCAAGACGTGATCGATTTATTTTTCGTGCATATATGACAGTGACACTGAACAAACAGCTTAGGCCTCGGTTAAAAATAAAAACATCGAATACGCTGGTATTTCCAACCAAGCTCTTTACCGCTGATAACGTTCACGGCGAGGCGCGAGCCAATTGACGATCGCGTGAAATCGATCGCTCGGCACACAAAACAAACCGTACCACGTGATAAAACGGCGCACGCGCGCGAATCGCTATAATAATAATCGGCGCTTACGACTCTCTCGCCGCGACTGGGTGCGAATCAATTTATAGATGGTGGTTGCGCTCGCCGATAAAGTACTATCGTGATCTTTGACTACTTTCGTTTCTCTTTCTCTCTCTCTCTATCTCTATACGTATGGACTTTCGGAGTTCACGCCTCTAACATTGTTCGTCTATTATCGTGATAAATGTAACAATGAGAGAGACTCTTTTTGAATTCGTAGCTGCGCGTGGGATACTTTCGGAGAGTGACTGGAATAACTATAACAGCAGAGCGCGGCCAACGGCGTGTATGCGCGCTGGGATTGTTCTCCGGAATAAAAAACTGCCGAGGCCCCGTCTGCTGCATTGCTCTTTTTCTTCTGTCGTCGAGCTACAGTAGCAATTTAACTCTCTCACTCTTTTGCGTGCGATTGATAGTGTCAAGTTGTGGATCGCGAGCATAACAATTGCCTTTTAAAATCTGGCAGCGCGAAAGAGACCACGCTCCGGTCGACCGCCCAATTCACTCAATCGAAGACCTACAACTTTTTGGCGTCGACTGGCGACGCCTTGTATTTTTCTATTCCTCGGGAGGCGACAGCTTCTCTTCTGCCCGCGTCATATTTTCGCAGAGCCGTGATCTCATCGCAAGAGCTGTTAAAATCTATTCGTTCTTTTCGCGCGCATAAGCGAAACGTTTATGTAAGGTCTCTCCGAGCAAAATAAAAGTTTGCTCGCGATTTGCGACGAGCAGGCGAATCTCAAATGAAAACCGATCGAAAAGCTCGAGGAGTACGATCGCCAAAGCGTTCCATGTCCCATGGCTGGTCGTCGAATTGTATCCCAAGCACGGAAAGATCCAATGCCGAGAGCCAATGTCGACGGCAATGCTCCGCCAACGAGTATTCCGACGGAAATCGAAGAGTATTCGACTGCGCGGCGGCCTTGTACCGATTCACTCAAATGGCTATACCCGGGAGTTGCCGTTGGATCAGCCGCGTGTATGCATATACGCTACGTCGGCGGCGGCATGCGGCGGCGTGCAGCGGCGAGCACAGAGACTCGTCGTTACGTAAGCCAGCCGAGCATGTGAGAAAGTTCATTGTTCCAGAAAAGATGCAAGCAAGCTGTGCCGACGCCGCCTCGTAGGCCGTCGTAGGCTTCGATTGGGGCACCTTCGACGGAACTCCCAGGGGGCTTCCGCCGCGAGCAAAGTCTCCCGAGTTTGTTCTCTCGAAGTGCTCGACGATCGGAATTTCGGACGAGCTCCCGTGGCACTCCACGAGAAAATTTCGGCAGAGTCAATCTCGGACGCAATGATTCGGCGTCACGTCAAGCGGGCATCGAAAGAGCACCATTTCCTTCCAAATATTGACGAACGACAAGGAGGAGATCTTTATCGCGAATACACTGCGGACGGTTGCAAAGAGCACAAAATAATGGAGTTACTGAACGCACAAGCCGGTGATAAGCAGGCATATAAAACCGACTCAATGTGGCATCGCGTGCCCTTGACTGCGCGGCCAGAAGAAAGCGACACGAGACAATTGGCGTGTGTCCTTTAGACTAGTTATTCAATCCACGAGCCTCTTTCTTACAAAACAGTCAAACTCCCAGGGTCTAATAAAACACTGACGCCTCGTCACCTCGCCGCCTCACGATTCACTCGATTCAGCTGGAACGTGATTTCACCCAAATTGTTTCCAAATAATCCAGCCAGTATGTGATTCAATTGCCGTCTCAATCGCGGATCAATAAACTCGGTCTATTCAGAAGCTGATAGCTACAAACGAATAACGATTTCGTATACTTATCATTATCATCTTTAATTAAGAAAAATTCTTACATCACTCTTTTCAATTGCAATATCGTGTCGATTGCAAAGGATAAGAGCACGGACGCATCTACCAGTCAAATCGTAAAACCGAAGACGAGCGTTACACTAGTGTTCGACAGTTTTCCGTGAATAGTACGTTGTCGACAAAACAAACCACCGCAAATGTGTAAATCCGCTCTCTCGCGACTGTCTGCGAATGACTCATCTCTCTGCCTCCTTAAAGAGCATGAGTGAGCATTTAACTCGAAACGAGCGTACCAAAAAGAAAAAAAGAAGAGAGAAGTGCATCCGCAAAAACAAAGGTAAGATTGAGGACCTACGGCTAGTCGGCTACCATCCATAAACGAGCACAGGCGTGCTCTTTCACATGCACATGTGAGAAATCGCACGCTCGCAGAGGAACTTCTCTGATGGCTGTATGGTACGCGATAAAACTTCATAACGTATCTTGTCGTAAAAAACCTTCCATGGCAGCAGCCATTTATCCAAGGAAAAAATTAAAGAGAGAGACACTTGTTAACGAGTCGCTACTCAAACAGTCGAACGGAGAGTACAGTCAGTCAAACATGAGAGCGAACGAAAGAGTGCTGGACTCGTTTTTTTTCCTGCTACGCGTGCCTGCGTGACGAAACGTCAAGAAGTCTCCGCACTCTAATACTACTACTGCTGCGGGTGTTTAGCTCCATAAGGTGACACACGTAGGTTATCTTGTAAACAAAGAGACGACGTAACGCTGCCCTGGAAAACTGGAAAACTCGCAATGACGCCCTTAGGCGTATATATTGAGAGAGAGAGAGAGAGAGAGAGAGAGAGAGAGAGAGAGAGAGAGAGAGAGAGAGAGAGAGATCAGAATTCCCGCGAGAAGAGATTTATTTTTATGCATACGCGCGATGCATAATCATGTTTGTATATTCAAGGACCGCCAAGCCCGTACTCACGCGACCCTCGAGACGCGTTTTTCCAGGCGAGTCATTTTTGTTGGGCTGTCTTCTTGTTCGGCATGATTTACGTATAAACAGCGAGAAAACTGGGAAAATTATGGTGCGCGAAACCTTCAAATACTATATGCAATATCGACACGATACGGCAGAAACGATTTTCATCAAACTCTGACATTCGACTCTTGCTTGAAAACTGTGATTTATAATAAACACAGAAGGTTGTAGTGGCAAATAGTAATCTACAGGTACGTATGCGAGTAACTCAATGCTTACAAGATTATTCAGTTTTTTTCGTACCTTTATAACAATTAGGTCTCAAATGCTTGCCGATTAAATCTGATCACATTCCATCGTTTTGAATCTTTCTCAATTTTCTTCCATTGCCGCAATGAATGTCCTTAAAAAATGTTATATCTAAGATCGCAAACTCTTATTCCGAGATTATTGATCTCCGAGGCCAACGTTTCAACGGCATCGTGAGCTTATTTAACGACCTACTTACAATTTAATATAAACAATCAAGCAATTATGACATTAGATCACTATTGTAATAATGATCATTGCACCGCCGCCGCCGCCATCGTCTATAACGTTTCTTTTATGAGTGCAGGTTGATTGAACATCCAAGTATGAAGAATACTCTTTCTACTCAGTGCTACATTATGTATCAATTTTCTATTTAGTTTTATGATGATTTTGTATTACAGTACATTTCAATTATTTCAATTAAAGACACAATTCAAAGTAATTGTTTAAAAATAATAATGAAAAATTTTACAAAGATGCTTTACATTGAAATTATTTAAGAAGCATTCATTGTTTAACATAAGTTCTTGGTTTGTTATAATAGATTGACTATCTATGTATGTGCTTAAACCAAAGAATAGCCATCTAATTTGACACTAAACCACTAAACCTATACTATATTTAAGATTTTTCATGGATAAACCTACCTGACGAGAGTCATAGGAATCAGATGAATGCTCAGAATCTCCACTGGTAGAGTATTGATCACCAGAGCCTCCAAGTCCTTTTCTTCTCTCATCGAGTGTGTTACGATCCATGGTATTGAAAACATCGACAAACTCATCAGCCACTGGCACTTCTATGTTGGGCAGGCAGGCCTGATGTTGAGGACTACACGATAAGTCCTGTGACTCTTTTTTGAAGAAGCGTGATAACACACTCCACATTCAACAATCACCACTTCCGCAAAAGCATGAGCCAGTTCAACAAACTGTTTATCATTCTCATTTTAGAAGACCATAGAATACCACTGACACTTTTCACCTAGCCCTAAAAAAGAAGCAGTTTTATATAAGAAATGTTTATTGACATGTGGAAAAAATACTAAAGAATCTATTGTTAAAAATAGACTGACATTGTTAAAAGGCTAAAAAGATTTTTATACAATGAGCTTGACCTATTTTGATAACTCAGCTGATATGTTATGCACTTTTTATGTTAATAAACTATCAATTAGTACTGTAGATTTAGTATTCATTAAATGATGTTTTAGAAAAGATGACTAAAATTTTGATTGTATTTACATGCAAAAATATTCTGCATGGTAACCTCTACATTGACAAAAGATCATACATATTGGCATGACTAAGAGTACAGATACACAAAACTGGAAGTGAATCATACTCTAATCAATCTAACTTTAGATTGATTAGAAAATAGAACAAACATGCTGCTGATATAAAGTAAACAACATTGTTAAATGTATAATAACTGAATTTCTAAATATTTTACTTCTGAGAAGAATAAAGTACTTTAGAAATCATTCAATAAAAAAACCAAATTGTAAATTTTTGTTGACGATTTTAATCCTAGTTCCTAGTGAACTACTGTATTTAAAGTTACATTCGTTAAGCATGCACACTCACACACACACTTGCAAATGTGAAAACTGCGAGCAACGACCGAGCCGCAAGTACAATATTGCCTTCCGAAGCTTCCCGGCGACGCAGCTATTTTTACTATCCAAAAAGGACAAAAACTCGTCAAACGCACAAGTTCTCTCTCTTTCTCTCCTTCTGCAGCGTCCAGTAACTCGTATAAGGAAGATAGAGAGAGAGAGAAAATGAGAGAGAGAGAGAGAGAGAGAGAAAATGAGAGAGAGAGGATGAGAATGAGAGAGAATGAGTGAGAGAGGATGAGAGAGAATGAGAGAGAATAAGATGAGACAGAGAAAGAGAGAGAGAGAGAGTGAAAATCCCATGCTCACACGTATGCAGCTCTCGCGCTACGAGCGAAACTCGTGCGTTTCATCACACTGGCGTTCTTATGTATCGATTTTTGCCCGAAACCCGAGATAAGTCGGGAGAGAACAACGACAAGGATATTCGCAGAAAAATAATGACATATCAACAGAAAAAGGAGCTGAAGGCAAGATGCGAATTCGCGCGAATCTAATTGTGGCAAAACAAAAAGAGATTTTTGTCATTGTGGCGGTTAGTCTTGCGCGAGTATGTCCTCTTCTTCACACACGTTGCAATAGAGGATTCCCCAATCGTAGCATCGTGAACAGATGAGAAACGCGCGCATTTCACTGCCAGAAATAACAATATCCAATGCGACATTTTTTTGCTTATGGACATCTCGACGGCAATTATAGAGAGATAATTGTGGCTCCGTGGCACTCATCGAGATTCAAGCGGTGCCTTATGACAGTTGAATATAATCGTACATACAGACCACCTACACCCACTACCAAGAAACATTCGCACAGCGTTTGTCGAGTTTTCGCTTTATGCACACAACATTACTATGAAAACTTAGAATAGAGGCAGATTTTATAGTCTGCAATTCGTAAATTCACACACGCACGAATGTACACAAACGAGAACATGAGAGATTAACAAATGAAAGACAAAGATGGAAGATAAACAGCAAGTAAAGGGAGATGATTACGAAGACGACGATGACGATAAGGATGGTGGTGATGATGGGAAATGCTCTCCAGAAACCGAGATGTGGCTAGTACGCGTACCTTGTTCTCTTGCTCCTAGAATTGTCTGGTGCAGCCACGCCACAGACGAGGACGTGGAACTTACGCGATTCCAGCGAATTGGCACAGAGAGAGAGAGAGAGAAAGAGAGAGAGAGAGAAAGAGAGAGAGTGAGAAAGAGAGTGAGAGAGAGAGAGAGAGAGAGAGAGAGAGAGAGAGAGAGAGAGAGAGAGAGATGAGCAGGGACGTCGTAGGTTAAAGACGATATCGGCGCCTATTAGCCGAACTGCATCATCTTCATTGTTGTCCACGCACACACATGCACATACACTTTATTTTATACTTTACTACTGATCTGTCTCTCACACGGTCGCTTATAGTGAGAACGCTCACACCCCTCGCGACCACGGAGTTTCGCGAATACGCACACCAGGACGAACTATTTCTACTTTCCGTGGACGTCGCTACAAGTCGCCCTGACACTATACTGTCTCACTCGCACTCACTCTCGCTTCGTTCGCTAACCAACTACGCAAGTCTCATCTGCAGTCAAATTGACTTCTTGATCAAATGACCGTCGCAAAACCATAAAGTTCGTTGAATTTTAAAAAGTAAATCAATTATTGATAGATTACTGTTTTAAGTTTTCAAAATGACTAAAATCAAAAGTCTTTATTTGACGTCCTATAAATTATCAAAAGTCTTTATTTTTCATGAAAGAAATTTAATATTTATTATTAAGGATTTTGCAGATGAAGGGTGACATTTTCTTATATCATACCTTCACAAAATATATTTTAGGTCTATTCATATATCAAAGGTATAAAAAATAAAAAGCAATGTTTTGCGGATTAATACACATAATATTAGATAATATACAATTGCAAAATTATTATAATACTATCAAGGGCATGGTGTATGAACTGCATTCTGAAGTCTGTTGGGATCGCATAACTGTTACATACAGCGATATTTATTCAATTCTGTAGATTCTTAGTCAATCAGAAATTCAAAAAGAAATGAAAATTAGAAAACTTGAATTTATCTAGAAAAAACCTAACCATAATTATTTTAGAATTTTTTTAATGCAATACCAGAAATTACGTACTGTTCTATTTTGACTTTGTAGCATTAGTTAGTAAAATCATTCTCTTGGCCAGCTATGAGACTAAGTAAAAAAGTAACGAGTATTAAGTCAAATATGAATGTTGTTAATTTGATTACCAGCAATACGCACCGTCACTTATTTGTCAGCCACCGTATAAAATAGTAGAGGAGATACAGTTTAAATAGACCTTTTACCACACCCAAGCTATAATAACATGTTACTGTTTCTTTTAAGTGTTGTTCGATGAATCGTCACGATTTCTTCATTTTCTTACAAATTAGCGTGAATCGGGGGAAACGAATTTAATTATAATCCAGTTAGTAGTAAATTTCAAGAATATTTTTTCAAAATGATATTTACATTGAAAATTTTGTATTTTTGTGTTAGAAAGTTTGTTATAATACAATTTTCATGCGTATTATTGTTCCTTATCTTGGAAATTTGCATGAGCAGAAAATGAAACAAAATTCACGAAGATTTATTACAAAAGTATTTATACAAATTAATTGGTCGAATAGAATATTTTTTTGATTTTTGTTTAAAAAGAATATTTTTTTGAAAATGTAAATGCGCTCAAATGTCTTCTTGCGCAAATTTACATGGATAATGGCAAAAAAAAATTTGATCCATTCCGTAGAAGTTACTTCTTTTCATTGAAAATAGAAAGATCATCGGAAAAGAAAGCTTTTCATTCTAGTTTTTTATTTTCTGCCTTTACATTTTCACGTAATCAGTTAATAAACTGCCCTTGGCAATTCCATTTGTTAACAGAAGCAAGTTAATAGTATGAACCTCACTTTAGCTCTCTATTATACCGCAGATATGGTTATTATATACTGTAATAACCCGCCAGGGTGGCGAGGGCGCAATCAGCTGTTTATATATATATGGTTAATCTTGTTCATGTAGTAATAATTTTTGAAAACCCTTGTCGTTAACGTGTAATTATTTATTGCTGAAAGTGATAGCGTGCGATAAAATATTAAAGGTACTGAAGGGAAATGAAGTCAATCAATAATGCTGAGATGTGATAAAAATGATAAGCATTTCATTCTCTATTAGCAAGAGGAAAAGGGCACAAGAGAAAATGTAATTTTTTGAACTGCCAAAAATCTCGGTGGATACTCCTGAATTTTACCGCGCCATCCCGGCCACTTCAGGCAAATTCTGGTTTCTATCAACTGAAGGAGATAAAGGAGAAAAAGCAGTGCTTGCGAACCTTAAGGGATTGTTTTGTGGGTTAGCATTTTTATGATGGATGTTCTCCATATTTTACGATGAGCTGTCGTCATTTCCGAGGGTAGCAATGGAAGTAAAATCTTAAATGTCCAAGAGCGTACCTTAACAACTAGGGGTGTCCATTTTGAGGGACAGTTAAGACGTATTCGTAAAACAACATGTGCTTTTCAGATCTCGGGCAACACTCAAAATACAATGGATGCACGTTTTATTGCTTCTCTGGAGAGGCATATTTCTTGTCGAAACTTGTCAATTTTTTCCCTTTTCCCCAAATGACCATTTACAGTTTACAAAGTATGCTAGCTTATCAATACGTTGGAGTATATAAAATGTTTAATTAAATCCTCGCGCTTTGATTTTAATTTACATTACTCGTATACATATTTTTCCGTTTACATTGCTGATATACAGAACTGGGAATATAGCGCGTGACTCAAACTTATTGAAAAATGAATTTAAAACCAAAGTACAATATTTAGGTACCGTGAAAAATAATGAATTGAACAATTTTAAACAAAACGTAATGAAGACAAATGGATAAAAAATCAAATAATTTCAGTTAATGGCTAGGATTATTCTGATCTGCATAAATTGACTACCTGATAGTTTATGCCTTGATGTTTACTGTAGCTGCGATAGAAGTCATAGAGGAGGAGCAATCATCCGTCTTCCTCTCAATTCGGTTTGTACAAGTAGTATTTTGTATTTTCTCTCTCACTCTCTCTCTCTCTCTCTCTCTCTCTCTCTCTCTCTCTCTCTCTCTCTCATTGTTATCATAGTTGAATTTACTTGAAATGTCATAAACATGTTTTTATCACATCGGTGCTTCATGGGAACGTTATTATGAATGCATTGTAAATAAATTTGTTTCCTTTTCCGTTATTATTTGTCGTCGCGCCAAGCGACCATCTGTAGTTTACAAACTCACACGATGAAAAAAAATACAATTAATAAAACCACACTAAATAAAATAATGATTAAAACTATCGCGCACTAATGCGATCACACCTTATGTCAAAATACGACAAATGGCTTAACGGTACGTCACAGCACGTGGCACAGTAGCCCTTAATTTTAAGTACTCCAATAAGGCTTAACTAGGTCTAAAAAATCCACTACTAACAAATAGTTAACATTAACGGTTATTTTAGAAAACAACCCGTTCCTATTAATAGAACTCTTATCAAAAGTATACCTCTTGACAGGGTATTGTCCTACAAGTGTAGATCTATGTTACTGACTGTTCTTCCAGATTAGTGTTATAATAAGAAATAATAATTTTTAACAGATCGTTATACTAATATTTTGATAGGATAGAATAGTGCTATAATAAAAAATAATATTTTTTAACAGATCGTTATAATAATATTTTGATTGGACAGAAAAATTGCGCGTGATATTTGCCAACGACTCAACACATGAATTTCTACAAAAACCGTATTAAAGCGTTACTACTATAGAATTTCTGCGCAACGCGCGCGCTGTTGGCGCGAGTGCTCGCTCAACGCTCGACGCCCCGCTCATCACTGGACGCTTGTCGAGGGCATCGAGCGAGCTTCTGCGCCATCTCGGTGAACAACCACGCGGCGACGGGCGGCTTCGTAAAAGCGCCTAGTCGGCGAACCGCAAAAATCTGCCAAATTGCCGAGTATGTTTACAAGTAGAATTCGAACGAGAGGGGCTGAGTACCAGATGATCTCGTGGATCTCTTGTTTAGCGAGAGACACGTGCGATAGTCGCGCGTTCTGTATTCAAACCCACTCGAGTTATTAACGTTGAACGTCTCGATGAAATATAAGAAAACACAAAGAAAACGAAATTGAACGACGTCTCGAGGCTTCCTGTAAAAGAAGCCAGCGCCCTGCCTTATTATTGCGCACGGTCCAGATTTTCGTGTGCCGGACGCTAATCCGACTGGCCGCCCTCGTCGCTTCGAGCCTGAGCGCGCCGAGCTCGACTTCAGGCGAGCTCATGCAAGCTGTTGCGCACGCGAACGTTCCTCAAGGATCTTCAAAAATGAAACGGAGAAAGTTAGGAGCGCAGCGGGCGATTAATTAATCGAGTGTTTTCAATATTCATTGCCAACAGTAACATACCGATCGACGTCTATACCCATTTTTAATATTATTGCTTTCTACATTGCAAATCGCATTGAGCACGTGAATAACGTATAATCGATAATATGACTTTCAATTAAAAGCAATTCTGCAATTAAAAGCAGTCATCGCTTTTGGCCTCTTCGGTCACTATTTCCGACGTTCAAAGCGGAATCTCGGCTCAGAGCGGCTCCAATTCGATTGCCGGAGCCGCCGCTCGCAGGCAAAGCCAGTAAATTTTCCTAGCGCACACGCGTGCTGCTCCGTAATCACGGTACATGCGGCACAACTATACTCGCCTGCTCAGACTTCACGAGGCAGAAAGATACGGGGGTGCAAGTAGCCTCGGGGAAGGAAGCGCAAAGTGAGAGGGAGATTCTTGGCAGCGACAGCAGATACCAGCAGGCGCGGAGAAGTCGGAAGCAGGGCATCGTGGCTGGCGGTAAATTACAGGAGCGTTCTGTGTGCGCGATTGCTTGTTAAAGCCGATTATTTTTTTTCTTCCCTCTTTTATTTGCCACTTTGATAGAAAGGACAAGCAAATACATCGCCATAAACGATACATATAACTTTGCCAAAGCTGGACAAATATTTTTCGCTTCATGTTTTCGCTTATAAAGCACTCACGCTCGCTTGCTTCGCAACTGCATGGCACTGTCGCGACCAATATTTTCGACGCAGTGTCTTACTTGGATCTCACTGCAGTCACTCCCGCGCGAGAAACTCGCTTGATCAACCAATTAAAGCTTTTACATAAAAAAATATGAAAAGCCTTTCGTGTTCGCCATCCAGGTAGGTCGTCAACAACAAAAACACGCCGGGTGCCGGTAAAGGAACAGTAAACGTGGGTATCCCTTTCATATTCTCGGCACGTGTCCAAAATATCAGCGCTACGCACATCACGGCCATCAAGCCAGATTCAAGTTACAAAAGGGTAGAAGCCAGGGAAGTGGTGCAAAAGCTGTGGTCGCGAGAGAGACAGAGAGGGGGAGGGAGTGTCGGCTTTCATCGGCCACACAGCCGCAAAACCGACGGACTCGAAAGAACAGCGGGAAATCAAATTCGCTCTCCTTCTTGCTCTTTGTCTTTGTCACGGACGAATTGATAACTTTTCTTACCTGTCACCTTTTCAATTTTTAAGGGAAACTTAACGAACAACGAAGCGATATTGGCCAAAATAAACAAGTATTTATTCGACTGAAGCTTTACACAATAAAGCGATCGACTAGATTTCTGTACAACAACGTACATTGTACGCTCAACATGATTTCCAGTAGAAAAGTCGACGCTGCGGTCAGGCGACTTCGTGATAACTGCCCTTGCCAGTGGTATTACTTACGTTGACATACAGTTCGCCTTGCAGACGCACAAGCGAAACTCAATTTGCGAAAGTTTCAGCGCGTATAAATTAATAGTAATATTACAAAGGTCCCGCAATAACGTCAACCCAAGTATTTTTGCGTTTTTATTAAATGTCACGTGAAATACGCAAGTTGCGAGGTAATGAAACTTCGCAATACGCAATAGACAACCTTTCGCAGTATTAAACAGCGTAAAGCTTCGTAGCGTGAACTGTGGAATCAGTTAGAAACGAAAGCAAGATGTATTCTGCGAAATGCATCATTCCCGTAGGAAGACAAGGATATGTTCGATAAATCCGGTACACCATTGGCCTGTGGTTTCCGTGCTAATAATGCCCGCGCCAATTATTTAATGAACAGTTTTCACGTCTATCCTCCCTTCTCTTCACGCTTCTTCTCCTCTCGTGTAATCTCCACACTCATTTATGATTGATGAAACGCTAACGAATTTTTTTCTTTTCAAAATCAAAGCTCTCAGACACTATTAACGAATAAACGTAACAATCATGTATAATGTATATCTTATGAAACACCAGTAAATATTATGGAAAATACGTAGATCAAATAGTTTAATTTGTAATATAGTTGATAAAGAAATACTTAGACTTGGATATAAAAGTAGAATAATAAAAAACGAGTTACGATTCTTCCGATAAAAGTTCAAACTTATTTTTTACTGCGGACAGAGGAGGCGCGTTGTCAGACGAATCTTTCTCGGAATCTTCCGCACTGTCTTTCGCCGAAGTTTCGTGTTCTTCGTTTGTCTCGAAGTCATCTTCTTCCGTTTCTGATGATGACTCGACGACTCCGGATGCCTCTTCACGGTTTCTCGCTTGGATCCACTTGACAGTTTCTACGTTGGGGTGACTTTCCCATCGGTCTGAAAACAACGTCACATTATTTAAATAAAACAATGTAATTGAAGATAATTGAATAAAATGTTACTAATGACCTTTTTCGATAGACCATTTCGGAGGATATACGAAAATGCAAATTTTTCCATCCAACGCCATCCTGAGTAAGCTGTTCGCAGCTCTGTACGTATCTAATCTGGCTGCTTTTGCGGTGTGAAAGTTTTTCTTGGCAGCCCAACTCTCACATATGTCCATTGCCGACCAACTATCGTCATTATCTCGGTGCTGGAGTTTCAACAAATTTTGCAAGTCCACTCTTTCTGCTAAAAATTTGACAGTTGTGTAAGGTTCCCTGACTTGGGCTATTGGATAGGATCCCATGAGAATTTGAAATTGTTTGGGCACAGTTGAAGGGAATACAAGTCCAGGACAATCGCACAAACATACATTCCTAGTCAAGAAAATTGTTTGGAAGTGTTTTGTATGACCAGGAGTTCTAGAAACACTGACAACTTTCTTACCTGCAAAATAAAAATATTTGTCAATATGCAATGCTTCAATTATGTTACAAATAGAATTTTAAATTTACCCATCAAAGCATTAATTAATGAAGATTTTCCAACGTTTGGAGTTCCAATACAGCCAATAGTTAAAACTCCATTTTTGAATTTTACATGTTCATAATAACTTGTGTCTTTTTTTTCTATCACAATATTACTCTTTCCATTCAAATCATCATCATACTCCAAATGCATTTCCTCCTGAATTTTTTCATGCCATGAAGTTAAATCAACCTTATCTCCAACTATTTCTTTACAGGTTTCCATAATTTTTTGAGCTCCCTCTGCAGCCATTTTCAATTTTCCCTTCTTGCGTCTTAACTTCAAACCCTCCGTTTCATTTGTATTTCCTCTCAAGTTGTAAGTAGGAAATGATGTAAACATTAAAATATAGAGTTTTGGATATTTTGTTTTGAAATATTCTTGCCATGCAACAACCAGTGCTGCTGGGGCTAAATCAACTTTGTTTAGAATTAAAATTATCTCTTTGTTTAAGTCATTTGTGATGTAATTGTATAAATAAGGTGGGAACATCATAACTGGATATCTGATATCAATAATTATTAATAACAAGTCTGACATTTCTAAAACTCTCCATAACTGACGCCATGTTTCTAAATTAAGTTCAAAGTAACTTATATTTACCAAACTCTCCATATTTTTCAAATATTCCTACAATGAAAAAATACATTAAGATATCTGCAATATCATTGACAATAGTTTTATAAGTGACTTACAGTGAAATATCTGTTTTCTCGAACTTCTAGTTCTTCTTTACTCATATTAAAATTCCATGGTGGTCTTTTTGGTATATCTACCTCAGCAGGAAAATAATCATCTGATACTTCTTGTTCCTCTAAGGAGCATGGGATAATGGTTTTGTTTGCTTCTTCCTTTCTGTTTTGTAGCTCTTCTCTAGATTCCTGAAAAAACTGTAGTGCATATCTATTTTTTCCAATATTGTCTCGTGGTTGCTTGTTGATTTTTTGGGTTCCTCTTCTAAAGTCAGCACTCTCCTGACTCTGCCCATCCTCATCACCTTCATAATTTTTATCTAAAATTAATTGAATTAGTTCAATAAAACAAATGTTCTTATTACAAGAAATTCGCATTAATTAATTCAATAAAATCTCTAATTAATTTAGATTGATTGTATCATTAATTTAAAAAATATTCTTACTCAATAGAACCTGATTTTTTCGTTGTTTTTTAACTTGCAATTGTTGTTTTTTAGCTTTTCCACTAAATGGAGTTTTTTTTCTGCCTTGTGGCATTTTGAAAGATAAGTTTGTAATTCACTTTTACAATTAATATCGTAATTCACAACTAGATTAATTACTTAATCTTAAACAGGTAAAAATCTTTCTAGAACTAATTAATTGATGTACATGACACACCAGTGTACGTTTTACATTCAAACAACTCATATCATATACGCCTGTATTTTTAATTTTATGCCATGTCTATCAGGGGAATTTTATGAAGATGAGCAGCTGCTGAGCGCAAGATATCACTTCCATTAAAACAGTTCCTAACCTCAATGTTTGGTTTGCGTTAACCTGGCCTTAACTTCTAATAACTAGAAAAATGGCGGACACGGCCGGAAATTGGTGTTTAATTGAGAGTGATCCTGGCGTTTTTACAGAATTAATAAAAGAATTTGGTAAATAATCATGATCATCGATTTTTCTCAATCCTATTAAGCTATGAAATTCTTAATTTCCATTCCTGTATCTTATTATTTTCGTTACTTTTATCACCTTTGACGATGACATGACAAGAACGCATAATTTACAGTTTATTATCAATTATATTAATATTATTGTATATTTATAGGTGTAAAAGGAGTTCAAGTTGAAGAACTATATAGTTTGGAAGATGATCAGTTTGAAAATTTAAAGTAAGATTTAACGATTTAATAAGGTGTAACAAACATATGCTTAGAGATGAACCATTATAAGTCAATAATTTGCAGTTCATGTAAAAAACCGTTGCTATCCCACATACTTTAAATTTTGAACTATTTGGTATGCCCTTTCATTTTGTCAAAAACTAAATATTAAGTGACAATAATGAAATCTACAAAATACCTTAATTAGGAGGTCTTTACACTGTGTGATTTTTAGTCATTGATGTTTGTTTAATATTAACTTTTATTCAATTATTAATTTCATCTCATATACATTTAATCAATAGATAATATAAGACTTACGATATGCTGTATAAATGAAATTTCTTTTAAATAATGGTTAGCTACATTCTCTAACTATCGCAACCCATCATTTATTACTGTCCTTTTAATTAACAGGCCAATCCATGGATTGATTTTCCTATTCAAATGGGTACAAGATGATGAACCATCAGGTACTGTTGTACAGGACAGCAGATTGGACAAAATATTTTTTGCCAAACAGGTATGTTTGATTCATCAATTTTGTATGTTTTATTTTACATTGATTGACATTCTTGTATCAGGTAATAAATAATGCTTGTGCAACACAAGCAATACTGAGTGTACTCTTAAATAGCAAACATTCAGATATTGCATTAGGATCAACTTTGGATGAACTAAAAAACTTCTGTCAAAGTTTTGATGCCAACATGAGAGGCCTTGCTCTCAGCAATTCAGACACTATCAGAAAAGTCCACAACTCTTTTGCAAGGTACCTTGAAATAATAAATAAAGTAATAAGTTTATTATAATTGTATAATTTTATATTATTATAATTGTATAATAAATAAAGTAATAGGATAATTATTATAACTCGAAAATATTTTATATTTTGTTTCTAGGCAAACTTTATTTGAATTTGATTCCAAACAAGCATCTAAAGATGACGATGTATTCCATTTTGTAAGCTATGTACCAATAGAAGGAAAGTTGTATGAGTTGGATGGACTTAAAGAAGGACCAATTGATTTAGGTTCTTGTCCAGTTGGTGATCAATGGGTTCAGGCTGCTAAGCCCATTATTGAAAAAAGAATCAAAAAGTATTTAAAGAAACATTAAAAACCTATAAGCATTTTATATCAGTATTTATTTCAAATTATTTATATGAAATTTCGTTTTAGGTACAATGAGGGTGAAATACATTTTAATTTAATGGCAATAGTTAGTGATAGAAAAATGATTTATGAGAGACAGAAAGCTTTAACAACAGATCCAAGTGAAACTGTAAGACTACAAGCACTAATTGATGAAGAAATTTGGAAATCAAAAAAATATAAAATTGAAAATATACGAAGAAAACATAATTATTTACCACTGATTGTGGAGCTGCTGAAAATATTAGCAAAAGAAGGTAAATTAGTTCCTCTATACCAGAAAGCAAAAGAGAGGGCAATTGAAAAAGAAGCCAAAAAGGCAAATAAATCATAAATTCATTGTATTAAAATTATGTTTATTCATATCCATTTGAAGATATAATAATGATTTTATAAAATATGATTAAAATAATATTAACTTAACTATTTATATATATTATATATATTTACATCAGACTTCATTTTGGCTATCAAGAAAATTGAATAATAAATAAACAGTTGTACTGATAATCTCCAAATCATTCTTCTGATGAAGATAAATCTGAATGTTCACTTCTCCTATTTTGCAATGACATCCACTCTTTTACATCAATATCAAGATGTTTAATATTTCCATCTTCATATATTAACCTGGGTAGTATTTTATCGTTTACATTTTGAATTATATTTGGAATTTGATGGACGTACAGGTGATTTATGATGGCTGAAAAAATTAAATTAAAATTTTTCATATACCACTAAAATTAAAAGATTTATTTATTTACCTGCTAAATTAGTAAAATCCGTTGATTCCTTTGTTGTCCTAATTAAATAAGTGAATATCCTGTATAAAAACAATTGAGTGTAACCCTCAAAATACAGAAGCACATTTTGCCACTTAATGTCCTTCTTATTTGATATTCCTTTTTCATATAAACTAAAAAAAACTGAATGTTTTAATATTTTTAAAAATTGATTTATGAATTACATATCTACTTACTATTCGATTAATTTTATTTTTATATCATTAAAATAAATTGGTTCGGTACAAAATAACTGCATGTGTAATCTGTAATACCAAAAATTTTTCAATGAACTGGGATCAATTTTGAGATCTTCTCCTACTTTTCTCCACACACAATCAATTATTGTATGATTTTTCAACTCCTGTATGTCGTTACATAATGTAGCTGTCATTAATGCCTTAATAAAATCCTTGGTCATAGGTAAAGTCCAATCATTATCCACTAGAACATTGGATGTTTTCATTCCGGATTTGCTTTAATCTCGGTAAATAAATTTATTTAAGATAGAACAAAATTTATATTTATAAGAAATTTACCTGAAAGATAACTCTTTTCTTCTAATACATTCATTATAGTTACTTTGAGATTCTAAGAGTACAAATCAGTTGCAATATATAACTAATAATAAACATAACCAATCGTACGTATCAGAAACGCTAATATATATATAGATATTTAAGCGTCTATTTCGTTGGTAGTATAGCTACATACGATATATATATCATATATGCCGTTAAAGTACAATTTTTTAATTTCGGACATAATTTTAAAAATCAAAAAGCACTTTAAAAATATATTTATTATTTTTGATAAACAATATTATTTCTGAAGGGAATTTAGTAAAAATGCTACTGAAAATTATTATTGTTCACATTTTAATTATCAAAATGACTTTTTTACACTCAATTTAACGTATATTACAAATTATTCTTTAAAAACTTCGGCGACCCTAACGTTTTTTTAATAATGAGATTCCATGAAATTTAACGTTTATGAATTGTATTTCTAGAAAGATGTACTATTCTTAGCTTAAAAAATATTCTTAAAACGCAAGTAAAAAATCAAATTTTCATAAAAGCCGATGTTATGATCTGAGAATTGCGGAATTTGTTCTCAAATTTGAGTTCAGAAATGTTTATTATTATTTTATAATTGAGTTTATATAGTTAAAAGGAAATATACAAAAAATGTTCGTATAATTTTATAGTAAAATCATTAACAATGGATTCATCGAACTATACCTTAATGAACTATGAACTATAATAATATTTACATAGTTTCAATTATAAGACAATAAAAAATTGTATTTAAATTTTTCTATTAATTTATAAATATATGTTTAAATCTCGCAAATTCAAATAAATATAAAAATAATAAGGAAAAAGCATCTGCATGTATTTCTACTATACATATATATATGCATATACTTATATGTATAATATAAACATATGTACCGCTAAACAACAGTATAAAAATATTTCAAATTTTTAAGTTTCATCCTCATTATAAAATGGATCTGTAGTAAACTTGTTAGGAATTTTTTTTTCCGAACCCTTATCAATGCAAATAATTTTGCCCTTGTGATAGAATAACTTTGGTAAAATGGCATCTATTGACTTCTCAATTAACATGGGTACATAGTTTTTATATAAATACTCCAAAGCATCTAAAAAATACAGATAATTATGTAAAAGCATAATAAATAACTACAAATTCTGATTTTAGTTTCCTTAATATTTAGCAAGTAAAATTACCACTTAAATTTGATACTGTGATATTTTTTCTAGCACAATTAAAGAGTTGCTCAAAAAGTTTTGACAAAAAATGTGGTGTTATTCCATTGAAATGAGCAGAAATACTTTCCCAATTGATTTCCTCCGGATAATCTAGTTGTTTTGTATAAATGCTAAAATATATGTATAATTATTTAGTATTGTTTTCACCATTTCTTAGATAGTCACTTTTCAACTTACTGTTCTATCAGTTTGACTTTTATATCATTTAAATAAATAGGTGTTGGACAAAAAAGTTGCATGTGCAATTGCAAATACCAAAAATTTTGCAAAACAATGCTATCAATACACATTTTTTTCTCTAGTTTTCTCCACACAATTGTATCAATTTGTTGATTTTTTAAATTCATTAAATCATTACAAGCTGTTATTTCCAATATCGAATCAATAAACTTTTTTACCAAAGGACAAGTCCACTTGATATCTGTAAAAACTGAAAATATTCACACTTAATTTTCTTTGAGTTAATTATGTAAATAATCAAATCATTTATTACAAATGATAGTTCATACTCTTAGGTATGCTATACAAATTGATTTTATTTGACATAGCTTCCTTCTTTTTTCTCCGTGACTGTTTTTTTATCTTCTGTTTTTTATCAGGCGTATCAGACAAATTATAATTTTTCTTCAACTTTTGATAGCGTGTCCAGATTGATTGCCTTTTTCTATTAAGTAGTTTTGCCAATTCTGCGCATTTATTATCTTCTACACTTGATGCTTTGCTCATATATGATAAAATTTTTTTATCTTCCTTTAGAGTATATGGCCTTAAAATATTTGTTCCTTAATTTTTTAATCACAATATAGTTTCATTTATGAAAATTTGTTCAAAATAATATATCACTCACCCATTGTAAACAGAAGTATTAAACATATTTCTAAATCTATAATGTACACTGTACAAACTTCTCCAAGGCAATCCATTTGCTAAAAACCGCACAAAATTTTTTCTTTCTTCAAGTACAGGAATATAATATTTACCTTCATGTCTCATGTATAAAAATGGTTCTACAATATTTTTGTCCCAATTATGTACCTGCAATGTGAAGAATTTTGTCTAGACAATCCAACTAGATTATCTAGAAAAATGTCTAGATAATCCAACAAAGAATGCATAACTTACATCACAGAATGTTTCCCAGTTTTTTTTTATTACATCATCTTCTTCTTTGGAATAGGGCCCTCTTTTCAGTGGTCCATAATTTTGAAAACTAGCAATTTGTTCTGGATTCAAAGTTCGTGCTCCAGCACTAGTCTCAATCATGTGTTGAGGTGGAACTTCATGTTGCAACTGAACATTAAAAGTCTTCAATACCTAATTACAAAATATTAAAGACATGAATATTGATATTAATTCTTAAATAAACACTGAACAAAACATAAATAAAATACCTTTAAAAGTTTCGTAGATAATACATGAGTTTTCAATTTCATTGTTTCTCTATTATTGTTTTGTAGATTTAAGTTCTTCCTTGATTTGCTTTTATCCATTAGATCATGAAATTTCTTTACATCTGATGATTTCTTTGGAACCGGTATAATGTCTTTTAATTTAGTTTTACTAATTTTTTTATCAATCATTATACTTTTTAATTTTGTGATTATCTTTGGCTTTTCATGTTCCATCATTTTTTCATCGATTTGAAGTGAATCTTTTAATTGATCATTCTCTGCATTTGTATCACCTTTTATAAATGATTCTATCTCGACAGGATGATTTATAAGTTCTGTGCAGTCTAAAATATTTGGAGATGTGCTATTAACAAGTATATCACTCAAATTATGATTCATTTCAATGGATTCAAAATCTTTCATATCATCAAGTAATTCCACTATTTCTTTTTTTATTACATTAGAACTAACTTCATAAACTTCACTAGAACTTAATTTTTTATTGGGGGAGCCAAACAATTTAGGATTTCTTGACTTATGAGGAGTTAATTGAGGTGTTTTAGATATTTTAGCTAATGTTTTATCAATTTTATTTCTTAATTTAGATTTATGGGTATCTTGAGAACTTTTTATGATATCGTTGTCATCGCTGTTGTTTTCAATATCTGTTATCTCATTAGTAGCTGAAGTTTCTACATCACTGTGAGTAGTGCTATTCAATGGACAAGTTTTCCTAAGATTTTCATATTTTTTCTCTGGACTATATTCACTGAAATCACTTTCTGTCTTTACTTCTGAATATATTTTCTTGCCAAACCACATATCAGTAAGCGTTGGTTGATGTATTACTTTATCAAAATTTTTAGGACACTTCATTATAACATTTGTTAAGTATTTTCTTACACTTAATAAATTCACAAATTCAGTCTTTTTATGTGTTAGATTCTTATTAGCAGCTTGCCAACTGTAAAAATGTAGATTTATGTTTAAAACGATAATTTTAGTAATACAGCTAATGTATATTGATTCAGTGCTGTTATTTGTATCATTAAAAAGTTAAAAAACAATAATACAAATCCACATCTTACCTGCTAAACGTAAACAATTATATTACGAGTAAGTTTTAAAGATTAACGATTGTTTTAAGAACTTTTATCATATATAAAACACATTAATCCAGGGATTTCAATACTTTTTCTATTACATATTCATTTATTTTATTATTTTTATATCCAAGAATATAAGTTAATTGCACTACAGTTTAGTATTATCGTGCCTATTAGGTTAAATTGATTTCACAATTCACACAATTGTTAGTTTAATATATATGTAAAGTATGTAAAAATACATACATTGCGTCCCGCATGTGCGGCTAGGGGGCAGGGGCCGGACTGGGCCCGAATCCCGAATCTACCGATGCAAAAACAGCTCGACACAAATAACATTTTCTAAAAAAAAATGATCACATCTCAGGTATGTCTAATTGTACTTCTCGAAAAAATGATTATTTGTTATTGTACCATTATATTTCTTATAAAAAATAAACAATATCGTTATCGATAATTTACCTCCTACTTATTCACATAAAAGATAATTAAGCAAAAATAAATTAACAGAAAAATTGTACCTTCTGTAGTCTAAATTGTACCATCAGTACAATTCTATAAATTTGTTTCTAAAAGAAATAATAGGACAATTACAAATTACCACTAATTGTTACAACTATCAAGGATGTCATCCGGAAATGCACTTTGCGCAGGCGTAGAGCTTTGTAATTGTCCTATTATTTCTTTTAGAAACAAATTTATAGAATTGTACTGATGGTACAATTTAGACTACAGAAGGTACAATTTTTCTGTTAATTTATTTTTGCTTAATTATGTCTTTTATGTGAATAAATAGGAGGTGAATTATCGATAACGATATTTTTCATTTTTTATGGAAATATAATGGTACAATAACAAATAATTATTTTTTCGAGAAGTACAATTAGACATACATGAGATGTGATCATTTTTTTTATAAAATGTTATTTGTGTCGGGCCATTTTCGCATCGGTCCCGGATCTTTTTTCCCGCGAGAAGAGAAATTCCGTTTCCGTGCATGTTTGAACCGACATGGGGCAATGGAATGTCCCAGATAAGGGTGTTGACAGAACGATTCTGACACTTAAATATGACATGAATTCTGACACCATGACACGTTAAAATAGGATATGTCATGAGCCACTGCGCAGCAAGCCATGCGCAGGTGATTTCTAAGGTTTTTAGAGGGGAGCGTATTTTGAATACAAAATGATAAAAATGAAAACAAAAACATTACAATACATATTCCCCACAAACAAACGATAAATATTTATAAATTGACTTCTTTGGCTACCACATTTTATTAATAATATGAAATTTACATTTTTCTTTCTAAATACTAAATATTGTAATTTTTATTAAGGGTCGCGGTCGAGAGCCGTAGGCGAGTAGGTCCGAAGTGGTCACGAGACTGCTGGTCGGCCACAACACTATAATACAATGAAATGGGGAAACGTCAGAGTTGTCGAACAGATGTACTTATTTTTCATGTTTCAACATATCGATTTCCTCATGTGGTATATGGTTTTAAAAAGTCTAGATTCTCTTCTATTATCCGAAAAAAGATTCACTTCGATAGTTTTTGATTGACTCCTCGCAACCACTCGATTATCGTCAAAAAGGACTTTTTGAGGCACATAGTTCGGAACCGGCAAGGGCGTCCGAATCAACGCTGATAAACCACATCGAAGTATGTATAGCATAAAAAAAATTTCAATTTGAGTACGCGCGATAAATTTTTTGATTTTTTTCTAGATACTATACTCCAAACCAGAATAATATTCTTTTATTATTTATAACTCGCAGCGTTTTTAGAATATAGCTTCTGCCATCATTGTACCTTTTTTTGTTATTGACATTATTAAATCTCGTGCTAAAATTTTATATATATATATATATATATATTGATTAGATAAAAAAGTATTTTTTTGTTAATATGATGATAATTCGTATGTGAAATAAAAATTATAATATTTAGTATTTAGAAAAATGTGAATTTCTTATTATTAATAAAATGTGGTAGCCAAAGAAGTCAATTTATAAAAATCTATCGTTTGTTTTTGGGCAATATTTATTGTAATGTTTTTGTTTGTTTTCATTTTTATCATTTTGTATTCAAAATACGTTCCCCTCTAAAATCCCTAGAAATCACCTGCGCATGGCTTGCTGCGCAGTGGCTCATGACATTTCCTATTTCAACATGTCATGGTGTCAGAATTCATGTCATATTAAAGTGTCAGAATCGTTCTGTGAAGACCCTAACTCAGCGTGGCGGTACGGTCTGACACGCGCGTGCTCGTCACGGCGTGCCGTCATAATGCAGGTACAGTACGTGCACGAAAAACTATACGCACGCCGTGCCGTCAGAATACGGACATAATGCTATCACTAAGACCCTGGTCCAGTGATGGGTAGGTAAATTACCATAGGTAAAATATATAGTTTTTGACACGTAATTTACTATGTATATTACCTCTCGAACTTTCTGAGTTTTTGACAAGACGTTTTGACATCTTTTCGGCCATCCCACGGCGATGGCGCGCCGACGCGGTGTGCCGGTACTGCTGGTGCGGTACCGGTGTAAGTCAGGTCTTTTAAAATCTGTTAGCAAAGCATGCACTCTTCCTGCAAATCCATTATCCACGACACTTTTTGCTAACAAATTGCCGTTATGGCTATTACACGTTACATGCCAAATCCCAACAAGTTGACCCATGAGAATCATCACAGCTGCTGCACTGTCACTGATAACAACGTTTATATTAATATTATATTTTTCTCTTGCCATTCCAATACATTCGTCAACCACTTGACGCAAAGCTTCCCCAGTTTCACGATGAGTACTGAAATTCCAGGTGTTCAAAAAAATGTACTTTCTTCTCTGCATGTTGTCTAAACGAAGCATGGCAACAACATTTTGTTTATTGGCCGCCTTATTTTTCCATCCATCTATTAACAAAACTACATTATTTACACCCATATTGGCTATTGATTGCTGTAACTCGTTGAATCGATTATTAAGATTACTGTTGGAGAGAGTCTTCTTACTTGGAATAATGTAATTTGGATTTAAGGATTGAATGAAATTTTTAAACAATGGTGATTCGACTATTACGAAAGGTATGTTGCATCCAAAAAAAAATAGCCCAAGCAATCTGTCCAATTCATTACGATCAATATTAGCTAAAAAAAAATTATTATCATTATAAATTTGAATTCAAAACATTTTAATAAAGACTATTTTAGATCATCTACATTATTATTGAAAAATATCGTATATATACCTGCCATTTTAATAAATAATCCAAACAAGAAAACTAGGAAAAATCACTAATTTCTGAACAGTTAATAATATATGATTTTTCTGAAATATGATTCGCTTTTTCACTTTGGTATAAGATTTGAGGTGAATAACCGAAATTTTCAAATGAAGAATGATAAATTACCTGGTACTAGTATTATTATTACTGTTTAGTGTTTATTGTGAAAATTAATTTTACAAAAACTGTGATAATTGTTACATTTAGGTTGTTAGTTTACTGTTAGAGATAAATAAATAACACCGGGCTTTCTTAGCGTCAAAGGATCAAAGGTCGAATTAAAAATATTCAAATTAGAATTTCAATAGCAAAGTACGTTGGTGTAACACTGCTGCGCATGCGCAATAGTATTTGGAAGTTTTTGACGTTTTTGACAATCTGACATGGTTTTTGACGTTGTTTACAGCTTCTGACATGTACATGTCGAAAACCTCAAAATCGTGTCATTTTCCCACCACTGGTTGGTACTAAATAATTGAACTAGATATTTTTAGTGATATTACTAGAGTTGCGATTCGCGTCCGTATCCGTCTGCATCCGTATGTATGTACCTATGTGACCGGGGCCTAACGCTGCACGCCGTAACTTTAGTTAATTGAGACTCGTCGAGACGTACTGTTTTTCTTTTCGCGTCATTATTTATTATCTGCTGCGTCGTAGCGCTCAAGTGATATTTGTATTATCGTTCACATATCGAAATTTAAGTATCACAGGGGAATAAAAACATTTTTACGAACGTGAGAACCTAGAAGACTACGCAGTTAAGAATAATACGTCAAAATACAAGGAAAGGAGTTTTGAATATTCGCGCGGCTGCCATACTACATGCGCAAAAAGCACGTGCATGCATAGAGACTTGTGAAGCTAACGCCAAAAAATTTTTTTAAACATATTTTTGAGTTTTCATGAGCTAAAACGTTTTCTCCCTTTTTCCGAATTAAGTCTTCGCTTAAAATTTTATTTCCGGATGTTCCGTTTTTAAGAAAATTACGAAAAAATAATCGGGCGTTCGGATAGCGCCCAATATGCACTGAACATTTTTCTCCTGTTTAAAAAGAAATAATATCGATAGCGGATGATAGCTCCTTATTCCCGGATTACGAATTCCCTTTTTAATTCCTTATAATTTATAATTCCGTTTTTCGCTACTAATTTTCCTTGAAAATGAGGCGGCCAACTTCATAGTGCTGAAAACTCATATCAATTAATTAATCACATTATCCTAATTCGTGATAAGAAATTATTTATTATTCAATCAAATCATATCAGAGCAAATTTCTTCAAACGGGGAGCAATCTTAAGGTTTAACAAATAATAATATTTCATGAAGATATTACCGCAAATAATTTGCGAACAATTTGCCAATTTTTATAATTTTTTCGATTTTAATAAAAAAAGAGTCGAATATGAGTGAAAAGAGCAAATCCATTCAAGTTAAAAGCTATTCTTTTTTTATTTTAAGGACTTTCCGAGATTTATCTGGGTGTAGTGTTAATTAAGTCATCTGCATTGTTGGCCGGGTTACTGAGCAGTAAACAAATCAACATGAAGGTTCATGTTCGCTGGTGTCTCTATAGAGAATAAATATTTATCTCAACTATACAAAAGGAAATAATTATCTATTTCAAATAAGTGAATCAAGTGAGTACTTGAATGGTTCTCCAAACGCGATAGGTTATGAAAAATCAATTATCGAATAAAAAAACTTTCGTGCAATATTAACAGTTCTTATTTTTTATCTTTTCTTATCGAATTAAATCGAATCCAGTAATCGAACATATAATGTAGACGTATAATACTAAACTCAATATTACATTTGGTTTATTTAATCAATATTTTTATTACCTTAATACTTACATTTTTATTATTTATTAAAGTAAATTGCTCGATAACAATTGACGGTTTAAAGAAGTTTAAGTTTGCTAGAATCTTTATATCATTCCTCAATTTGAAAACAATAGATTAATTAATAACCAATGACCTTTAATAAAAAATTATATTTAATTTGAACAAAATTATTTTGATGATAATTAAATAATAGGAAAAATCAAAGATTTGACACATTTTTATTATAATCATAATATTGTTTCTTTATATATTGCATAATGCTAATAAGTTCAGGATAATTGTCTCGTCATTATTATATGTAGCTAATTATTTTAGTTCATTTCTTTTGGTTTGCAAAACAGTGTTTTTGTAATCTTTTCTGGTATCAATTAAAAAAAAGTCTATTATTAATGATAGCCAGAGATATAGGTCGTTTTTATAATTAACGCGATTGAAACTGAATGTTATGCATAACGCATGCGGATACTTGTTGAGAAGAAGTGTCAGAAAGTATAAATTGCGTCGTGTTATCTTGATAGAGTGATTTGCATATACATTTCTTTAGTGACCGTCAATGATTACGATTATTGTACGTTATTATTATTCACGTGTAATACGATGTAATGCTTATTAAAGTTAAATTGATAATAATTTCTTAATAATATTTAACGAAGTATTTATCGAATGTACCTTTTTATAATAAATAAACAACGCTTTTATAATAAACAATGTATAAAAAAAAATTCTTTTTTTGTTTTTCGTGAACTTTTTAAAGTTTTGTTTTTTTTGCAATTTAAAACAAAAGACTTCGCTTTTTACATCAAATAAAACTTATCGTGGAGTGTTTTGAAGAGGATCTCGGCTATTTAGTAATAAAACCAATAAGAAATATAAGAATTTACAGAAACTCTTAAAATCAATTTTATTTCATAATATATGTATATTACGTAAAGGAAAAATTATATATAAATAAATACATGAACGAAATAGTTATATGTATATAAGAAAAATATATTTCTATAAATAAAGTTAAAAATTATACTGATATTTAACTTAATAAATTAATAGTAAAATGTAATATTCTCACGAATATTGTGATATTGTAAATGTCTGAATCAATAGATGTACAAAATACAAATACAAAATTATTCTAGCTTATATAATAATAGCTGGGAGTTTCCAACACATTATTTCAACAAAAACACCAATAAATCAATTAATTTTTTAAATAAAATCATACAATAGAAAAGCAGATGCATCAAAAACAATAAATATATTTAAAATTCAGAGGAAACTATCTGCCTGCCACCGAATTGACAATGTCTTTTTATTGAACTGATATATTTCATTTCTAATGAGTCGTTGTATTGCTGCATTTTATTAAAAATACTTTATTTCTAGTAAATTTAAATAAATATTAAAAACGCTGTCTTCAATGCATTAACGAAGTGCTTTCTTCAAGATCGAAACGAATTATACATTTGTTCTCTCTACAATCTTTATTATTTGACTCAAAGTTATTAAAAAATAAATTCAATAAATGTCCGTGTAAGCTAAATATATTTAAAATTAAAGACAAATTAACTAAATATGTACATAAACAAAATAACACAAAAATATTACTTGACTAAACGTGCACACGAAGTTACAGCAAAATATCTTCAAAATCATAAAAATGTCAGATGATAACGTACATATAGAAAAATAAAACTAAAAAGACGACGGCAAGAAAAAATTACTTTATAGACTTCTCATTAATTAAAACGAAATAATATATATTAATAATTACTAAAATTAAATGCAGTATTCTCAAATATAACATCAAACAAAAATGTAAATTAAAAATCATGGAGACAAAAGGATTCTAGCAAAATAGAGAACAATTTTAATAATTGCGAAAACAGTCCTTTCTTTGTAGCGAAGCGAAAGAATAGTACATTACGATACAAGTGCGAGAAAATACGAGGGTGGTCCGATAAGTACTTAACCTACAAAAGAAAAACGAAAATTTTGGAAAAGTGGCGTTTTATTTTTCAACATAGTCTCCTTTTAGTTCGATACACTTGGCCCAGCGATGCTCCAACTTCTTTAACCCGTCTGAAAAATACGTTTCCTCGAGATCTGAAAAGTAGGCTTCCGTGGCATCGATTACCTCCTCATTCGACTCAAATTTCTGCCCGGCGAGTGACTTTTTCAAGTTTGGAAACAAAAAGAAGTCGCACGGGGCTAAATCTGGAGAATCCGGTGGATGGGGCAGCAGTTCGTAGCCTAATTCAACCGATTTGGCCATGGCGACGGCGGAGGTGTGAGCCGGTGCGTTGTCATGGTGGAAGAGCACTTTTTTCTTCGCCAAATGGGGCCGTCTTTTCTGCAATTCGACGTCGAATCGGCCCGATAATTCGGCATAGTACAGCCCTGTGATCGTTTTGCCCCTCTCCAGGTAGTCGATGTAGATCACACCTTGTGAATCCAAGAAAACGGTGGCCAATCACCTTTCCGGCCGATGGGGCAGTCTTCGCCTTCTTCGGAGCACTTTCGCCGGGTAAAGTCCACTGTTTCGACTGTTCCTTGGACTCTGGTGTATACCAGTGGATCCATGTTTCATCGACTGTCACGAAACGACGCAGAAACTCCTTCGGATTGCACTTAAACAGCGTCAGACATTGCTCTGAAGTTGTCTCACGGTTGCGCTTGTTGTCCAGAGTGAGCAAACGCCGCACCCATCGCGCCGACAGCTTTCTCATGCCCAAAATTTCATGCAGGATATGACCCACGCGGTCTTTTGAGATGCCTACGATCTTAGCTATCTCGCGCACCTTCAATCGTTGATTTGCCAATACGAGATCGTGAATTTTTGTCATGTTATCCTCCGTGGTAGCCGTTTTCGGAGCACCTGAACGTGGCTCATCAAAAATCGACGTGCGACCACGTTAAAACTCGTTAAACCAATTTTTGACGGTCGCCATCGAAGGAGAAGAGTCACCGTACACAGCATCCAAGCGCTTTTTGATTTCGCTGCGCGATTTCCCTTCGAAAAACAAGAATCGAATCACCGACCGATACTGCTCTTTTACCATTTTTCAAAAATCAACGGACACACTTGCTTTCACACGCTCTCAAAAATAAACTACAACTCCGATCCGGCTGATGTCTTGACAGTAACTATCGAGAAGGTTGTACTACGTGATAGAATATTTCTTTTGCGAGAGTGGCGCCATTGGGCGGTTAGGCTAAGTACTTATCGGACCACTCTCGTAGATACTTCTCTCGTGTGGCGTTTACGCCCGAGCGAAGCGAGGGTGGAATGGTACACGAGATGAGAAAGAAACTCTTTCCCGAACATGTGCCGTACCGTATTTTTTGATACAACGTGTGGAAAGTGCGGTTTTTAACGCACGTTTTTTGCCGAGCGTGTGGGAAAAACGCACTTTCTGCACGGAATGTCGAAAATACGTATAATATTGATCAATTCAAGACTTAAAATCACGTACAATTTTATTATTTTTTCAGATCAGTAGAAAGGTATTCATTATGGTAGATGCTATTTCAGGACTACTTTTATTTTTTATTATCTTACTTTTGATAAATCCGCTCGTCAAATTATTACGTTGGATATGGGAACTGTCAGTTACACTTTGCAAGACAAATCCTGTTGACTTGAAAGAAAAATTCGGCGAATGGGCAGGTATTTAATCTAGAGTATAATTATATATTTTAAAAATAGAATGTAATATAAAAATGTGTGCAATCATCAAGATGATTTGTTGCGTATTTTATTATAAATAATTTGCTTGCACAACATAATAATTATGTTTTTTCAAATATTAAAAATCTTTTTGGTAGTTTTTTAAACTCCTATGTTAATTAATACATTAAAAGTAAGGTTGATATTTTCAATATTTCCGACGTATATTTGTACAAAAAAATAATTAGACCATATATGTACATGTATTTAGTCAAATGTTGTTCCATGTTTCAGTTGTAACAGGATCAACTGATGGCGTTGGAAAAGAATACGCAAAGGAACTGGCAAAAAGAAACGTTAATATCGTTCTCATAAGCAGAACGTTAGAAAAGCTAAAGAAAGTAAAAACTGAAATAGAAATACTCAATCCCAACGTACAAGTAAAAATAATTCAAGCAGATTTTAGTATTGGTAAAGCGGAAATTGACAAAATTGAAGCTCAATTGGCAGATATTCCGATAGGAATATTAGGTAAGAAAGGTTGACAATGTTATCAATAAATGACAAAGTTCCTTACACTCTGAGCATTCCTTCAAAAATTTGAGAAATATACATGCTAAGACTGTTAATGTAAACTTTATAAATTTTTACAGTTAATAACGTGGGGAAGATAACTGAATATCCCATGTACTTTGGAGAAATTTCCAAAAATGAACTCTGGGAAACGATCAATATAAATATTACAGCTGCAACTCTAATGACTCGATTAGTTATCGATCAAATGAAGAGAAATGGGAAAGGTGCAATTGTTAATGTTTCCTCAGCAACAGATCTTGTTCCTTCACCTTTATTGTCAGTGTATTCGGCGTCTAAAATTTACATTCGCTACCTTTCCGAAGCAGTTCGCGCCGAATATTCCAAGTATGGAATAACAGTACAATGCCTTTCTCCCTTTTATATCAATACTAAAATGGTTGGCTACAGCGAGAGAATACAGGTATGAGATAATCTAATGTTTCTCACCTAGTATGCTCATAAAAATGAATAGAGGTAAACCAATAATTTATTATACTAAATTTTTCAGAATCACGAGTTATTATGTCCTGATGCGACATTATACGCCAAAAATGCCATCGAGACTTTAGGCAAGTTAGACTCGACGACTGGCTATTGGCCGCATGAGATAGAACATTATTTAATGACATTATGTCCAGTATGGTTAAGAATAAAGATCGTCTTCTTGATAAATCGTCTCGGGCGAAGAGACTATTTGGCATTACAAAAAAAGAAAACCGATGAATGAACATTTACTATTATTTACAATTGTGGTAGTTATATTTTTACACCATTTTTCTAAATTAACTATTAATGACGTAACAATAAATCATTGTACTTTATTTATACAGTCGTGTTTAATGACAAATATTTCAAGTCATTGATTAACCACTGGCATATATAGCTAAAACGAAAATACTTGCAACGAGCTCAAATACTTAATTTCTTATTATTTTCCATTCTACTACGTCATTATTTATTACTTAAAATAATTTAAACTCACGAATAGTTTTAATGCCGCTTAACAAACATGAACTGAACTTAAAAATTGAATTCGCATGAAATAAAAAATAATGTTTTCATTTTAAAGTCAGATATTTTTACGCAATCGACATATTGAATGATACTTAGTTTTTATAAAATCAAATTTTATAGATTCATGGCAGTTTTAAAAATAATGTTATGGCTGTTATTAGAATGATTACCTGACACAAATGTTATAATTGCTTTGATATTGGAAAAATGTTTGTGTAATTTAAAATGAACAAAAGTTTCAACAAAATCATGTACTATTTATGTAAATAGACTTTTTCAACGTGTTAATACAGAGAAAGTAAACATTTAATAAATTTGTATCGAAAAATAATTCTAATTCATTTACTACTATTGCCAAGATTTTAACTGTTGATCATAGTTTCAGTTCAAAAAGTAATTGTGATTTAATCATAAAAATAGTCTATTAAATGTATAAACAATTTGTAAGACCGAGCAAGTAAATATTTTGACAAAATAGATATTTACTTAATCGTTTATATGTTACAATTAACCACTATTTATACGCAGAGACATACTAATAAACTAATCATTAGCATTTTGAGAGTGTACTATTCAACTCAATATCTTTATTTTGATAGATCAGATATATTAATGTCGTAAAATACAAAATAAATTAATTGTAGCTGAGGCAATTTTCCGCAACTCTTACAGCCTGGATTCAATTCCAAGTTTAAATAGGATTAAATCTAGGAAGAATTGTTATACATAAATACAGTTATACGAAAGTTTATCCATGTTTTCACGGTTATAGTTAAACGATTAATCAAATACATTACGATTGAGAAAACGAAAGTCGGGATCCGAACGCGAGTAAAATTATTATTGACGCGCGAACGGACCGGGGAGCCCGATAGCCTGAGAGCCGCCCGAGTCGAAGGCCGCTCGGCTGTTAGAAAAGCCTGTATACGGTGCAATTCGGCTCCCACGAATTGTCACCTAAAATTAGGAAATAATCATTTTCGAAAAATCAAATAGATTTTCACAATTTAAAACACCATTATTTACTTGACGATCGATGACAAGCCAGGTAAAAATATAATATATATATTATTTCGTCATCTTCAAAAATTCATTAATGACTTTTTAGTAACATTTTCATGAAAAAAATGAATATCATTTATTGAATATTCCTGACTATCAGTTGAAGTATAGAATATCATACATAACATTTTTTTATTTTTTGTTAATCTGTTTTTAATTATTGTGGCATTTAATACATATTAATTTAATTTGTATAAGAGGTCTGAAAATAATTTTCAACATCCATGCCATTTTTAAATAGATCTTATTACTTTTAAAACAAATAATTTTGAGCAAATAATGAGATTGATAAAGAGTGAATTCCAAAACGGAAAATGTATTAAATTTTGTTTAGATTTATCCAGCATAATATAAAACAGTTAAAAAAAATTGAAACTATTAGCGAAGCCTTCATGCAACTTTTTATTTTGTCAAAAGTATTTTTGATACAGGCTCATTTAAAAAAAAAACACGTATTTGCAATTTACATGCATGTATACGTCGATTATTGGTTCAGTATATATCTGACACGAGAGTAACATATGTTTATAAAGAAGAGCAGGGGCTTAGGATTGAATACTTGTGTTTAGCCAATATTAATTACTTAACTATCTCGTTAATAAATGTACATTCCCCTCACTCGACAAACGCATGTTTAATATACTCTCCTCCACATATATACCATTCCTCTTCAGCTCGCAGGAGAACGTGGTCCAGTTCAACGTTTGGCCAACACGGGGCGTTCGAACCAGTCGCTCAGGCCTGGGCCTGGCACATTCTAAAGCATTTCAGTTCAGCACGTTTCTAAGGACAGTTGCATTGTAAAAACTTTGTAAGTTGCATCATTTATTGCAGTGAGTTCATTTTTTACGCTTTCAAATTAAAAAATTTTGTCGAGATTAGTATTTTAGATTTTATTTCTTTTTAATTTTTTAATTTTAATTCATTTTTTTAATCAATGATGATGATAAATACCGTCATACAATTTTTCTATTGAAAATCAATTATTACTTTATTCTTCTAAAGCCGAATACTTACCGTGATGTAACAGAAATATATATTTTATATTAAAAATGCAGATGTATGAAATATATTTTGTTTACTAATATTACTAAATATTTTATTAAAATATAAAAATTTTTTTATAGGATTTAAAATGCCGGAAATGGATGAACAATTAACAATTGGTATGCAATATCTAAGATATATAAATATATTTTTCTTTTACTTTAAGTCCTACTATAAAAAATATATCATTAATTTTCAGGTCCTATTTACACATCCGAAAAGACTGGAAGTGATGAAAATGGAGATGGAAGTGAAGCTAAACCTTTCAAAACTATATTACAAGCAATGAGACATGCAGAAAAAGAGCCATTTCCAGAAATCTATCAAGATTCAAAAGAAGAAGGAAAAAAGTATGAGCTTGCAGCCAAGTCACAATTGAAGAAAGTTCAAAAAATCTGGATCAGAGAACAATATAAGAATGAAGATAAACAGAAAAAGTTGCAAGAGGATGAAGAAAAGAGATTAAAAAATTTGGAAGAAGCTAAATCTATTGTTATTGAACAAGATAAGAGCTTGCCTACTGCTACTCTCTCAAAAATCAACCGAGCTACACACCACATTGATCAGAGAATACAAGTGTTTGGATGGGTACATAGGTTAAGGCGACAAGGTAGAAAAAATTTGCACAATTTATGTCTTAATTATAATAATATAAATTTTAATTAAACTTTAAATTTTATATATCAGGGAAGGCTTTAATGTTTATAACTTTGAGAGATGGAACTGGATTTTTACAATGTATATTGAATGATAAACTCTGTCAAACCTATGATGCCATGGTGCTTAACACAGAAGCTACTATACATTTTTTTGGAACAATAAAGAAAGTTCCTGAAGGAAAAACGGTATCAAAAAAAGTTATTTAATGTTACAATAGGAAATGTTGACATATCATCGTTTACAGGCTCCTGGTGGAATTGAACTTATCGTTGATTACTGGAAACTTATTGGAAATGCTCCTCCTGGTGGAGCTGATGCAATTTTGAATGAAGAAGCTCATCCAGATGTGCAACTGGATAATAGGCACATTATGATTCGTGGAGAAAATGTAAGCTTATTATTTTACTTGTTTATAATCAAATAATCAGCATACTAAACTAAAATACTTATATTTAAAAATAAATTTTTAGACTTCTCGTATTTTGATTATGAGATCAGTGCTGACTCAAGCTTTTAGGGATCATTATAGTGATAGAGGATATGTTGAAGTTACTCCACCCACTCTTGTACAGACACAAGTAGAAGGAGGTTCTACTCTGTTTAAACTCAATTATTTTGGGTAACTTCAAAAATATATGAAAGTTATTTAATTATTAAAGTAATAAATGTGATTTATTCTCTCACTCTATTGTAGTGAAGAAGCCTACTTAACCCAGAGCTCTCAGCTTTACCTTGAAACATGTTTACCTGCAATGGGAGATGTATATTGCATCGCTCAATCTTACAGAGCAGAACAATCAAGAACCAGAAGACATCTGGCTGAGTATGTTCAATTAGCTAATAAGTAAAATTGAAATTCATATTTTTAACACTATTTTATTTTTAGATACGCTCACGTCGAAGCTGAATGTCCTTTCATAACATTTGATGATCTATTGGATAGACTTGAAGATTTAATTTGTGATGTCGTTGAAAGAGTTTTAAAGTCACCCTTAGGCCCTCTTGTCAAAGAGCTAAACCCCAACTTCCAAATGCCAAAGAGGCCATTTAAAAGAATGAACTACTCTGAAGCTATTGAATATTTAAAAGAAAACAATATTACTAAAGAAGACGGAAGCTTTTATGAGTTTGGAGAGGATATTCCTGAAATGCCAGAAAGAAAAATGACAGATAAAATAAATGAGCCTATAATGTTGTGTCGGTTCCCAGCAGAAATAAAATCTTTCTACATGCAACGTTGTTCAGAAGACAGGCGACTTACTGAATCAGTTGACGTACTACTACCAAACGTAGGAGAAATCGTGGGAGGATCAATGCGTATTTGGGATGAAAAAGAGTTGCTAGAGGGATACGAAGGCGCTAAAATCGATCCGACTCCATACTATTGGTACACCGATCAGGTAATTTTTCTTTTTATATATTCTAAAGTAATCGAAACAAAATAATGAAACATACGATTACATAACTTTTTTCTTTTTCAGAGGAAATACGGAACTTGTCCTCACGGTGGATATGGTCTTGGTTTGGAAAGATTCCTTTGCTGGCTGTTGAATAGATATCACATCAGAGAAGTTTGCCTTTACCCTCGTTTCTTGGAACGTTGTCGTCCTTAAATTGAAACTTGAAACACAATATTAGCCCCACTCAACTTCTATTTGAAAGATTCTCTTATTTTGAATGAATATAAATGTGCTACATGAATTTATATAATATTTGAAATAAACAATTATAATTTATATTTAATAAATTATTATTTGTTTAAATGATTGAAATTTTCATATTTACCAATCGTTTGTTGTATTAATATTTTGTACGATTCATAAACAATATTCGGTTAAATCAGAACATGATTGACCATTGACTTCGTATGCATTCAAATTAATAATTCGGATTTATTTTAATTTTCACTTAGCGCCATATTATTATTTCATTTATTCGCTTTTATATAACGTATGGTAATTTCCATAAACAACAAAATGATACATATTCAGTCATTATTAACTATTAAAATGATTGAAGTTAACGAATAGTAGGGGTCGTCTTTGTCGTTTAACAATTGTAAAATTAGATGAGATGTTAAAATACTGATTTACTTCACCTTCAACGTTTACAAGTGAAATTTTATAAAATTATTCTTGACTCTGTTCACAAGGTTAAAAACTGATTTGTTCAGAATCAATATTTTCAAAAGCATCAAAATTTAAATAGTTTAATAGCTTAAAACTTATCTTTACGATATACTGATGAGTAAGATGCAAGACGTTTTGTCGGCATAATTCATACCTCTTTTGCAGTCATTGTCACATTTTTTCCCATGTGATGTACAACAATAATTAAAGTTTGTAACAAACTATTGAAAAGAATTGAATGCCAAAATTATATACAAACTAGGCAGCACACATATTATTTTTTCTCGTATATATTTTCAACAATATTGTATAGTAACAGTTTTCTCATTAAATCACACGTGATATACGAAACAAGGCATTTGTAACTACATATATTACAAGTTATATATTCCATGTGTGTCCACCTGTTGAGAATCGATTTCTAGACTAAATTGTAACAACAAGCGATTTGTCATAATTAAGGCAACAGAGCACTTTTTTGTTTACTCAAACCTCAGCTTACACACATTTATATATATAATATATATACACACACTTGACGATCCACGCGTGTGCATTTTGCAATAAACAAACAAATTTCTTATTATCTCATAAACATTTTCTTTTTCTTTCTTCTTTCCTTGCTTACTAAAACTCAAATTAACATAATTTTTTGCTTTGTACATGAACTATATAAATACATTGCCACAAGTAACAATTGTGTTATATGCCGAGTACAATAATAAATACTGCATTCTCGTTTTTCTATTCAACAGCCAAAACAATCTTTATTGTAGAGGTTAAAAACTTAGATCTGAATATCAGTTATATAGCTTTAAATAAATAAATTACGCTGTGAAGCTGTTTAAAATCACGTTCATAGCAACAGAGTCCATCTAAACTGAAAACAATATGTGCCAATTAAATACAGCATCATAGACTACGGAAATTATCTCTTGACTGTTTAATTTGCATAACCTGTATAATCTGCGAACATTGTGTATTGATCTTATTTTGCGGTGTATATTCAATTCGAACGGGCATTTATAATATATATTGTTTCGTTCAACAAGCCTTCGGTGTACTTTCTTTATAAATACTTTTGTTTGTTTTTTGTTCTCTCAAAACTTTTCTTCTATGGCACTATTATTGTATTGTATTATATATTTTTTTATACACGTTTCCATAATATACACGACAGAAATTTCAAAAAGTCAAAGTATACATTTACAATGGATAATAAGTTTTTTTAGAGTCAACATTCTCGACAAAATATTAACTGTTTCTAGCATTGGAATTCGTCAAGTACACTTGCCAAATGAATTCAATAATATAACATTAGATCGTATACATAATGCCTTCAATACTCAAACATTAACAAAAATCGACCGACATTCAACATCGAGCGACTCTTACAAGAATAATTCGAATCAAGATTGCGATAAAATCGATCAAGTATTTTTAAAAGGACATTAAGATTTTAGGAGAAAAGTGATCATTATCGAAATAGATTATTAAAGAAAATACGTATTTATAGGTGACAACAATTTTTCGCGATAATGTCTGCTTGCGGGATAAATTTTTTAATTGTATTTGTTCTCTCTTCTTAGTTCATCTTGAAATAGTGGGGTCTTTATGTTTAGTCATTATTTGCCCCCAAATTATAGGCAGTCTGTACTACTTAGTACATGTCGATATTTTAATTAGATCAATTACCTGAAAATAAGCAATGTTGGAAGCAAATCAAAGATAAAAAATCGCAGGGAAATTGCATATTGTATTATTGTACCTCAGTAATACGTGTGTACAACACAATCCCGCTCAGGCAGTTGACGAACCTTCATTGAACCATCTGCACCGCACGAAAATAGGCGCCCTGCCGAATCGACATGTAGTTGTGTGACACCCTAAAGTAAACAATCAACAAATTAAACAAACATCTCTCACATAAAGTATATTTCACAGCAAATAATGATCGAAGATGCGCCATACCTGGCCAATATTCTTGAAGAAACTTGATCTAGGATGTTCCCCAGGGAAAGAATACAATAATGTGTGGACGGTTAAACCCCATACCTGAAATCGATCGTTGCCAATGAAAAAAAAAATGAAAATGAATTTTGCTGATATAATACTCACTTTTATATCGCCGTCACCGGCGCCACTGACAAAGAATTCCTCCTGTGGATCCAGAGCAAGGCATTTTATTGCGGAGTCATGTGCCTGGAAGCGATTGCGCTGCTGACGCTGACGCACGTCGAATATGTTGATGTAACCCTTCTTGCCACCGCTGATCAACAGCTGATGCTGTGGTGCCAGTATTAGTGCACTCGCGCCCTGATCGTGACACGTGAAACCTTTCGAGACAGAATGAGCTTTTGTTCGTAAGCGAGCGACAGAGAGATGACGATGCAATGTGATACCTTGAACGAGAGATTTATTTTGAGGTAACAATGTGTCCCAAAGTGCAACGTTGCGCCCTTCGGAGCCATGACCGGCGGTTGCTACCAGGCTGCAAGCTCCCAGGAACACAAAGTCCGACGTGACTTTGCTGTGGCATTGGTAGTTCTGAAGGTGTACGTACAAACAAATCGTGAAACTCGGAGTTAATCGACGGAAATGCATCGATCGGAAAAAATAAAATATGACTTACGAAGAACGGACGAGCGGTGCCGTCTCTGCAAGCCACCTGGAATAGACTGAGATGTCCATCGGAATCGGCCACGCCGAACTTGTTGCCGTGTTGAGAGAAGCGCACACGAGTAACTTTGGCAAATGTACCCGGTGGTCTTGGCGTTGCCACTGCAGTCTGATGACCCCATTCCCATAACGACACAGAGCCATCTTGAGATCCGGTTAAGTCTAAATCAATTTTGTGAAAGTCATTAAATAGCTCATTTCGTGCTCGAGGCATGATCACAGGCTCAAAATTTCTTTTCGAGAAAAACCGCAATAAACGTCAATTATTTACCAATTATCTCACTAATGATTTTGAAATTTCGAGCAAAGATCGTACTACTTTCAAGATCTATAATAACGATACTGAAACTTACACAGTGGCAGTAGCGGGTGTGAAGATACTCGTCTAATGCCATCAATCTTATGCTTGAGGATCTGCCAGTCAGACAAACATGATAATGTAAGTACAGCTCAGTGAAATTCTCTCTTGTGTATAAATGAACCAACATCTATCAATTTGAACTTTTGTAAGTAGAGAAAAGGAAATAACGCACAAAACTGACTTTCACGCACGAATTCTTTTTCTAAATATAAAAAAAAAAATAACGAACGTTCGATCAACTACAGTCAGGAGATATATCAGCATTAATAATCAGCATGCGTCAAAAGGCAGCATGATCGATATTACAAGCTGAGCGGTATATAGCAAATTATTATAGTTATCAACGATTCGCTACTTCGCTTCTTTTTCATTCTGTTTTTTGTATCTCTCTTTGTAGATATCTAAATATCATGGTGAATATATCATTTTGCATGTTGTTTAGAGGAATGAAACTATGTGTTGTTTGAGAAAGCATTCTTCCCCCGCTAAATCTTTGTTCGCCATGTATGTAAAAGTCGTCCTCTGTGCATTTCAGGAACTTATAAAAACGCGCACAACGCACGACATTCAGTGTGACGGGATGTCCATTGTTGCAGTTTCCTGTAGTAAGATTATTGTCTATGCGTTTGCGTGCATGGCAGCAAAAGTTTCCAAAGATCTGGCTTATATAGTAGAAAGCGAAATAAGCAAGATTATAATCGCAATGTGACATGTAACAACTTATACAGCTCAATAAACGTAAATACATGTAAGTAGCTTTTGCTGGCAAGCAGCAATTCTTTAATGTACAGTCAGAACATTGAAATAAAATAATAACAACAACAGTTTGATCGACGCCCTTCAAGAAAATTCACAGCTGCTTACCTTTTACCGTTTCGCTATACATACATTTGCCGCAAGTATAACAAGTATGTAGATATGCAAGATTGAAACGAACATTCAATTTTCGTGAAGAACGTCGGACTTAATGCACAATGCCTATGTACGTGTTTAAAACGTAAAATGTCAGGTACTCTAAGATTCAACTATGCAGTTGCGAACATGCCGAAACTCATCTAACGATACACTTGAACATTAATGTAAAAACACCAAGAATATCCTTGCGACTGTGGGCTTCGATATATCCAGACAAAAAGCAGAGAAAATGAGAAACGAAGCCATTGTCGAAGAGTATCCAAAGTGTATTTTTTTTGTCAAGGAGGAGGTGTGTAACAACGATAAATAAAATGAACAGAAATCATAAAAAGCAAAAACCAAGATTTGGTATAAACAACATAAGAAAAAAAAAGAAACAAATCAAGGATATACAAGGAGAAACAACAGCAAAAACAAGATGAAACGTGTTAAGTTTTGCACTAGGAACAAGGAAAAAACTGAAAGCTATTTTTTAAGGATTAAAGTATATATTGTCAAAGTTTTTAAGGTAGAGAGGAGAGAGAGAGAGAGAGGAAGAGAGAGAGAGAGAGAGAGAGAGAGAGAGAGAGAGAGAGAGAGAGAGAGAATGTTAGATGTTAGATGTTAGTCTCACCGGCTTTAACAAGTGTTTACTCCTATCAGCGACAAACTGACAGAAGCGCAGGTCGTGGGAGCCAGGAAAAGCGGGCATCCCCTTCATCTGTTCGATTCGTTTGAGTTCGAGAGCAAGTGAGCCGCCATTAGAGGTGAGAGATCGCAGATAGACCGAGTTAAACGACGCCAAGCATTAAAAACAAGCAACAGTTTTGTCTCCGTCACCAATGTCCGAGCGAATCTTTTTTTTTTACTTGTTTCGTATTTTTTTTCTTTTAATACTCATGTGTACTCGATACACTGTTTAGCCACACCATTCATGGCTCGTCGACCAAATACTTGCAATTCTTCTTTAATTTTTTAAACAGGTAATACAAAAGGAAGTTGGCGAAGAAAAAATGTATGGATTTGCAAATAATCAAAGAAAGACTGATGTGCTTGCAAGTATTTTCGATGCAGCCATGCCTCTGACAATCGAGGCAACAAAAATGCACACAATTTTCGCCACTCGTTCATCATGCAACATCCAAACGGTCTTTGTTTTTCGACACCTTGCTCTTTTTCTAGCGGTGTCTTCGGTAAGCGGAATCACTTTCTCTGTGCTAATTGTTAATTGCTCGATAAAAGAATATAAAGTCAATCGTCAAAGTTATTTATGTATGTGTTAATTGTGTATAGTTGTGCTGAAATAACGATTTATTAACAAATAAATTATGTGGCTACGTGGTAAAACCAATGGATATGAATGGAAATTTCACTCTTTTGGTAAAAAAATTTAAAAAAATAGTGTACTTCAATTAATACTATAAGTTTACTTGAATAAATATCTGATAAAAGGTTATAACTAAATATCACAAAAATAAAAAGTTGCGAGAAAACAAACGGATAGTACAATGTAATAAAACAAGATTCGTTTATTTATCAATGTAAGTATATTAAAAATATGTAACAAAAGAATACGAAAATGCAAATTAAAAATATATAAAAGAAACTTGCAAAAAATCATAAATTTGTTAAAGTTAGAACAAACAATTGCTAATTAAGTCGCATTTTTTAGTCTCTACAAAAGTTAACTTTTCTTTGGTAAAAATATCTCTAAAAATTTAAGTATTCAATCATTTATATTTTTTGTCCGTATGTCTGATTTGTTCAAAATTAAAGTTATAGATCCTAAATTAAGAAAAAATACTGGTATACCCTTTTGCCGTGTAGCCACAAAATTATCATTTCATCAGTGCATATTATTTATATCATAAAAATACCACAAGGTAATTAATAAATAAAAAACCAATATTCCGATAAAATCAAGTGTGAGTAACGGTTAAAAATTCCCTCATAAGTAAAAAACCAATGTCGAACAAATGAAAATTTACAGTATGATTAATAAAAAGTAAAACAGTATGTATATTATGAAATGATATGTGTATAGATAGATAATCAATGGAAATCTTGAAGCTATATTTACAGAACTTCGTTTAACAAAAAACAGTAGATTCAATCGATTTACCAGACAAAGAAAAACATATATGAGCTGAGACATGAGAAATCTTATGACAAAAGAGAGAAAAAAATGATGAATAAAAAAAAAGTAAGAATAAAAATGAGGAATAAAGTAGTGATTAAAGAAACGATCAAATATACACTGCAAAAATATATCGTCTAGGTGAGATAAATTGAATGGCTTTACACATTAATTAAAGGCTATATATCTTACGATTTATATTTACGACTATCATATACGATTGATATGCGAAATAAATCGGTAATAAAGTAATGTGACTTACCACGCTAGCACCCCGTCCACTTTGACTAGCAATGCCGGATTGCGGTTGTGGACTGTTCTGTTGGGGACTCTGAGCAAGCAGCGGCCTATCTGCAGCCGTCTAAAAATGTAAATTGATATGTTTAAATGCTGACATCTTTTTATCGAAGAAAATAAATAACTCACTTGTATGACTAGAAAACTGGTAGGCTGGGCAGGCTCAGGATCAGCTTGCTTGTTCAGATTGATAATATCAAATTCGCACTCATCTTCCAACCATGATGGTAGTTCAAGCAATAACGATATATCCATCTCTTGCACTTCCCGAGGTGTTGCCAAAGCCATCAAACCCGAATTCACCTGTGAATCGATTAACTTCGGTATTTTGTCACTCTTATAAAGTGATTTCAAATATTTACCTGATTTAGGCAGAAGGCACTAATACTATCTTGTTCTTTGTGAATAATCCTAACTGGCTCAGGTAGGCTAGTGGTACCACTGTCGCTACCTTTATCCTCACCAGTAGCAGAGCCTCGCGTAGTATTATCGGCTCCTCCGTGACTTGGTTCTAAGATAGATGAGAGTGAACGACGCTTGCCGAATACTGCACGTATAAAAATTTCTTGAATAGACTCTTGTCTAACTAAATAACACCACAGACGATTAACTGGTGCTGCGGTGGCCAATCGAGTGCTGAATAAAAAATAATATTAGTAAGGGTTTCATGCACGTCTTCTATTATGAGACTCACTTGAATGGTGTATTGCCTTTTTCCAGTAATGAACGGTACTTGTGTATTGCAGGTTTTCCAGGAGTTGGAACAGGATCCGGGGCGCATCCTGGGATATAATTAGCAGGTGGTGGACCTTTGGTGTCCAACTCCTCGCGGAGGCTCTCTTGCCATTGCACAACTACACCTAGTGTACCGTGTATCAACGGGCTACTGACTGGCAATTCTGAAAGTTTGTTCAAATATTAACATTCTGTAAAATTGGTTCATTGATACGGAAAAAGAATTGGATAATACCTTGCATTTCGATCCCAGCTACATTTAAGAAATCTTGCAACTGCTGCTGCAGAATCTTCACTATTGCTAATCGCATTATACACCAACTGTAAGAATTAGGATCCATGTGCTCAATATTATCCTTTGGTTTACTCTTTGGCTTTGCGTTTGTATCAAATATATCGTCTTCTTCTTCGGAGACATCTAAATCGGAGACTGCTGAGTCTGAAGAATCATAATCTATTTCTTCCGACAACTCTCCCTCGATTCGAGGCTGTAAAACAAAAAGTTTATTTTTAATTTCAATCTTTTGAAAGAATATTTATTATACGTTATCACAGTTACCTTCATAAGAAAATAAGAAATCATACTCATTTGTGGAGATACAAACTGTTCTCTATAAGTAGGCTTATCTTCTTTCATATTTGGTTGCTGTCCTGTAAACTGTCCTAACAATTTCATATTCAACTTAACGCGTTGTCTAGTTAAAGAAGTCATTGTATTCCAAACTCCTCCAGCAGTAGAACTTGGGAGTTCACTAGTTAAACTATCTTGTCGTTCAAGGCTCATGGAACCGGTCTAATTAAAATATATAAATGAATATTAGATCTCGTACATCGAGTAAGTACTTATAGTAATGAATGTTTATTAAATATGCCACGCACCTGACCACTAGTACTAGCAACTCTTAACAGTTTTTTTACACCTCCTCCAAAGAGGCACGACCACGTATTATTGTCAAAGTGATGGCCAACAAGTCTGTATAAGATGTGGCTATCACAACTTGAAAGTGCATATACAAATAAACTCATAAAAGTGGCGACGAAAGCTTCGCACAAAAGTATATTGAGTTTTGGAGCATCTTCGTCTTTTTCGCGAGCCAATAGAGCTCGTAAACTTGTGACACCTGGCCACTTGCTAGGCGAAGTTGTAATGCAGACAGTATCATCCGTCGAATATCGACGATGACATCTACTCGAGGCAACTAAATGGCCACCCGAAAAAGCTTCGTATTCAGCTACAGTTGGGAAGCTACAATTTTGAAATAATCACAATTAGTACAGCTTTGTTATAGAACACGCTTAGGGTTAAAAAAGTCATACCTTTCTGATTGATGATGCTTATTCACAAATGTATCTGAATCACAAAGTGATTGATAGATACAAGCGCTCAGCGCGACAGCTAAATCGCGAAGAATGAATACTTCACAATAGTGGGTGTTTTTATGAGGCATTGGCGGATTGCGTAATTCAACCATAGTTTGAAGCATATCGTGTTCCAATGATTGCAAATGACGAACTGGATCAGCGACAACGGTTTTATTACACGCGACACTTGCACTCAATAATGGTAACGTTGTAGGGAAGGGAAGTGGACTAAGCAGCTGTTGCTGCGTCTTTTCTTGCTGTAATTCTTGTAACAATAGTATCAGTTCCATTCTAACTGATGCTAAACCACCTCCAGATGCTCCGTGCAATGAACAGTACGATAATAATGTTCGTAGTAAAGTTTCGTTTGCTGTAAATTACAAATTATTTGTTCAACTTTATCAAATTTTTAACATTACCAACAAATTGAAAACGTTAATATACCTTTCAACCACTTTTTTCGTTTAGCCGCTCTTTGAACCTTAGCTTCAAAGTCGAATTTTTCAGCAACTAAAATCTCGTGAAGAGTTGGTTGCTCTCCTGGTCGGTGTGTTGGCGGTTCGTCGATCATACTACTTTCGTCTAAACAGAGCAATATGTCAAATATTAGTAATGACTGTAAAACTAAAATATACTTGTAAAATTAAATATTTTAAATTGTTTCTTACATTCGGTAGTGTGAGCTACGTCTCCATCAGCACTAACGCTGTAATTGCACAATTGTCTCAAAGCGTCAACTTCTCTCTCCAGCCAAACGTACAGTTGATAGCGCAACTGCCCACCGTCGACTTCAAAACCAGTAGCCAGAGTCGACAGTTCCTCCATTAAAATCTTCAAGCAGGCCACAAACTTTAGCTGTTGCGCCATAATATCTAACTGACCGGACGCTTTCGTTGCTTCGTCAATAGCATCATCCTTATTTACATCAACACTCTCTTTCTTTTGGTCCAATTTCATGCTCATAGGTGGACTCTCATCATCATTATCTACTGGATCGTCATCCCAGTTCAATACTAATTCATCCGACTCCTTCTTGACAGGTTGAGACCAATCTAACGCGGAGGCTGTATCTATCGTTTCAGGTTTCGGAGTATCCCACGTGCTTATACCAGTATCTATCGCTTCAGGTTTCGGAGTATCCCACGTGATTGTACCAGTATTGATCTCAAAGTTCTGACTCTTTCCTTTGCTAGGGCTGTTCAAAAGACTCGGTGAATCCTCAGAATTCGTTTCCATTACCTTGCTAGGCAGTTTAGATAATACTTCGAGAGCGAGTGCTGGGCAACCAGCTTTGAAATGTGCATGCGCGGTTGTGAAATAGAGTTGTCGTTCTAATGGAGTTATAGTATCTTCTAACGTCAATTGCTTATCTTGCTGAGTTTTGGTCTCGGTACCGTAACTGAATCCAGAAATAACGACCGAGTGACCCTTCTTTTTGTCCTGAGCCGTGGATGCGATGTATTGTCTAATAAGTAGTGGATGAGTGCGTAGATAAACGTAAAAATTGAAAACATTGGGATTGGCTGTAGAACCTTCAGGCTTGTCAGACTCGTCGTTGTACTGTGGATGCATGGAGCCAACGTTAGTCAACAATAGAGTATTTAGCGAGCCAGAATGATCCTTGAGAATCCAAAGAGCCATACTACGCAAAAACGGATCGGGATGTGCTCTGTAGGTATCCTGATTATTTCCATCCTTATCGCATCCTAAAATCTCCTCGTACATTAACCTCTTAAGATTCAGCGAGGTCATGTCGTCCTCATACAACCTCGCGATAGTCATCGCCAATTGAATGTCATTAAGTTTGTTCAAGCAGACTTCTATAGCATCCCTGAGTGCACCAGCGAGCAAGAAGAACGCAGCAGCATGCTCGAATCGTTGTTTACCCAGCAGTGCAAATGCATTCTTAAGGGCAGCTTTTCTCCACCGATCCTCGCTGAAATTATTAGCGAAAAACGCGGTCATTCGGTCGTCTCTTTTGTTCCTGAATAGACCCCACACGAGATTCTTCTTCCTCATAGCGAGATAGTAAATCGCTGCGTCGAGTGGATCTTGATTTTGTTGAAATGCTGCTTTGGCAATCTTCTCGATACATCTTTTCAGCACAGCCATATTGGTAATCCACCAGCCAACAGCTAACTCCTTCAACACTGACCATTTTGGCTGACCTTTAGCATACGATGGTATGAGACTCAGCAGTTCCTCTTCAGACTCAGAATGAAAAGCCCAAACGACGTTATTTGTAGACACGCCTTGTTTCTGAAACTGAGCTCGTTGGGCCAGCGGCAGACACTTGATGAGATAGTTATAATGTTTCATCGCCAGCAAGAATCTCAAACCGCAATCGTCTAACGAATCCATGGAAACAGCTTCACCCTCGGGTATACCTGTCAGATTTTCTTTGGCGATAGCACTCTTCTGTGCGTCTATCGCAAAACGTTCAGCAAAGTCTACGTTACAAGTGGAGACCGTGTCGGCCAAGGCAAGCAAGTGCATTTGATCGAGACTCGATAAACCCGGTAAATGAGTGTGTGTCAAAAGTCGTGAGAGAATTCTGCCGTGTCTGGGACCAAAATATGAGATTCCTTGGCGTTCAGGCACCGATGGCCGACGATCCTTCTGGCCTACTCTTTCGTAATCCTCGTCAAGCATATCATCAAGCGAGTCGCCTTCGTCGACATTACCATCGAACAATTTGTTATAGTCTTGCTTATCTTCGTTCTGTTGACTGGTATTTGTTTCCTTATCAGCAATCAACAACGTCCACAATGGTAAAGGCGAGATCGATGTTATCTCCGCGTAATCCAGTGTCAGCTCTTCGGGTATCTGTGTGGTTGACCCTCTTGGTTCTAACGGTGATGTAGTTCCCATATAGCTTACCGACATAGTCCGCGACCTCGACCAACCGGCTTTCGATTTAACTATATTCTCGTCATCAGCTCTGACGGGGCAAGAGCTGCTTATACAGCGAACCAGATGTGCTAAGATAGCCTTCACCCAGCGAATCTTTCCAGAGTTAAGGAGTTCCATCAATTGTTTAGGATGATATTGAGGAAGGACCGGACAAGCGATCCTTGATGCTTCAAACAGCCCGTAATCAGGCATGTAATCCATACTGACATTTTCGTTCTGTATTCCTCGTTTCTTTTTTGCGTCCAACATCGTAAGGTTGATACTGCTTACGCGCGATAAATGAGGCATCGACGAGACGTTAGCTATTCTTCTTTGCGACGTTTCATTGGCTAAAGTACGCAAATCCTCATCCCTTAAGTTTCGACTTACTTGAAACTCGTCTGATTCTTGGTGTTGCAAACCCGAATGAAAGCAATCGGTATTGGGGCTAGGCTTCCATTGCGAATATACGTGCATTTCCGAATCCATACCAACTACGAGAATTCCATCTCTCACCCAGGAGATTTGCATAGGTAGAGGTGGCAAACCGTCGGCAGTTGTAAGTTCGATCTTCCTAAGCTTCATCCAACGAATCTCGTCGACGAATTGTGGCTGTGCCAATGACGAAGTTTTCCGGAGAATCGGCCTGTTGCTGCTCTGCGATTCTTTCATTGCTTTCATGTTAGCTTGTGCAAGATCCGAGCAGACTGGAGTAAAAAGCATGATTTTCGAACCGACCGCTACAGTGAGAATGTGCGAACCGTCTTCCTTGGACACCCAATCGAGCTGAACTAAATGTTTTTGAGTTAATGGGCATGTGTTTCCATTCTCAATGATTGATTTTCTTAGTGATTGAAGTGTACTGAAAGATGGTACCGCGAGAAGTCCAGCCTTTGTACTGTCGCCTCCGTTCTCTCCATTTCTTGGTGATCGCACGTCCTCATGGCTCAGTGTCTGGAGAACTTGAGTAAGTCGTTGTTTCTTTTGTAGGAATCTGCTGTCGTATAGATAACTCAAGTCCAAATGCTGATCGACTTGTATCCTTGGTAAGTGGATATTTTTTAAGTGAATGGTATCCTCAAGAATCCATTCGCTACCACCTGTACTTTCACACTCGTAGATCGCAACACAAAGGTTGACGTAGCGCGAATCTGGATCAGCTTTGGTCGGGCGGGTAAAAGACTTGCCGTATTTATAGGCACACGCAATACGCCCGCTATAAGCTGCACTAATGTTCAATGGTTGACCTGTTATATCGATTGTTGATTCTTTGTCCTTTCGAATCATATCCCACTCGCACCATTCGTAATTGAGAAGAGCACCAGGCTCGTCGCTGATTTTGTTGATCTGTTTGAAAATAAAAAGTCATTGAATTAAGCATTTTGTTGAACAGATTAAGCGTTACTTTCGAAATAATATGAAATTATTTCAACATACCTTACATTTCCAAAACCTCACAGTACTATCACTGCAAGCTGTAACAATGATGTAAGGCGCAAAGCATGCAGGATAAATAGACGAGCTGCTTAGATGACCAGCAGCTGGAGCAGCGTGAACTAATTCAACGCCATCAGGAATCGGTAACTCTTGAGTGCAGACTTTCGTCGTTGTAATGAGCACATGGCTGTTATGGTGTCGTCTGTGCATAAATTCTTGGTATTCAGCTTGACTGTTTTTACGACTGCGATTTCCCGTTTGACTAGGTCGACGCGATCTGCGCCCACCTTCACCATAACGTGCTGGTGTACCTTCCTCATCTTCATCCTGAACTAGTTGCGAGTCTGGCACATACATCATCGAGCCTGTCAAACCCATTGATTCTGGTTGAGAAGCAATAACCAGACGCCACATATGTACTGTTGTGCCTTTTGCTGTTCGCTCGAGTACCACAATGTAGAAAGGCTCTTCAAAGATTGACGATTGTTGCAAATCGACCATTGCGTCTAGTGTAGATTCCATTAATCCTTTAAAAATGAGAATACAATTCAATTTTTACGTTGAGTAACAAAAATGATCTAGAATCATAGAAATACTTACCTAAATCGTTGTACGAAGTATCGATGCCCGGGAGCTTCTCATCGTTTCTCTCGCCGGTAATCAGTTGCTCCTGGAACACATGCAAAAATTGCGTGTTCTGCCAGTCGTGGGTAGCGTCGGAAATAGCATCCAATTGAATTATGCAACCAGGTCTAGCTGTGGATTGTTGAGATACGAGTTTGATTCTATCGTGAATGGAATGCCTTACACCGTCGTCCGACGATACATCCGTGGATAAACTAGCCATCGAATCCATCATTTTACTCCTTCTCTCGCTTATAGACACTTCGGCCAACAAAGTTCTTGCATCGATAACAGCTTGGTAAACTCGTAGGCACTCGCCGTCGCTAGCTACGAAACACGCACTCGGTGAGTTTGATAGATTACCCAGTGTCGTACTAGGTAAGAGGGTCGGTATCCAAGCAACATTGCTGAAAGCCGAAATCTCCGGAGAATTTATTCGAGCCAGTTCCGATACTCCGCCGCTCTTTGAGAGTGGACCAACAGCGTCAACACGCCAAAGGATCAATTCGCTACAGAAACCCAACGGTGATATGTGTATAGGTTCGGGTTTGTTCTCGTCATGCTCGTCGCTTGATCTCTCCGCAGGGAAGTCCAGAATGTTATGATGCGACGTGGTCAGCAGTAGAGGAAGCACAGGGTGGCAGGTTATATCATTAACGCGGAAGCGGTGACCAGAGGCACGAATTGCGTGACCTATACTTAGGACCTGTATTGAAAAAATAAAATTTAGTTTTATTTTTAAACTATCAATGACTGAACATCAGACTGAATGTTAGATAGACATGAACTAAATTTACCTGAGAGAATTTTGTTTTATCGGCAAAAGTCAGCTGCCAAAGATTGAGAGTGCCGTTATTATGCTTTGATACCATCGAGACCATGGGACTTGGATGAGTAAGCATATCGTTAACATTGTTCTCATGAGCTTGCTTTTGTGCCTCAGTTTGTACTTGTCCATTTTGCGTAGTCAAGCCAGTAGTAGTCGTCGTATGTTGCAATTGGTCAGCTCCATTCTGGACGTTTTTCATCAACTCAGCACCAGCCCTCGAAGTTAATGTTGACTGATCTTCATCTTGCTCGATCAGACTCGGTAACGGTGTGGTAGCTTCGGTTGTTTCTATGGGTTTGCTGACTGTGGAAGACTTGGCGACTTCACGTATGTTGAGCAATGGACCACCGGTATTGTGACTGTACATTGAAACGTTGTGGCTCATTGTTGAAGCGTCACCCAAAGGGAAGGCATTGGGAATGCGAGTAGAAAATGATATCTGTGCTTGACGGAACGAACCAGGATGATACTCGTCTAACCATTCGATGTGCCATATTAGAAAACTACCATCAATCGGATGAATTGAAAATAGTAAATCGGGATTATGATGCCAGTCACGTAGAAGTGTTTCGATTTTTGTATCTAAGGAATCTGGTGCTTGGCTCGTCGTCGCTGCATCCGTTGCTATAGAGTTTATTGACGTCGTATTGCTGTAAAAGTTTGATCATTGTAATAATTTTTGCACGTGGTAAAACTATTTGAAGTAAATGATTAAGATTTCGAAGAAAAAATCTTTTAATGCTTTTTCTAAGTTCAAAATTACTAAATTCTATCAATTTTTTAAATAAACACTTTACCCGGGAACTTTTCTTAACGAAACAACTATAATCAACTAATCTGAACAGTTAAAAAACCTTTTATTTACGCGACTGATATAATACGCTGTAGGTTTTTCATTTATATAAAAACCCATTGAACATCATTTCTCCGATTGATAAAACGTTTTTCAAAAATTAAAATGATGCTGCTGTATTAGAATCCGTTCAATAAGCATTTTTGTGCTTTAAGTAGAACATTTATATAAATATATCCATCTATGAATAATCGAATATTTGACGTGTACTATTTTTAGTCACATTAAAAAAAATGAGAATTATGTTATAAAAGAACTATTATACTTGATAATCGATTAGAAACGAAAGAAATAGAAAGAAAAATAAATTCAAATCGCTTAGATGACACAAATTTACCTAAGTGTTTGATGCGACTGAGCACTGTGAGGGAGACTATGATGTGAAGATGCGGTGTGAGCCGTGTGATGCTCGTCGCTACTGTGGTCTTCCTGACTGGTTGTGCGACCGCCGATGTTGGTCTTTTGCGTAGATATATGTCGAGCTCCTTTCTCTACAGGCCGCACCATACCATAACACGATAAGATGCTGTCTGATAAGTCATGTTTCAACCCAACATGCAACATGCAACATGCACCATGCGATGAAAGCATCTTCGCACATGTATTTAATTTACGTTGCTTTTGCCTATTTTTGTAATGGCTTTTTTGACGATTAGAGTGTTATGAAACCGTATATGATAAAAACAGTGTAAAGATGCGATTTATAAAGCAAATATAAATCAAGTGAACCATATAATCTTTAGCATTTGAAAATGACGTACATATTTATGTGCTGATTGAAAATGATAACAACTAAAGTTTGAAAACGCTTTCTACAATAAACGCTGATGGCTAAAAAGAAATTTTGCAAACATGACTTAAAGAGACCTACTTGGCGTGTGTTCATCTTCTGAATCGTGATCAATGTGATCACCTTCTAGATGATGACCAATACCTTCCTCTTTCTCGACTACTTTTCTAGTGAGCTCCTATAAATAAAGTAGGTAATAAATTTAAGATGACAAAAAAATGCAAATAAAAGCGACTAATTATGAATAATTTACCTGCAAGATATGTTCAGCTTGCATTGTAAATTGCATTTCCTTATTGTTTAACCAATGCAAAATAAAATTAGGTTCTCTTTCTGGATCGTCTGTGATCAGACTAGGAACTAATGGAATATCTGTAACATAAAAAAAATTAAATTCAACACTTGAATTAAATTGTGATTTTAAAACCATAGAAAAGCTTACCAGTTTCTGCATTAATACTGGCTGCTAAATGAAAATGCATTCCAGGGTAATGCCCAGAACTCTGATAATAATTGTTATGAAAATCGTGTACAGAATAAGTCGATGGTAACGTTGGTAATGTAGGCGCAGTGTGACCTGCTTGATGTTGCTGTTGCTTCGCATGTCGACGTATATGGAAACACGTTCTGTAAAGAAAAAAATTATTGATATACGATGATTCAACTTGTCCAAATACTTATGTACGACAAATAGTCAAATTTACTTCATATGTTTCAGACGTTGCATGAAACGATGTTTATGCATACTATGATGACGATGTTTCCCATGATGACCGTGCCTATCTGTTCCTTCAAACTGACTCATATTTGCTAAACCCTCAATTTCTGGTGGGATAGTTTCTGTCCAAACACGACAGATATTGTCTCGGCACGATGTTACTAACATATTAGATACTGATCCTCTGTAAATGTGAAATAACCAATGAAGTATGATTCATTACTTATTATGATTCCTAAAAAAACACAATTTCCTTACTTGGGCATATATTTACTAGTTTTTCGCCACGATATATGAGTAACAGCACGAGGGTGAGCAACATACACAAAACTAAAACTGTCACTTGATATTTGCTGACTAAAGTTTGAAGGATCAAGACTTTTAGATGGAAACACTGTTGAATATAATGAGTCTCATTGGTAACACCAAATATAAAGATAAAGTTTTCTTTGTAAAAGAACTCACATTGCTTATTCTCAAACCAAATTTTTACTAATCTATCGTTCATTCCAGTGGTTGCAAACAGTGTGCCATCAGGACTGAAGCTCATAAGATGTACAGGTGTGGCAGTGCGACATTTCCATACACAATTCCATGCTCCAGGTTCATTAGCCAAGTTTATATCTGTAGGCTGTGGACTTTCGGCTTCTCCTCCAATAGAGAATGTAACTGCTCCAGCTATAAAATTGAATTATACTTACTCTCTAATCTCATTCACAGTTGAATCCATGATTAACAGCAATGCATACGATTCTTTGTATGAGTTACCAGAATGTAACACTTATAACCCTTAGTAGAGCTAATTAAATCATATTAAACCAACTTAATAAAATAGAAGCATATATACAGCCTTAGAAGCTCAATAAAAACATATAATTTTAAATCAGGACATGCTTAGATTTAATAAAGCGCACATGTATTTGTATCTCCACATTCTCCTGGAATTTATGATTAAATAAACACCATTTTATGGATGTATGATATCATAAATGATAACGCAAGACTATAACTTAAATTAAACCAAACATGCATCCATCAACAAATTTTAAAAGAAAAAAAAAATAATGTTCATTCTTTATAACGAATGAACTCACGATCTTGTGTAGTGTTTCCTGGTACTGTTACATTTTGTTCAGCTGTTGTGTGTGCGGTTTCCTCTGATTGCACTACTTTTGGCTTTGCAACTATACATAATACCATAATATAAAATACTAAAAAGATGCTAACTAACTATCAAATTCTATCAAGATATCATGGTAAAGTTTAATAATCTACTCTACTCTAGTAAAAAATTTAAACTCACTCTGTTCTTCCTGAAATGGCTGGATATTTTGATGCCACAACTGTAAAAGCTCTCCTCCAGTCAGGAGACGAGTACCTTCTAAATTCCATGATAATGATGTGATGTTTGATTCTGTCTGTAAACTACCAGTTTGTACCCAGCGATATTCTAATTGCTAAGTATAAAATTACTACCATTTTAATAAAAGTTTTCTTAAAGTGTAATAAATTATTGGCAATATGGAATACAAACATGAGAGCATGTGTTATGTATAAGTGGGGTTGGCTCAAAAATGCAGACTTGGTTCTCGTAAGCAGCAGCAATTTTGCCAGTGTCAGTACTACAGTCCAAGCAACTGATCCTTATGTAATTGTGTACAGCTCCAGGAATAATTTGTACTCGCTCAAAATTGCTGGCAAGGATGACTATATTACATCCAGCTGCGTAAGCCTGCAAAAACATTATAACCCACATGTAGTCAATTTGTTTTATTCATACAACAATGTAGTCCAAGTTGAATAAGTCTCTTGTGTAAGAGATAGTCATTCATTGGCGTGTTCACCTTGGCGATTAATCTTCCACAGTGGTTTCCAAAGAAAATACTAAGAGCTCTCAACTCTGACAGTTTGCAAGAAAGAGAGTGAGAGAGAGAGCGAGAGAGATAGATAGATAGAGAAAGAGCGAGAGAACGAGAGAGAGCGAGAGAGAGAGAGAGAGAGCGAGAGAGAGAGCGAGAGAGCGAGAGAGAGAGAGAGAGCGAGAGAGAGAGAGAGAGAGAGAGAGAGAGAGAGAGAGAGAGAGAGAGAGAGAGAGAGAGAGAGAGAGAGAGAGAGAGAGCGAAAAGAAAAAAACGTCCTTTTAATCAGCTGACTCTCCCAAGAGCCTCCGCCTCCTTCCTCGCGTTCGATATCGACCGAATTAAAAGCTCCTTTTTTCCCTCGTACACCCCCATATATTAACAATTTGTTGAAAACCGTAAGAAGACTTGGACAAAAAGAATAACAATAAATGCTAATTACTAAATACTCACAGTAAAGGATATCCCCTCGACGGATCCGACGGCATAACAGCGATCGCCCGCGTTGCAAGCTCCGCTGAGTATCTGATGGCAATTCATGGTAATAATCCAGAGCTGCTGTTACTACTACGGCAGCTACGATGTCGACGTCGACAACGACGTTGATGCAACGAGGTTTGGTTCTGCTATAGCATCGTCGTGATGCTTATTGTCCACCAGTGCTTCGTTGTTATTGTATATAGTGCCGACAATGACAAGCGAACTCACCAATCGACGATATTCACTGTGAGCTTGACGTGACACTCTGCCTGCTCCTCGCCTAGCAGTAGAACGGTAGCCATTTTTCATAGGATTCGATGTGAGTGCACATGCGCGCGTGCGCACTGCTAACACTATCTATTAGCGCGGTTTTATAAATTTGTTGAGCGAGGATAAATTATTGATTATAATTTCTTCTAATTTTTGATAAAAGGAATTATGGTAGATGATAAGGATTTTATATACTTATGATTAAAAATAATTCGTTTCTTTTGGTATTGTATTGAATCAATATAGTTTATGTATGCTATTATGTTTTTAAAAATATACAATTTATTTTATAAGTATTTTAAGGGCAATTGGTGAAAAAAAGCGTTTAACATGCATACTTAATTTATTCAAATCGATCAAATATAGTCACTGTTTTAACTTTGGCAAACTAGCTTACAATACATTCTTTTAGGATTTTCATTGTGTTGTTAACGGGGAAGTATATTTTTCAACTGTAATATAATTACACTTGTTTTCTTATTTTGCTATTTTTAGATTGATAAATATTGTCAAATAATATAATAAAAAAGCATGAATGACAAGCTCGAAAAAAAAAAGTGAAAATTTAAAAATAATTTACTAATTTATTTTGATTGCGCTACTGCTTCATTTTGATAACAAATAATTTATCAATTTAAAAGTTGTCTATACGGTTACTTCGACATGAGTTCACATAGCTTACAAATTTTAATTTTTATATTGTCTGCTTCATCTCTGTAGTTTAATATACCGGACAATTTAATGAGGCTGCACAGCGTGAAATATAATTTAACTTTTGGCGATTGATCATTAGAAACATTCAATTTTATAGCAGTAACAACAATTTTAAAAACAATACATATAGTGAGTGACTGTGAAAAGCTTGTTTCACGATGAACGGCTATTATGAGCGTAAATAATTAGAAACAGCAGGTTTTAAAAGCCACGCCTTCAGCTATTCTGCTTCCTCGGTTGCCTCATTTCGGCTATCTTTTGAATGAAAGCGCTGCAGACCAACGCTAATTTTAACAATTCTACGCTCCGTTGAGCTCCGAATCCGAGATGGATGAAGCAGCGATGAAGCCTGGCAAATTGATGAAGCTTGAGCGCTTTTAACTTTTTAATTATGCGATGGACCATATTACAGCTATAGATCATGCTTGATTAATATATTATGCTGTACATATTTTAGGTAGGATACTTTACGGAGTCTTCTTATAGTTAGATAAAACGCTCAAGGAGATTAATTATATTATACGTTTTACTTATCAGAGTATTGTTGGGGTGAGTTTTGGAGATTTGTCAAGCTGTTTGATTGATATATAAATACACTATATAAAAAGCTTTGCTCATTTTGAGTAATTTTTATGAAGAAAGTAAAGCTTTTCATTGTTTAACCTGAGGTAGAATCTGATCGTTTGACTGGTGTTTACGTGCTGAGCTTTTACCGGTGAAAATACAAATACAATTTTAGCTAAAGCAGTATAAAGAAATAATTTTTTTATTCACTCCAGTATCGAGTATAAAATTAAAATAATTTGGAATGCGAGAACGGTGCAATATTTCACAGAAGTATCTCTCAACTACTAAATATTCATGATAAGCTCTATTTGCGGTACACGTTAAGCAATCTGTACACGTTAAAACAACTGCATATTGGAGTAGTAAAGTTTTATGGAGTACGTGGCAGAATCGAAATTTTGCTACTTAATACTGCTCACATGTTGGAAGGATCCATATTTCGCGGGGATTACTCAAATCGATTTATTGAATTATTCTACGATTTTATTTATCATTGCCAATAACTGACCAGTGTGATCTTAATGTTGAATGAGTGAAACTGAAAAATTCAATTAATTTAATTGCTTATTGCTCGTGCTTCATCTTTCTTTCATCTACAACATCCATATTTAAAAGTTCATCAAAGAAAAAAACTTTTATGACGTGCCACTTTCGTGAAAAATATGTTTTAAGCGACTAATTTTTTTTTTCGAATACATATATTAAAAAAATTCATATTTAGTTGGTTTGAACTTCTCGTTACATTACTACACCGCCGTTGGGTTTTTCTGTTCTGGAGATGTGTTACTTTTGCAGTCATATGAGCTGTGGTGTGAGAGATTACTAATTTCGATATGCTTCGAAATATTACGAAAATATTAACCGAATGATGTGCTCCTAGTTATAAATAAATATATATTTACGTGGAACGAATTAAAACATTCTTCTTTCACATAAATTTTATTTACAAGTTGAATTCGTGCAATAAAGAAAATTCAGTCTGACAATTGACATAGCATTGCAACGCCTCGGATGACCCAATGCTCTGGAGGTTGACTCGTCGGCAACTCCACAGCAATTACAAAATTGGTCGAATGGCCCGTGGTAGAAAGTGTGCCGCGCCTCTCGCTTGTTTTGTACATAGGACACGTGTAACTCAGTCTCGGCTGAATGTCTTCTTTTCTCTTAGGTATCATCCAAATCTACAGACAGAAAAGCCTCGCGTGTCATTCGCAAATTTAGTCCTCGTTGATCACGAGGCGAGAGAAAACTCACGTAGGGCAACTCGTCGTACAGAATCTTTGGCAAACTCTCGTCGACGATCATTTGTTCTCTGTTGAACCGCGCGCCATCCAAAAACATCCCGTAAACGTAAACCCCGTCTTCCGGTGGCTTGGTCACCGTGGTTTCCTTTATCATTTGGAAGTCGTAAACCAACAGGTCTATCGGCATTTGATACTTCCTCGCATAATTTTGCCGGATGCCCGTGAGAAAAGCCTGAGTGAAATAAAAGCCAGACAGCCAGAAAGTCGCCGGCGGGCCGTTGTCATACCAATCCTTGAAGGAACAAACGAAGTCGGTTAAGATCTTCTATTTCGCTCACAGACATAGTGGACGACATTTACTTGCAAAAATTTCAATCGAGCCAAAAAGTCTTCGACGTAGCTGCCCAAAGTTTTCAAAGACGGATACGAGCTGCGCATCCAGAGACTTGGAATTTTGCCTACCAGCAGCGCGTAAAACACTTGCTCCAGCTCTGACGACATCACAATTATACCTACGAGCATTTCTCAAGTAGTACAACTGTACGGTGACTGGTAAAATCGAAAGATGCCTCCACCTTACCTTTGATCGCTCTCTGAACGTTTATTAGGCTGCTTCGTATGCATGACAACAGTTTGTTGAATCTGCCCATTTCTTGGACGAGAACAGTGTTCATGCTTTGGTTATACGAAGTCGGGTATTTTTCCATTGCAAGTACGAGGTCGTAGTTAGCTGGCAACTTCGCCAGAATATCCGAGCAAACTTTATAAGCAACCTCGTCGTTGGATGCGCCGCCCGAGTCGCTCCCTGATTTCTCCTGCGCGGATCGTTTGTTTCGAGTCATTCATTTGTACAAATTGGAAGCAAGATACGCTAGCTACGATGCGCAACATGCATTTCAAGGCTGACAAATATTTGCAACTAGACTAAAACTACTACAGCCGCAATCGAGTGAAATTCTGTATCGTTAAAATCATCGTGGTTTTACCTTCAACTCCCACAGATCCTGACCCACATCAAAACAAGCTATCGATTATTTTGATAAACGCAGGTAAACGAAAAAATATGCAAAGTTTCATTCTTACCACTCGATCCTACAGCCCAGCCAATAAAACGAGGAACATTACGTACAACCTTATTCATGAAATTTCGTTTGATCATATACGAAGCGAAGAAATATCACATACCTGTGTAAGAAGTAACGACGAGAACAGCAGATCAGTCTCCTGCATATCCTTGACGATATCGGCGTTCTCGTGAAGCCCGAAAACGCTGGGCTCCGTGATGATGGGGAACTTCCTGGTGTAGGACAGATAGGCCTCGTATTCCTTGAAAGCCGGGCAATAGTAGATTTCAGAGGTGGGATCGAAGTAGTATCGCTCGCTGTCGACGAGTTGCCTGCGTACACGGTGGAGGAGAGGAGACAATGAGAACTGGTCGAGCGCACGTTTTCGCGACGGAAGCTCACTCGCAATAGAATGTACGCAGTATGGCCATGAGCGTGCGCCGATCCCAATCGTCGGTCACTCTGCCGCCGTAGTTGCACTCGCCGGTGAGGTACTTCAAGGCCTCGTACTGCACGTCCTCGTATTCGTTGAGAAAGGTTCTCAGCTGCAGGACGCTGATTCTCAAGTCGGTCTCGTTGAACTCGTACGGGGTGTTCCAGCCGATCGAGCCGAATTTGCGCCTCTCCTGCACCGTCGCGTGGAAGAAGCACAAGGCGTACAGCAATTTCTTGAACACCTCGCCTTGCTCGCACGATTCAAAGAATTCCGGATCGCTTATTGGATCGTTCATGTAGGACTTCAACACGTTGGCGCGTAGACCTTTCGGCGGCTCGTTGGTTATTTTTATCGAGTTCTGCAGAATCGATACCGGGAAGTGATCCACCGGGTAACTGGTCAACCAGAGACGAAAGTCCGGGTGAATGGTGTCGGGGATTAAACCCTCGCAGATCTTTTCTAAAGTGCCCATCCAACTTTTGGCTAGATGACAGTTTTGCAGGACGATCCAGTTGCCTTCCTTCACGCCGTTGTTTATCATTTGCACTGCTATCGGCCCTTGACCTGAACGTTTATTAACGAGCATTTCATTTATTCTGCGTTAACTTCAACGCCGTCAATCAATTCGTTGATAAGTCATCGAATCGCCTTCGGGTTTTTGTGGCTTCAATCAATCGAGGAGCTTATATGCGCCTCGTTGCAACATGCATACCTTCCATTAGCATCGTCTATAAGCGGAATAATTCATTGCAACATAAACCCGACGTTATTAGTCCATAATTCTCGAACACCGCGTCACGTTAATTTCATCAAAAGTATTACGGTTTTCCGATAACACATTATCAAAAAATGAACAAACACTTTAACGTTCTTTTATATGGATCCGATTGTAAAGTAACATTGCCAGTCGCTGCTGGCGCTATTGCAAATCTGCAGAGAATTTTACGAGTGGAGTGTATGTCCGTGTTTATATCGTGGCGTCGCTTTCATATTTTACAGCGTTTTTTTCTTTTTTTCTTTTTACGACCGCCGCACACTTTTGCACTGCTTATTATGCGACGCATTGAAACAAATAACGGCAATTACCTTGACCGAGAGACAGCGAAAAGAGTCTCTTCTGCCCGAAGCCCTGGTCGTCCGCGAATTTGAGCAGAAGCTGCATCGGATCAGCACCAGGTGTCAGAATGAAAATCAATGGCACGCAGCAGTTCGAGTCGGCGTACGGCGAGGCCAAATCGAACGGCGGTGGCTCTACGTACTCCGCGCCGGCTTGGGCTGTGTTGTGAAGCATGACGTCACGATCATCGGGATAAAACGCACGAGCGCACCCTCTGCTTACGCACATTCGACGAAGTTCTGCACCGCGGGAATGATGCGATCGGGCCTCAAACAGCGTAAAATTAAAATTCTTTCGAAATCCGACAACTTGTCGAATGGCTCGGGGAACGTCATGCTCTGCGGCTCTTTCGAGTCGTAAATAACTTTCCACTCGTCCCTGTCGTTCTCGATGGATTCTTTTACGCCCTGAAAATAAAAAGGCAATGTTCAAAGTGGACCGTCGAACGAAGTTGCTTTTTCGACACGCGTCTGGTCGTAATACGTTCAGTAGTAACTTTCAATGTGCCGGAAATTCTTTTGTCCGCTTTGAAATTTTTATTGACTAAGAAAGAAATCAACATTGCTGCTACCTTAGTTTTTTATTTTTTTTATTTTGGCGAACCAAATTTTTTCACGCGACTACTCTGCCCATCAATAAATGAAAAACGCGAATCTTCACAGGCAAACATTCGAAAGGGAATTTTTCGTATCTAACACGGCAAAACCATCGAATATCATCGCGCCGAAAGGGATATTATCAAAGGTCTTCTCGGACCTCTGCAATTTGTGAAAATCTGGATTGACATGTGAGCGTCAACTCTATTTAATAATGACTCGCCTTGAAACCAACAACATCGTCGAGCCGGCAGATTTCATTCCAGCCCTGAGTTGGCAGCCACGTAGTGGGATTCTTGTAAGGATTTTCCAAACCCACGCCGCCGGTGAGAGCAAACATCCATTGTGGGTGCACGAGTCGACCCTCGTTGTTCAGCAAATTGACAACGAGCAGAAATGAAAACAACAGTTTGTCCTTCTCGAAGAGGGATCGACAGACGTTTTCGTAGAGCGAGCGCGTGAAATACTTTTTCAGGTCGTCGATGCGCACGTCGACCTCGTCCACTTGCTCTGTGTTATCGATCGCCATCTTGAAGAGATTAACGAACCAAGCGAGCGAGTACTGGTACATCGGGTCGATGTTTGCCAAGTCCGCTGCAAACGAAAGGACGATTCGGCAGTTGTACGAAGGAACAGCGAGCTAGACGTACCGGTGGTGAAAAAGAGGACGCTGCTGTAAACGGCGATGGGCGAGTACTGCAAGCGAGTCATATCGATCGTCCTCTCGGTGATTTCGGCCGCAGCCTGCTTCACTTGGATCTCATTGCTCAAAGTTTTCGACGAGCTCAACACTGCTATTGCTTCCTCGTCCTCCAGTATATCGCCTTCGGAGCTCGACAACAACGCCAGGATCTTATCCTCTGTCTCTTTCAGCATCCTTGCGAGCAAAGACCATACGTATCAAGCGTCGCTTCGACCCTTTATCACACTCGCTCACTTTTTATTGCTTGCTCCTTGAATGATCAGCGAATTCTTCTCGGCTTCCAGATCGGGCCTCTCTTTCGCGACCACGATGCCCAATAGCTGATCTTCCAAGCCACTCGAAGTTATCATGAAGTTGATCAAAGTTACCTTCACCACGATTTCTGGCAAGTAGTGTGGATTCCTTAGCTTCGTCGTAATGTACAATCTACGCATCGAGAAAATCTAAGCTTTCGAGAGACAACGGAAATAAAACGGTTAACTTCGTACCTGAAGTCTTCGCTGTACTCAACGACGGTATCGCCGAGTTTGATGCACAAAGCACCTCCCTGCTTGAAGGTTTGCTTCATTAGTACAGGCTCAAGCATCGCGTCCAGTTCTTCGCCGATGTTTTCCAACAGGACCGGCTGGCCAAATTGTATCGCGTTCTCGAGATTTCTCGGATAATCATTTTGGCTTAGCTTTATTATGCTCATATTGTTGTCCTTTTCCATGTTCTTGATCCACTTGTTCGCTTGACTCTGTGGATCGACCATCAGCGGCCAACGTCTTGCGTTCCTAAGGTGACAATTGAATTTTCATTTTACTGAGAGACACGCAACGCCTAGTAATGATAATGGCAATCGTACTTGACGATGATTCCATTATCGACGGAAAACGAGTCGGTGGGCAAGCCATGAATATTCCATGATCTTATGAGGACTGGAATGCCGAGTATATCGCGCAATTGAAAATCTCTCGTGCACACGACTTGAAGTTTTATACAAAGCTCGACCCAACTGTCGACTTGTTTCATTCGATAAGGCGTTGTAAAAGGACCCAAATACGCGATTACTCCCGACGCGATCATTATATCTCCGGTTAATCTTTGGTATCTGAAATTGACGTTTATGAATGATTTATAATATCCTTCAACGGAATACATTGTTGAATTGACGATATCAACCTTTCCCCTAATTCTCTTGCAGCATCTGACCAACGCTGATACTCTCCACCCAATCCGCCAATAAGCTCTTCGGCCCTCTTTAATTTCTGCTCGCAGTCTGTGACCTTATCCATCATTAACTGATAATCCCCTTTTCTCGACTTCAACTCGTCTTCTAGTGCTGCCAATTTCATCTGTGGACATGTAAGTTTGTGAAATACACAAGAAATTGCTTTTTATTTGTATCAATGTTCAATTCGTACCTGAACAAGTCGCAATTGTTCGCGTTTGATTGTCAACTGTACCATTGCTTCGTCGTAGAGTGCTTGGGCTTCGGCTAGTGCCTTTTTTTTAGGTGCCACGACTTTGGCAACTTTGTCGTACTCAGATATGGCGAAAACCCATTTGCATAAGCCTTCGCAAGCTGTCGAGATGTTCTTAATTTTTTCCGGATCAAAATTGACGTTCGTCAGATAATCACGGCGGATCTTGTCAATTACGCGCTCAGCTATATTGTCCTTATCAAAGTTCACTAAGCTGTCGAGGAATTTGACGTCACTTAAAACTTTCAGAGACACCTTCCAGTAATCTTCAGCCATTCGACCATCTGGCTGCTGTACTCTTTCTGGTTTGAGTTCCTTTAGACAAGTAATTAATTTTTATCGTCTACTGATTGAACATTGAAGGTTGCTCTAAGCAAAATAATAACCGTAAGTTTGAAATGCAAGTCGTATCGGGAAATTAAAAAATCTTCGAGCGTTACATAATTATTGTTGTTGTAACTTCAAGAAATACGTTCGTTTGGAACGCTACAGATGCACTCTAGGTAACTGCAGGTATCAGTCTTGTGATGATTATGTAGATCTACCTCCTCCCTTGATCTTTGGACGGGTGCAGGAGGAGGATTTTACGTGCATCACGACTGGACCTGCAGTTTTAGGTGGAATCTGAACCACCGGTTTCCTATATCGAAAATTTGCGCGGAAAATATCAGAAACAAACACGACAAAAAGCAAATCGTACGATTGCAAAACGTTCTCGCATTGAAAATGTTTATTCCTCGACTAAATGTGCAAATTTGATTTTGTTTATTTCGAACAGACCTAAATTACACAGTCATAAATTATTACGATAAAAAAGAAAAACGCCGAAAATTGTCGGAAAATTGCGAGATTCGTTGCGTACTTTGAGGCAAAAATCGATGAAGAAATAACGAGCGAAGAAACGAATGGAGCGCGAGTAAACAAGCGTGGAATGGAAGGAGTTCTTTGAGTCGGGAAGCGCGAGATACGAGAGTAGGGCCAACCTTCAAGATGCACACGCTCTCCATGACGAGTTTGACGCCGGCAGGCGGGTTTTTCATAGCTTTGACGACAGCAATGTCGGCGGGCGTTAGAGTGTCCAGAGCAGCTTGAGCCTCGTTCAATATTGGCATGGCCTCGGCAAGATTGGAGTCGCACTCGGCCTTAATTTCCGCCGCTCGACTAGCCACATCCTGAAGCAACCGAGAGCACGTTGCAGAGCCTTGGGCAAGAGCAGGGCGGGAAATATTGACGCACCATGGCAGCTTCCTCGTCGATCTTGACAATTTTCTCGACCTCGGCGACGTCGGCGCTCTCCTTCTCCACGCGGGCGAGGATCTTCTGCACGTCCGCTGCGGCGGTGAGCAGCTGCGGTTGCAGCTGCTTGAGGGTGTCTTGCATCACGGCCACGTCGCGCTGCGTGCCGTCCAGTCTGCCGAGACCGCCCTCGTAGCGCGTTTTGCTCAGCATGATTTCGCTGCGAATGGAGCACGGCGGCGTACAGCGGCCACTGAAAATACATCGCGCTCGGCTCGGCGTTACCTTCGTTTCATCGCGAGCAGGTCCTTGAAGGTACTGATGAGCTCCAAGTACGAGGTGGGCGTCACGTAAGTGTGTCGACCGAGACGCTCGAGGAACTCGAGGCTGAGACTCTGCGTGGATACGTGGAAGAATTGGCACATTTCGATGGCAGCCTTGCGCTCCAACTCGCCGAGCTCGATCTCGCCAAGGAACTTCATCGCTACCGCCGACAGCGCGTCCTCTGGCCACGGCTACGGTTTCGACGCGTACACTCGACTGCTCACTCGCAATTTCGGACGCGCATCTTTAGATGGGTAGAACCGAGGTGTATACCTGCATCCAATCAATGGTGCAACAATTGACAAGGGCCGGAAATTTCCTTATTCGGTTTCTGAAGGCATCGCCGATAGGCGACATCGCCACAACGACATGCAGTTGCTCGCGAGCTATTTGTACAAACAGATTGAATAGAGCGACAAGGCTGCCGTCCGTCTGCATCGATCTCTCACGCTGGCGATCTATCTGTCGCATTTTCTCGCATATTTCAGCCTTCTCCTCGTTGCTGAACAGATTCGGCACCTACGGAAGAATAGTTCTGCTGAGACTGCCTCGTAGATGCTTTGAATTTGCAAAGTACCTCTCCCGTGTTCAGCATGTTATTAATGTCCTCCAAGAAGCTCTCTTCCTTGATCTGCGTGTCGGTAAAGAGGAAAGTCGTGTGCAACTCGCTGGACGTCGTCTTGAGCAAAATCTTCTTGATGTCCTCGTGCCAATCGTGTTGCCCATAAGTTTTCGTTATTTCAACTTGATGTACCTCGTAATCGCATATGTGAGAAGCCAATCTCGTGAGCGATTGCCGACCGGAACCACCAACGCCGACGAGTAACGCGTGGCTCCTCGGTTGTTTGATGATTCTTGCGATTTTCGACAGATGTTCAATGGCAAAGCGAAACAATACCAAATTCATCGGCTTCTTCGTCATCGAATTGTACTCGCTAAGATAATTTTCAACGATGCTACGCAGCAACTCCAAATCCTCGACTTCCTGATACAAGCGGACGTCGGCTTTCGGATCAGCGAAATCGCAGTAAACGAGCTTTCGCAATTCTGCTTCGCCAACCTACTCCAACACGGTATTCAAAGAAATGGAATATTTGACAGAAAAAAAACATTGATTTATGAAATGTTGCTTCTGCGATACCGGTATACGTCTGTCAGTTTTCAGCTCGGCGAGCATCAAGTCCAAATCAATTTCCATTTTTTCGGCCAGAGTCGCGCGTATCTGCTCGATAAGCCAATTAATATCGCTCTGCTCAACCAATCGATCGCCGAACACGCGCAATATCTCGTGCACCCATAGCCTTTTCATGCTCTCGAGCGTTGGCATTGTTTCCGGCACCGACAGCAATACGCCCTGAAACGACGAGGTTGAAGCTTTGTCTTTTGTGGCTGTTCGGCCTGCATTTGATTCGTGGCGAGCACCTGAATGACACGCGAGAAATCGCGAAGATTGAAGAGGTAATGCGATTTCGCTGGTGTAGGCAGCAAGAATTCGAGGCTCTTTTTGTAGACGTCCAAAGTCGCTAAGACAACTTGATCTATGCAAGGATCGAATTCCTTGCTGAACCCACTGAAAGCAACGACAACGAAAAGAGTCAACGAAGCCGCCGTTGCTTCGCGGCGAAAGAGACGTGCGTTCTCTTACCGCGTATCGAGGTGCCAGAGAATAATTCGACTGAATATAGCGATCATAACTTGATCGGAAAACTCGGCAATAGTGGTGACGAAGAAATGCCTCTTGAACCTCGGCGTAACGTCTTTGCCACCACTCACCGGTGGACTCATAGCGCACATCAATTGCAGCTCGATCAATTTTATCGCCGATGAGTCCTTTCTGTCGTACCTTTTCATACGAACAAAAAAGACAAATTAGATCTCTCTCTCTCTCTTTCTCTCTCTCGCACACACACACACACAGACACGCACCACTGAGCGTGATCGAGCCACTGTCTGAGCAACTCAATAGCCGGCTGAGCACCATACTCCTCTTTCATCGGCATCGACACGTCGTCCACGAAGATGACCCATCGTTTGCCGACCGGTGGCCCATAAACGCCTTTTCTCCTCTTGTCCAGCTTGCTCATGATGATGTCCTGCGTCTGGTTCGCAGACGTCTGAGCGGAGAAGTTGATGAAGAGCGGCTTGTAGACGACGGTGTCGTTCTTCTTGAGCAGAAAGTCCATCACGTAGACGGATTTGCCGGTGCCCGTGGGGCCGCAGAATAGCACGGGCTTCTCGTGCTGCACGAGCAATTGGAAGAGCGTCGTGTACCTGATGGTCTCCACCGTCGGCACGATTATCTGATTGACCGGGATGTCACGAGGGATGGCCGGCACATTTATCAGATCGTCCGACCACAGCTTCCATTTGCCTTTGCCCTGAAGGAAAACGCCCATTGATTCGCTGGATGGCCGAGCTCGCAGAGCCCGCCGGTCGGGCTAATTCATTAGGCTCCGCATAGTCCTACTCTGCGCAATTTCCACGCGCTCGCGGATATCTTGCCCCATTCCAGCGAACGGCCGTGCTCTAATATCGCGAACTGAAGTACCAGCCCGGGCGCTACGATGAATGGCGCCAAGCGAAAGCTTTCTCTGTTTTCCGCCTAATTTTCGCGAGTGCGTTCGCGTGAGATAACTACAACTAGCGATTAACTGCGGCGATCGAACCTCTTTTATGAATTTGTAGTCAAAGACAAGACCGTCTTTCGGCATGAGGAAGATGTAAGGCTTGGCGGGTGGCAATATCGGCTCGGGCAAATTGAATTTCGTCATCAGCGCCGCTGGGAATTCCTTTTCCAGTAGACCGCGAAAGAGGATGCTGAATTTTTCGCGATCAGCTGCAGTCAGAGTGCCTCCCATCGCCCAGATGCAGGAGAAGAAAAACGAGCCCTACGAAAGATCGCTCGATCGCATTAAAAGCGTTGGCATCGCCAACGTATCGCGGCGCTTACTTCGACCTGTGCTCTGAGATCTAGTTCACTCGGTACTTCGGTCACGCTCTCAGCTCTGTAGTCGTCCAAGAAACAGTCCATCAAGTAAGTCACCGACTGGACGAGATTCGTATCGGGCATCGGGCACATCTCCTAAAAGGAGAAAGCGATATTCCGTTGAGATCCTGGTGTTTTTTTTTTTTTTTTTTTCGTATCATCCGCAAACACCGACCGTGACGCCACAGCGACGTAGCAGATAGAGCAACGGCCGACAGAATCTTAAAAACAAGGACTCATAAACGAACGTTTTCAGCCACTGATTGATGAGTTTGGGCGCTTTCGCAATCCACGATTTCAGCAAAGGCTCCCAACCGAGTGTCGACGGTTCCATATAGATCATGCCTGCAAACAAACGCATCTAAGCTTCGGAAAAGAGTTCGGATCGAAGATGAGGGAAGAATGACCCACCGCATCGCGATACAGTAGCGGGTGAAGCAGCTTCGAGATCCATAGTCTCAAAGACCAAATTAGTCGTGGGCGCCAACTGTATGATCTCGCCACTCATCAGGCACAATTTTTTATTGTCATCCAGTACCGTGTTCATGTTTTCAATCCACACGGCATCGATTGGGCCGTCGAATATCAACCACTTGCGATTGTTATTCGTCGACGTGGCGAAAGTTCGATAACTGATTGCTAGAATTCCGTCCTGCCACTCGTGGGACGTCTGGTCGAATTGGCCGTACAGCTGCCCGATCGTTATCGACTTGGGATTTATCACGATTATCTCCACCCGTCGCTCGCCCATCAGACCCTGCGTGCAATCACGTCAACGTCACTTGCAACAAATCGACATTTTCCACTTGGCGGTACGTACCCGTTCTTCGCACAGCTCGAGCGCGGCGGCGAGTATCTTGTACGCCGTGGTTTTGCCGCCGAACGGCAGACCGACGATCATAAAGCCGTGCCGCACGAGCATCATCTCGTAGATTTGCTGAATTTTTATTAAGAACGCGTCCGTGCACTGAATGTTAGCCCGAGCGCACGCCTCTTGGACGCTCGCGTTCAAATCCGTGTAATCTGGCTCGGGCAGCACCACGCCAGGGAATAGATCTGACATTATACCCTGCCGATACATCGAGCAATTAATTGACAATTTGAAGACTTGGCTTTCGAAGATCCGCTCAATAAGAACAATCAGCTATCGAATGTTTGAAAATCAAAGAAACGCGAGATTTTACTTGTTTTGCGAGTAACAAGAATGTTTTTGAATAGCGAATCGTTTTAAAAATGACAATATTTACATGGAAGAGCGGTACATCGGGATTCAAAAACTTGGGTAAATTGACATCCTTGATACTCCTGAACATGAGAACGTCTTCATTCTCGTCGGAGTATTTGAGCTTCAAATTACCGGCCGCGGTGAGGACAGACTTGACAGCCCTCATACCGTAGTCATAATGGCTTTGGGTGGACAGCTGCTCGGAGCATAAGCGATACGCCGTGACAATCTTCACCGACAGCGGGCGTGCGTTGTAGAAGCCGAACGAGTACAAGGATATCTCGGCGATTAATCCGTAATCCGGCACCTTCGCCAACGCAAACGCAATGTCAATTGGGCACCAGCAATGGCCAATAACGCAGATCATTCGAGCACATTACCATCATAGCGACCGAACGGAACAGCGCTTTCAAATTGTCAGGCAGCTCGGATCGACCGGCGTACCCAGGGTTCATCGTGATGAATATCGCGCAACTTGGCTCCAGTGGCAGCTCCGTTCCTTCGAATACGAGACTCGATTGCCCGGCCATTATTGCGCGCTGTATTGTCAGGATCTGCTGGGCCACCACAGACAATACCTCCAGGTCTATGCGGTTGAACTCGTCGAAGCACGACCATGCGCCTGACGCTGCCAAACCCTGCAGTTGTACGTGACGTTTCGGTTTTTTCTCGTAGTATAGTGTAGCTGTAGCTTAGGCGCGAGGGTGTTTCGAAAAAATTGAAAATCGATAGACCGTCGTGGGAAAGCCTTCCTGCGGGTACCTTATTCGTGTACATAGCGAACATTTTTTAAAGCTTCCTCGGAAAATAAATGTTTCGTGCATTGATATTTCTACCGAACCTTTTCAGAAACCCGAGGCTGCGAAAAATTATTGAAAGATCTTAATTATTCTTTGAAAAATTCTACGTCGAATATCATAAATGAACTACATTTACCGAAAAAAAAAAGAAAAAAAAACAGATTTACTAAATCACACCTAGACATCAAACGTACGTATTATTATAATAAGGTATTTATTAACATAAGTTGATAAGTATTAGTGTTATTTTCTAATAATATTTTTGTAATCTAATGTGAATGATAAAATGCCTGAAAACAGAAGAACGAAAGTAAGAAAAAACTCACTTTGAAAAACTTGCCGAGAGCAATATAGTCCAAACCATCAGAGCAGTTGAACACGACACACTGTTTGGCCACAGCTTTAGCTAAGTCCTTGGTGGTTTCGGTCTTGCCAGTACCAGCTGGGCCCTCGGGCGCACCGCCGAGATGCAAATTGAGAGCGCCGAAGAGAGTGCGGTAGCAACGATCGGTCAGCGGTGTGATGACCAGGCGGGACGTGTTCCCGAGATACTCGTAGCCGTAGGTCAGCGATGCGTTTATCATCATGGTTATCAGATCGTGCTCCTATGTACGCGCATCACCATGTCGTTCACAGCTCAATCACTTCTGCAATACGTATTGCCGGAATTTACCATCCAATAGTAGCGCAACTGCGAGATCCATTTGAAGTCGCTGACGTTCGACACGTTCTCGTCCGCCAGGCCAACCAGCACGTCTCTGGCGTGCACATCCAGCGTGACCAGTGCCTCTGCGCAAGAAATCTCGGTGAGACGGCTGCGCGATCGCGCGGCGATAATCGACGCGTTACCCAGCGTGGTGCGATTCTGCGTTGACAGCTGGCCACGAACGAGAAGGACGATCTCTGCGAGCTCGCGATTGCAGCATTCGACGTAGTTTCGCAAGCCGTCGGGCGACTCCGGCATCGCCGCCGTAATGTCGCTCGTCCAATACAGCTGCGATATACACAGCACGGTTTGACCCGGCCAGTCCAACACCCACGAGCTCCTCGCCTTTGTCGGGTAAGCGTTCTTCGCTCGTATCACCTGCTCGCCACACAATGCGCATCGATGCGTCGCCATGAGTAGCTGCAAAAAAAAAAAAAAAAAGAGACACGCTCGCAGCACTTACTTGCGCGCGGACGCTGCTCTTCATGCAGCCTTCCAATTCGACGAGCCACTTCTCGACTTGGCCCTTGGTGGCCGAAGTATCGATGACGTCCTCCAAGACGACACGCTCGCCTTCCGACGAGATCATCGACGTCACCTCCATGCTGTCCGTGAAAGTCAATCGCGCTATTCCCTCGAAACACTTCTTCAGGTGCGGTTGCACTCTGCGAGACGACGAGCGCCAGTGAGAAACGACTGCTCTCGAGTTGCGCGACGATAATACGAGACAACGAAGTGTACCTCGTTGGATCTTTCGTCTCGGAGAGAATCTCCAATAACTCGTCGTTGGACAGGAAGAAGAAGCGCGGGAAGTACAAACGTTTCTTTTCCAAATAGTCGTTCAAACCCTTTTGAATCAAATCCAGTAGATTCGTGGATTTCTTCAGGCGGTCGAGCATCTTGTCGATCTCTACCACTGACATGACCTTCGGATCTACCACAACGTTCGACATTATGTCTCTCCATATCTGCAAATTGTTTCGCTGACTTGTACCAGGCGCAGCTGAGATAACAACAGCGAGCAATACAAACTTTGTCGACGGCGCTGAATCTGCGTCCTTCCTCGGGCATCTGCTGTTGAATATCCGGCGATGAGAATATTGGCTCCAAGTACATCCAAGTTGCTTGCACTTTGAGCCAGTGATCCATAATGTCCTGGAGCAAATATAACTTTGCTTCCCACTCTCTGCGAACGGTAGACAAGCGCAGAGTAAATCTTTCGCCGGTAAAACGTCGTCGACATCACTTACAAAGTCTCCTTCTCGAACGGCTTGATGTACAGCGAGTTTTTCATTGTCTGAGCTTTCGTTAGGTGATCGTCGAGTAACAACTGAATGTCATCCACGCTGGCGATTACGTAGGTACCAGTGTCGCGATACGGATTCACAGTGAATTCCACGTCTGCCCAATCGACGTGCATCTTCACCAGAGCTTTTTCCAAGTTACTCTCTTTCGTCGCTGCCTCGGATATTGTCTCGAATTTCGACACGTACTCGTCCAAACCAAAATCGATCACCTAATCGACAGCATCTCGTTATTCCTCCACATTGAATTGTTAGGAAAGAGAAAAAAATCAATACCTTGAGCAAGGTCATGTTAGAGTCGACTTTGATGGGGAAGCCAACTATCTCGGAAACTTGCTCCCAGTGACGTGCCTTCATACCTGGATTACCGAGAGTCATGATGAGCGACATATGCTCGCGGAATTCCTCGATGGTAAGTCTCACGGTCTCGGCCAATTTGCGCACTGCTGGCTCTTGAAAGCTCTTCTCCAACTTGAGCACCGAGCGGTATGCCGTACCAGACTCCGACTCGATCACGTCCGGGTCGTGACTACCTACCATCGAGCCCATCCACTTCTCGTGGCTCGACAGAAATTCGCATGCCGCGTCGTAGAATTTTTTGTATGGGCTTAGCTTGTCGGCGATCTGTATCCAATTTTTTTATAGACGGACATGAGAAAGTGGAATGCAACCATCGATTTTCTGTATTATAGCTTCAACTCGTTGCGTTCGTCAGATTTACTTTTTTCGCAAATTAAAGCAATTTATCAACGAGAAAGATCAAATTCTTACAGTAGGTCATTCTGAAAAATCTTGTTTTTCACTTTTGGATCTAGAACTCTGTACGTATATTCTCTGTATAGTAATAAACACTTTTTTTTCGGTTTTTTAAAATATATTTTAGATTCAGTTGTTTTTCAAGTCAAAATTTAAAATGTCTCGTGTGCATACCAAAATTCTTGTTCAAGGGTTCATTTTCTTTGATGAACCTCCACATTTAAAAAAAAACATTTTCTTTCCTCACGCTTTATAAATTATTTTAGTTAGATACAAATTTTGGAAAAAAATGTTATGTAACTTTTGTAAAGTTTGCTTCAGCGAAGGAAAGAAACCCTCAAACAGCTATTTTAGTCACTTTAATACGTGCATGGAACATTTTCCATTAAAAAAAATCTAATCACACTTAAATGTCGATAAGTGAGAAAACAAGATTGGTTCAGATCGATCTCAAAATGCTCTTTTTAAGAACATAAATAAGTGATTAAAGTATCAATTCCTCTCACACACAGAAAACTTGAAATTCTATGCTTGTAAATATGTTGAATAAGGAGTCGGAGATGTTGAGTACAAATTTAGCTCAATTCAAAAATAAACTTCGCCAGTTCAAGTATGCCAATAAAAACAAAATTGGTTTCGAATAATCAAAACACCATATAATTTTAAAGCGACCTCATTTAAAAAAATGTAATTTAACGGGGACAATTCTCAGAGGAGCACTTGATGCGCCCTGCGAGAATCCGAAGCAAAGCAAATCACCTTTTTTCCTGCAGAGAGAGAGAGAGAGAGAAAGTTATCTCGTACCTTTTTCCTCTGGGGATACTGAGATATCTCCCAGCCAAACATTTGCTCCTCTTTATTGAACTCGTCGATAGTTTCCACAGCCTTAACCAAACGCGCCTCGAGCCTGTCGGCTTTCTTTTTATATCGGAATATCTCGTCGACGCTGCCCCAATACTGCATCTCGTCGCACTGCTTCGCGTACGTCTGCAGGTCTTGGTTGAACTTCTGTATGCGTTGCGTCAGTGCCTCTTGATACTCGCCGGTTTTTCCGTCGATTATACGTCGATGCTCTTCGAACACCGACGGCAACCGGTGATACCTTTACACGACCAATCTTTTAGCGTGGCGCTAAAATCGACTAGTGAGAAGAGACTTTCCTTACCATTGGAATGCGAAGTTGTTGGTTTTGATTTCGACGGACGAGAGCGGAACATAATCGGACAAGAATAATATATACGTCAGGATCTCGCGGAGTCGGTTTTCTAGATTTAACGTCATCTCCGTTTCTGCTTTGCGCACGAACAGGCTGAGCTCCATCAATTCGGACGTGTTTGGTGGGACGCTCAACGCTTTGTCGGCAATGCTTTGATACTCATCTCCGATGCTAAAATCACGCCCATTTTTTTTATTGGAATCATTGACTTTTCCGCGCTCGCGATTCGAAAAGGTCAACCTACACTTTGGACTTGAATTGATAATCGGCAATCATCTGATTAAGCAACATATCCCTGCAGCGAAGTGCCGTCTCGGACATATAATTCATCAACGACTTTTTGTGAAGTTCAAAGAGGCCAACAAAAGCAGTCTGATCAAACTCGAGTAAGATGTTGCGCGACAGACTGTCGTATCTCTCGATAAGCTCGCTGAACTCTTGAAAAGTGTGCTCAGCGCTGAGAAAAGCGTCTACAAGCGAGACTTCCTTGCCGTTGATCAAGTTATCGTACTTGTCAAATTCTTTGACAAGCGATTCGGGACCGTTCCTCTGCGACTCGATTAGGCCGCTTAACTTTTGTGCGTGGGTGTTCAGAATTTCCTTCGATATGTCCGGCTAAGAAAAATGTGTGATAATAGGCTGAGCTTCCGCAATTTTTCGCATCAAAACAATGTTTTTCAGGCTTTACCTACTTTCAAATTCTCATCAGTTCTGATAGCCGATGGAGGTAGAAATTCAGAATCGAGCCGGTTGTGGTCGCTAATAGCATTGGGCAGCGAGTTCAAAAGAACGACTAACGTGCTTCCGAAAGCTTTAAGGGATGGCTCGAAGCTAATGCTTTTATTGCGCCCGGACACATTAATATTGAAGCGGCAGCCATACAGCTATAGCGATCAATGATTATTAGTGCTTGACTTTTATCTCATTTCCGTCGCGTGCAATTTTTACCTCAAAGTTCGTCAGGCAATCTATGTAATCGTCGATCGATCTGAAGCAAAGCGATCGCAGTTGATCTTCCATTATCGTCGCGAGACAGTTGAACAGTTTAACCGCGTCCTCCTCGCTTTTGTCGATTCGTAAAGTGCCTTTTCTGATGGCCTGACGAATGACAAAACTAATGAGTTTCTTCAAAACAACGAACGAACGAGATATCGTACATTGCGCAAATTATTGGCTATCCTCATAATCCATTTCTCGTCAAGCTTCTTCTTGCTATTCTTGACCATCGCCTCGAACTCGTAAGCAAAGTCAGACATATCGTACGATTCGCCGTAATCGATAATAGCTTGCTTATCTATTTGACGCATCGTACTGCAATAATGTCAGTAGAGAACTAAGCTAGAAAAAGGCACACTGAAAGATGACTCATGCATTACCTAAACTCACGATACCAGAAGTCCAAAGACTTCCTAATGCACGGATGATAAAGTACCAAAGTCTTCTCAAGTTTCTTCCTTACTTTGCAGAATTTACTTCCCGACTGAGGTGCTTTATGATTAACAGTTCCACTCGGTTTCTGCAAAAGTAAAAAAAAAAAAAAAACAAAAAAACCACACGCCGCGTGAACGTAGAAAAAGACGATACTATTATATCGATCAAAAAACAGACCTGCGTAGCATCATTGTCGGCGCAATCCTGCAACACGAATTCAACCACCGCCTTTTTCATGCTCAGCCTGTAATTATCGTTGACCTCTACGACTAGCGATCTAGTGAGATCGGGAAATCGCAATTTCCATTTCGCCGACACGAGTTGCAACACGGCATCGAGTAGTCGCTGATCAATGGGTGATATGTGTGTGTCGCCGATCCCGCGGGCCACATAGTGATAGTATCGCAGCATCTGGGTGTCATGCCCGGATATCAGATTCTCCGCGAAACTGCCTGGCTGCCCTGACAAATGTTCGTCCCGTTTCTTCGCTATCGCCCGAATCAATCTCTCACGGAACTCCTCGCGCCTGCGGCGCAAGGCCGCATAACAATTTTTCGCGAACGTCCGCTCGCGCTCCTTTCTGCGATCTCTCGCCGGGCTCTCGGCGATCCTGCGAGGCAATATTTTAGGGTCGGTTATATCACCAGTTCGAATGACAGATCGTCGTCGCTCGTACTTGGTCAGTTTGCGTTTGGATTCGTCGAAAATCTCTTTGGGCGCGTCGAACATGGAGAACTCGCCCAGTACATTGTTGAGTTCCTCGTTGCTCTTTCGTTTCCGATCGATCAGTTTGTTCAGCTCGCGAACATCCACCGACTTGATTTCACGAAACAAATTCTCCTTGCTGTACATCGTACTTAGGTTCGGCGTTCAACGGACCACTACCGTGAACAATAAAACAGGAAACCGAAAGAACATTGTTAGTCGGCAAGGCTAACCACTGTGTTTCGCTACGCTGCGCAGGTTAATTCTTGGGGCGCGTTGGTTTCCATAGCGACCGGATTACAGCTGTTCTTGTTGCTGTTCGTTGCCAAGACGGGATAATTGAATTTTCCAACTTCATGGAGATCGGGGAGGCACAGAAAGAAACTCGGACGTTTGAAAGGAAAAGGAATAATAATAATGACAGGTAGATTGCGGTTTTCCATATTTTCTAAATATATTTAGCTATACACTGTACAACAATGTTTAATGTTTATGTCCATACATTTATAGTTGTCGGAATGAAACGACATTTTATGTTTGCTTTTTTTCTCGTTTTCTTGTTTGATTCGTCGACATCGAGTAACAAAATATTCTATCTACTTTACAATCCAATACTAGAGACTTTTATTACCATATTACAACGTGATTGTCGCTGGAAATTATATACTTGTTTGTTGCTTTTGTTTTTCACAGTTAGAATTTTATAATGCGCGTTTGTACACATCTAAAACCAACGAGTATAACATGGCAAAGAAACAGAGTGGTATTGCAAGACCACCTGAACATCGTAGTTGCTGGTATACAGCCAAGTATACAGCCTACTTGTGAGATCATTGTCGAGTTCCCATTGCATACTTATTCCGATCGATCTGTTCACGCCACTCGTTTAATTCGGAATAAAAAGAATATTGTTGCGATAATGACAGCACTGCGAAACCATGGGCATTGTCGTAGAAAAAAATATGAGCTTCGGTATTTCGAAAACAAAATAATTCAGTTTATGCTTCGATAACAAAGGAAAAGTTTTCCATCGTCGTGTAATCAAAAGCACCGAAACTTTCCTCATTGCGATCCGTAAAACTTTCGCTGACTAGAACCAGAAGGGAACGTCCATTCGGCCGTGTCCGCGTAAGTTTTCTAACAAATTTCGCTAGTCGATTGAATAAAAAAAAAAAAAGACACGCACACATATACACACAAATTGCAGCTGGAAGAAGCGCCGATTCTCGAGAGACGTCGACAACGAGCATACGGAAAGTGGTCGCGCGCTGCACATCGCGAAAAGCCAGGTAGAAATTATTGATTTTCTCTCTCCGGCGGCGAGAGGCTTATTAAAACGCGTGTATAGTCTCGCGTGCTGCGCTGCTGCTGCAGCTACCCCGAGGATACGTATACAAAGTATATAAGAACAGGGGCCGGCCAAGGAAGAGACGTCGTGAATTGAAAGAATAATAGCCAGCTCCCCTCTCTGTCTATGTGTGTGTGTGTGTGTGTGTGTGTCCCGCCGAAACCTATAAACCGTATTAGGAAAGAGAGTCAAAGGTGCATGGCCCCTTATGTAGCAATTCTGTGTGTGTGTGTGTGTGTGTGTGTGTGTGTGTGTGTGTGTGTGTGTGTGTGTGTGTGTGTGTATTAGCGAAATCGATATCCTCTATATGTACACTGACGGTCGCTCGCTCACTTTCTCTTCCTTTCGATTGTTTATTACTTTGATTTCTATCGACTTTCGGCTTATAGTAAAGCTTAGGTATACAGGCAAGTTTTTGATCTCGGGTCGCTAGAATTGGAGGATGGAACATTGACGGCTATTGTTTGCGAGTGCTATTTATTTGTTGCCGAGTCGCGCGTGTGCGCGCAAGGCGAGGAAAAATTGGGTCACCTGATGGAATTATCTAGTTCTTATTGCACGCTCGCACACATCATTTGGATTCGAGAAACAAAGGGGCTGGAGAAAGTGGATCTCTCATTTCTGACCATTGTTGACACACCAAACGGCCCAAAGAAATGTTTTGGCGACGACATCTAAACGGTAGGATGTTATATTGCGCAACAGTCGTAGGAACGTCACACACACTGCATCTTGTCAAGTTCCTCGGTTAATCTCGTTTCGTCCGTCGACGTGTCTGTCTTTCATTGTTAATAAAGCATACTCAACACGTACGCACGCTGCGGCGACGACACTTTAGGGCCGAGTAAAGCGGTGGCGTAGTGGCTGCGCCCAGGCGAGTATCTCTACAGAAAAGACAATAACAACACAGTTTCTTTTTTTCATCCTTGCTATTTCCTTCTCTACCTCGGCAATTGTCTGGTGAAAGCACTAAGTAGCTACTACTGAGCACAACATCGAGCAAGAACTGTTGTCCAGCAAAAGAAATCGAGCGGGGAAAAAAAGCGCAAAAAACAAAATACATAGCTACGGTATTTGCTATGATGTGAGAATAATTGATGAAGTAAAGTGCCGCAATAAGAACATTGGCGCGGGCGAAGAGTCGTTGACTGAATTTATGATAGGCAGGCAAATGGGGACGCAAATACATATACACACACACACGCTCTACTTTTTCTTTGGCCGCTTCATGAAGACAAATGAGCTTCTACGCGAGTTTTTCTGCACTGTTGTGTGAGTGTTTTGCTTGTTCTCTACTTAATCTAACGCGTCGATGATAATATACATGTACAAAAGAGAACAACAGAGGAAAAAAATGTATATTTACGCTTTGTGTACGTGAGATAAGAGGAGTTCTTTTTTTGCTATATTACAAGAGGTGTGGAAGTGCTGTTTGCTGTTGCTACTGTCAAAAAGAAACATAAGTTGCGACAGCTTTTTAAGATTTACCATTGTTCTGGAAGCAAGGCAACACCGCGTTCCATACGCGATTGCAGAAGCCACGCGCACGGTTGTTCCAACCCGCCAGCGTCTGGCTGCCGCGGAATTTTTGACCTAGAATTTTAAGTTTTTTTCATTACTGCGTGCTTTGCTTCTCTTTCGACGCTACCGATGGAAATATTCGTGCGAATAAGGCTTTTTTATGCAATGAGATTCAACGAGAGTTTTTTATCTTTCTTTTTACAAAAAACGTACTTTCATTTCAGTGCAGTTTGTTATAACATAACGAAATTCACTAAAAATTATTCCCATTGAATTTATCTTACGGTAATTTTCTATGATGTAATGCTCATTTCTAACTTATGAGACTTCATAAAATTATGGCTTGGGACAACTTGTAAGCTTTGGCTCATATTTTTAGATTCAAGTACTATTAAGGAAATAAAACTCGCAATTTCACAATTAAAGAAGAAAAAAGCTCTTTAGCTTCTTTGAAAATTTGAAAGATTATGAAAAAGAAATCATTTTCGACATGTAGGATGAAAAATTTTTATCTCTGCTTGTAATTCGACAAAAGTATTTTCTTTCTTTAAAAAAAAAAAAAAAATTAAAATTTCGCCTCTGCCACAAGATTTCGAAAAGAAAAAATTGATCATTACTTTTGTCAAATTATGAAATGTTTTATTGTACGATAGAAAGGCAAGACAAGGGCCTTTTTGGGATCTAGTATTGAGATGCAAATAAATACGACATGCACACAAAGCCATTTCGAATCAGGACAGCGCTATCGGTCATGTGACACTCAAAAACAAAGCTCGACTCACCTTCATCGTTTGCTCCGGTTTTGGCCTCCTGAAATCAATCAAAGATGGACTTTTGATTAAATGAAATAATAGAAAAGGCAACATTGACGTTGAAAAGTAAAAGTTTCCTTTTGAAATAACTGCGGAAAAAAGTCGAGTGAGCGCTCTTGAGGATAACGTAATATAGTTATAATACAACCGCGGAAAAAAATACATATATAGGAAGCGAGAATTTCTAGCCCTTCGCTTTTTTCGCCCGACGGTTAATCGGAAATCTTTAGAAAATTATAGAAAGTAGTTTGCTGACCCAGTTACTCCAAGAAATTTAAGCTGTTAAATTATTAGAGCTAGATTTCTTTACAATCACCCAATTATTAAATTATAAATATGCTTCACGTAATCAAACATATTTTATTAATTTCGTGCAATTTGAAATTATAAAATCAGCGTTTTTCATTTTAATTTTAGATCGCGTTGGCGACAAACAAATTCTCATTGAATATGTATTTGTAAATATCGTACGAGATTGATTGCATGGGTATTTCAATATATACACGAATTACATTTGTCGTATGAGTACATACATATACCGATGTTGACTTAAAATATAATTAAAATCTTCTCTCGTTGAAAGTGCTGACGAAAATATCAGAATGTCTAATGAATTTTTTGAAAAATTCACAATTTGTTGGATTTTATTTGCTCGTTAAAAGTTTGTTGAATTTTTGCTCAATTGTTTTATAAAAGTAGAAATTAATAAATTAAAAAAAAAAATAAAAATTTGCATCTACACATCTGACGAAGCTAATTAATATTTATGAAAGCACATTAACATGACGCTTTAATTTAAAAGTAAATAAAGTTAATGGTAAACATGGACTCTTATTTTGTTTTAAATGACGTCAAATAGAAATTAAATAAGAAATACGTTGTCAAAGTTTTACCAAGACTGATTGAATTTAATTAACAACTTTCCATACTAGTGGAATTTTATGATTTACCTTCTTATATTAAATAAAAAATGTAAAACTCTTTCTTGATTAACTTTCGGCTGAAGATAAAACTGCATACAAATTTTTTTTTTCTCACGTGGACTTTTTAAGATCGTGTTACGTACCTGTACAGGTCAGGGATTGGAAAATTGATTATGTATCAAAATTTTCGATATCATATGCTAAAAAAACTTTCCAGGATACGCAATAAGGTCCATTAAATTGTATTAATGGAATTTCAATTAATAGAAAATATTTGTGTGCGACTTAAAGAAAAGTAAATTATTCGAAATTGACCATCGTTTAAGAATTATGAGATTGCGTGATCACTCAATCCTTCTGAGATCGTCACAGCCGGTTAGAATAAAATCCAAAATTAACGAAATCCAACAAATTTACATGGGCTGTAAATGTTACAAGGTCGAATCCTCATTATCGTTAATACACCGCTGTCAAGTGTACATCTCTTATTTAATGTACGAGTGTTATATAAATATACCTGGGTTGGGAACGTAAGTGCACGTAATACGGTATGATGAGACGAGGTGAATTGTTGGAACACCAATTAAAATGATCAAGAACGCGAACGTTTATTTAATACTCCTATTCGAATCGACTTTGACACTGGTAATTATTGCAATAATTCGAGGCTTTTATGATTCGAATACTCTTATTCGACCGAAATCCATCACGTGCCCTTTGGCGAGGTATAGAATGATAGGCAACATCCAGCCGTATTTATGCTTCGTCCACATTTTACGTTTCTGCTTATTCGGAAGGAAAAAAAATTGTTTTTCCGCTCGATTCCGAGCTGCTTCGCTGTTTTCAAACGCGTTCTGTTTTCAGAGAGCGCAGCTATTTATTTGTTAAAAACTCCTCCGCCTCTGATAATCAGAAAACACACTGACGAGAAAATAGCTAGAGTCAAGGCTTCGGCAGCAATAATTGATGATTATTAGCTCTGCCGGACGTTTTCATTTATCTCTTCGTATATCATCGATACTCGTATTCGACTTGTACTACGCCGCCTATTCGATTTACGTATCTGAACACTGGCCGTGCAAAAGAACGCGTCGCACTGTGCGTCACGGCAACGCAATGGTCGTTGCGCGACACGGAGGCTTGCGAAAATGTTTTGTACAGAAATGGCAATGTTTATTCAACGGGTTGGCGAGTACATCTCTTATCTGACTGGAAAAACGTTCTTCCGCATGATTCACCTGTGTCGTGTGCGCGCGCGCGTGTTCGAAGAAGTAACAATAACGAAGCCGACAATAATGCCATTTTCAATTAGATAATACTTAGTTGTGTTTGTTGTTTACTTATAGTTTCGAACAGTCTATTGCTATAGTTGAAGTTTTACTCGGCAATGCTATACCTGAAATTTGACTGATCAGCATATATTTACCTCGATAAAAACGCAATGGCTTGGCTTTAGTTCAATTGACAATTTGTTGACGTTCGTTGGAAGTTGACGAATGAGATAGTAAGTGTAAGGCTAGCAATAGAGCGATTAGAATTAGCAGATAATTACATTCGTTATAGTTATCAATGATCGTAACAGCGTTTAACTGTTGATTCGATCGCGGCGAGACGCGCAATCGATAAGACGTTTTGCCCTTAGCGTCGAGTGAAAACCTAATGAAATATCTGTAAGCTGTATCGCGTTGTCGAATTGATCCGCGATTCGAGAAGCTGAATTCGAACCAATTAACCGGGAAAGCCAATAAAGCGCCGACGCGGAGGAGGCGAGGGCTCGAGAAATCCCACCTGTTCGGCCCTCTTGGCAGCCTCGGCGGTGGCCGTCTCGATGAGCTCGCTGACAAAGTCGCTGGCCTGCCTCATGAGCTCCTCGTCCTGCATGAAGGCTTGCTTGCGCTCTTCGAAGGAGTCGTCGCTCTCGCGCCGCGACGACGTCGTCGACGGCGACGCGACGAAGGTCCGGTCGTGCTCGTCGGCCGCCGGCGACGAGAATTTCAGCTTCATTCGCACGCTCATCGTGCGATCTTTTAGTGCGCAGGCCAGACGAGCCGCTGTCACCGCCGCCGCCGCCGCCGCCGCTCGATGCCCCTCGTTGCCGAATTCGCCGCTGCCTCGAGATCTGCCTCGCGCCTACTGCTGCGCACCGGGACTGCAAGAATGTGACGATCAACCCTGTTAATTGTCTGGTATTCCGTTTACCTTGCCGATAGTGGGTCGGTGCGAATTCGCCAAAGTACTTTTCGTGCCAAGTCCACGCCGTTGCTGCAGCCGATTAATCACGCGTCGAGGGAGAAATATCAAGCGCGAACGTGCGAAAGCGGCAAACGCGACAGCAGCTCGTTCACGCTAATGCTCGGCGAGACAATCGTATTTAACTATTTGCACAGCGTCACGGTCGGACGAGGAACGGAGCTATTGCCAGTGCTACCGACACGACTCTGAACCAAAGCAGTAATGCGTGAACCTTAAGCCAAAGAGACTGGTTTTTCCGATGGCGAAGCGCGAAAAAAAGTGAAAGTCAAGCGCCGCAAGACAAAGCGGAATCTCGCGCGAGCGCGAGCATCCGACGAGGAACCGTAGCGCTGGATCGAGAGTCAATCAGTTGGCGACCGTAGCGAGAAATGATACGCAGCTGCCCCGGTTGCCTCGCACTTGGAAACACGCTTGCCTGTCTCTCTCTGACGACCCCCCCTTCATCTAGCCAGCATCCCCCTTACTCTGCCCCATACAAGCAAGCAACGAAAATACTTGTCCTTGGCGGAAGCTCTCTCGGCGAATGTGGGTCAGGCGGATGACACTGGGCAGATGCGCAGGGTAGGGAAAAAACAAGGGAAAATTCGTCAATCGATAATTAAGAGGCAAGTACTCGGCGTCCGTCTCGCGGGCTGGCTGGGTTGCGCTCGATCGAGCGCGGCGTCGGGCCTTTCGCGCCTCACTTACGGAGCTTGCCGACTCCCCGAGGATGAGCGAGGAAGCCGCATGACCACCTGTGGCTTATTACTTGCGACGGTGCAGCGCGTCCGCCGACTGCGACGTGTAGCCGTGGCGCGTCACCGAGCGAGACACTCGCGCACACCTCATCTTGGACACGCGCGTGCCGTGCGGACGAGCGGAACTTCGCAGCGAGCGTTCCACGTATAGAGAGAAAGAGAGAGAGAAAGAGAGAGAGATAGAGAGAAACGTGCCACTCGCGCGCTTGTCACCGAGCTACTGGCACTATCTCGGCTTGTGCAAGGCAGCAGCGCAGCAGCAGCAGCAGCAGCAGCTCGGCTCAGCTAGGGACGGGCGCATGCGTCGAGCAAGCTCTCCAGTCCCGATCACGTTTTTTATTTTGTCTTTTTGCTGCCCGACGAGTTACTAGTACGTATGTCCGTACAGTGAATGTGCGTGGCCAAAGGTGCTTATCGAGAGCTTTTCTTCACCATTTGCGGTGGAGAAGGAGCCAAGACTACTAATGCTTGCCAGGATGATCAGCTGTATTGAGAACGAGTAGACGAGATGCATACATTATATATACGCGTGTACATGTTGTGGTCGTTATCCTGGTGCGTTTCCATTCTGAACTGCCTGAAAGGGATGCGTATTGCTCGTTTGAGGTATGAGTGTCTTTTAAAGCAATGTTAGACCCATGCGAAAAGGTGGTAAAAAAAATGAAGAACAAATACTAAGGTATTTACAATGGTACAACTGAATTACGAATTACTCAAAAGCCATGTATTAACGGTATAGCGCCGTGCGTTAACTTATAATTATCGTTACGCTAGAGGCTAAAGATTATTTCCGTCTAGTATGTGTATCTACCGATTTTCGTTATTGTTTGTTTCCGCTTCCGTTCCCATGTTTTTTTTTCAATTAACACGACAATTTATAAAGAGGCGATCGAAAAACTTCAAATGCTATATGCGCGTACGCGCGATCGAGTCATCGAGACATCGTTGAGTTTTTCAATGAAAACCTAGGTTGTCGATTCGACCGCTGACATAATTAATGCGCGCGTGCGTGCGAGAACGACGATCGCTGCGAAGAAAGTAGACCAGCGGTCAAACACGTTAATTTATCGATAATGAAATAAAAGCAGGGTTGGGCGTGAGAGAACGCGATAAGACTTCGGTAGCTCATTGTTGCTGATCGCGTGCAATGAATGGGAGCGATATATAGAATTGATGACCGAAAAATCTACTCGATCTATAGATATCCGATGGAGCGAATATTCGTTTTATGTCCTGCAAGATTGACAACTCGTATATTAAAACGAGAATATAACATCTACATGCAAGCTCAATCCGTCAGTAAAAGTAACACCTCGGAGAACACTTTCGCCGCAGTAATCATTATTTCCGATGGACCGTAAAGACTTTTTCCTTCTCTTTTTGCAGAGAGAATTGAACAATGGTCACAGATGACGAGCACGTAAGGGAGGTGAAAAGAGCCACAAAATTGACCGCGCGTTGAGCGTCGAGAACAGCCGGTGTGTGCGAACACGCGTGTGCCCTCCAAATGGCTTTTGACCCATTCGCTCATATCAGGGGAAGTTTTTTTTCATCGAGAATCCTGCACGCGTGATTAATCGCCAAAGTGCGAACACTGATCTAATAACAAATCTCTCTTTTTTATATTTCGTTAGCGATGTCTTGTGCAATTATAACTGGATGAAAAATGCTTTCGTTCTTTCTTTCTTTCTTTTGTTTAAAGGTATCTAATGGATCGATTCGATACCTCGAAGAGAGAAAAACATTTTCAACAGATGGCTTGGTTTTTATAATCTTTTTCTTTAAGAAGGCAGTGTTATTTAGATTTGGTATGCAAAGTTGAATTTTCACCTAGACTTATATAAATTAGATAAAATGAAATTATATATAAAAAGAAATTTCATATGTATGGAAATCATATTTTTACGTTGTATTCTATTTCATTACTAGGTCGGTGAATGAGGTACCCTAAAAACGCGAGAAGGTGTAGGGGCAAAACAATAACTAAACCCGTTTCATTATTATTTCATTGTTGTTTCATTACTATGTTCTCAATAATATCAAATGGTTTTCAATATATATCCTTTTAATATTGTTTTTATAAAAAAATGATATAAAAGAACTAAGTGATTAGTTCATATGCTGTCCTTACCGTTGTTGTTTCATAATATACATCAGCGTTATTATGCTTTTCACTTTAATGAAACAATATAATGTGAATCCTTTGAATTGGTAAATTACAATTTATCCTTTTCAGCTTAGTCTTGATTTAGTAGAACAATTAACTACAATTTACCCAAATTCAAGTTTAGTTGGACAGCACGGTGAAATCTTACATATTTATTTTTTTTAAATGATTCTTTATTTCTCTGAAAGAAATAAACAATTTTTGAATAAATTTTAGATGTATATTTTCCGGTGATGTTTCAAGCCTTCAAGTAATACTGTATGAAAGACAACTGATTTTATTATATTAATGGCATTATTAGACAATGCAACATTGAAGACAGTTCGTCACTTTTTTTCACCAACAATAAATTAAAGCTCTACACGTCATCAAGGAAGGAGTTCATGGCATTGATCATGGTCTTTTTCAAAGCCTGTTGGCGGCTTTGAATGACTGTAGAAGAGTATTGCACGTTCACGTGTATATTCTACGATCGCTATACATTAGCAATGCACGCTTCAGAAGCATTTCTATACCGCTCACCTCTTTTAACACGGCGGCTATATAAAATGCTGTAGCAGTTTCCTCTGGAGGCATCCTCCCCAATAGTCGTAGTGTGTTTTGGCTGTAAAAACGGTAAAAAAGAGAGTGGCCACTCGTGACGATGCGACGAGTTCTAAGGCAATACTTAGAACTCGTCGCATCGTCAAAAAAAAAATAGCAAAATTTGATATACATGCGCTGTCACGGATAAAACGTAAATGATATGCTGCGTATTGCTATAACCAGCCGAGGTTTCCATGAGAGTGATGCTAAACATAAGGACAGAAATAACTACACGTAAGGAATTTTCATTTTGACGAATTTATTTTGATAGTAAAATCGCAGTCTGTTATAAAAACTTGAAATATGAATCAAGTTCAATTGACTTGCAAACTGTTATTGTACAGTGCGTGGCACGGACAAAGGTGCGAAAAGGCCGATATTTGCGAGTTTAGCCAACGAGACGCTTGCGGATAGAATCCTGCTGTTCTACAATGGACGCGGCAAAGTAGTGGCAGCGAACATGCCGATCGATATTTCGAGCGAATTAACAAGCGGAAAGCCGCTAATAAAGTTGCGCCGATCACTTGGCCGCAATCAAGTTCTCCCGCTCACGCGCCGCATTCGCTAGACCTTTCTTTCTCAATGTATCCCTGGCGCCTTCGCTGGTGATATACACATACTGCCACCGGGCTTATCGATTCCATAAGGCGCTATTGCATACGTGAGCTGCTTTCGAAGAATCGCGAAAAAGATTTTTGTACTGTTTTTTTTAATTTTGTTTTCGCCGTATGAAGCTAATGATCTTTACGAATGTAGGTGTGACTACCGTTGACATATTCAAAGTACTAAGTGCGCTATGATCATTTCGTATAGTAATTTTTTATTCAATGACGGTAAGTCTGCTTTCGTGTTGTACGCTTAGGTGGGTATACGTAAAGTCTAGGTCATAAATAATCAAGAGTTATGTATTACTTCCAGCGAGAATTAACAGCAAATCAAAGCCTAAAATTTACCAGTGAAAATAGTTATCGCGTATGAATTGATGAAATAAAAGAAATTGAATAGTCGATGTGAATTCTGCAGCGATAATGAATTATTTATTTGCCTTTCGTCCTCTCTTCTTCTTCTGTCTGGCAGATATTCTCTCATGATAAGCGCGCCAAGTCCTTTGAATAATGCGAGCCGCACGGTTCTTCTCAAAATTGTCGAGCTGCTCTGCGAAAGCTTGCATCATTGCAAGTTCGCGCTCTTTCTTCAAGTTCAAGTATAGTACGCTTTGAACTTCGTACTCATTCTGAAAAAAATGTTTAAAAGTCAACTCGACGAATGGAATAATGCATCTATTAGATGGGGAGAGCACACAGTTCAGTTATTAATTTTAATGTGCGCACCTTCAGAATTTCGTACTGGCGGTTTAGGACGCTTAGTTCATTTTGCAACATTTCTTTCAGCTCGTTTAGTTTCGTTAGGTCTCGATCATAGCTATTTCGTGCTATTGTGTTTTTCTTTTCAGCTTCTATACTAAATTGTTATTCGAATGTTTATTTGTGATATTTGAATATATAAATAGTCACGCTTAAAAAAAGAAATTTCAAAATCATCACTCAATAAAATCTACCACTGGTAGCTTCAAAATTAGATTTTGATGAAAGAGTTGAAAGCAAATAATTTAATCAGCGTGCAATATTCTTGACTTTACATATTTGAATACTCCAATTTAAATTGCTCTCAAACCAATTCAATTAATTTCTATAGATTGAAATATGAAACTATACGAAGAGTACGAATTTCTCTTTTAACGGAAAACTTCAATTAAAGCAATAGCTGCATTCTCTCAAAATATTAGTTATTGAAGTACATGGTGTTTACTGGAAAAAAACGTTCCATTTTATTTGCGCCTGGCTATTATGACGCACTCGCAAAGTATAAATTATAAAAACCAAAGTATGTTAATGGAGCCTGGAGCCATAATTTTTCGTCCAAAGTGCTCTGAAAAAAATTGTTCGCAAAATGTCCGCAGCTGAAATTTCAGTTAATTTACCACAATTTTCTCAAATATTTCTCGTGCTCCAAATTAACAATCGTTAAGTTGTCCAGCATTGCGGCATGGGCCTTCACTTGATTATGCAGATTATTCTCCTCTTCTGCTGCGTCGTCCCTCAGTTCACGCAAATTTCGCTCGTAACATTGTCTAACGTAACAATGTCGATGATATTGACAATCCGTTGGATTATTCATTTTCACGTGAATTAATTCGACTTACGTCTCAAGGTCGATTTCCTTTTTGTGTTTTCGTCTCGACTCGTCGATCATGGCATTCAGATTTTCTATTTCTTCTCGTGATTTTTCCACTGTTTCAGCATGTTCTTGGGCCTCGTCGATAAATTCATTGTGGAGTTCTATAATAAAAAAAAAGTAATTAAATAAAAATAAAGATCCAATTAAATTCGGTTAGGATATCGATTAACGTGCAAGCGTCGACTGATACTTTTGATGTCTTCTCGAGCTCTGGCAATTAAAATTTCGGCGTTTCGCAGCTCTAATTTTCGCTCGCGCACTTGTTTCGGTGTCATTCTCATTTGCCATTCCACGACTTGTTGCAATGACCGTACGCATTCTAACGTTTCTCTACGACTCTTGGAATCCTCGTCCTCTTTATCGATCGCCATAGACAGCATTTCATCTTCGTATCGCAGCAAAGTCTTTCAAGGAAACAGGAGAGAAAAAAACATATTCTTAACTCTCAAGTCGTAAATATCACTGTAGACTTTTGGAAAAGCAGTAAATACAACTTACTTCCAACACCGCTGGCATATACGTCAATAATTGATCATTGCCACCTTGATACAAAACTATCTGTCTCGATTCTGAAAAGGAACAAGTACTTTTCTTACGTTGTAAAACGAGAGTAACGATTGTCAATTTCAATTTACCATTTTCCGGATCGGCCTGGTAAACATGCTCGTTCAATAAATTTTCTCTTTCGCAGATATAGTAAAACTGCCTCAATTCCCTCACATGGTGGTGTTTGCAAAACCTTCGAAACCTATCTTGCTTCAGAAGCGTGGGTAGATACAACTGTGCAACAAAGAAAACGAAGACAATCAATTTTCATTAGCGTCAATCAAAATTTTCTTCGCTCACCGCAATCCTTAATTTCCGGGAAAACTGCTCGATAATCCTCAGCAATCTGTTAATTAGCTCCTCACGAACGTCCATGACTGTGTTTCTTTTGTTTGCTGGATTTAATTTGAAAATCAATATGTACGTAGTGTGCAAGACTCCCACGGTTTGCGTAGGTGAAAGACCTTTATGCCACATACTCGGTCACTCTAACATGTTTAATCACTGCGCTGCAACTGGAAATGGAAAGCGACTGCTTTTTCTTTTCCTTTACCATGGGTCATTTCTTATCCAAAAGATTTTTGATAAATCATGTCGCTTCCGTTTGCCTTGACTGCTATATACCGTCCGCGGCCTTCGGGGTATTGATTTTGCTTTTTGCGAGCACTGCTTAGGACGAATATATCGAATTTCGCGGCTTCTTTATCACAGCTGATGGCCAGAGCAGAAGCGCACTCTTTCTCTTTACTTTCGCATATTTTTCGAAGAAGACATTTATACAAACAAACGTCAACTGTCAATATATTTTTGTTTGATATTGTTGATCGTTCGGGCGCTCTCTTCGTCAGTATATTTTTGTAGTTGTCACGGTTCATCGTTCGATTTTACTTTGTTGCCAGACAACGCGCGTGAAAATACCATGGAAACCTGAAAGACTTCTGCTTAGCAATTGGTTACCTGCTTTTAACCTCAAAATATATTATACGCTTATAAGTTAAAAATTATGTTTATTTTCTGTTAATTTGCTTTATTTTATCAAAAAGTAATGGAAAATTTACCTGAGTCACGGAGTAATTCGAAACAAGAGGATGATTCACCGGAAAATATCGATAATGCTGAATCGGAGTCGGCGAAATATCAAATAAGGCCTAAACTTGAAGAAAAGTGAGTGTTTATTCAAATTGTTGAATGGAAATTTTTAATGTACTGTTTTTATTTTAGATTCAAACCAATGTTGGCTAAAGAGGTGATTCACAATGTTTTGTACGATCGGTTATCAAATAAAGAGTATGACAGAGAACAGGCTCCAAATTGGGCAAAAGAAATTGCAGATATTATCAGAGAAAAAATGAAAAGTCAGTATATATTTCAATTTAATTTCTTAGCTTAATAGTAATTTACTGACATAGTTTTATTATGGTTGTAGAACTGGAGTTCAAGAGATACAAGTACGTTGTGAGTGTTGTAGTTGGAAGTCGAGAAGGAGCTGGTGTAAAAGTTGGTACTCGTTGTATTTGGGATGCTGAAGCAGATTGCTATGCATATGATAGCTTTTTGAATGTAAAAATTGTTTTACTTACTTTACCTTTTATGTTTACATTATGATTTACAATTATTAATAACCGTTGTATACTTTCAGGACACAATTTTCTGTGTAACTGCTGTCTATGCAATTTATGTTTATTGAAGTTCGAGTGAATGATTATTGTTGATCTATCTAGCGACAATTAATTTATACACAATGTAAAAAGTGATTCATGACATTTATTATATGATATTGTAATTATGTACATTATTTAATAGTCTTACTAAGAATAACAATTGTGCCTTAGAGTATACATTGTGATTTTTTCTTGTTTTGTTTTGTTTATTATTGTTATGAATATCTTATTGTCAATAGAACAAAATGAAAATTTATTTTCTAAATTATCCATTTTATTTAAAGGTTTATAACAAAGTTATTGTATATCTATTTGGACTATATTCTATGCTATACTATATATTGTATGATTAATCTCTCGCATAATGTCGTTATTATTACACAAAAGCATAATATCGAATAAAAAGAAGAACAGAAAAAAAATTGATTAGAAGACGACATTGACAGGGTTCACATTTAAGTTAATTAAGACATAGAACTCAGATGTTCTATTAACTGTGTATACAACTACGGCATATGGCATACAAGGTTCAGACTGAACGTTATTTCGTATTTATCTCATTCGCTTAGGAGCAAGAGTATACCTCGAAAAAAAAAGCGTTTTTATTTTTCTATCGTCACAACAATTACATGATGACGCATGGCAAGGCACAACAGAGTGGTAAGCACATTGGTACCACGGCTTTTTTCGATTTCGTTTTCTCCTCGTGTCGTTCTGAGCCTCCGTACTCCCATGCTGCTCGCTTTTTCTCCCATCCTCCCTACAAATCGATGATTTCTTCTTAAACATAGGTTTTCATTGAAAATTTTTAAAATAATTGAATCTTTCAATGATATTGCATTTTTGAAGTTTGTTATACTCCGTTTCAGTTTCATTCCGATGAGAAATAGACAGATTGATTTTATTGAATAAACAACAAAAAAAACAAAATTGAAATATTCTACATTTCATTTAAATTAATATTGTTAGATTTATTTTTAAAAAACGATTATCAAACGGAAATAAACATTTGTTATGGACCAATAATAAAAATCAAAATAACGTATTGACATCGCCAAATCGGGATTTGGAGTGAATAATTGACTCTCAAGGTAGGGTATGAGTCATTCTGACACAAAACAATTTCAGTCTCTGAGACGCAAAACTTGATGGAAAACCTATTTCTTTGATTCTAAAGAACTAATGTTCATTTCAATGTTAATTAAACTTTAGATTTTAATTGTTTTTCAAGCATAAATATTTGTAATAATGTTTGTTACTTTTGTTTGCAAATTTGTAAAAACAAAAAGATCAAATTGACTATCGCAGAAGACTGTAGGCTTAAAATTAAAAAATAAACTTACGCTTCGTTTAGACATTGCGGACATAGATTCTTCCTTTTGCCAACCCTCCTGCGAATGAACAAAACAATTAATATCGTCGTGTCCGATCAAGTAAAAAAATAAAGAAAGTTAAGACTTACTCCACCACCCTTGGCCGACATAGCGACCATATGTTCTTCTCTCTTCTTGAACTCGGCGGAACCTGGTGGATAATACACAGGTGGCCCTGCTATATTCTTACTCTGGACTATCGGTGGCGAGTGAGGTACGAAGTCGACTCCCTTTCTTTGGTCACGCTTCTCCATGACCTCGACCACCTCCTGCAAATATGGGCACCCACACGCGTATTTTATATACGTCATCGCTATACTTATAATACACAATCGACGCTTTTGGCAATGTTGTATTATGGCGTCTTTTCATACAACGTGTCTCTGTTTGACTATGGTGATGGAACTTTTGTTGGGCCTTGATGTCGCGTTTCATTTTGTCTGAGTGAAGGTTTATTAGACGTAAGCGACGGCTGTTACGGTCAAGGATGAAAATTTTAAGATCGGATGATTGATTTAATTATGTAAAGGTACAGTATGATATTGTTTTCAGTCAGGGTGAAAGCCAATTTTTATGAACAAGGGTCTACGATTATTAGGGTATCCACTCAAAACACATATCCCTGTTTTGTACATATTTTTTTGTAAGTCAACAATAAATAAAAATATTTTGATGTAACGTCAGAAAAATAAAAATGACATTCGGTTCGGCCGTCTCATATAGTTATTTGGGGAAACATGCGTACATACAAACGTGCACAGGGCACCATCATCCCGATACGCTTGACACGTTCTAACTTGGCAGCAAGGTGGCTATTGAGAAAAAGCAATCGAACGTTTTAAATGAATGAATTAAAAGGCTTTCAAAACGCGAAAATGTGCTTGATCCTTTCGGGCACTAATAAGACAAATTATCATAGAAAGCCCACCTTCGACTCGGAGAACGACGACATAAGATCCTCGATCCTCTTGGGTGGCTCTTGCCTTGGACTAACGGGTCTTTCGCTGGTAGGGAAAGGTTTCGGCATAAGATTGGACTCCTCATACTGCTTGTAGACATGAGTGGTACTAGTGTGAGTCTCATTGCTTGGGTAATAGGTCGGCTTCGGCGGCCTCGCGCCACTCGCGTAATGCTCCTCGTATTGCTTGACCGTCCTCGTCGTGTTGCCAGTGGTCTCGACGGGAATCGGTCTCCCGATCGGTGGCTCGCTCGAGTAAACGACGCGCTCGGTGGTGCGTGAAACTGCGTGATCCGGATAGTCGATCCCCGGCGACGGCGACGGTCCGTAGCCGTTGCTCCGACTCTCCTGCAGGTACTTCTCGCTGCGCGTGAGCGTGCTGCTGGTGGTGACCGGTGGCGGCGGCGACGGCGCGCGGTAGCCGCGTCGCTCCTCCACGAAAATCTTCTGCTCGCGGTGCACGCGGCTCGAGGTAGGCGACGGCGACGGCACGTACTCGCGCACGCCTCGCTGCCGCTCCTCGATCTGCCAACGATGCATCGCGTCTGATATTAATAACGGTGCGCGCGCGCTCGCGAGAGCGCTGCCAAATCGACAGTGACGAGGCTCGCGCCAAGCGGGCTACGCGCTCGTCCGTCGCGTTTCTGCTTTGCATTTCACGTCTTTTCGATGCGTTGCGCTCGCGCGGTGGGAGGACGCCGTACACCTCGCGTTCCGGCTATAAATTTTTATGACATAAGCTCTCGTCGATCGCTTGTTTTTTTGTTCCGATCAACCTTCCGTTGTAGTTGTCGTTTGAAAAACTTGCAAACCATCCGCATGTCGGATTTAAAGCACTGATGCTGCTCTCATAATGAAAAGTCGAAATACCCAACCATGCACGCTTGATCAAAATTCAGTTCACGCGCTCGAGCTTAGCATCCAAACAAAGTTGCATATCGTATAATAATAAATTACATTTACATAATTTAATTTATTTGATTCTAATAGTAGACTGCTTAATCGCACTTAATTCAGACGGATGCGAAATGAAGAACGTGAAAATTGAGAAAAAGAGAACGTTATAAAAAAACTTTGCGAAGTCGAACGAACAATTTTGAAGGAGTAAAATTGCCGAGTCGATCGCTAGTAATTCGTAACGAGTTGACAATCGTCATGGATCGCACTGTACTGAAAAAACTCACGTGGTGAACGAGAGTCTTCTCTGGAACATGTTCCCTCGGCAAGGACGACGTATAACTGATAGATTTCTCGAGGTTCTTGTTCAGAGTGGAAGTAGTACTGGTGGTGGTGGTGGTGATCGGGGTCCTGGGTACCTCGTAAGTGTAAGTCTTGATGGTAGTGGTGACTTTGGTGTTAGGTCCAGGCTCAGGTATCTGTATGGGCGTCGACGCGGGAATGTACTCGACGTTGGTCAACTCCTCAGTCTCGTCGGTGCGCACCGTCTTGATGTTCTTCCGCGGCGAGATCGGGCTTGGCTCTGTGTGATAACCTGATTGCGAGGAATGCTCTTATATAGAACCCCAATATCAATCGCGCTTCGTTCCTCTCAGTCACTATCAGCAGTTATAATTTTTTCAAGCAAGAAATGAACGAACGTTCGTGTTGTCTTTGATGTGAGCGTTTATTCTTTGGCTTCTTTTTTAAAGAGATATTGCGAAACAACAAAACAAAAATTTAACAACGGAGATTAAATATATATTGATATATATATATATATATATATATGTATGTGTGCATATGTATCTATGTGACTGATTGTGTTAATACGATCTAGTAATGGTAAATGTCCGACTTGTCTCTTTGACATATTTGAAGTCTCGCTCGGTCGATCGGCTCTCCGTGCTCACTGGCTGCACCACCGGGATCGTCTTTGATGATACGTCCGCTTTGTAGATCTGTTCTCGACGTACAAATACATTCGTGCGTTTATTATTTTACATATTATATTTTACCTAATGTGTGATCTTTCTGCAGCATATGTATGTTTTTCTCAATGAAGGTTTAATAATCGGATTCCACGAAACGGTAACGAATAATTGAAATTAAGTGTAACAAGTTATTGGCGAAGAGTTGGTAATTTTCATGATTATAGTGGACAATTGTAAAAATAAATAACAGCTGTAACAATAAAAAAACAACATATCTGTAGAGCTAACCACATACGATCATATAAAAAAATAAAGAAAACTAAATAGTAATTTCAAACGCTTGCTTTCAGAAATGACCACACGTAATTATATATAATAGGATACAGAAAGCAAAACTCACGATTTCTTGATTAGTCTTGCCGTAATCCGTAACATCGCGCACAGGCCTCGACGAACTAGTCTGATTGAAGGTCCTCTCGCAGAAGTCATCGCTAAAAGAGCAAAATAAAAAGCGTTCACAACTGATCATCAGCTCCGACGTCTTCGAGAGAAAGTAAGGGACACTCACACGATAGACGCGTCATTCTTGCTGATTTTGTCAGTTTTCACCCACGGCTCTGCAACGCGAGAGAGAAAGAAGAAGAAAAAATGAGCGGAGATATGACAAGGTCGCGTCCGTAAAAGGCGGCGCCGTCGCTGCGCGTTGCATACACTTACCGAGATCCTTTCCTTCCTGCGACTTGTCGTAATGGTACGACACCTGCTTGTAGGCAACCGTCTTGCTTTGACCTGGCTGGACCTGAAATTTATTTAAGACTTCAAACACACGTATACGTCGGATTGCGAGGTCGGATGCTGCTTTGCATGTTGTTTTGTGCTTTTGTTTCGTGTCACGCTGCAGTGCTGACGTAACCGAGCTGTTATTTATACTGACGTGCATTTTTCATTTTCGCCAGTGCTTTGATTTTTTACGGAAGCCACGAGTCAGCTGCCGATTAAATCTGTTCCTGGCTCGATAGTCAATGGAATTTATTGCTATGCAGTCTATGAGATTGCAATATTATGAATGAATATTGCGCACAAAAAAGTCTCAAAAATGTATTTATATGATTCACCTACGTATACTTCAACCTAGACTTGGCTACACTCTGATTTTTATATATACAAGTATGATATATATTAATGTCTTTTCTTGCAGAAATGTTTCTTTTGCTGTATCTTTTCTATTTTTTAAATATCACCGTATGGTAACTTTGCTTGCAATCAGCGCTTGCATTAGAAAAATTAAAAAACGTAAAAATATAAAAATATTACAATATTATTTCACTTTATGTCTCGTGTATTAGTGGTTTTTCTTCGCTACATTCTATTTGAACGTAAATTTGTACGATTTAATAAACTTGTTTATCGTTCCGATAGTGAAAATAAAATAATGTTTCCGCAACCAATTGTTACTTTTAATTAAACATCCAAAAAGTCTTGAAAATTAAATGAATTGTAAGTTATATAAACAATCAAAAAAGAAAATTGAAATCAATTACTTTGTATCAGATTCAAACATGTAGAAAGTCTCAGTGAAGAGCCAAAAAAAATATTCGTAACCCTATAAAAATAAATTAGTAAATCTCACAAGACCCAAAACAAAACGAACTGAGTCACTGATCCTTAATCGATTCAAAGGCAGCATATTTTTAAGCCGATCGAAAGCATTATTCAAAGTTTATTTCAATTTTGTTTGTCGCTCCATATAAAATCACCACATGCGTCGTTATTATTTTTCTCGCTGCGTGCGTGGCTTGTTTTAGAATACGTCGAGGCCCGAAAAGAGAAGGAGCCGAACGACGAATTAGCACGCCTCAGCGGAACTCGAAATATTCATAAGCACTTGCGGCGTGAAAAGCTCGCTAATCGTGGTCGCATCGCCCACGCACACGGAAAGCGCATACAATGGCGTCGTAACTTTTCCTTTGCTGCGAGCTGATTTCGATCGCCAAAACTTGCCCATATCGAACCCGAGCACGGCGCGCTGGCAGCGGACAAGAAGGAGAACGAGATAACGCAGCTGCACCGCGACGCGCGAGACTCGACTGGCCGCGCGAGATCGCGAGTTATGAGCTCCAGGTGATGCGTTTTCACGTGTGTGGGTCGCACGTGGGAGACGTATACGTACGCGCGATTCCATATTTGGGCCAACCTGCCGTTTTAACGTTGTTCTTCATCGGAATTCATTAATCGTTCGCCTGCCATTTTTTTCAGATGCGCGCTTCGTGCGTCGGCTTTCGAACTTGCTCGTTCCGCGTACGTTTTTAGTCGGCGCGCATTCTATCGAGCCAATTCTCGCGCGTGGGTTACGTTTGATTTCCTCCTTGCTTCTTCCCGCAACGGATGCAGATCCAAACGACGACCCGTTGCCTTCTCGAAGCACGCGTAATGATCGCATTGATACGACGTCCGTAACGTAAAAAAGAAAAAAGGAAAAAGAAAAGATTTTGCAATCCAACGGCGAACCGGTGTGCTCCAGCGGTGATCGTGCAAATATCACGATAAATTCTTTCTCCCGCGTGGGCGTATCCGATAACCTTGAGCTGCTATTTTTTTTAATCTGACGAGAATATCGATATTGCTGTATACGACATTTATAGAAGCCCCATGCGTAAGGCGTAAGCAGTATTTCGGTGGATACTAATAGAGCTTTCTTCGCTCTCAATTCAAGGGTTTCACGAATTCCTAACGCCAATAATAAAAAGTCGCTCGTCTACGGATATAAACTATACAATTGCAATATCTTCCATTGATACAAATTCATCTCTCATGCAAGCTTGAGAAGAACCTTGTCATTGTTTCTCTTATACGAACTTGACTTTGCTCAATGAAAACACATCGGATAAGATGAGAACCAATAAATAAAAAGCCAAGTGTATAAAAGTTAAATCGACCGAAGCACAACGGCGACTGCGAGAAAGAAGATAAAGAAATACTAACGTCGGCAAGCTCCTTGTCGAGCATTTCAAGGCCGGGAATACCGGACGCGGTACCGGCAGGTCCAGTGCTGACATATTTCTCAACGGTGACCTCGCGAGCTCCCGATCCCGAGGGCGACGATGTCGTGTGCAATGCCGGTGACATCGACCTCAGCGGCGATTTTCTGCTGCTGCGAACAGATGGAAAAACAGAGAGGAATTCAAGGTGAACGTTTTGCATGATTGCTATTCTGTTGCCGTGTAATAACATGCTAATGAGCGGGAGGAGACGATTCCGTAATGCGCTCGTTCGCTATTCAGCATGAAAATCGATGTGTATCGAGCAAATTTACTTGGGAACGCGAGTGTTTCGTCGAAGCGTTTGATGACCGTTGTCCATGCATTTGCAAATTGTTGGGCGTCAATATCGGCACAAGGTGTATTAATGCGATCGTCAAGTCGTGACATTAGTCGAGAGGACAAGAGTAACACGGCAAAAAGTAGCTCTTCTCGTAACGATATGAGAATGGCAATTAGTCACAGTTAGTAACAGCGTGCAGCTGCTTACGTAAACATATCGATCGCCAATGAGTGCGCTACCTGTGGCTAGTCTCCACGATCCTCGTTGTGCTGTGCTGCGGCGTACTGCTCGACTGATGCACGCGATGCCTGCTGCTACTGTTGCCAGTCGAGATGCTCGTCTGGAGATCGTCCAGCAACGCGTCTGCAATGACCAGCGCACCGCGTGTTTTAGCCCGGTTAACGATCGAACGAACGATCGGAGAAGAGTATAACACTGCAGGCACCTTACCTAAATTGCTGTCGAGGTTGCTGGTCGAGGTGGCTCTTCGACCCGCCATTTTTCAGCTAGCTGCAAATTGCAAGACTTTATCGTGAGCAGACTCGGGATTTCCGATGCGACGCAGCCGAGGGCGCGCGTGCGATTGCGAAATGTCAGAGGCGCCGCGAAATTGCCCGCGAAAACTGGGCTGACAACGAATACCCGACCACCATAGCCAAGAAAAAATTTGAAACGCCCTAATTAGAAGCGCGCTCCTCCCGTTACGACGGCGTCGCCAAAATAACGTTTATCGGAGCCAAGGGAAAGAAAAGGCTTTCGTCGTGGACTCGTTTCTTTCCTCGTTTCTCTCGCTCCTCGATTTTTTTGTCTTTTCTTCCTTCTTTTTCTTTTGCTTTTTTCTTTTATAAATGGACCGCGCGGCTATTTTCGAGTTATGAGCCTTCGAACAGAGAAAATGCTTACACGCGAGACGGAGAATTTCGCAAGCTTCGCGCGGGAAAACAGGAAGCTGCGTCATCGACGTGAAAATAGAACACCAAAAAGCGACGCGGCAACCTGTTTTACCATTTCTTTTTCGCCAATACAGCCGTCAATTCACACTTTTGCGCGAATTCACGACCTTCGCTGGGTCGTATTTATGCGGCGAACTTGACAGAGATCGCGAGCGTTGCGAAGCGCTTGATTTTTGTCGAGATAAGTGCATCCAAGATGTGCAAGAGAAAAATGATTGAGTTGTATCCGTGAGTAACGTAATAATCTGAAGAACGAGGCTTTTTTATTACCCGTCTTTGAGTTACTTCGCAATTAAAAATAAATTATACATTGGATTGCTTTTAGCGTTCGGCCATTTTTATATGTTGTACGACCAATTGCTTTTTTTTTTCGAGTTCACCATTTTGTATTGTTTTTCTCGAGAAGGCGAGCAAGCCGCGCACGCAGTAATTGTATTTGACTCAGGTGGACGGCTATATAAGACTGAAACCCAGTTCTAGTTTAGTTTGATGAATGATGCTTCTTAGAAGAAACCAAGGGTGATTCACAAACCGCGACTTTTGGCTGTCAAGACGTATTTTCTAATTATTCTCAATTACCCCGCTTTTCTCAAAAAATGTTCAATAGCTGAGCTTGGAAAAGGAAAAGAAGCATCGGTTCTAGTCAGTGTAAATAAATTATCGTTACCAATATTTCGCTTACGAGAGACAGCTCGGTCGGAAAAAGACGTTGGATTTGTTTACGAAAAGCGAGCTCCCGAGATTCCGAAACAAGCTTACAAGACTCGTTAATGTTAGCATCGACAAAAGTTTCCGTAGCCGGCTTAGCGCTATAGAAGAAAGCTCAACCGGAGCAAACGAACGAAAACAGTCTCGCAGACTTCCGCGAGCAGCAGACGGGAGGAAATTGCGCAGAGATCCGAATTCCAAACTGATCGTCGTTCGCGCACTTCTTGCGATCAGCCGAAAAGAAAAAGGAGCGCGAGCGACAGAGCCGAGGTGGTTCGACGCGCGCACGTGTCGCGTATCCTTCGTCCCCTCGCGCGTATTTGTCTCGCTCGTTTTCTTCCATCTGGGCTTCTCTTTGTGATGCACCGCCGTCGCGTAAATGTTACAAGGTCGTTCGCTGGGCTTGCCGCGCAATGCACACAGGCGTCGGCCGGCGAAAACCGAGCCTCTCGCTCGCTTGCGCTTCGCTCGCGACGAGACCAAAATAGCGGGCGAGTAGCTTCTCTCTCTCTCTCTTTCTCTTACTGGCCGCAGAGCCAAAATGATTTCACACACTCGCGCATCGAGAACAACACCGTCTTTTCTACGTGGATTATCGTTGAAAAAGGCTAGTCGAGCTGGCGGTGATTGTTCGCGACTAGGGAAATCGAAGGCTGAGAGACCTTACCGCGAGTGTGTGGCAACGGTTCAAACGGCTAGTCGCGACAAAAGCATCGTCCTTCGCACTTTCTTCGAGAAAATCAAACACAGCATAATGAAAGAAGAAAAATAATAATAGAAGAGGAAGAAGAAGGAAGAATAAGACGCCAAGAAGAACGAGAAAGGAGAAGGTTCACTCGCGGGCAAAAATCGCGAATGTTTACTACGCGCGCTCGGTATGCAAACGCGTGGGCGACTGCAGCGCCTGGTCGGCGCACTCACTCCACGGCCTCTCGCCAGGCGATACGCGCCGAACTGTCCAAATGCTCACGGTCGACGCGCCAGCGCGAGACTGACAAACTCGCCGCCCGTTCGCCGGTGGCCGACTGCCACTCGAGGCGCGCGCGCGCGCTCGCTCGCTCTTTCTCTCCCGCCCGCGCGCGCGTCCACGAAATTTCGGCCTACTCCCGATTTTCGGACGACGTCGCCCACGCGCCGCGAGGACGGACTCGCTCGCGTGGCCTCTCATTCAGCCCCGCCGCCTTCCAGGAAACGCGCTTCGGCCAGAATTTCCCTTTGCTCGCGTACCTTCCAGTCGGTGACTGCTGTGTCGGGCGCTCGTCCGACGCGCGATAGCTTGCGATCTGACCAAGTGGAGCCGCTGTCGATCGAACTGACAGCGCCGAGTCGATCGGATCCATTCATCTCTCGAGCGATCGGCGCAACAGGCGTAACGCGCGCAAGCCGCTGTTTTGAAGGCTCGCGGCAACGACTGGCAGTCGCGGGCAGAAGAAAGATCGCTCCACAGGCAGCTAAAGCTATCGGCGAGTGGAAATTGGAAATTCTCGTCGCACGATGTTTCCGCGTCTCGCTCTCTCTCTCTCTCTCTTTCTGTCTCTCCCTTTGCTCGCCCAGTAAGGTCATAATCGTGTATTCGATCTAGCGCCAGTGTCACGGCCGTCGATTGCGAACGAAAGCGCTACGTGCAGCGTCATTGACCAGCTCCAAATTAGGCATGGCGCGGCCCAAATGTCGCGCGGCTCCTTTGCTTCCTCCTCCTCTCTCTCGCGCGCGCGCACTTTATTTTCATTCGCGCTCGCGAGGAAGCCGGTCAAGGCCGCCGCGAAAGACGGGCTTTTCATCTCTCCTCTCCGATCTTTCTCTCCGCCTCGCCCGCGCACGCACGCGGCCGCTTGTGCCGTAAATAACCGATGGTTATATTTAACGTTTTGTATCCAACGATCGAAGGTTTGGACTTGCGATTTTTCTTTCTTCTTTGGAGCCTTGTGGTCCGCTGGACGCAGTTCCCAATGGAGATACTTTATTACGGTTCTGCCTCCGTGAAAAAATTGTTTTTCAAGTTAAACCATTTTTTAACGCATAGTTTGTACGATTTCATAAAATTATTTATCGCTCCGATAGTGAAAATAATATATTGCTTTAGCAACCTACTATTTCTTCTAACTAACAGAATTGTAAATCTTACAAACAATCAAAACAACACAATTTTTAAAGTATGCAGGAAAACTGTAATCGCTTATTTTTTATCACATTCAAACATATAGAAAGTTTGAGCGAAGACGCGAAAAAATATTAGTCACCCTATAAAAATACATTAGTAAATCTCACAAGACCCAAAGCAAAACAAACTGAGTCACAAATTCTCAATTAACTAAACTCATCTATGAGTGTTTATTTGATTGAATAACATTTTCGTTTTGATAAGTATATCAACGATTCGAAATTCCCGCTAGATTCACTTTTGCTTTTGACTGCCGTTCATTCGATAATTTTTTAGAATAACAAAAAACAGTAACAAAACGATAAACTAACGGCATTGAAGTATAAATGCTCACCTCAAAACATCCGATGTAATGATGACAAAAATATGAATAAAAATGTCGGATTGAAAGGGTCAAATCAGTCGTAATTTAGACTGAATGAATCAAGGCAATACGTTTTCGGTATTAATGTGTGTTAATGTCTCATCAATTTTTATTCCACATCGTTCATTCTCTCAAACGAAGGAAATATAAATACAAGGAAAGTACAATGAAGCGACGATTTCCATGTTTTTTTTTTCTTTTTGGAAAACACGAACACAGGAAACAATAAGTGTGTACGTTACATCTAATGACACAGGAAACAAGGAACATACATACGCATATAAGTGAGATTTATTTATTACTCCTTATTTTGACTAGACTATATTCTTTTTTTTCATAAATCACCGGTCATTTCGTGGACTGCTTGTCGAGAGATTCTCTGAGAGAACTGACGCAGTCCTGCCGCACAATTAAGTTTTTTTTAATCTTCCTAATTTTCGCTACGTGACAAGCTTACTTCATTCATTTTTCTAATTATTCTTTTAAGGTATGTTGACTTTGGTCTCGAGAGCCGAGACTAAAGGAAGCTTCGCCAGTGTCTACAATCTCTACCGACGCGCCCAATGGGCCGGTCGGAAAATTCACATATTTAAACGATATAAAAACGTAGAAACTTAATGCAGCGGTACTACAAATAATCATCTAACGAAATACACAGACTAGAATCACAAATACACGCAAACGCCAATCGTTGTATTGGCGACGCATAGACGGTTTTCTTTTTCTGAACACAATATCGTCAGCGACACCACGAAGAACACAAAATAAAGTTCACGATATAACGACAAATCGAAGGAGCGAGCAGTACGACTGTGAATATATGTAATGATAAATTTGTGCCCAACACGATTGCCGTCGATAATGAAATGGCGCCGATTCTCACGAATGATCTTCTTACGAATAGGAGAGACGCACAGCGAATAGAAGAGAAAACGATCGCACGTCACTATGCGAGACGCTGCTCCTTGGAATGAAAGAGGAAAGTAGCGGTGTTGGAAATAGGTACGAAGGACTCTACAATAAGGACGACGGCGAGCGACGCTCGTACGACAGTGGAGCCGGCAAGGCTAATGACGGCGGCACGTTTGTGTTGATCTCGAGCTTGCGAGTTTCGTGCTCCAACAGATCGGCGTCGAGGCGTGGCTCCTGCGACACCGTGCGCAGCGACTCGCCCAGTGCGTGCCGGATTTGCTGCATCTCTCGACCCGTTCTCGAGCTTCTGCAAAACAACGGTTTCGTTTGTAACCCTGCGTTCAAACCGATCGCAAGCTAATTCTCACGTCGCCGAGTCATGCATACTTGTGAACGTAGATCTGGCGTAGCTTGATCTCTTGATTGAGCTGATCCCTCAACGATCTTATCTGTAAGCCAACAACCGAGGCGTCACGCGTTATCCCGTGGTACCTGCGCGCCAATTCCAATGGGCAAGACACCTCACCTGCGCCTCGAGTCGAATGACCTGATGCCGATGACTCTGCTCGCGAGCCTCCAGCAACTTTTGCGCCTGCAACTGGGCCGCGCGGAATTTCTCCAGCTCGCTGCTCCGCGCGAAATCCGAGTGCGAGTGCGAGTGCGTCAGCTCGGCGCGCAGCTTGGCGATCTCCGTCTCCCGGTCGGCCAGCGCGCACTCCAAACGACTCACTTTCAGGCGTAACTCGCAATTGTCGCGCTCCAAGTGCTCGTGGCTCAGGTCCGAGTGCATTTTGCTGTGCTCGTGGCGCTCGTAGCTCTTGCTGCGCACGCAGCTCGCGCGAGCGCACGACACTTGACGCTCCAGTTGGCGCTTCTCGTTCTCGAGGTTCTTTACCTGTCGACATTGCAGGACAATTTTTTTTTTGTTTTTTTTTGTTTTTTTTTTTTTTAAATCTTGGATCGAATCGAATGCCACGAAAAAGCTATTTTAAGCGCCGTCAAATTTTGTAAAAGAATTTCATAAATCAAGCAATTTCCTTTTACGGAACATTTTTTTAATACAACAACGTTAAAAATATAAAAGATCGTTCACGAAACGATGGAAAATAAAACATAAAACTTATTAATGCAGCCGTCGACTCTTCCATATCTTCGTGAAATTTAACTTGGACGTGAAACCGCGTCTCACCTTGTCGTTGAGCGCGTCGACTTTGCCCTTGAGCTCACTGCGCTCGCGGTGAGCCAGCTGCAGCTGCCGATACAGCTCCTCGTCCTTGTTGTTGCTGCTGCTGCTCGACGAGCCGTTGCCGGGCATCTGGGCGAAGCGCAACTGCGCCTCCAGACCCGAGCGCACGACCTCGGCGTTGGCCAGGTCGCTCTGTAAGCGCGCGTTCTGATCGCTCAGCAGCTGATTCGCGTGACGCAACTCGTTCAGCGACGACTGCACGTTCTCCAAGCGCTCGGCCTGCACGCGACGATCGCTTTCCACCACCGACAGCTGCTTTTGTAGCTGCGACATACCGAACGGCGATACAGGCCTTGAGCAATTTCACGACAGCCAACTCGTTAATTAATCGCCCGCGCACATTTCCATTCCGAATTGTACATCGTCCAATTTGGTAACGGTCGAACTGTTAAAACATTCATAGCGCATTCCGCAATGCGCGTCTGACGCAAGCGTGCAAGTATCTCATTATTCGATGAAAAACAATCTCCTATGTTTTGGGATATATTAAAAGAAATATAGGCCCAAATGAATTTTTGTTGACAATACCTGCTTGAGTTTCTCGGTGTCGCTTTGAGAGTGAGCATTGACTTCGACGAGATTCCTGTGCATGTGGTTGATCTCAGTCTTGAGTTCACTCTCGTTGGCCACTGATTTCTCTAGTGCGTGGTTCAATTGCTCGATCGTACTCTTCAACGAGGCGCAACGCTCTTCCAAATTACTCATCGTTCGCGCTTGCGACTCGTTTCGTTCTTGTAGTTTCTGCCAATGTTGTTGATGCTCAGTAGTACTTCTCGATCTACATATTAGTTAATTCACATAAAACGAACCTGAATGGTAGATTCCTTGTCTTGGACGATCATTTGAAGTCGTTGGATGTCGCCTTCGAGAGACATTCGATTGACTTCCATCTGCGTTACTCGACTCTCGAATTTGTTTATATCCTCCTTCATTATTCGCTTGTCGTTTTCCATTTTACCGATCGCTTGCTTCAGTCTCTCTATCTTCTCCTGTGAAAATGAGATTTGAAATCAAATGCACGTGGCGCAATGATGAGAAAAATCTTACGTCGTTTTGAAGTTTTTCCTCGGTACCACTGTTGACCGACAATTCTAACGCGACAATCTTTTCTCTGAGTCTGTCGCATTCGTCGCTCTTTTCTTTCAGTTTTTCATTCTATGGAAAGAGACATAGTACATCAAACAAAACAAAAAAGATTAGGCACAACAATGAATCACGTACAATTTGTTGTAAAACACAATGTTTCTGCGTGAGTTTAGCTTCTACGGCGTATTTTTCATCTTGCAAGTTCCGTATGTTGGTCACAAGAGCGTTCATCTTGATCTCGAGTTTGTTTTGGCTCTCGTAACCTTCGGCAAGTTGTTTCCTAATACTCTTAAGTTCCGTGTCGTAGTCGTTCTGTCGAGAACAAAAAAAATATCACTTCGCGTTTCTAAATCATATCCGTATCTGCGTAAAAATTTACCCTTTCGCGTTCGATTTTCATGAAGTGCTTCATCAGCGAATTGATACCCCGCCGTACGGCCTCGACGTCGACGTCAAGTATAAGCTCACGACTATCGGAGTGCTCTTGCGCTGTAAGGATAACGAGTCTGTTAATAAACAAAGACACGATTAACCATTGAAACGAACATACTTCGGACGGGACTGTATCTTCTGGTAGGACTGGAAAGTTTGAACGGCGTGGTGAGACTTCCGTCGGGTTGTACACCAGCGATTCTCTTCAGCATCAGCACCAAGCTACTGAGTTTGTGCTCCAAATCCTTCTTTCTCGCTTCCATGTGAGTGAGTTGCTCGTCGAGTGCTCTTACGCGACCTTCCGAACCACCCAATCTTGCCTTGAGCTCTTGCAGCTGTTGCGTCGCGTCGGTGAGGCAAACCTCCAGATTGTGCTTTTGATCCTCGAGCTTGCGCTCGCGACAACGACTCTCTTCCAAACGAAGAACCAGCTCTTGTTCGCGACCGCGCGAGCGTTCGTCTTCCTCGTCCATTCGCGAACGCAGTTTGCTTAGTTCTTGACGGGTCAGTTCGAGATTGTTTTCCAAGTCTGCGGACTGTCGACGATGATTCGATTGATTAGATTTGTGGCAAACAACGCGTTCGAATCGCACCTTGTACCTGTTTTCTCAACTGATGAAGTTGAAGCTGAAGTCGTTCGCGTTCTTCGGTCTCGTTGCTGAGTCTAGCCTGCAGCTCCTTCTCGTTATTTTGCGCTTGACAGTTGGCGTTGTGCGCTTTGTCTAGTTCCTCCTGAGCCAGTCGCAGTTGCTGCTGTAATTGAAGAATCTCACGCTCGGTGTCACGCACGTTCGATTGTATTCTGTTACGATCTGACTCGAGCGTTGCTTTTGCTTCTTCCAACCCTAAAATTTACGGAAATAAAAACTGTTTTCGGGCGGTTAGAATGTTTTAAAGAGCAGACAATCACCGGCAAGCTTCTGGTAAGATTCCTCAAGCAACCGAGCTTGTTCGCGTTTCTCGCCTTCCACGTGTTTGATACGTTCTCTCAGTTCTTTATTGGTACTGCTGTATTTGTCTTTCTCGAAGTTGGATTCGTTCAGTTGACGGCGCACATCCACAAGTTCTTTTCGCGCATTTTCAATTGTCACCTCAGCTGTGAAACGAACATTCATAAAGATCGTCCCTTTTTGTCATCAGTCAACGTCCATACCCTCTTTGAGCTTTCTGCTGGTCTCAAGCAACTGGTTCTGAATATCGTCAACCTTGTCCTCGGACACGTGCAGCTGAACCTGTAACTCCTCCACTTCTTTCATCGCCGCTTCCCTCTCGTTTTTTATTTCCTCGAGTTTGATCTCCAGCTTCAGCTTCTCCTCGTCGGATCTCGCTTTCAATTCTTCTAGTCTGTTCTTGATACGAGTCAGTTCGTCTCGTAGTTTGTTCAGCTCGCCGCGATCCTTTTCTTCGCGACTTGCCGATTCCCGCCGGAGCCGCTCCGAAGCGCCTTTCTCACCTTCGAGCTCGCGCTGCAGAGAATCGACCTTCTCTTGCAGAACTTGTTGGTCTTGATGAGCTAGAAAGTTATCGCATCGACTTAGTACTCATGCCACTGCTAAGAAGTAAAAGTAAAGTATGGAGATACGTACCAAGTAACAGAGACTGCTGTTTGTCATTCTCCGCTCTCAACAGTATCTCCTCGTGTTGCTGGCACAAGTTTTCCTTTTCGTGTAATAGTTCGTCGAGCCTCTGACTCAACTGCGAGATCTCATTGTTCTTCTCCTGCTCCAGTTTGGATTTGATCTGTTGGAGCTTCTGCTCGAGACTGATTCTGGTTTGGTCCTTCTCCTCGTTGAGTCTCCTCAAGGCTTCTTCGCTCTGCTTCTTCAAATCTGCCAGCACGGCTTGGAATTCCAATTCCTGTTTTTCGCTCAGTTGCGTTAAACTCATCTTAACGTCGCGAGCGTGTTTCTCGCTATGATCCACTTCCTTTTTCAGCTGATGCACTTGGTTCTTCAAGCTCTCTTGCTTGATCAGCAATTCTTGATTCTCTTTCTCCAGTTGCTGCCTCTTGGCATGAGTGTCCTCCAGATTGCTGGTGGTGTCGAACAATGCTGTCTCTAAGGCTTCCTTCTCGCTACGTAAGGAGCTGAGCAGCTCGATTAGACCTTGAATTTCTTTGTCGTTGCTCTCCAGTATTATCTGCGAATGACGGTTACATTGAAAAAGACGCCTTATGCATGATTATTAGAAATGTCATACGCACTTGTTTTTCCTCGCCACTCTTCACCAGCTCGGCAACGTCCCTGTTGATCCTGTTGATCATGTCTTTAGTGTGCTCGTGCTTCTGACTCAAGCGAACGTATTCCTCGTTGAGTGCTTCTTTGCTCCTTGCCATGGCTGCCAACTGGTTACTCAGATCTGCCCTTTCCCTGCTGATCTGCGCGCATTCCACCTCCAGGCGTTCCTTCTCGATCTCCAGGAATTTGGCCTTCTCGTGCAGCGTCACCTTGTCGTTCTCCAAGCTCATTCTCGCTTGCTCGCCGGCCAGTAATTCTTTCCTCAGCGACGTCATGTCGCTCTGCTGGTCAGCGCATTGCGAGGAGAGCTGGGTTTTTTCCTCGTTGGCGCGACGCAGCTCATCTTGGAGTCTCGCGCTTTCTTGCTCGTGGCTCAAGCAAATCGATTGCAGCTTGGTGACCATTTCCTCCAGCTCGGACTTGACCAGGATCAGCCGCTCCAGGTCCAGCTCCAACTCGGCCTTCGACTTTTCCACCTGAGCCAGGTAGCACTCCGACTCGATCTTGTTCTGCTCGAGCACCTCCTTCGCCAGCTGAGCCTTGTTCAACTCTTCCGCCACGCTCAGGATTTCCTCGCGCAGCTTGCTCGAGCGTTCCTCCTCGGCCCGGAGGCTCGCTTCTCTCGACTCGCAGTCCTTGTTCACTCGGTCGAGCTCGCACTGCAGGTACGTCTTCTCGTCTTCCAAGCTGCGGCACAGCTTGTCGAGCTTCATGTTGATCTTGGCCACGTTTTCGTAATCGGCGCTCAAGCCGTTGTACTTGCTCGCGCTTTCCAAACGGCTCTTGTCCAGATGCGCGTTGTCGCTCCTCGCGCTGTCCAAGGCTTTCTGTAGGATTTCACGCTCTTGCGACAGTTGCGCACTTTGCGAACGCAGCGAGTCCACTTGTGAGATCAGCTCGGCGTTCTTTTCTTCGAGGACGATCAGCCGCTCGTCGAGTCCTTCAGCCTGCTTACGAGAGAGACTCAATTGCTCTTGGCTGGTCTGCAGCTTTACCTGCGAACGCACACCGAGATCATCAGCCGCGCGTCGATCGACGTATTCTTAACTCGAGCAACGCCGAGTTGTGATGTTTATGAACGCGCGATCTCATCGGCTATTTCCAGCGAAATTTTGCTCGCAATTCAACGCGATCGCAGTGTATCGAATTTAAAAGTGGCAGTTAAGGAGTTGACGCGTCAACGGCGAGGATTGTTTGAGATAAACATGCCAGCGAGATTGTAAACGATAAATCGAGCGGGCAAACATGACAAATGAGATTTGGAAATAGGCCCGCCGTCAGGAAAATAAACCGCGACTCGGCTAATTGAGCCAGGCGTTAAATTTAGACGCGCGGTGCCGCGGAGAAGCGAACGAACCGGCTTACCGTGAGCTCGTGTATGGTCAGCTGATACTTGTGCAAGGCGGCCTGCACGGCGCTGATGGTGCTCTCGGCGAACGCTGGGATCGTGCTGGCGGGCCTGGCCGATCGTTTCAGGCAGCCGCCGCTCGCGGCTGGCAGTGTCGCGCCGGGTGACAAGTGCAGGTGGCTCACTAGCTCGAGCTCGCGCATCTCGGCGTCCTGTATGACCACGCTCGCGATGTCGCGCAGGGCACTTTGCAGCGCGGACGCGTCTTCTTGCTCGCGCAGCCTCTGGCTCAGGCTGGCTTCCGACTCCGCGCACTTTTCCTCCAGAGATTGAACCTGCAACGAGCAATGACGAATCAGCGTGTCCCTTGCCCTCGCACTCTGTCTCTCGTTCTGGGTACCATCGACGTACTGCTATGAGCTTCCAATAGCACATTGCTGCTACTCTTATTTATTTCCGCATTCAAACAGCTTTTATAGGCAACAGATCGGTACTGCAGCGCTCAGTGCATCGATAATTATCTGTCGTGGTATGCGCGACGATTAAATGATTAGTTATCGATTTCAAGTGTCCACAGCACTTGTGTCTATGAAAATAATGTTCATTTGAAAAAAAAACGCGAGATAGTTTCCAAATAAATCTGAGTGTTCGACTACTGAGATAATTTTAAATGCTTACAATTTATTATTAAAAACGATTTCTGGAATAATATTCGTTAAAAGTATGCTCGACATCAACGTACGTTACAAATACTGTTGTCGAAAAGTTACGATCAAATCGAGTATTAGATCGAATGCTGCTGCAAAGACTTACATATTTTTTACGTACAAAAAGATTCTCGAAGTCACGGACAACTCAACGAACCAAAAATATGGTGGTGCTCTTTTTTTAACGAGTGTAATGATTTCTGCAATTTTAATTCTTAAAAGTGGTGTTGAATTGTTGAATTTTCGATACGGCAGCTAGCAAAATTTTCATCTTCGCGCATTTTGTTCTTATCAAAAATTCATTGAATTTTATTCCAACAGATTACACGTTTTATAACAACGTACTTGATGATACTACTGCAATTTCAAGTTCATCGAGATAACAATTCAGAAAAATAACGATACAAGGCGTGTATACTTCCGCGTATTTTTTTAATTCTAGTTTTAAAAGTTTTAAGTAGCTTTCATCAATATTAAAGTACTCTATACTTATTATTTAATACAAAGTAACTACTTATCGCATAGCATATCAATCTGAAATCCAATATCAACCGCCTGACACAATATATTCACTTTTCTATCGAGTTGTTTTATTTATTACGATAGCTTTACATTGCTTCTAACAAATCACACTTGAAATAGTTACTTTGTTGCTTACTTTTCTTTACGACATTCGACTCAGTCATAGACGAGCTCAACTATACAGAAATTTAATAATATAAATTTCGATAAAGTACACCATGTTTGTGGTTCTAAAAATGAATGTATTGATTTTCAGAAATATCTTTTCGTTTTCAGTATACTTTGGACGGTTCTCTAGCGGTATTGGTACATAACTGAAGACACTGAATAAAAATAGGATTTGTAATACCATATTGGAAATCAAAGTCGTTAGAACTTTGTGACAGAATTCTTTAAAAAACATTCCCTTCTAGTGCGAAAATTTTTTACAGGACTACTTTAAATTCGTCAATCGGCTTCAGATTGCTTATGTCATGGATTTTATATATATATAATAGATGCCAAGCTATAATTTAAATTTTATTTTTTCAACAGATTGTAGGATCGGAAACAACATATTTGTTAATTATCGTACAATTTAAAACAACGTCCAGTCCAAGAGTTATTACCAAATGATTAACAACACAACATTTTTTAAATAATGTTGTTTGGAAATTTGTTAAAATCAAATACTAACAAAAGAATCAGATTAGATTAAACCATAACGCGAGTTTGATCATAAATTTGATGTTTGTAATTTCCAAAGTATCTACAATGTAATCTGTACGGGTTGATGTATCAAGATGCAAATAACATTTTTTCCATATTAAATAATTCTTTTATATAAAATCAATAATAAATTAATAAAAAAATTGAATATACAAATAATGATAAAAGATTAATTCAATAAACAAAGCTAGATTTACCTTATCAGTGCAAGACATAAAAATGTTAAGTAAAAAATTAATATCACGAATACTTCGTTTATTTTAAAAGAGAGATTTTTAATGCAAAATTGTTTGCGAATGCTTTGTGCAATAAGCAACAATTTTCATCAGTAGCCGCGATCGTTTCAAATGCGTGTTATTTCCATCTTTTATGTGAATGTAGGTACAGAAGTAAATAACTATCATTAATGAATGATATATAAGTATTTTTAACAGTTAATTGATGAAACCTTCAGTCACGCCCGATTCGACAAAGTATATGGAAATAAAATGTGTGCTCGAGTGTTTGATATCTTTCTAATATAAACGTTAAATATAACTCTAAAATTCCATTTCTATTTCTAATAGACGATTCTATTTATTACTGCATGTTTGTTATCACTGTGTCAGAAGTATATGACGTCATCATGACAAACACAATAATATGAATATAGAATTTCGCTTTTGTCATGAAATCGATAATCACGAAATATCTACTTGACTACTTTCGAGATACTCGAGCGGCTCCAATTGATTTTAATGTGAACAGAGTATTGATGACAAGTACGCGCAACAACACTACGTGTTCAAACCTCCGACCTCTGGTGTGATCTGCAACATATTTCTAGTTTGCATCATCATTGCGTGGAACTCGACAAATCTATATTACTTTGCCAGCAATTTATACAATGATGATCCACCTATTATGGTGGTGGTAGATATAATTGAGATAATAATAGCCGTGTTAGTACTTGGAATAGTCTGTATCATACACAAGCAACTATTGGCTCAATAGAATAAACGAGATGAAAATCGTATTGAGTAAAATTGATTCGAATTTGCGTATTCGCCTGTCTCATAAGAAATTGCCTATCGCATTTATCGGCATCGTTATTTAACTCGGATATACTGCCAGTATCCGAGTATCATTAAACAAATGACATTTTTTTGCAATATTATATAGTTATATTACTCATTCTATTTAAAAGTATGCTTAAAGTCAGAAATGATCATTTACAACTATCCGAACAGAGGAGGAGTACACCTTGATATTATTTTTAAACAATGATGTCAGTAGTAACATATCGCAGCTCTGAGATCTCCATTAATATCTAAGTAGCTTATTCCAAGACATTTAATATTCTATTCTTGTTGTGCATTCATGATTATTTCATCTTCATTTTTAACAATGATGTCCGATGCTTATTATCTTTTTTAGCCAGCTCTTGTCAAAAAGTTGCAAAAAAATTCAAATGTTATTGATCTAATGAATGCATTTTTTTAGATATCGTTTCAAGTATACTTTTTGATAATGCGTAATACTTTGGTATCCATCACCGTTGCCGAAATAATTAAATACATTAAAATAACATTTTACTAAACACATACATCCATATAAAAGTTGCCTTTTCACGTTTAGAACAGCGAATAACTATTTGAAAAAACAAAATCCGACAGCGATTATAAAACAGATATAAGTAATCCGCGATATTTTGTTAAAAAATAAACTTTTTGTAGAGGAAAGGAATTAAAAATATTTTATGTACAAAGCGATCCATTAAAGGAGTATGTATCGAAAATACATCAGTCAAATGAGGTATATGCTTAATTTCAAAAGGAATGGGTTTCTCGTTCGCGTGCTCAAGTACATAGTACTCACGCACGGTACGTGTTAAGTAGTACATAATAGAAAAATAATTTTTCAATTTATTATGCGCAGAATTCATTTGGCTTATAAATATATTGCACACGGTTCGACGTTCTATTAGTAATTAAAATTGGTCAACTTGGTAGTTAAAATTTCGAGGTTTGTATGTACACCCTGTCTCATTAAAATATCAATGTTTTCGCGAAAGTTTACAAACTTAATGTTTCGCTGCAAAAATATCTTTACTCGTATGATGAAACCCTCAAGGGCAATGCTACCGTTATATCTAATGGCAATGTCTTCTTCAGAAACTGTTGTGTCCGGATGAAATGGTTATTCTACGGAAATAATGGGGCAAATCTGCAGCACGCGTTTGTATATTAGTAGGGGGTGGGGGGGGGGGGGGGGGGGGGGCGAGACGTTTTCAACGATATCGAAATCGGAAGGAAAAAATTGAAGAAATATTTGTAATCCACTAGGCTACCGTATAGGAAAGAAGAATGGCGTTGCTAGGCGTATTGTTTTGTTAGTCTGTTTTGGAGGCGACGCAACAGGTTTTCATTGTTAATCGATGCGCGTAGCGTGTAATAGGCCACCTTAACAGTCTGCTCGAAGAAGCACAGGGCAGCCGAGTCGATCAGCCATGCACTGCGCGGTCGAACGAGAAGTAACGACAAAGCTCGTAAATACCTCGCGCAGGAGCTGCTGTATCCTCTCGTCCTTGGCCCGGATCTCGGTGTGCGCGGCGTCCAGCTTCTTGACGGCGGCTTGCAATTCGACCTCGTGTTTGGGCGACTTGGTCGCTGGCAAGTGGAAGGACGACGCCGCCTGCGCCTGAAGCTTCATCAAGAAGCTGGTGCTGCTACACGCGGCCACGGTGTCGCTGACCGCCGAGTTGAGGTGGCCGCGCAGCTTGCTAAGGTCGCGCTCGGTCGCGAACTTCATGTCGGAGTAGAGGCGCTTGAGCGAGACGGCGTCGTTCCACAGGCAGTGCAGCTTGTTGTACTCGGAATTGAAGTACTCGTTGAACGCCAGCTCCTCCTCCTTCCACTCGGCTTCCTTGAGGCTCAGCTCCTCGCGCAGCGCGTCCCACTCGCTCGACAGCTTCTGCAGGTCGCTCGTCAGCGCCTCGTTCGTCGAGTGCGACTCCTCCAGCTGGTCTTTCAGGCTGACGTTGAGCTGCAGCAGCTTATCCGATCTGCGCCCAGCGACGCGCGTTCATGGCTTGCGAAAGTAGCGGCGGCGCGAGCCCTACCTGTTCCTTTCCTCGTGGAGCCTCTTGAGCGCCGTTTCCAAGTCGTTGATGTGCTCCTCGCGCATCTCCCTCATGGTCTGCTGAGCGGCCTGGAGTATCAGCTGGCCGGGCGCCGACGAGGCGCGTTCCTCGCCGCATGGCAGCGACGCCTCGGCCATCTGGCTCTCGAGTTCCGAGCACCTCTGCTTGTACTGGAGTACCTGCCGGAGCGAACAACATCGAGACGCTGCTCAGCGCCGAGCCGGCGGGGGAGGTCGCCGTCTTACTTTGGCCTGCAGCCGGGAGACGAGCGCCGCCTGGTGCTGCTGCGCCTGCCGATAGGTGTCCAGTCGTCGCTTGTAGCTGGCAGCCTCCTCTTCCAAGCGGTGCCGCAGCTCGTAGTTCTTCCTGACCAGCTCGTCGGCGTTGAACGCTTCCTCGGCCAGCGCGCCCGCGTCCTCGCCATTCTCGTCCGACTCGCTCGCGCCTCTTGCGCTCGCTCGGATTTCCGACAGCGATCGCTGCCCGACGCGACTCGCTCCCGAAAACTGCAGCACGCGTACGCTCATTAGCATTTCAACGTCATCCGTTGGAGCCGATATTTTATTTTAGGCAGGGACGTTTCGATCCGTGAGATTGGGCATGAAGACAAGTTCAAACAAGCGCTAATGTGTGAAAATGTGAAAATAAACGGTCTGTAGCACGATAAGATATAGATAGCTCAATCTAAAACTCGATGTAATTCCTTTCCTTCGAGTCCGTGGATACTCGCTGCGCCTTCCGATTCATACGATTACAAGTTCGCTTGTACTCGCTGTCAAAGTAATTAATTTCTCGTGCAAATGAACTAATCAGAAATCGATGGCGCGATCTTCAATCCGAACGCTCGAGCACTCCTTTATGCAACTCGAATCGTTTTCACGGGCGCAACATCTATTGTCCCGCTCGGCACTTGTCGAATACTCGCGGCGCGTATATTTTCGTTTGGAATGTCAAACCGCTTTCAGGGTATCGCGCGATCAGCGAAAAAGTTCGTTCGTCCGATTCGACAGAGACGGAAATGCGATCGAGGGAACTTTAATCGTTACCAGAGCGCCAGTTCTTTCTCGCGCTGTAGAGCCCGAAATCCGCGGCGAAAGTTCTACTCGCCTCGATCAAAGTGAACGTTCCATTCTATCAAAGTCATGCCAAAGCTAGTTTTGACTACTCGTGTCGCTTTCGAGTTGAATTTCAATCTGATAGCTCGTTCGAAAAATATGCAGCGCAGCGTCGATGATCATCCCCGGGAACCGTCTGCCGAAAGCGGTCGAGGGTACGAAGGCTCGCGAGAAAGCAACCGAAAGCACGTAGCTGTGAGCAATGAAAACGGACGTTATCGTTGAGTCGTACCTCCTTAGCTTTGGAAACGGCTGCAGCAGGTTTGGTGCTTGCCTGCCTCCGCCTGTTCATCTGCTCTCGAAGTGCGATCGAGGCGATCCTCGGCTGCTTCTGCGATGCAACGTCCAGTGATCGGCATGCTGCCGGGCATGGAAAGAGGAGGGGGGGGGGTGCATAGCGAGTGGCGAAGCCTGGGGAAAGCCGCGCGCCGGCCGCCGCGATACGCCCGCCGCGAGACAAAGCGAGAGCAACGGAAAGCAGAAACGATAGTGATAAGCCGGCCGGATAGACTTAGACTCGCCAACGCGGCGGGCTGGGTTCTTTTATCGCCGCGCGCTTTTTTCCACACGGGTGGGATGCGGCCGTGACTGGCGGTGTCTCGCGTGATTAAAAGGCACGTCTTACTTCTCTCGTTCTTCTCCTTCGCCTTTCGTTTTTTTTTCTTTTTTCGTTTATTTCATTTCATTTCTTTTTTCTCTCTGCGCGCGAGTGAAGTTGGAGGAATTTTTCTTTTTTTTTACTCGGAGAGAGGAGTGCGTTTATACATATCGACGAGGAGAGAGAGAGAGAGAGAGAGAGAGAGAGAGAGAGAGAGAGAGAGGAAACGGAAGTGCGGAGAGGGAAAAAGCTCTGCGACTGGCACTGAAGGGTACCAATCGATCGGGCCGCGCAACTTTGCGCGCGCGAAAGGAGAGAACCGCTGTATATAGGGAGACAGAGCGCTGCGCGCGCGAGAGAGAGAGAGAGAGATACCAAAGAGATCTGATACCCTTTTGCCTAATTGCTCGAGCCCGAACGATTGCCGCACGCCAATTCCGCGCGCGCAACGGGTTAACGCTCTCGTCGCCGGCGCTCGTGTCGACGGCATATCCCGTATTCCGTGCCGCGTGCGCGTAGCGCGCTGATACTCACTCGACGGCTGTGCGCGCAGCTTCCTCGCGATTTCGGATACCGAGCTCTTTTCCGCGGTAAGCGCAATTCCAAATCCGTCGCATTATTGCAACAATTAGATTTAATCACGTACACGTTCCTATTCCGCTAATTTTCCTTATTAAAACGATATTTGTCGTGGCTTCCCTCCAATTGTTTGCCTGCACAACTAATCATTGCCACTCTAAGAATGCCATTTATAAGTTTTCATATCTACTTTAGCTATGATTACATTTTATTGCGATCGTTAATATGGGAGCTGGGAAAGATTCTTACTTTTTCATTATCTCTGTAGAAAGGGATTAACGGTAATCTATAGGCACGCAAATGTAGTTGAGCTATACTTTTTAAATGTCAACTATCTTATTTTAGGATAACGATTAGAGGGGAAGCCACAAGAAATTGTCTGTATTAAGAAACTCAATTTCAGAAAAATGGAAGAAATTACAAAACATTTTTTCATGGACTGATTTCTCGTTGACATTTTTTAATTACAAATTATGTGCATGGAGCTATATTAAATCATTAATAGGCAAAATTGCCGTATCTTTCTTAATCTCCATTTATTTCCATGTCCAATCGACTTAGCCAATTATATTTAGAGATACTAAGTCTACTACGCATAGTCATCGTTTAAATATTGTTATCAGACACTTAAGTAATAAATACCAAATAAAAATGATTATCAACAGGTTCTTTGAGAGACGAAACGCAGGAATTGAAAGCCAAAGAAAAGAAAACCAATGTGTCATTGTAGCTGATTCATTGGCGAGAGAATAAGAATGTATTAACTTTGTATCCTATTATGTCACAGATAATGATCGACAAGACGTCTCTCTCTCTCTCTCTTTCTCTCTCTATCGTCGAAGAGACAGGTTTTATCCAATAAATCTCTCGTGTTATTCGTTTTCTCTTGTGACACTCGAAGCAACGCATTATTTATCAATAAAGATTTCTTTTTATCGCCCGGCGCTACTGCCTCGCGTATTTGCTTATAGCGCGTCGAACGAAAATTTTGGGATCGTGGAAACTCGAAACGCTGATCGATCGATCGCGATCGCGTTGCGAGCGCTGCTCAACGCCAGGCGGACGCAGGCATACCATGCGTCGACTTCCAAATCGGCTAACTTGTGCGTTCCAGCCGCGTTACGCAACTGGCAGTGCAACAGACGAGCCAGTTGGCGTGCGCGATGCGCACACCTCGGCGCATCAATCTCTATTACGGCCGATAAAGCCCGCAACGTCGCGGGCTGGCATCACCGCCTGCACTGCCAGGACGAATTGCCGGTATAATTTATTTATATTGGCACGCGTGGCGACGAGTCGACGTGTCCGGCGAAAGCTCCGGCCTTTCATTGAGCGAATATCGACGTCACTTCTTTCTCGCGATCGATCGTACGTTTGGCACTCGATGTCACTCGCGAAGCTGCGTTTTTTCCCCTTTCTTTTCCTTCTTTTGGCTGTTTCCACGCGACGTCGCCATCGATGATACGTTCGAAGGGCCTCTTACAAATTGTACATGCTTGACTTGGGATCGAGCGACGACTAAATTGAATGCGTCCCAGAGTCGACAATTCGAGTGCGCGCGGTTTACGCGAAAACAGCCGCTACGGTAACGGCGATGCAAAGCGCGTCGGCAATTGATGCTTCGGCGAACGATCCGAGTTCGCCGGCGATCGCGATATTTGCATTGTCTGACTAATTATAATTGATTAGAGCGATGGGACGCGATTGCGAGCACATCGGAGCGAAAAACAGCGCGCCAACAAAGAGAACGCAACGGAGAGGAAGACTCGATTGCCCGTATACCTATATTATCTGGCGGTGGTTGTTTAACGTGTCTATCAAGACAAAGGAAAAAAAATGGCATGCTTGTGTTCTCGATAACACTCGCCGAGAAAAATACGCGATCTCGCGGTCAGATGATATTGAGTAAACGAGGAAAGGAAGGACGTGTAGTTTGCGCGGTTGACGATGCCAATGTCAAAGCCGATCGAACCTCTTCTACTGTATTCTTTTGTTATCTCTTAATTGACTTGACTTCGGAAACAAACAAAACACGACGGTTTGTGAAATATATACAGCAGAAGGCGTAAAGAAAAGTCGAAATTTATCAACGTCTCCGCTTGACCTTTGACATCCAGTCGCTTCGTATCGGTCAGCCGGTCTTTAACGACAATAGCGTAAGAAGTACAGAGGAGCTTTTTACTTTTCGTTCGTGAATTTTTCGCCGCTTTCAGAATGACGATATTGCACGCGTGAATTGAAATTATATGCTTTGCATGTGCAGCAAACAGAAGAGGCCGCCGGCAGTACTCCGAAAGTACGAAGCTTTTTGGTGCCAGCGTGCAAAAAATACAAATTGACGTTGGTACAAGTGTGCGCTTGAGTCAAAACAGCTTACAATTTCAACAGAAACGTCGACTCTCCCAAGATGCACTCGTTTATCAACGATCCGCATCGAGAAGCAGTTCACGCGACTCGAATCATGCGAATAAAAATCCGTGCCAAATGTAATTCCCATGTGCGGATGTGCAAAAAGAGAGAGAGAGAGAGAGAGAGAGAGAGAGAGAGAGGGAAAGAGAGTAACAGACAGTGTCGTCATTACCAAAAATAGCCCGTCTTTACTGTCAAGCGTAATTGAGTCAAGATTTCATATCCCGTTTCGATAGTTAGATAATCTCCGTCTCTCTCCGTAATTTTTTTTCGCACGTTAATAGCGTGTAACGCTACAACGTCTAGAAAATACCAAGAAGACTAAGTATAGGACAGAGTGCGAGAAAGAGAAAGAGAGAGAGAGAGCGAGAGAGAGATGAAAGTAAAATGTATTAATGAATCAATCGGACTGGCGATAAAGCTGGCGCTGCGCGCGATGATGAGTCTCGGCGGTTCAAAGTTTAAAGCTGCCCGGCACTCGTCGTCGCCGCGGAAAGCGACTCGCGGAGCACGTGCGTGCTCGACGCGACACTTTCACGTACGTTCCATCCTCTCTCTTTCTCTTTCTGTCCCGCGGGTCATGACTCATCGCACCCTCGTGTGCGTATACGCGCTAACGTCATCGAGAACAATCCATTCGAATTGCAATCTCGAGGAGCGAAGGGGGCCAGCTAAATATTTTTCTAGCGCGAATCCTTAGCTCGTTACGGCACGGCGCGACTTCGTAATCGACGATCTAATTATAGCGAGCGAAGTGCACGCGCGATGCGCTATTAGAAGCGAAGGAGAAGAAAAAAACGCCACCGTCGCTATCGCTTCTCTGCTCGTCGTCGCGGTCGCGTCGCGTCGCGTCGCGGTCAAGAAGTTGGGACCTTACGAGAAATGCGTCGATCATCAAAGTGTCTCGCGCGTTATCGTCTTTCACGACGAGCAAAACAAGGAAAGCAGCACATCGAGCGACGATTCGTGCTCAATCGCCGTCTGATATTAGAGTTGACCAGCCACTAAATTCAATGGCGCGCGCGGGCAAAAGCACACGCACACGCACACGCACACGCACACGCACGGCAGGGCACTGCAGGAGGCGCGCAAATGAAGGAAAGCAACAACAAACCGGTATCATGGTCGGCGAGAGGGTAGCAGTACAAGTGCGCTGCAGCGGTGGGGGCGGCAGCACAGCGGCGGCGGCGGCCAAAGCACTGACGCTACGCATGCCGGCGAGGGTAGCGGGCTGGCGTGTCGCCTCTCGCCCGAAAGCCGCCGAGCGGTGGGGAGCGACTCCCCGACTCCCGAGCACCTGGCGTCGCGGTTCGACCCCTCTCTATGATACGCGTGCTTATCCTTGGCGACCCGGTTGCTCGGTGCGGCCGGACATTTGTGTACACTTCGTAACCAAGTTCGACGGACACTGCGCGGCCGACTCTTCCTCCGTGCTTTCCTTCTACGAGACCACTTGGCGATCGTTCGCCGCGCATCTCAATCAATTACACGTTCGTCGTGTTGCTTTTTTCGAAAAATAAAAATTTATTTATTGCAATCCTTATCTCGCATATGTACATCAGATTTGACGAGGTGAATCTCCTCCAGCAATCACGTGCGATTGCATGGATGATTCTCTAACGGCGCGTAGACAGTAGTAATGGAGAAAAAGCTCGTTACATTTTCATACTCCTAGTGAAGCTTATCGAACTACGACGACTTTTTACAGACGTGGAGAATATCGCTGTTGCCGCATCACAACATAACTAGCATAGTAATGTTTAGCAAACATATAAAATGATTATTTTTTTCTGATGCATATGTATACATACATATATATATATACATACATACACACACTCACACACACACACACACACATACATATATATATATATATATATATATATATACACATATAGAAGCGCAGTTTCGATGACTTACAACCATATCTATTATGTATTGTGTACCATGTGATATCTCATTAGTCAGCCAATTATCAATACGCGTGTCCTCGTAGCTTATAGAACTAGTTAAAAAATAATTTATTAAGCCTAATATTCGTAGCGCATGAAAGACATCGCTCGTTCCGCTCTTACGCTTCGCACAAGTCGATCTCCAACTACTTGCTCACGGAAACGAATGGCAAGGCTTTTCCAGGCCCATAATGCGGTCAGGGCATCTCACAGAAACCGAAAATTTTCTACGTCCTAATGCGTAGTTAGCGTGTGGCTCGCGCGTCATGTGACTTATGTCTTCGTGTCATCGTCGTGTCCGTCAATCAAGTGGAAAAAATTCCCGATGCGGCGCGAAATAGGAGGATAGCTTCGCGTCGTTCAGCATAACAATAAATATAAAAATGCGAGAAAGCGAGCAAGAGACGTAGGGCAATTCCGTGCCAGGTAAAGCCTCGCAATCATAACTCATCCATCTCTCTCTCTCTCTTTCTCTCTTGCGCGCGCGCGGTGGTGCCTGGAACGAGGCTGCCCCGAATGAACGAAAATGTCGCGTGGATAGACAAAAATAGGTATATGTGGAAGCCTCATTTTCGCTCTCGCTCCCTCTGACTCTCTCGGCATTTCTTTCGTCGAGTATACGTTCGTATCTCTTTTCATGCGGTTTGTCTTCTCCCCCTCTTTCCCAATGCTACTATCGTCCTTCGCTTCGCCACTGTCTTCGTCAAACGATAGCACTCGTGTCGCGATACCTTATTTACATGGCTCCACGCGCACGCACGCGCGCACTGCACTTTTTTCGAGAAAAGAAAAAACGAAAGAAATCAAGAGAGCAAGAGAGAGAGAGAGGGGGGAGGGGGGGGGGAGCGATAACAATTGATCGCGCAAGCATACACACACAGAATTCGCAGAAGCACGATTGTTTGTATCACACAATTGCACCACCGCGTCGGGAAGCGCATCCAGCCCAGGCGCCGAGCGCCTCGTAGAATCGGCCCAAGGGCAGCTGCAGGTAGCAGTAGACGCAGTAGGGCAGCGGGTCCGAAATCTGGAAGAGCGCCTCCCGCTTGTCCAGCAGCCGGGGCCGGCCGTCCGTGCCGGCGGGGTACGACGACTCCCGGAGCGGCGGCTGCTGCTGGCGGTGCCGGCAGGGCCGCTTGAGGATCAAGCTCGCCTGCGAGCTGCCGTGGCAGAGGTACGCCGTGGGCAGGCCGACGCGGCAGCCGACGGCCAGCAGCTCGCCCGGCTTGTCCTCGAGCGCGATCAGCCGGAAGCTGAGGTGGCCGCTGACGGGGCCGAGCTCGCCGCCGCGCTCCGAGAAGAAGCGCTCCAGCCAGCGGCCGACCTCGGGCCGGTCCTCGGGCGCCAGGCCCGCCTCGTCCACGCGGCAGGTGACGTTGGCCAGGACGCGCGAGTCGCGCAGCGTGGTGCAGGTGACGTAGTGCGCGCCCGCCGGCTCGCGGATGACCAGCCAGCGCCGGCCCCGCCAGGACTGCATGCGGCGCTGCTGGCGGCGGAAGTCCGCCAGGCTGGCCGCCAGCCGCAGCTCCGGCAGCGGGCGGCGCTCGCGCATGCCGGCCGGGCCGGCCGGCAGGGCGTAGTGCGCGGCGGCCAGCGCCCCGTCCTCGTAGAGCCGCGCGGCCTCGTCCAGGCTGTCGAGCAGCCGGTGCCGCGGCGTGGGCAGGCCCAGCCGCTCGGCGCGCCCGAGCAGCTCGAGCGGGTCGTCGAGGCGCGCCAGCTCGCGCGCGCCCGGCACGAAGCACTCGCAGCCCAGCAGCTCCAGGTGCGGCTTGGCCAGCGCGTCGAAGTAGGCCGGCGAGCTGGCGCTCACGGGCACGTAGTGGGTGCAGCGCTCGCGGCGCACGATGTCCTGCAGCGCCGCCACGTAGGCGGCCGCGCCGTGGCGCTCCGGCCGGGGCAGGCTGTAGTAGCGCGCGCAGGCCGCCGAGAAGCGGGCCAGGCCGAGCAGGCCCTCGAGCTCGCAGACGACCACGCGCGCGCCGCTGCTCGACAGGTTCCGGGCGAGGCGCACCGCCTGCACGCTGCCGCCGCCCGACACGAGCACGCAGCGTCGCCGCTCGCCCGGCCCGGCGGCCAGCCGCGGGCCGCGGGCGCCGCGCGCCAGGCCCAGCAGCCAGCCGCAGGCCGCGAGCGGCGCGCGCAGGCTCAGCCAGCCCAGGCACAGCCAGCACGAGAGGCAGACGAGCGGCGCGAGGAAGCCGTAGGCGAGCGCCTTGCGGGCCGCGCGGCCCAGGCTGCCCGCCAGCCGCCAGGCGTGCGCGGCCGCGCGCCTCGGCGCCGGCCGGCGCTGGCGCTCGCGCTGCTGCTGGCGCTGCTGCTGGCGCTGCTGCTGCGCCGAGTACAGGGCCGCTGGCCCTTGCGGCGAGGCGCCCTGCTTGCTGGTGGCCGACAGGCCCCGCAGGCAGGCGGCCTCCTCGCTGCTGCCGCAGGCCGGCATCTTCGTCGTCCCGTCTCTGTCGTCGGAGCTGCGGTCGTCGCTGGGCGCTACTGCGGCTGCCTCGGCATCTCTCCGCCCGTCGCTTGCCCGATCTCCCTCGACTTTTCGCCGGCGACTTGCACTGCCCGACTGACGTTGATTATTGCCGCTGCTGCTGTCGCGAGCCTCGGACCGAGTGCCTCTGCCGCTGAAAATTTCTGCGAGTGTGCGCTTATCTTATCGCCAACATGTATACCGCGCCGAGACGCGTGTGCAGCCAACAACACTGACGCTGCGATTTCTTTTTCTTTTTCCTTTCCTTTTTTGCGCCGATCGCTGCAGTGCGCGACGGGTATGTAGGCTGCGCGTGGAAAAGTTGAGAGAATGCGGTGGAGGATTTTTCGTCCGACGGCAAGATTCTTCGGACAATGAAGCCCGCGACGACAGATACGATTGCTTCCTTCTCTTCGGCGATTCCAATTCTAACTTTAACGTCTCTTATCGCTTAATTAGCGGCAGATAGCAATGGACACCAATCGGTGACTTCTTTCATTGACGAAGCTAACAGATCGACTTGACGCTTTATTTTTCTTTTGGCGAATCGAATACGCTGATTTCACCGAGAGTTGACTGACATGTCTTTAGAAAACCAAAACGAGCTTGCGAGAGAAAAGTATGAATGATGTCTTTTTTAATGTTTCTATCCAAAAGAGCTTATCTAAGAATATGACTAAAAAAAATATCTTACAACGAATCCAACTGATCTCATCGTTCGCAAAGTTGAAGCAGTCCCCTGATTTAGTAATGAATTAATTTTACCCAACTTATTTGTAAGATATGACACGGTGATGTGCAATTGAAAAATTTACAGATTTGGCATTAACAATTGTTTATTTACCTGCACCATCAGTTAAAATATTTGTCTCTAATTACGACATCTCCTTTCAGGTACAGTATTCAATATTGAATTGAAAATTATTATTCTTCATTTAATTGTATGAGGCATTGATATATCCTAATGCAATGTGTGCTTAACAATGGGAAAATTCGAAAATATTTCAATGATGAATGACTTCACCTAAATAAACTCCGCTTATTACATAATTACATAAGCGTATTAGCGCCGCCGTTGGTAACCGCGATAACGCACATAAAACAAATAGAAACTTAATTTTATCTTTAAGCTCCGATTTCATATCTAAAATTAGACATGCACACCAGATTCCCCATATGATCTGTAAACATGACGTACGTACACACGGCTATCTCGAATTTTCGCTACTTACGCATTGTTTTCTTTTTGCTTAGATTGTATACTTTAAACAACGTTAAAGGTTTTTATAAGTGTATTACATTCGATTCGTTTAGCAAATGATGATATCATTTCAAATTGCGCGCCGCGCAGCTGCTCGCGATCACGTGGGTCTCCGCGCGCCGGACAGATAAAATGTCAACATAAACACGCCGCTAGACGTTCGTCAAAAACTATTTCGTCAGATTAAAAGTATTGTGTGAATTGTCAAAATGTCATCAGACGAAGAAAACGATGACTTAATGGATTTGGAGAAAATACGAGATGAAATACTCAGTACACCAAAGACTGATCGAATGCAAGTCAGTGCTTGGGAAGACGATGATGATGGTGTCGAAGAAGATATGGACGCCGCAGGTTATTTTTTTATTTTCGGTTTGAATCCTTATATCGAGTATTTGAATCAATGGGCCGAACTTATAATAAAGTTAATTTCGCTGTTGCGAATTAATGAATCTAATCATTAATATGTTACTTCTACTTCGAATAATTTGTGTTGTCTGCAGATCCTATTCATAAAGCAATTCTAGAAGCAGCAGAGAATGGCAGACTAGATCAAGTGAAAAAGTATTTCTCAATGGATCCTGCATTAATCAACTGCGTTGATAATGATGGGTATACTCCACTTCACAGAGCTTGCTATGGCAATCATCCAGAAATAGTAAAGGTAAACAAACTTTATTCATTCACTAAATTATCAGAATTGATTTAACTTTTACTGTTACAGTTCTTGTTGGAAAATGGGGCAAAGATTGATGCAAAAACTCAAGATGACTGGCAACCGCTTCACTCAGCTTGTTGTTGGAACAATGTGGACTGCGCTGCAGTTTTAATTGACCATGGTGCAGATGTGAATGCTAGAAGCAAGGGTGAACAGACACCACTGCATTTAGCATCTGCAAGTTCTCAGAATTCACCATGTCTGCAGCTGTTTTTGTTACATCCAGATGTGAATCCAAATATCAAAAACTCCAGTGGTGATACAGCCTATGATATTGCCAAGAGAAATGGAAAATATTACCCTCTTTTTGAAATAACAGAACAATGTTTAAATGACATTTAAGTTGATTTGTAGTTATAAGTTTTTTTTATTTGCCAATCGTAATTTATGATAAGTTGAATGTATACAGATTTTTTTAATTCGCCATCACTTTCCAGATTTTATACATTTTTCAGCTTCAAACGTCTTATACTAAATATATTTGTTAATAAAATGGAGACCAGAGTACTAAACTTGAATAAATATAATTTATTACACTATATTATTTAGTACAGTTTACAATGCAAATGTATTTACAAAAAATTACTAAACTTGTTGAATGTATCATAAAATATAAAAATGTACAACTGCCAAGTGGAGTTTCATAAAAACAATAATGATGAGTATAAATTATAAAAACGAATAAAAATAATACTTTAGTAATCCATTTTGTAAGCGTATAAAATACATCTCGATATACGTTAAAATGTATTGTATAATAATCATAAGTCTTTTTCTTACAATCACTACATTTAAAAGAAATTTTGGTAATTTGATCATTGGACTTCTTTTTTCTACAGAAAACATTTACAATGCTAATGTTATCTTACAATTTTTTCATATATGAATGCTTTTGGTCATGTTTTTTATGAAAATATATTCTAAATGTTCAACTCAAAAATCATATAAACTTCTTTTTTTTTTTTAAATAATGACCTCTTGAGATTGGAAGCATCAATAATAATTTCATATATCTGAAATATTCAGCATTTCATTCTTTCTTTTGTTCTAATTTCAAAAATCACTTTTAAAATCTTCAATGTTTAAATTTAAAGAGTTGAGAGATTAACGAATTTTGGTGTGCCATTGTTCAATTTTTTGGCACCTTCCCAAATAATGATAGTATAGTCCTCGGTAGCAGCGTACAAGTGATGCTGGTCATGCGACCATGTTATCGCGACAATTGCTCCGCAGCCCTTACCAGTTGCCATTTCGCGGATTAACCTCAAGTCCCAGCTACTCCAAAGTCTGAAAAAATATATTAGCTCATATTTATCTTCCCATCGAAATTAGAATACTTCGATGATAGAAATTTTACCTAATTATTCCATTGTCTAGACCAGTTGCTACAACATTAACAGAAACACCTTCAACAGCATTACTATAACAAAGAGCAGTAATTTTCCTTCTTGATATCACAGATCCAACTAGTCTTGCATTGATGGTGTAAACTCGTAATTCAGATCTATTTTCCAATGAATTATTACTATTCAAACTTGATATCTGGTAAACTACTGCAATATCTCCTAGAGTTTCACTTATCGATACTAAATTTATTGGATACAAATGCTCGCGAGTAATTGATCTGACGTAAGTCAAACTGCAAATATAACAAGGTAATTAGTTTCATCATTCATTTATTAATACGCTTCAAAAACTGATTTAAGTATGCACCTATTCAAATCCCAAATAATTAAGCCGCCTTCGTTGTCAGCTGAGACGGCAATACTAAAAGCCCGTGACAAATCAATGGCACTAATACGAGTTCTATGGGCAAGTAAAACAGATGGTGAAGTTGAGTTGAATTCTATTTTGCCAGCAATATTAACGGAACACTCGTAAACGACAATACGTCCAGACATGTATCCTATCCAAAACTGACCGCAGTCCGGTGCAGATTTCATAATTGCGATCTGAAAATAACAAAGTTAATATTTCAAACGAAATACTTAAAATACTTGAAATTATGAGTATACGCGTAATGCGATACTCACAGGATCTAAGCCGCAAGCTTTGATGAGAGGCCTGGGTGGTAGCTCTTTTTTTGTCTTCAGTCGGGCAATTCCATCTGTGCTGTTCCAAGACGCTAATGCTGCGCCTAGTACGGACGTATTACTCAACATTCCAGCACCTAAAATTAGTTAAAATGTTTTCTTGATGACACTGTCGACAAAATGCTATATATTATACGAAATACCTTTGTCTTTCGAGTAGGCAAGAATCAAAGTGGTGCAAATCGGTAGACCAAAAACATCACCCGTTACTAACGGAATAAGAGAAGCTAGTAAAACTCTATGTTTGTGTTTCCAGCAAACCGTGGGTTCGTTGCCAGGTGCACCGACGTAATTACCCCATCTTATACCTATTGAAATTAAAAGTAAATGCAGTCAACTGAATAAAAGGTTGCGTTGATGCGCGTGCATTTGCTACCTTCAACGCCTTCGATAACCGGTGGAATATTTGTAGGAATGGTAGCTCCAAGATTTTGTATTGGTAATGGATGAGCAGCTCTGAATAGCTGAGCAGGTGTTTGCCCATAGGTTTTCACCATTGTTTCCCACGCCTGTCTTTCCAGTGGATCGGCAATTTGATCTACATTGAATCCGTAATACGTCTGCAGGTCAAAGGTTATGAGTTATAATGGTTCGTGTAAATCTAAATTTAGAATATTATCGCCCTACCGCTGGATGGAAAACATTAATGGCCTCGACTGCTGGTTTACCCGTTTGCCTGAATCCAAAGACTAAATCAATCCAGAATGATAATGCTTCTCGAACTATATCAGATTCTAGGGCGGCTCGGTGAGCTAATATAAATAATCGAGCATCTCCACCACACCAGTTTGGTAGCTCGACGTCACTGACTCGACTACCGTTTTGCCTGACACCGAAATTAAAATCTAAAAAAGATTATTGAAAATGTAAAAAAATATCAATACAGTCATCATAGTAGTATTATTATACCTTCGAAATTTAACAAGAATTCCGGTAGATAGAAAAATTCTGGAATAAGTTCTTTCACATCAGTTGTGGAATCGCAGCTTGTTAGTCGCCACGTTGTCGCCAGAGCGTGGAATGTTCTATCAGGAATATCGAAATTGTCGTCTAAAATGAAACACAATTATTACACACACGCGCGCGCGCGCACACACCGATATTTACTGTAGAAATAGTCTTACCTTGGTAGTTAAGAAACATGCTAGTAAAAGGTGGAAGACGAACCAAAAAGTGCAAAACTGTTCCTGAATTGCTGTAATGCGATCCGTAGTGAAATGGTTCTTGATTTAGCGCGACTAGATTCAGACCTTCTGACAATGCTTGTTTCAAATACTGTGGACACAATAAAAATGTATTCTATAACTCACTACGTCATTATGAAAAAATGTGACTTCGTACATTGTAATTGTTAATGTAATGTTGTTCGTTCTTCTTGTCTTGAACAGCCATGGGGCGTTTAAAATTTCTGAAACCCAAGGTACATTTGTAAATTCATTGTCTATTGTCACAATGAATACTTCATATAATCAAATTACCTGTATATTTTAGGATCATTCAAATCAATCTTGTCACTAGTATAGTCTGCCAGAACAAACGGAAACACGGGGTACTGCATCAAGTCGTTGTAAGAGCGACCAGCTAATTTATTCAAGCACGTTATGTATTCCCAGTTAGTTAGTGTAGCACTGCGCCATAGAGCGAGAGCTTCGCCTAAGTCGTCACCCGGAATACGTCTCGGTAAATCACAGTTGGATAGCTCTAGCACGAATTCGTCTCGTTCCTACAGAGTAATCCTCGTCAGAAACAAATCACTTGATGCAGTATCAAAAATTAAAAATACCTTGGAGGAATTAAAGGCGAGTAAGTAAGTTCTACCGGTTATGAGGAAAACTTCGATGGCTCTCTCTTGAAGCTGATATCTCCGACGATGAAGTTCGCGAATATCTTCTAGGCGCCAAGCTGTGCCACCGGCCATCGCCAGATCCAAACCGCCTAAGGCTATCTGCAAAGTTGATTAAACGTTTAGTAATCGCTTTAGATTTAGAAATCGACTGCGATAGAACTCACGTCAGTGTGAAGAGAAGTTTTCGGATCGTCCGGTACGAAGTAAAAGCAGCTTTCTCCGATCAATGCTTCACCGGATAATTCGGCTTGGGGTGTTACCACGCTTGCCTGTGACATTTTGCGAATTCTCTCGCTGGTGTGCAACCGTTCGATCAGTGCAGTCGCGTTCGCGTCTTGCTTGCCGCTGGAGAATAAATACGAGAGTGGAGCTTCAACTTTGGCTGCGTCTGTGAAAGGCAATCGAACCAATTCTTATTGACGAGTATTCATGTACCTACATTTTCATTGTTCAAACTTTCAATCGGCATCGAGAAGATATTATATCATTCGTAAACTATAATTTCGATTAAAATTTGTTAATTTTGAAAAATTTAGTAATGAAGACACGGATGAAGTCGTATCTTCGTTAATTGACGACGTTACTACTCCTATACCGCATGTTTCGTATTTTGGTAATAAAAACCAACCATATTAATCAATTAATTTTGTCAAATGTTGAATGATGTAAAATTGTTCCCGTGGTATTTTTGATGATACCAATTTATTATTATGATACCAACAAACGAGTGTCTGATAATCGTAATTTAATTACTTCATAAATCTTCACAAAGAAGTATTAGCATATTTCATTTCAAAGTAGGATTTCGCAAATATATAGGCACTTATTTCCAAAATTGTATATTGAATAACAATCGCTCATATGCTTGAATCAGTATAGACATAAAAGTTACAAGAACCGAGATTTTACACGCAAGGTTAACACTGCAATAGTTTGAACTGATTACAAATAATTACAGCTAATATAGATTTTTTACTTCGTTCTTTATATATTTCACTTAACTGAACACTTGTGCAGTTTATTTTTCTACTTTTTAATATTAATATTCAGCGGCTCATATACGCTTAAATTTTCTTCCAATAACGAGTTCTAATTAAATAAATGAAAGATCCTTTTGATAAGACAAGAAAATGTTGATAAAGATGGAATCATTTTTAAATTACTGTTTTATACTGCTTTATAATTTGTCGATGATATCTCTAATAGAATGTTTTTATAAAGAAGCTTTTTGATATATCATAACATTTAAATTGAATGTTGCAAAACTTTTGAACCATTCCAACTTTTTCGACAAAATATTTTTCTACCGAAAGAATTTAATCTCTGGAAATATTGAACGGATGGTTAATTCTCGATTTTTTCCCAGTAATCGCGTATAATTGTATATTGAAAATAAATTGCAAGTGGTTAAAGAAGTAATATTAATTTTTGCTTTATTTTTCATAGCTAATATTTATATGTAAACGTAACATTGTCACATAGTGCTAAATACAACAGTTTACGCATAGCCATCCCATATCCATCCATAGTCCACTTATCTTATAACTGTCTATTCAGGAGAAACATCGCTCAAGAATTTACAAAAATCTAAATATTATTGTTACTACATTACTTTTCAAAATCTCAAGAGTATGCGTATCAATTTTGAGATCTTTGTAACTACGAAAATCGGAACTAAGCAAAGGTACAACTTGGAGATTAGAATATTGAAAACTGTATTTTTCCAACAGGAGCATAAATAATTAAAATGTTAACTTAGTAGTAATGTGTTTTATTATATATTTACAGACTTTGTATCGGAGAATCACGGCTTTACCGATTCATCCGTTGGCTCTCACAATGATTCAGTTATCGGTCGTATTTCTATTACAACTTATGAGTGAAGTAGCTTTCAAAATTGATGTTCCGTTCCGAAGCTCAAAAGTTTAAGTAGCTTGTAAAGCTTGAATAGGCTCCGAAGCTTAATAGTTTAAATAGCTCGTAAAGCTTGAATAAGCTCCGAATTTAAAGCCAAGCCAGATTCGAGCCTTTGCAAAAGTCAACAAGTAATTGAATAGAATTGAATAGAATTATACTGTCGGTCTAAACTCTTTCGAAGCTTAAAAGCTCAAAATCTATTCATACGCTCAACCTATTTAAAAAGATGGCAGCATTTTTTTTTCTAAATTCTATTTCAAAATATAATTACGTACACAACCAAATAATTCATATCAAACAACAATCAGCGATACACTTGAAAATGACATTTCAAACTTAAATAAATCAAAATTTTGTTCTTAAGCTGCTCTATTTTTGATGAATCAAAAGTCGTACTACATGGAAGACTGCTTTGAATAAGTACTATCTCTCGTAATATAAAGCAACTTACCAATTTTGTTTGTATGTTGCGGCATGAAGAACCTCTTATCGATGTTCAAATGACATCTTTGCAACCTAGTTCTGACTCTAGCAGGACCCTCCGTCGGATCGAGTTCCCAGCTCCTTGGATAACTCTCTTCAAAGTACCACGGGCCCTTCTCATGCATCAATCTTCTTGCAAGATCTCTCCATTTAGCTATAGCTTGAGCTTCCATAGTTCTAGCCTGTTTCAATCTTTCCATGAGAATCTTACGCTCGCGATTCTGTTCCTCCACAACCGTTCTCGTAATCGCCATCGCACTCTCGGTTAATTGTTTCGCCAAAGTCTCAAATCGATTGCAAATCCGTTGAATCGACGGCATTTGACTGTCAATCCAGATCTCCCGTTCGCGTAACAGCTCACGACGAAATAGACTCAGCTCCTCCCCCCAGAGTTCTTGATTGCCCTGGTCGATACTTTTAGCAAGATCCCAGATCTTCAACGCCTCCTGCATCTCAGCACACGTTCGTGCATCTGCACTTGACATCTCGTCACGCTTTTGCAGCAAATCCCATAGAAATACGCTGAACTTTTGCTCAACCTAGGTATCACGTAATATTGCATTTTTTTAATACTTCTCTATTATTCTTGTAAATGAGCACTCGACAAGCTTTACCTGTGGATGGACCTCCAATAGAGTCGAAAGAATCTCTCGAGCTTTGGGTTCTTCCATCAGTGAACGCACAGCGTAAACTCTAGTGTTGTTATTCTGATGCGGTCCCATTAACCATACCATGATTTTGGCCGTGTTTTTTCTCAGTGCAGGTTTTACCGACCACGCGTTCACCCAGTAACTCTTTTTGCCCAGTGGATTCGAGATACCGTGCAAGAGTGTGGAAAACAATCGCTTGGTCAGTTGTAATTCGCTAACAGACGGCGGTTCGTCAACCGTGGTAATGAAATCGACTGCACGATTCAGGATAAGGCGAAAACGCTCGTTTGACTCGCCTTTACCAGGCTCACGTATTGTCGTGCTTGAGATTCCATGCAAGCTGCTGTAGCTCGAAGATCGAGAGACTTGAGCGCTGTGTTCGCTTGACGTAGTCAACGCTACAAATAGAAAATGACACTTGTTAAATGAAGTGACGACTTGAAACTTTATTAACAAACTTACCGTTTGAGATATACGGAGCCGAAGCTAAATAAGACGCATTACTCTTCAGTCGGAAACCCGAATGGTTGGAAACTTTTGCCGTTAGAACATCTAATTCGCCGTCAAACAATGCCACTTGAGCATCTCTCACGGCATAAACGCAATTTTTATTGGCTCCACATTGCAATCTTTCTTTCAATTCGCTATGGTTGAGTATGACGTGTAGTTCGGTGACAGCTTGCATGTGATGACTACCTGGAGAATCTAGTAGCTTCGTAGCCATTGCTACTAAAAGGACATGCATATCACGAAACAACGATATCGAGCAACCTATGTGCGCAGCGTTAACTATGGCTTTCGAGGTGGTTTCCATAAGACCTTGTTCCAGCAAGGTTTTTAAAGAATTCGGACTCTGTTGATTTGACATAATATTTTATTTAAATAATAGTTCAGGAAGTAAACTTGCCATATGGTGAAATTGACATTTCTTAAATCAACCAAAACATTAACGTTTGCGCTATCGAGTTACTGTATGCCATAATACGCTTCAAATTACGTTGCTACATCACACATAAGAAAAACCGTAATATTCCTTAACGATATTAGCTAAAATCATTAGTATAGTATAGATACGTACTTACCTTGGTAATAAGATCTGTGAGGAAAGTGACGAGAGGTCTGGCAACATTGAGATCGGTAGCAGCGGCCTTCGGTACCATAGCCAATACGGGCGTAATTGCCGCGAGCGTTGGTCCTTTCAACGCTAAATTCTCCAAAGTTACGACCAAAGGTTCACTCCCAGAGTAAAGCGAAATTTGATTAGCCAAATGAATAAAATATTTCTGCTTAATAAACTTGTTGACTTGTTCATCGCTGGCACGTTGCAAGTAAACTTGAATAAGTTTGATAAGAGCAGTTCGTACTCTTGCGTCGGAATTATTCGACAGGACCAACAGGATTTCCACGCGTAACACGTGTTTTAATACTGCGCCGACTTGCGAGTCTGGCAAAACTCTTAGTGCGTCTCTCAAAAGTAATAATAGTCCTTCGCAGACTAAACCTTGACAGGCTCGTTTTTTATCCGACCAAAGTAATCGACGCTCATTTGTCTGTTGATTGGAACCCTCGCTAGCAACGATTCCCGAATCTTCACCTGCGCTTGTATCCTGTCCTTGAGATGATGTATCATTATGTTCTACTTCTAGATTGACCGCTTCTCTGAATGCTTTCCCCGCTTGGATTTGTACGTTAGCCAAGGCTTTATTCAGTTTGGCGTTTTCTAGAGTATTTACCGATTCGTTTGATACACTACCTGTTAAGCTCTGAAATCATTATTCGCAATCATGAACAATCTTCTCTTTCAATGACTTATAGAGTTAAACAGCGTATGGCAGTCTTACATTTGCCTTCGATACTAATGTTCTCGTTTCTTCAAGAGGCATTAGTAAAAAATACATGTTATGTCTCGAGTGAGTTACGTAAGTCTCTGAAGCTTGATGAACAAGAACCAGATAGTCCGTTATTATAACCAAGTGAGCAAATTCTGGTGGAGCTCCCATAAGCGAGCGTATCAATTCAACTACAGCACTCCCTGTTGTGGCATCTAGCGAAACGTTAACTTCTTCGTACATGAAATGTTCCTAAAAGACATATATGAATCAATTATGCGTCAATCAAGCATAATTATAATATTTATTTACTTTGCACATCATTAGAATGCTATCAACAAAATTAATTCGATTGAGCTGTGAGGAATTGAATTCTCTGTGAGGATGTTGGTCCTTTAGCAGAAGTAATATCGCTTGAAGAAGTAAATTCAAAGCGTCATACATGGTCCAAGTTCTCCAAGCCTCGAATATACACTTTATCAAATCCGCATCCGTGATAATCGCTTCGGTATTCTGCGAGATCGAATGATTCTTTGTGCCAGGATCTCTGATTATGATAGGACAGTCACAGGCAGCATCGAGAATTGCTTTCAACATAAACTTTCCAGCATAACATCGAGGCGACTCCAAAACTTTTAAGAGTAGAGATGCTCCACCTTCCGAGCGATATTGGTTTAGCATTTCGGAATCACTTCGAGCTAGATGGAGAACTACGGACAGTGCTAAAGCTTGTTCTTCTTCGCTGGAATTCAATTCGACTACCTAATATTCAAAAATGTGTTCTTATAATCATAAAATAAATGTTAAAGTGATCACAAGTTGGACTTACCCTAGCAAACAGATACAGGAACACCGGCATTCCACCAATCAAACTCGCCGAAGTAACCAATCCTCTGTAACTTTGACTTTGTAACTGTGCCATGACGATTGGTGGAATTGAAAGTGGAGGCTGTTGAGATACCCTATGCTCCGGGTCAGATATTACTCGGAACCCTGGTTGCCCGGGAAATAGATTTTTAACGACAGCTGAAAAGTCACGATTATCTCTAGACTACGATTACTAATTTTATTATTTATCCATACTAAACTCACCGTTGGTACCATTGGTGATAGCTTGGGGATATACATGAACCAAACTTGGATTTTGAGCTTCGTAAATTAGCAATAAGTTGTCTTGCAAATCGGACAAGTGTGCGTTTGATGCATCCATTAGTGAATCCCAGTCAATTTTTGAATCCCCTACTGTAATTTCGACATCGTGTCGTAATTGCGTTTTCTTTCCTGACCTTCTTCTATTCGAATCGAACTTTCCGCTGTCTACTATGTATTAAGATTGGAATTTCGTATTGCAATATATGAAAGACTGACAACCACATTAAATAGTTACCAAATTTAAGTTCATCCATTCCATTTAACGCTCCCGAAGCAATGACAGGTGAGAAGTCAGGCTTAATATTACTTAAGATGCAATCGGCAAGATTTGTGTGATTTGGTCCCAAACTTGCAAGATACGAAGCTTTTTCACTGTTAAATACTGGACATCTGTAAAGATATCGTATTCTTATTAGTTACAAAGTTTTCTGTACACAGCAAAACAACACAAATAAAAATTTATATTACCTAAAAATCATTAAATTACTAAGATACCAAGCTCCAATTGTAGGTGGTCCTGTTTGTCCAAGTAGAATACAACTAGTTCCTTGTTTCCTGACTAGAAGCCCGTCGAATGGTAACTGAGCGCGGATTTCTTTCCAACCGTTGATCCACATTACCATTTCCACTACAGCACTGTGTTTATTCAGAACAGTATCTTTTATGTTTAAAGCTAAATGATGCCATTTGCCCGACGGTAATAAACCATTTATCCACGTTTCAGATATCGTACGGTTAGTTTTGTCATCGGGACGAGTGAGTCGTATGATAATTTTATCTACAAAGATTAAAAAATTGATGGGTAAAATTTTTTCGACCGTAGAAAGTACAAGAAATGTATTGCGTAATTTTTATACCAGATCTCAAATCAAGCCACATTTCCAAGACTAATGATTCAAATCCAATGGACATCATGTGGAGTATAGATACAGGTACAGGAGGAGATGAAGATCCAAGAGTAACTATAAATTACAAATGTTAATTAATTGGCTTGCATAATTCATAAATTGTGCGATTAAGCGCCTACCTTCTCGACTCCAATTATCCGATAGCAAACCCCAGTCCGATAAACTATCGCTTTCCGAGTTGCTTAAAGGAGTGCTGTCGTTCGAAATCTTCAGACCTTTGCTACTCAAGCTTGAACTACCTCGTTCAACTCTAAGCCAAAGTGAAGCTGAGCATCCTTGCAACCAAACTGGCCATAAAATTTCAGCAGTCAGCGGTAGGCAAACCGCGTGTACCGACCACGGACTACACACTTCCATGGCAATGTGCTTTTTCCTAAAGTTAAGCACGAGGTTCTCTGCTTTTTCTGCACTTCTGTGGTCGTCGGTACTGAGTCGAGTAATCAGTTCTTCGTAACTCACGGGGAACGAAAGAATGAAGTTTGGTTGCGGCTTTGCTGTGATGATTAATTTGTGAAGTGCTTCGAGCAAATGAATGAGCGGCGATGAAGGAACTTTGAAGAAAGCTAGATAGGTTATTAATTCCGCTGGTGAAATTGATTGCATAGCAAGAAGAGTGAATACTTCGAGAGCTGCCTGTTGTAAATCTGAAAATTAAACAAAAAATTTTACATAAAGTACTTAAATATGAAATTTGTCTGTCACAAAAAAAAATACCTTGACACTGAGGATCTTGACTGTGAAGAATTTCCTTGAATCCTTCGAATATCCTCGCAATAGCTCCATTTGATGCTAAAGCAGCGCAGCTTGTTGTACTTTCTTTACAAATCACAGCAACTCTTCTCAAACCACTGACAACAATTGCATTTCTGTCACAGTCTAATCCGCTGCAAATAAATAAGCTTATTAAACAGTGTATGCTTTTAAATTAGTACGTCAACTTACTATTTCGAAAAGTAGATCAAAAGATCGATCGTTAGAGAGCATAAAGCAGGATGAGCATTAACGGTTCCTTTCGAATCCGACATCCCATTGAAAGGACTAAATTTTTTCGACGAAACGTCTTGTAAATTTTTCACTGGAATCTCCACGTCTGCCTCATAGCCATCGTCGGCGGTGATGTATTCACCAGCACTGCTATCATCGGGTTCACCCCAGTCAGTCGAAATATCCATTGTTGATAACTAGAATATAAACAGCAGTTTTTCTCAAATAAAAAAGGGACAGTCTCTCGTGTCTCTCGTGTTTGGTCGTTCATAATTTATCTGCGGGTGATATATGTTTGTTGCGCAAAGATCAATCGGAAACTTACTCTCGTTCGATTGTGCTGTGGCATCGCTTGCTCTTGACTAGGTCTTAACATGGATATTTGTAAAAGCATTTCTATCAATGCGCTTATCCCACGTTTTAATTCAATTTTTTGTGTCATTAGCGTTTCTCGTAAAACTATTACTATGTCACGCTCACCTACAAACAGAAAATAATCTCATCAAAGAGTAAAATCAATTGACTCTGACTATTAAATTAAATGATAGAGCCAGTAAGTCTCTCAATAATATTTGCAAAAAACTAAGTTGCAAAAAAAAAAAATTACAACTACAAAAATTAAAAAACGAACGTTTATTCCACACGTTTCCGACTCACCAGGCGTAGATGCAACAAGACAACAGGTAACAACAGCTTCCATCACCCTCAAAGCAAACTTATTTCCAGCTGTAAGACAATCATTCGTCACAATAATTCTTCGCACATCAAAAACTTTCTCAACTACTAAAACTTGGACTACACTCACCGCTAAGTTTATCCGTAGCGATAGCCACGGCTAACATCTGTGCGAGAGTTATGCAGTTTTCAAAGATCGAATGTCGAACGAGATAAGATCGAAACTTTGGACTACTCAGTATAACTCCAGCTGCAGCTCTCCAAACACCGCTAGCTTGATGAAAAATAACTTTCTGCCTCGAACTATCAACGTCTTCGTTCTGCAAAATAACCAACAAGGAATTCGTCTCCTTCTCTAAGTATTTAAACATCGCTATTGACGCAGGTCCAGGTTCTGTTCTCTCTTCCTTGATCTCCATCACAACGGATATCTCCAGCAATGCGTAAACATGTTTAACGTACATCTGACTTGTCAACAAACTCAGAACTTGATCGAGAGCATTGAGTTCGGAAAACCTGGAGAACATCAATGGATTGACAATCAGTGCTGTTGTTGCCGAGAGGCACGATTGTATCAAAAATTTGAAACTGGCCGAATCAGCTTGTTTGGCTTTCAAAAACGTTGGATAAAACACTCGAAACAGAAGTTCATGCTTCACCGATAGAATAGCATTGCCGGTAACTTTCAGTAGATGTCGCATAACCGCACGACAAAGTTTCGCATTTTCGTGGCACAACACTTGAACGTAAAGCTCAACAAAGTCCCAGGAGCTGACGTTGAACGAGCTGCAAGAGTTACAAATGTCTTGAGCGTCCGATGGATAACCACCGAGTTCCTTGAAAATAGTCCTCTCTAGAAGCGCACAAGATGCCGCGTAACACTGCGTGCTGGCACGTCTGAGGAAAGCAACGACGTTGCCAAGGAGGAATTTAGCGGGAAAACAGCAACAGGTACCGGCAATGCCCATTACCTTCACGATTCTCAACTGCAATTCCGGTGCAAAAGTTTGGCTTCGCTTGAGCAGTCCATTCAAGCTGGCGAATAATACCGACACTGCACACATGGATTTTAATAACGAAGCTCTGGTGACCATAAGATGAGCTGGTTCTGAGAAATATGCCAAGCCAAGTACGTCCAAGTGATGATGTTGTTGGTTCGTCTCCGGCGGGCAGTTTTTGTGTTTGGCTCGACGGCAGTGACTCCCGTGTCTCATCTGTTGCCGTGTGCGCTTCAAAGTCACAATCAACGAACCCAGCATGTTGATCACTCCTGCGGCTCGAATCACAGTTGCCGTTGCCTCGGTACTCGGTAACTCGAGGATGGTCTGAATAGCGCGCTCAATTAATCGGCCATCCTGACTCTCAGCGAACAATTGGAACAACTCGAGAAAATCCTTGAGATTGTCATCATTCGTGCGCTGTTGTTGCTCGAGGAGGTAGTGTAAAAAACCCAACGCCGCTTTCATGCCAGCGAACACGAACTCTCGAAGTAACGAGCCTTCCTCGAGACTCGGCGCTGGTGCGTTAGACTTCGTACACGCAGCCTCCAATATTCTCAAGGTCATCGGCAACAGTCCATTGTGAATAATCGGACTCGCAGCTTCGTCCGTCTCCAGTGCTCGTTCCAATCCCGTCAGCATGAGTCTCGATACCGTGGCTTTCAGTTTGGCACACTGGAGTGGGGAAAACTGGTGACTGAATTCGCTACCAGTAAACTCAAGACTCCACAAAGTGTCGAGGGCGAACTTGAGAAGTCGCATAGCTGGATATTCTTGCAGCGCAGAGATAAGCTGAACTATCATCAAACTCAGCTCGAATCGACTTGCTGTCGAGTTAATGACTGCGCTCGTTCGCTCATCCAATGCTTCTTCCCATTTTGTGGTCATCGAAGTTTCACGACTCTCGCACTCGTCGCTGACTTTATATCGTTTTGTCAAGTCGTCTTCGCTTCTCACGACGGACGTGAAGTACTCGAAATCCATTGGATTCAGACGGATTTTCAAGGTTGACGAACGATCGCTCGGTGCAGCGTTTACGGTAGCTGCCTCGGATTCGCTGCTGCTGCTCGCGCTGCTCGTCGGCAAGGTCGGTTGTTGTTGATGCTGCTGCTGCTGCTGCTGTTGCTCCTCGATGAGTAAGGAACGCGAACGACGTCTACGACGCCTTCGTTCGAACACGTCATCCTTGAGCTTCTTTGCTGCGAACATGATGGGAGAATATATTGTGCACATATTAGTTGTGCAATAAACATCGTTGGATTATTTAAATGCGCATTTTCAATTGATGGCCGAGGTTATGTAAAGGGTGACTCGAGTGTAGTGACGGCTATTGAAGAATTTCGATGGTAAAGATTTTTTCGATTTCAGCCCCGAAACTTGGTCGATTAGATTTTTATCGTTATTTTCGTAAGCCTAATTGTCATCATTGAAAATATCAGTGCTTGACGTTATCGAGTATTGTCTTATTTAACAGTAAAGTTCTGCTATTTTTCTTGTCAGAAGGTCACTAAACAGAAAATGCAAATATAAAAATGTTGACGACTCATCGCAGCTTATTAAAGAGTGAAAACTCCCGCAACCACGTAATCTTCTCAAGTACCACGTATCAAAGAAATCTCAATATTCCATAAGAAGAACTTCAAAATCATCAGAAATGTTTCATGCATATTTAAGGAATAATCGAGGCATTGTATTTGACGATGAAAAAAACTTGATCGATAATAATTAGTTGAATCGTTTAATTATCAAGCAATATTTCACCAATAACTAATTGAAACGTCATTACTTTGGTAATGCAAGCTTGCAAAGAGAAACAAAAACTCACCACCAGCTTTTCGCTTCTTGTGTCGCCTTGATGGCATCCCCGTCTCCAACGCCGACACATCAAATCCATCGTCAACAATGTCCTGTTGCAGTGTTAAATCCAAATAAGCATTTTCTTTGAAGTCACAATCGCTTGGAGCCAAAAGTGGATAAAGCGCGAGCAGCAGGTCCAGCAATTCTTTGGAGCATGTCAATTCACGGAGACCCAAGAGACGTAGAACGGCAAGACATCGCCACCCGCGTTCGCGACTCAGATAAGCGCGCAGACTGCTCAATTCGTTGCCTGCCTCGCACAGACGATTCACATCAGCGAGAAACTCGTGGCTCACCAGTGTCGCTACGCTACCTTCGCCCACCGTGCTAAAGGATTGTGTGCGTTAATTAGAAAACGATTCATTAATGATTCGCTAAAGATAATATTCCTTCTCCGCGGGTATGCGTAAATTATTATTCATGTTTTTTTCCTTGCCGTTGCATAACCTTCGTGTCATTTATAGTCCCGCAAAGGTATGCCGATCTGATTGCTGTTTTCTTCGATCCAAATTAGCAGCGAATGTAAAATCATTCGGTAAAAACAAAACGAGAATTTTGCGGCAAGCGCCAATGGAATTCGAGCCATCGTCCAGCGCGATAAATATTTTACAAAATATTCTAACGCCGAGCGTTACGTAAATCCGTTGAACATATCGCATTACGTTTACCATAGGGAATTTAATTTTCTTCTATATGAATGCGTTCTTTGACCTACTTTTTCATTAAGAAACGTGCCATCGACAACAAGAAAAACGTAATTTATGGGTCTATAAGTGTCACGATAACAAACAAATGACAATCACCGAGCAACCATTACAAGTACAATAAAAACAGGCAACAATTTGGTTACAATTGAAAAGTGAATAGTTGAATAGATATTATTTAGCAACCGAAACGACAAGTAGATAAATTTTTTTATCGCGATACTTTTGTGGTATAAACATAAGTATCGCGATAATAAATACACGCTACAACCGAAAAAATGAAGTGACACAATACTTGATTTGTTGTCGTTGTAACAGAATAGTTTCAGCGCAAAGATCGACAATGATATGCGCGATGAATAATGCGGTTTACGTCCGTTCGAAACCGGTGTGCAAAACGATACGTTCGACCCCACTGTGCAACGCTCGCTCGGCACAAGTATACTGACCAGAAGGAGAGAGCATCCTTGGGCTCGCGACCTTCTCGCACCTGTGCAAGTAGCTCCGCTAGGAAAACATCGAGCCAGCAGGATTTCTGCAAAAGCGAGAATAAAAATCACTTGACCGTTATTCGGGGGGGGGGGGGCAAACAAACAAAACGGCGTTCGCCAGATCTACCTCCTGCGATTGAGACTCGGCTTGAATGAATTGATCCCAAAGAGACTTGAGTCTGCAGTCGGCCTCGGCCATCTCTCGCACTCACTTCAGCGTCGACACCATCGTCAGCTCGTCATCTCGAATCGGTTTGGGGGTGTGCCTGCAAAACAACGCGATTGAAAGCTCGCGCGTGCCTGGTGACGGTTGTCTCGCGCGTGCTCGAGGGACGAGTGCACGCGACGAACTGACTCGCGGTAACTTGCACGATGGGGTCCCTCCTCTCGAGCGGCTACTTTATCTCCTTCTCGCGGCTGCGTTTACTGGCGCACAGGCACGCATAAGCCGAACAGGCCTTACGTAAGTGCACGATGTCCCCCTTACTCGCAATGCGTTCCGCGATCTCTCTCTCTCCCTCTCTCTCTCTCTCTCTATCTCTCTCTCACTCTCTCTCTCTCTCTCTCTCTCTTTCTCTCGCTTTTTCTTCACCACCGTCCTCCGCGCTGCCACGGAGAAGCCAAACAACTGTTTTCCGAGTCGATATATGTACCCCGAATAAACAACCTCGTCGCAGCTTTTTCGAGCCCTTATCGTTCTACGCGGACACTGCTGCTTATCGATATCTGCCACTGTATGTGCAGTTACTGGCTTATTTACGGCTCTCGCCCGTGATTCTGATTCACTATTCACCGAGTGCTTTAGTTTTCTCTTTTACGTGCTCAAATCGAGATTAAAGAGGATCGGTCACCGATCGAACGAGTGATTTCCAAGCTTTTTCATTTTCAAATGCCAAATTGTGTTTGCTTCGCAAACGTAACTAACACATCCGATGGAGTTTAGAATGTACATGTCGTTTCGTTTGTGCGAACAAAATTGCCAGAAACAACAAACAAAAGAACAAGCGCGACATAACAAATAAAGAACCGCGAAATGTTGAAATTCAAAAGTTCTGTACCTACGCGTCGATAAACGTAAATTCGTGTTTTATACGCAAAAAGAGTCGATGCATCAACAGTGAAACTCTTCAATAACAATTATCTGCCGCCAGAAATGATTGTCTCTGTTTTGTTGAAACCACGTGTGCAAAATAGTCATTCACTTCTCTTCAGACTAACGAAATAAAACTGAGCGAAACGATCGTTTACGCACGCACTCTTACGGTTTGATTTTTACTTCCGCGCTGCACCGTTGCGAAATAAGATTAATAACGATTGACGTAATGATCACGCGAAAACCCCTTCTTACCTTAACAACAAATAGGCGTTATCAGGTGCACACGAGCCTGCCGATTTCAAGCGTGATAAGTGTAGAGTTTCGACTTATAGAGGCGGGACAGTTGAAAGCTCATGTAGTATAAAGCCCCAGGGACTATATAGGGTCACTATATATATACTCACAGCAGTTACAGCAGCAGTAGATTTACATAGGTTTTAGTAGGGAAGAAATATAATGAGTGGCATTGCTCGCTGCAGTAAGTACGATCGAGACGCTATATTTATTATTACCGAGCTCAATAAGTCGGCCAGTGCACATGCGTTCGCCGTCCGACACTTGAGTAGCATCGAAGGTATTTAATCGTGCTACCCCCGCTGCCAGTATGTCAGTGTGCCTCGTTAAAAAAACTTGTAGACGACCTAACCTCGTTTTGCTCGGCTTCGTTTGACACGCGAATTATGTGAAAAAACGAAACAAAAATGCGTCTTTACGGCAAATTTCTTTGCAACCCTTATGCTTGGAGAGAGAGGGCTGCGACGAAAGTCTCCTTCGACGCTGTTACTCCGATAATAGTTGTGCCGCTGTTGATGTTTGTAGCAGCACAAAGTTTGTTGTGTTCGGTTGTCGTGTTTTCATTGACGCCGCTTTTGATATACTACGTTCATCGCAACTTCCTCAGGTTTCTCATGAGGACCAAGTTCTTCTTCGTGTGGATTATTACGAGTATCTTTGTTCTAATGCTCATCTTCGAGGTGAACGTTGTGCCATTGCTGGAGATCCTGCCTGAGGAGAATCTTGCCTTCATGATTTTCGTTATTGGTGGACTCACTTTTGGTTTTATCACTAGAGAGAAGGCTGAACATCCATGGACTTACAACGATGAAGCTTATGAAAGGCTTGAGCTTGGTGCAGTTTCTGTGGATGCTTGTAGTATATGTAAGAAATCTACCCAACCCATGACTTACCATTGTAGAGTTTGTCAGACTTGTGTGTCTGGTCGACAGTATCACAATAAATGGTACATTGTAAGCTTGTTAACTTTGAGATAGTTGATGCAATTTTATTTTGTAGAAAGAAATTTTATTTCAAAGAGTCAACACATTGAATTCAAATAATGACAATGGTGTTCTTATAGGCTAGATTGCTGTATTGGTGCTAGTAATTTGTGGTGGTACTTGGCATGTCTGTTCTCTTCTGCATTTGCATTGATTTTTGGATCAAACTTAACATTCACTACTATTTGTCATCCATTTGTATTTGTATGGACCATTCTGTTGCCTGACGATTGCAGTGATGCATATCATCAATTAGAGTAATTATATTCTCTTCTAAATTTAGTATATTTAAGAGTATTAAAAGTATTACGCAATTGTATTTACTTTTCAGTATTTCTATTTGTTTTGTCGGCGGAATCTACAGTCTGCTTCTTGGAACAGTCATGGCCTTTTACTTCTTCTTTCATCTGTGGTTGATGTATCAAAAGACAACAGCAAATGAGAGAAAACTACTTTATAGCACTCAACCTACTGCTGGATTCTTGAGAAATGCAGCTCAACGTTGTTGTAAATTGTTGTCTTAATCGATTTTTTAGAGCACTTACAAGTAGGCACTTAATTTATCTTTGAGTTCATATTTTCAAAGATTATTTAATTTAAAAGCTACGGTCAAAAAACTAAACATCTTTGAAATTAGCACATTATTTAGTCAGTCTAATCAAAGTACATATCGCTTAGTGTCGGCATTTAAAACGTAGACACGTACGACTTATTGCATATTGAATAATTGTAACTGTGATACTTACAACTACAGTATTATCGAAGTGAAGAAATTAGTTTACAAAGTTTTAATGAATTTTTAGCTTATTTATAATTAAGACAAACGACGTCGTTATAATTACTGTACAATGATAATTGATAAGTTTACAAAAGGAAAAAAAAACGTGTGTGCATGTGTGTGAGCACACCTACTACGTTATTGTATATTTAAAATAAGTTACTTAAGAAACTAGTGTCACACACACACACACACACATTCGCGCACTATACAGCTCAAGATTTTAATGTAACATTTTTCCATTTTGGAGTATCGTTAGGAATAAATTTTTTAATTAAATCCCTCCACTCGTCTCGTCTACGTTCTCTTTCATTCACATCATCTGCAATTTCCATGTATTGCCTCCAAGTGCTAAAAAACATCTCTTTTAGCCGCCTGTCGTGATGTCTTTTGGCCTTCATTTCTTTCTGCTGTTCCTCCCCTTTAATCCGAAGATGCAACGTGAACCAAGCTCTTATACATTTACTCTGCAGTTTCATCTCGCAAAAGTCTACGGCGACCTGATACTTTTGCTTCATATCCAGCGCAAAATGTTTCCAGTCGTGAAAGCTATACCATAAAAGATTTCGCTGATAAAATTTGGCGGCTAACCGAAGTTTTTCCGCACGCTGATCCAAGTATTCAGTTTTCCACGCGGCAAATATCTTCACCATCAACGTTAGTCCGTAATGCTGATCGGCTGTCTGCAAATAATTACGCTTTTGCTCGACGAAGCTGCCAAGTGGTTCCAGTGCGTACTTGCGAAAGAGGTAGCGCTTGTAAAATTGATCCGCCATGTGCTCCAATCTTTGATTCCTTTCCAATTCCCTTTTACGTCGCTCTTCCAACTCCTTTCGCTGTCTTTTGGCCTCTTTCAGCGCCTTCGCAAACACGAATAGCGTGATTGATATAATAATACAGGCAACTGGATGTGTGTCGTGACGACAATATCTAAAATTATTCTATACTCACTTGAAGCTGTCGCTGACGCTCTTGTTCTTCTATTTCCTTGCGACGTATTTCTTCGCGTCTTTTTTCCTCTTCTCTTCTGCGTTGGTGAATTTCTTCGGTTTGACGGATTCGCTGCTTGCGAATTTCCGCGCGTGCCTCCATTCTCAACAAGAAGGTTGGCGTGTTGCCGGGTATTTGTGGGATTTCGGTAAGTGTTTTGTCCCTACGACAAAAGTGTTGCGGATTATAGCGTATTGATTTTGTCGCCTGTTGTTTTTAGTATCGTCCTTGAATTGCGACAAATTGAATATTGAAAAAGTTCGAGCTTTTAGCAGTTGAAAAAAAAATGTTAAACATAATTTTGATGACATCAACGAAGAATAATAAGACAGCTAGTGCTGTTATCCGACGCGTGAAAAAAGAAACAATCGATAGTAACTGCAGATTGTCTAACGAAAAATGAACTCGTGAGGAATAGAAGTAAAATGCGGATCGACGAGCGAAGTAACAATGGCAATTTGCCGCACCTGCATCCCTGTTCTCTCATCAAATGCAAGATGCTCCTCCTAGTTCTCTGATCGCACTGTCCCAGAGCTTGTTTGGCCATCGTCATGGTCTCCTTGTTGGTCCTCTTGGCCTGCTCGTCCAGCTCTTTCAACCTCATCTCCTCGATAACTCGCCTCTGCTCCTCCAGCTTGGATCTCTGCTCCTCGATTATGCGTTTCTGTGCTTGCAGTCGACTCTTCGCCACGATCGACGAGATGTCTCGGCTCGTAGTCTTGCTGCCGCTCAAGGTACGCGCTTGAGACGTGGCTTTGCTCGCACTTGGCGGTGCACTTTTGGCTTTCTTCTCGCTGCTGTGCTGCTGCTGCTGCTGCTGCTGATGCTTCTGTCTCTCGGCGATTGCCTCCACCAGCAACTCGATCTTCTCCTCTTTGCTCGCTTTGTCATCGTGCTGGGCGATCTTCCGAGCTGCCTGCAAAGCGCGCTGGCGCGCCTTGTTCCTCCAACTGGCGAAACACTGGCGAAGTCGCCGTGTCGAGCTTCTCGTCTCGATAGCAGTGCGAATCTGGCGCAGCTCGCGCTCTCGAGTCGCGTGCTGTCTCAGTGCTCCGAACGCTCTCCGTAGACGACTCTCGTCGCCGGATCGAGGCTGCTGCTGCTCCTCCTCCTGCTGTTGCTGCTCATGGTGCAGTTGCTGCAAGCCCGGCTTGTCTTTGATCGTGACTTTGATCACGTCCACGTTCAGCGCGTCGATTTGCACCATTTTCACACAGCCGAGGCCCAATCAGCCCACGACTATCTGTTTACCGCGGGGCCAATTCACTCGTCGTTAAGGGAGACGCAACAGGGCGTTTGTGAACATGCAATAGCGTGCGGTTTAGAGAGAGAGAGAGAAAAAGAGGGAAACACGAAACTCTTAGATGTCAATGCCGAGCGAGATATTTATTATATAGACACAGGCATTTCAGCGGCAGAAGCGTGAATATCGTTGACATGAAAAAGCAATCGGCGCCCGACGATGATTAATTTTAATGATCCCCTGAATCATCTTCTTTTGATTACAGATAATAGAAAAATTATGTTTCTTCAACTTTCTATAAACATCATAGCATGGAACCACGATATTAAGTACGCGGTACGATTTCTTAAAGAACGTATATTTGGCTTGCCTTGTTAAGATGCATACATGCAATTAATTACTTAGGTATGTACGTATCTACCACGAGGCTATATATTTGCAATCTCGTTACGTGGCATTTGATAGAATAATACATAATATTGATCGTCCAATAAAGAAAATTGTTAGTTTTTTCGGTCGATACCGTAATACATTCGTACCTAGGATCGACGAAAAGTGATACAGGGTAATCTTATAGAAATATACGTTCTATAAAAAAACCAGTGTTGTCAATGGAAATCTGAAAACTGGAGCGATAGAATCTTAGTGCAAAAAAATTACACAATCAGGGCGTCAGAATAATTCACTTATACTCGTGGCTGCCGATAAACATTAATTTTCAATCAGACTGGCTAATCTCTCGTAGATTGATAAAGCCTAAGATGAAACGTGCAGTGTTTATATCGACAATTTGCAATAAGCAAAAGGAGATATTCTATTACCTATATTTGCGTGGCAGTTGCAAAAAGTTGTCGAGAGATAATATTGAAATGAGTAACTATACAGATGAGCTTTATCTGCGCAACGAGTGAACTAACCTATATCAATCACATTTCACGTTTCGTTTTTTTTGTCGATGATAGCAAGCAAAACCAAGAATCACGAAAATAACATTATTGTTCAGAAATGAACATTTTCAGTAGCTGTGAATAAAAATCAAAAAATCACCTCGCGACAAAAAGGTAAACAGTGCTAATATATATTTGCACATTACGATCAAAGTCAGTTGTTGGATTTTAAATTAATACGAAACGTTCAAACTCACGATTTATGTTTGGTATTCGACAATTGGATCGATGTAAAATATGAAAATAAATAAATAATCTTACTTGTAAGAAAAATCCTTGAATATAATTGAGCTGGTGTCTTGCTGTCAAATTCAATCTGAGCCGACTGTATAGCTACAGCCAATTATTCGCATCGATAAGACAGAAATCCTTCAAAACCACTCGACCGCCCGGGCAGACTTCGACCAGGTCCGGACTATCGATCGACAGTCGACAGTTCGAAGTTCAACACCGACCGCTGTAGACATTGTGCAAGATGGCATTACTAGTTCTGTAGCTATAGTAGCAGTATACATATATATATATATATATATATATATATATATATATATATATACAAGTACAACAGTGAACAGACGCAAAGATTCTGAACAGACGCTGTTGCTACAACTCTGCATTGCAAGTAGTGAGACGCTGTCAAAATACTCAAAATACGCACACAGCTAAGCAATGTGCTTTCCCTTGCGCATAAAAAAACATGGCCGACAGATAACCATAAATATATTTCAATTTAAGGGACTAATATTTTTATAATAATTAGAAAATATCTAGAAAAATCGTCCACGAATCGTTAGTAGTAGATGATACTATGAAATCTAAAACAGCTGGATAAAAAATTATGAATACACTACATCTTTACAAGTGTCCCTATTACCAGAGTAATCAGAGAATTCTTGTTTGTATTAATTTTAAAACAAAATTGTTTCTGCATTTGATTCCTTAATACTTCAACAATGGATATACTTCCAGGTAATTCAGAGTTCAATATTTTCTATATACTGAATGCTAATTAGAATAAGTAACCGATGTTCAATATCAAAATTGTGCACCTCAGTATATTTTCTTTTATATAAGATTGTAATGTAAGTGCTTCTATTATACCATAAGAAAATTTATTTATTTATTGTAATGTATGAGAACACATTTTTATAATGAATTGATAGTATTTATCTAGACGTATTGAAACTATTATAAATAAATTTTTTCGCTGTTTCAATAGCATATAGAGATTCAAATAATATTTACAATTTTAAAACTATCATAATCATAAAAAATTGACAAACAAATCTTTATTGATAGTTAATTACTGTTTTGAGTTTCTGTGAAAGCTTTGAGTAACTTGAAAATTGAAGATTAGAAGCAATACATGGAAATTTTATTGTGAATTATGTGAAAATATTTTAAATCTGATTATTTTAGTTTTCAAGATCCTAATGGCAGGGGCATAGTTTTCTGACTTTTCAAAATTCTTCAAAGTATTGATTGCTATTTGGCAAATAATTATTCAATGAACAGAAAAAAATCTGATAGACAAAACAAATATAATAATGTATTAATAAAATATTTTTTTTGCTATTAACATCGAGTTCATATTTAATTTAAGTTCATAGTTTATAAAATTAAAAAAAAATTGAAAAATATAAATTGTACATGTTTGAACTTTGGTATTCCTTTGAGTATATATATACTTTTAGATTGTATTTCATATTTATTAACAATATTAGTTCAGTTTCAATTTTTTGTTCATTTATAACATACAGTGTCAACGTTTTTCCAGCTTAATAACTTATAGTAAATACGTATATCTGTACCAAGAACTTGTACAGCGAGAACCACATAATTCATGTAAAATTTATGAATTACTAAAAATTGAACTATACCAATGAAATGAAGACTTCAACTCTACAAAAATTTAACTGCTACATGTGTGATGGAGATAATTGCAATGCATCTTTGGATGAAAAGCCATACTGTGAAGAATCAATATTTGTAAGTTAGAAGAAATTTGAAAAGTATAAATCACATATCATTTATATCAAGTATTAATAATTAATATTAATAATATATCTAAATTAGTGTTGGAAGTCAACAGTTCGTCAACCGGACGGCACAACGAGAAACAGCCGAGGTTGCATTACAAATCGCGACCAAGTACCTTTGTATTGCAACAAGCATTTGGAATTATCAGGCAATAACAGCACGTCGGTTTCCATTAGCGGCAAGGGTAAATTCCGCACAGAATGTTGCCAGAAAGAGCTTTGTAATGGTGGACCTTTTCCAGTTTTATATGATCCCACTGATGGTAAATAATTAACTCCTGCTTCTTTGACAATGATTTACTAAAAAAAATTAAGCTAATTATGTATTTCCATTTTTTTTAGCGGCCTTAGAAAAAAGAATGAGCGTGATTAAAATAACACTGGCAGTAATTGGTCCTATACTAGCGTTAAGCCTTATAGTAGGCGCAATATTCTTTTATTATCGTAGCTATCGCAGCCGAACACGACGAGGCACGAAGCCGTCTTGTAAAAAGCACAACCACTATCAGCAACAGCAGCAACTAATCGAGACGGGAATGGATCACCAATGTATGCCTAGTGGATTTTTATCTAACGCCACTGGTGGAAATAGTTGCAGCGGCGCTGGGACGAGCTATTCACACGAATTACGAGCTACTGCTGCAGGCGATAGTACACTCAAGGTAAATTCAACAGCATAAGTGCACAGTTGAATGTGATATTAATATGATGAATACCTATAGGAATACCTCGAAGGCCAGAGCTTGACGAGCGGTTCAGGCTCGGGACTGCCACTACTAGTGCAACGAACTTTGGCCAAGCAAGTAGCTCTAGCCGAGTGTCTGAGCAATTCAGGCTCGGGTAGTTTTGGACCAGCACCACACCGAGAGGTATGGCGTGGTATCTGGCATGGCGAGAACGTCGCTGTGAAAATCTACTTTTCGCGTGACGAAGCTATGTGGGCTCGAGAGACCGAAGTGTACTCTCAACTATTACCTTCACGACACGACAATATTCTTGGCTACGTTGGTAGCGATATGACAAGTCGCGCAAGTTGCACCCAACTCTGGCTCGTGACTCATTATCATCCACTTGGTTCGCTCCATACTTATCTTCGACAACGTACCCAGCCATTTAGTTATCACGACATGTTCAATGTGTGCCTGAGTATCGCGAATGGATTGCTTTATCTGCACACCGAGATACATGGTACTAGAGGCAAACCGGCTATGGCACATCGCAATCTCAACTCTAAGAATCTCCTCGTCAAAAATAATGGAGCTTGTGTTATTGCTGATCTCGCAAATGCCGTTACGCAGGACCGTCTTGTGCAGGACAAAACCAATATTCTTGATACAGTCAAACTTTCGTCCAAACGCTACATCAGCCCTGAGCTTCTAGAACAAACGTAAGCTCTTTATTTAAATATCTTAATTTTTATTGATAATGCGAAATTTGTTAACGTAAACATTCATCTTATTTTAGCAACGATCCACAGTGCCTAGAAAGTTTTCGTCGATCAGACATTTATAGTCTTGGCCTCATATTCTGGGAGGTCTGTCGTAGATGTATAAGTAATGGAGTAGCTTTAGATTACGCAGCTCCTTATTCCGAGTGGCTTGCCAATGCTAATCAAGAACCATCGATCGAAGAAATGCGTAAATTGGTTGTCGCCGATCAACGTAGACCTCCAATTCCTAATCGGTGGCATTCTGATTCGGTAATCACTTTTTGGATTTCAGATTTTTATATTTGATTCTAACGTTTGTTAACACACTCAAATCTAATTTTTCAGACTCTTGCGGGAATGGGAGCTATGATGAAAGAATGTTGGCATACAAAAGCTGCAGCACGTTTGCCAATACTTCGAGTAAAAAAAACACTTGTTAAATTGGCTTCGAATAATCCCGATGTTAATTTGCCATTGGACTAATACGAAAAAACTATAACATGAAATAGTACATTACGATACAAGTGCCGTACCGTATTTTTTGATACGACGTGTGGAAAGTGCGATTTTCAACGCACGTTGTTTGCCGAGCGTGCAGGAAAAACGCACTTTCCGCACGGAGTGTCGAAAAAGTAATTATTTGAATATGACTACTTATATACATTATGAGTTCCTTGGGTTTTATAAGTTAATATCAAGGTATAGGCCAATAAATTTTATGGTATAACCACACTTTATTTTGGTAAAATAAGTGTCTGAACGTTTCTCAGGCATTCATAATATTTGATATACCATATTAAATTTGATATTATATTGGACAAGAGCGAGGCAAACAACTCATGATTGTTCAAAGTTAAAATCGCTGATTGTACTGATTATTTCCTTGAAAAAGAGGCTTTTTTATTATTTTTTTATTACTATAATGATTATTATGTGCATCTGTTAGATCATAGAAAATGAAAATTTTAAATTATTATGAAATGTGTATTGTATGTATCAGTGCGTGCCTGTTTGTCTGATTATCGACATATTCGTCTGCTTTTAATTTAAAATGTATTCATTAATAAGCAGCGTTTTTCAATCTATTTCTTATAAATAATTTCGATTAAACTGATTATCGCAAAACACTAAGTGTTTACTTAGAAAATATGCACAATGATTATATATATATATATTGATGTAAATCTTGAATATTGATCGCAAAGTAGATAACTTTACCATTTTTTTACTTAATAAATATTAGCAAAGTCTAAAAAAACTTCATACCTAAATTTGTACTTTAACAAATATTTAGGTAAAAAATATTTATTGTATTTGAAATTTAAAAAATAAAATTTGTATAGAAATTTTCGGAATTCGCTTTTACAATTTTTTCACCTTTTCTACATCAACTGAAAAAGTTCTCACACTCTCTGCAGAGATTTTCTATTGATCTTATTTTATTCCAAATTAATTTAAACCTTTTTATATACAGCAAAAGAACAAATATACAATGCTTCAACTACTTTGAAATTCTATACTCTACAATATAATTTTTGACCGTAAACAATAAAAATATCTTGCTTTCTTTATAATAAAACAAACCCATTCAAATAGATTTGAATGTTATTTATTATTACGATAATTAAAACGTGTTAAAATATAATAAATTGTTTTGAAATTTTATCAAAATATAGAATATTCGTTGACAGTATCTTGCCAAGTAAATTAATTAATATTACGGGATTACTCCAGTGCCCCGAGAGTTATAGTACAGAGAATATATAGGGATCGTTCAATAAGTCCGTGACTTTAAATCAAAAAAACACTACTTATTTAAATAACTCCAATTTATTTTTCAACATAGTTTCTTTTAAACTCTATACATTTATTATAGCGGTATATAAGCTTTTTTATGCCCTTTGAAAAGTAAATTTTCATGGTATGGCGTTTACGCCCGAGCAAATCGAGGAAAAAGGCATATGAGGCGAGGAACTCTTTCCCGCGCGAACATCTATTGTACAGTATTTTTTGATACAACATGTAGAAATAGTACATTACGATACGAGTGTGGGAAAGTAGATTTTCAACGATCATTTTTGGCCAAGCGTGCGGGAAAGACATACTTTGCCCACGGAGTGTCGAGAAGATATATGAGACGAGAATCTACTTTTCGACACTCAGTGCGCAAAGTGCGTCTTTCCTGCACGCTCGGCAAAAAACGTGCGTTGAAAATTGTATTTTTTGATAAGACGTGTGGAAAGTGCGATTTTCAACGCACGTTTTCTGCCGAGCGTGCGGGAAAGATACACTTTGCGCACGGAGTATCGAAAAGAAAATTGTAATAAGCCCAAAATAGTGCTTCATTTGTAACATACTATACGACATGACATGTCGCGAGGTTTTTTTCAAAATTTTAACTTTCTCCAGCCTTTGAGAAAATCAGAAGGAAAACGCATTTGTGCGGAGATTTTATTTATTCTAAGTGCTTTATATTTTATGTTTTATTTGCTCCTGTTGAAAACATTGAAACTAAGAGCATACGTCCTCTATAGATATGTATGTTGTACACAATAATTGTGCAAAATTTCAAAAAAAATTTTGTTACCCATAGCATTTTCATTGATCCATTGAAATTTTACTTGTAATAACCGCTTTTTACTTTTATTTTCAGTCAATATTTCTATTACATTGATAATTATTTAAGTTTTTTATATTAATAACAATTACTTGTTGATTTTAGTTGATTCATCTTTTCGGAGGTAGGTAAGAAGTATGGCAAAGAGCCGACGTTTAAATGTGTGGGACCCACGGTTCACCTTTTATTACCTGTGTACATAAAAGGTAAGTCAAGCTGTATATAAACGAGTAATTATTTAAATTTTAATAATTTTTTGTGGAATAAATATAATAGTATTGCCTTTGAGGCTTTTTCGTTTTCGAATTGTAAAATCGATAAGATTAACTGAAATTCATTAAACTCCGGCTGGCAGGAAAGAAAAAAAAACGTTAAAATTGAGCTATAAAGCCATTTTCTTGATGCTCCGACAGTCTCACCTCTGATTTTTTTCCGAACACTTTTCACTCCCCAAATGTTTTTTCTGTTGTGAGACTTGTGAGCCAGGGGGCCTATTCTGAAAAAAAATTTTAGCACGGGGCCTATTCTGAAAAAAAATTTTAGCACATGTCATAAGCATTTATCACATCTAAAGTGATTAATTCTGTGGTAAACTGAAGTGACAAACTGATTTACCACAAAATTTTTTTTCAGAATAGGCCCCCAGGAACTCCAGGGAGAGTGCATGGAGACTATATATTAGTCTCCATGGGAGAGTGTGACAAACGTCCGCCATATTGGTACAAAATGGCGGAACCAATCAGCGCGAGGCATAAAATGGCTACACTCTTCCTAGACTCTCTCTATTTTACACTGTATCCGCGCGCCATCTGACAGATTTTCTTAAATTATGTTTATGCAGGCTTAGACACGGGGCTGGCCTTCTATAAGCGTCAATATTCATTGGTATATGAAGTCGTCTAGATTCGCCATCACTTGCCTAACAAGCAACAAGCCACAAAAAGCAATGCTGAAATTCTTAGAATGATACGTGAATGTGAAAACACATTATTTTAATTAGCATTTTTGATTTGTTTGTTGCTTTTGTCTTTATCAAAGTCAAATAACTTTAACAAAATATTTTTTTACAATCGTCTATCAGATTATTACTACTGAAAGTGTTGCTTACTAAATATGTTACAACAGAAGAGATCTTCAAGTCAAAGTGCATTTTATTACGACGGCTAATATAAACAGGTTAGGAAAAATTGAAAAAGGTATTGTATAGTTATACATATACATATATAAACTCCGTTATTTGTTAATTGTCTTGGGTATGCATTTCTTTCTGTTACAAAGTCTTGACAATATATTTTCGTATTAATCGTAAAACGAACAAACAGCGATTTTTTTCACGAAGGAAATTGTAATTTTATAGTACACACAAAGAGAGTCGGGAAATTTAATATAGTTTACCATGGCGGATGCATCTGTAAAGAATGAGCAACCAACTGATGAAACAGATGGCATTAATGAGCCAATGGATGAGATCCCATTAGAAGGTCGTCAAGATATGGAAAATAATAGAAAACAGGAAAATTATGAATCTAATAAAGTGAAAATTGAGCCATTAGTAGGTGTTACATTAGACATTATCAAAGAACAATGTAAAAACAGTGAATCACAAGATCACAAAAACGATAATGAACCAATGGAAGAATCTGTAAGTAATCAAGATTTGAATGGTATCTTTCCATTCTCAAATAATGAAAGTCAAAAAGTTATAATGGACTTAAGCAAGCCTATGGAACAAACTGCTTCTACATCTGTAGTTTCTGGTGAAAATAATATGTTTGGAGAGAGTGTAACAAGTTGCTCTAAAGGTATAGTTATTTACAATGGTCAAACAAATGTTACTATTAGATATTCTCAATCTGAATGTATTTATAGATAAAAATGTTAATAATAAAGATGTACCAAACGTTTCTGATAATGGATCAAATGAAGATTCTAGCAAGAGGCAGAAGTTAAATGATGATCTTCCTAACACTTCTTCTGAAAGTAATGAATGTGAAAGTGTTAGTGATTTCCGTAAGCTAATGTCCAAATATAAAAATAGAAATTATCGCAATCAAAGTAGTTCTTGTGATAATAATATTGAAGAGACTAGTGAACCACCTCCAGCAGATCACGAATCATCAAATTCAATACCTAGTATTGGATCTCCAGTCAATACTAGGGAAGGACTGGCTGACAGTTCAGATGAGAGAAGTGAAACTGCAGAAGGTATTTAAACTTCCTTATGCATCTTAAAAATACTGTTGTATTCATTCTATTTTACATTTCTATTAATTTTAACATAAAGCTAATTGCAATAAATATTCAAAACTTTTACAGAACTCTGTGATTCCAATGATACATCAATTAGTGATGATGAGATGCCAGCTGTCTTACAAAAAGAACCATCAAAAACTAACTGGAACTTATTAAAGGATGTAGTAAATAGGCAAATTGGACTCAATAATAATATTCCACAGCGTTTTTATGGCTCACTTCATGTAGTTCAACGTTTAGAACTTATGTATAAGCTTGAAGAACACGTTGTGAGTATTTTGTTTCCAATACTATTATAGCTTTCATCTAACTAACAACTTTTATGATCTACAGTTAATAAAAATGATTAACTTTTCAGGGCTGTGTAAATGCTTTAGGTTTTAATCAGCAGGGAAATCTTCTTGCAAGTGCCTCAGATGATTTATTAGTAACAATTTGGGATTGGGCTATTGGAAAGAAACGAGTAGTTCTGCCAAGTGGTCATCGTAGCAATGTTTTCCAATCAAAATGGTTACCTCTTGACGAATGTTTTGTAATATCTTGTGGTCGAGATGGACAAGTGCGCTTAATCGACATTCGTAAAGGTGTCACGCGGAAATTAGCTCACCACCGAGCTGCCTGTCATAAAATCAGTAATCATCTAGACCTACCTCACGTCGTGCTCTCTGCTGGTGAAGATTCTAAAGTTTTATGCATTGATGTCAGAGAAAACAAACCATCCAAGTAAGACTACATTTTGATGAATATTACATCTTACAATTGCATACAAAAACTTAATTATTATAATTTCGTTTTCAGATTACTGTCTGTTAAAGACAACGACCAAGAAGTAGAACTTTACAGTATCCATTCAAATCCCTTAAATAATTTTGAATTTTGCGTAGCTGGACGAACTCGGACCGTTAAAATTTACGATCGACGAAAGCCTACAGCTCCTCTGTATGATTTATGCCCCAAACACCTGGTATTAAAAATTACATTCTTATAATTATTGTCATTTTTAAATAGTTTCATACATTTAAATTTTATTCCAATTTTAGATATCTGATGAACTGGCTCATGTCACATGTGCAGTTTACAATCACAATGGGACCGAAGTCATAGCTTCATATAATAGTGAAGATATTTATTTATTTGATTCTACATCATCATATCAAAAAGGAGATTTTGCTCATAAGTATCAAGGACATCGTAATAGTGCAACTGGTGAGCATTAATGATAATTTCAAAACATTCATAATATAAATTCAAAACATTTTATTTATTATTCACGACAATGCACCATGCTTCAGTGAAAGGCGTTAATTTCTTCGGGCCGAATAGTGAATATGTATTATCTGGATCAGACTGTGGAAATATATTTATTTGGGATAAAAAGACAGAAGCGATCGTCCAATGGATGGCTGGAGATGAACAGGGAATCGTAAGTTCTATACCTTTTTATAAAATTCATTATCAATCTTATAAATTTAATTATAATATTTCGCAATTAATAAAATTTAGGTTAACGCTCTGGAACCTCATCCTCATATCCCGGTTCTAGCGACAAGCGGGCTTGACTACGACGTCAAAATTTGGATACCATCCCGAGAAAAAACACCTGACATAAAATCGCAATTACAATCCGTGAGTATCCAATACATTAGATCCTTTCGCGGAACGTCTAATAATATTAATGTAAAAGTTTTTTTGGATATAGTGCGTCAAAAAGAATTTAGCTACTAGAGCCAAAAATATTGGAGAGGCGGAAAGTGCATTTGCTGGACATGTTCTGTGGATTGTATTGCGACATGCACGTCAGGCCGGAATTCGAAGAGTATGCATTTTTATAAATAAACTTTAAAAAAGGTTGATTAAAATATTCACTAGTTATTCTTTACATTTCTTACAGCGCATTGATAGGATGAGAAGGCCTGATCGGAATCGAAACGTTTCAGACAGTGATAGTGATGTAATTGTTGTTGGTGATGATGATGATGAAGACGATAATAATGATAATTACGGTGACAACCATGATGATAGTTCTTCCTCTTCGCTAGATCTTTCTAGTGATAGTGATGATAGTTCTGACAATTGAAAATTGTCATATGTCAAAAGAAAACTTTAGCACTGAAAATCGTTACTGGAACAGGTCAATATTTATCAAACTGTTACATCAAAATTAGTAAATTAATATGAAAGCAAGAATCATTACGTTCAAAGTACTTAAATACGTCAAATTTCATTTTCTTTATACCAGTATCACTACTGCTTCAACACTGTCAAATGTAAATAAATTGTAAAATTCATAGTGAATTGATGAATATTAGTTTTTATTTAAAAAATTGTAAAACTGTAACAATTTTCATGTTGCAAAGACTGAGTTATTCATATGTTTTACAAATGAACAAAAGAAATGAAACTTGGTAAAAACAAATCTTTACTCTTTAGCTATCTTTTTCATATAGTTTTTAGCAGATTGTATAGATAACAAAATTGTTTCCTTACATAGGTAGTGAGAAAAATATTTATAAAATGTTTTATCAAGGTAGTACTTTCAATAGAGTTAAAATAAAAGTTATTTCACATTAATAATCTATTTTTCATTGCATTTACAAATTTATAAATATATACAAAGTTCGATTTTGATTCTTCACAATAGTTATATTCCACACGATACTTTTTTCTAAAAAATACCAATGGAATAAGCTAGAGCAGTATAAATGTGCAGAGTTACTGCGCCCATAACAATCGCACTTGCTGCTTTGATAAATAACATTGACCAAGGGCCAATCAAAAATGAAGCTATTAAAAAGTCAGCAATCAATGGCTTAAACACTGTAACTACTAACATAAAAACAACAACTGGTACTAAACTACGTTTCAAATCATGCCTCGACCATAGCCAGACTAGAGTTGCAGTAGTGATGTGTTGGACCTAAGATGTAGAATAAATTGTATTTAGAAAACATTTACAAAAGGAAATAATAGTAATGAACTTACTAAAGAAATATTAGATTCTAAACTTCTCTGCATGTATTTCCAGTCAAATTCAGCTCCTCTTGCACCAACCCACAGTAATAGAAACCTTGTTAGAACAACCTCGGCTCCAGCCCATCCGATTCCTGCTGTCAACACTTTAGCATGACCTTTACCTGGTATACCATTCAACACCAAGTATATTCCAGCTAAATCTGCCAAGTCAATGGAACACTTGAAAAACTCCTAATACATAGACAAATTTATAAATTTTGAAAGTGGTAGTTAGAAAGAGATAATATTTGTAGTGCTTACTCCAAGAAAGTCAAAACCCTTGTATCCTATGCTGTCTGCTGTAGGAAAGAAAGTAGCGAGGGCTAACATTTTTACAAGCTGTGTAAATACATAAATGCCACCTGCTTGGATACATTTCCAAAATGCTCCATATTCAGAACTGAAATCAAAATAAATATTCAGTAAAAATTACCTGCAAAAATAATTTTTTTATTCAGTAAAAGATCGAACTTACAGGCCTGAATACTTATAGGTTAAGTAATAAGGAACATAAACTAGTGCTAAACAATTACCAAAGTGATACAGAGTCATTTTGCTTAATACTGAATGAACTTATTTTACTAAGAAAATTTTGATATCCTAACTAAAGAAACGGACTTTAAAATGTAGGAAAGTTTTTCACTCCGATTTTATTTCGACATTATCATGCTATTGGGCATTGGCATTCCATTGTGACGTGTGAGGTATAGAAACCAACGTCGTGTTGGGGGAAGTATTTTGAAAAATTACTGCGCAAGACTTCACATAGATGAAAGAAATCTGTAAAAAATTGAGAAAAATGATAGAAAAATTGCGCGAAGTTAGCAAGGATAACAGAACTCATTAATAATTCAGCGTAATCGTCAATAAAAAAATTTCTTTAATAAAAAAGTTCCAGAAGTTGAATACTCCCAGATCAATAAAAATTGAATTTGCGTAGTGTTTTCATTTTGTTTTTATAAAAATGAGTATACACGTTGAATCGTTAGTAAAAATCATGGGAAATTTTTCTGTTCAATTAAAATATCATTATAACCATAATTTATAAAAAAATAATTATTATTGTTACAACGATACTATATATTGTACCTGAAAGATCAGTGGGTAACGTAAGAATTACAGCGTTCTGAAAATGGCTGTGCTGTACCCATATAAGCATGATTTTTCAAATATCCAACAATGTCAACTACTTTAATGATAGTTAATTTTTACTTTTTGTTTTCTATTGTTAAGATATAGCTTTTTATTAGATTTAGAGATTTCTCTCTAATTCTACAAATAGAAAAGCTTTTGCAAGATCAATAAAAGCATTAACAATTAGTGCATTTGAATCAAATTGATTGCAAATTGTGTTAAATATTAAATTTAATGCATTTGTGGTACTTTCTTTTTCCTAAATCCAAATTGCTTCTTAGAAATTAAATTACAATAATCAAAAAAGCTTAATAATCTTTTAACGTATCATTTTTTTAATCATTTTTGCTAAGTTGGAGATTATAATGATGTCGGTCTATAAATTGTTGTTAAATAATTTTCTTTGGCTTTATATATTGGTATGATATCAACTAGTTTGAGAGCATCAGGCCAATCCCTTATCAATGCCGATATTTATTGTATCAGTGGCTCACTAATATAATTTGTTAACATTTTTAACACTTTAGTGTCATATCAATATCCTCCATTCTTGTTTTTCATTTGATGAATGAAATTATTTACTTCTTTAGTGCTAGTTTCTTCAAGCAAAATATTTTTGCTATTTATAGACAATACCTTTCCAAGAATGCCGCAGTGTAAGCGGTCTACTGATAGGGATGGGTTATTGTCATTTATTAACGAAATTGCGCGGTGTTTCGCTATCCTTACCAATCATGCATAGTTTTTTTATAATTTTTCCTGGTTGATTTTCGTCGATTGTCCGCTGAGTTCATTCACCGCATTTCAAATTAAGATTTTATGTATAAAATCATTATACTGCATTCTTTCACATACTAATTGACATGTTTTAATACTTTACATCGCTCAATGAAATGTGATCAGAATTTGAAAGTTCAAGCGAGACTATATTTGAAAGACTATATGTGATCGTGATTGACATAATCAAGCTAACGTGAATCGTAAAATATAAATTGCTATGGTTATTGGGTGAAAGTTATGGAAATTCGGCGAGTTTCCATGGAAAAATGTGTAGTTGCTGAAAAGATGTTTTATTTTAAATGTTCGCTTCGTGGTCTGTGCTCCTGGCTGGCAGGAGGTCACTTCGCCATTCGAAAAAAACAATACCCGCTCAGATGTTTCCCAGCTGGTCTCGTAGGTCAGACTTTCTCTTTAGTTTAATGGCCACTGGGGCTTTCGTGACCGATAGGGGTAACGGGTTTCATCTAAGTACATTTGATGTATTTTGAGCTACTAAACACGAATTTCGATGGTGGATTATCCAGAAATATATGTCTAGCTAGTTATAAACAAATAACATTTTTAAATGACCATAAAAAATGTATTAATCATTTCAACAAAATTCGAAGATATATATACCATACGTTATCTAATCACGAATGCACTGGTTTTTTCGGAATAGAAAAATGTTGGATAGAACTTAAAGATATATTGACATAATAACATGATGTTATATAGGCAGTGTGAGCGCGACTGAGCAAGGCACGCAGAGAAACCATTGAGCTAAATTGCAAGAATATTTCAATAGGTCTATTCAATATTTTTTCTATATCTGAAACAGTCTCCTATGGATTCACTATAATACGATGAGAAATGCGTGGTAGTTTTCAAAATATTGGTGAGTTAGTTAATATACTATTTATAGTAGTCATTAAAATAATTAAATTGTTATAATAACTAACTAAACATTAATTTTCGAGTATGCTACCATCGAAATTCGTGTTCGGAGTAGTATATAGCTCAAAATACTGCATAAAATGCATTTATGCAGTATTTTGAGGTCTATAGGTACCGAATTCAATAATTTTCCTTTTGGAGTGGCAGGACTGACACAAAGGAAGTGACGCTTGTGACGTGGGGCAAACTCAGCAGTCGCAGCTCAGCGAACTCGTCAGGTTAAATTGCCAGTCACCACCTCAGGGTAAGTCGTTTTTTCTACCCCTTTCGTCTTAATAGAAATACACTGTTCCTTTCAAAGATATTTCCGAGTACGAGTAATTGAGTTCGTTCTTTATAATTATTCTTTTTTACTATCTTTACGTTGCCAAAAATTTATTTCAAATAACATTCAATAGATTAAATATAGTGATTTAAAAATAATTATCGATACGCGGAATCTAACGTAAGAACCGAGAACATTCAAACAGCTTGATCAGTTCGCGCCATATCCCGTAGTTCGATGACGTAAGTAAAAAACGTCCAATCAGATCGCACAACTGACAAACCCAACCCGTATCAGCTGTGTGTAGTGATCGCGTCGCATCTAATCAAAACAGCGCGTTTCGCGTCTTCGTCAGTGTGGCAGACGACGTTCTGCCTGGTCAACACTATATAAAATTATAGTAGTAGTAGAACAGTAGCTTGCTCCATCGATCTTATTGTTGCTTTTTTTTACACTTTTTAACTTTACCAGTGCTTCGCGAATTAACTGTTGCACTATATTGTCGTGATATCTAATTGTAAATAAAATTGCGCTTTGTACATAAATAATCGTTTTCCAAAAAGTAACCTCGGATAAATATACGTATAGCGCATATGTGATAGTGTGTGCTTGTCCAATGAGTTCTTGTATCGATGAATGTATAATTATAATTAAGGAACGATAAAAGCGACGTTGCGTATGTAATCTAGACATTTTTTGGTAAGTTCTGAAAGATAAGTCGCTAACTTTATTGTGTGTTCATTGATTTTGAAAGAATTTCTTTTGCTTCGAAAATTTACTCTGAACCTTTTTTTATCCTATTTTATCGAGGATTTTAAAAATGTATATGAAGTTGCCATTTCTCCTAGTTTGACTTGTTATTATTAATTCTTATGAATTAAACAAAAACTATAATACTGATAACAAATTTTCATTTAATTACAGATTCACTTTGTATGCATGACACCTAGTACTTTGGTAGAATACAGACAATGCATCTACAATCATCAGCAGCTTCAAGACAGCTTCCAGTCTTTGTATTTCCACATAGTATCACCTTTTATCTTGATGACCAATCTACTCACAAGCAAATATTAACTTTATATAATCCCTATGATTTTCCTGTGAAATTCAGAGGTATTGTAATTGACTTTTATACTTTTATATTGACATTGAAAACTTGATTGATAACGTTTGAAATTTTAACAGTACTTTCCACTGCAACTGAGAAATATGTAGTGTTTGATTCTGTAGGAACAATAAGATCGAAATATTGTATTGACATTGTTATACGACATACAGCTTTGACACCCATGAATTGCACAGTTGATAAATTTGAAATAAAGATGTATGAGTATCCCACAAACAAGGTGAATATTATAGTTTAATAATTATGTTGCAAAGTAATCACTAAGTTTGTATAAATTGTCACATATCTGATTTATTTATCAGCTCATTGGGATAAGACAAGTGAAAGCTAGAGTTATGAGTGGTGTTCCAGAGCCTTTGGAAAGAGTGAATTCTGAGGCAGATATATTTCAACAACTTCCAAATACTGGAAAGAACCAAAAGTCTTATTCTCTAGTGCCAAATAAGACTGTACAACGTAAATTTCTTTGATTAATAACAACTTTATATTTCTATTTATTTCAATTTATTAACAGTATACAAATGACAAATTTGTTCTTTTCAGAAGAAACAAACTATGTTGCTGTACTTGTTGGAGTAATATGTATAATAGGATTACTATTACCTTCAGAAGGAGAACCCAGTAATCGAATACCAGATTATCTTCACTTATCAATAAACATTAGGCTCATTTTGTCTTTCGTATTAGGTAAGCAATTCAAATTTTACTACTTTCCAAACAGTAGAGTGATTATACAATTTTGAGAACTTTAACATCTGACTATTATTATAGGTATGGTGACTATCATTTGTTTGAGGCTTTAGAACTTTGAAGATAACATGTAAAATATGACGTGTGAATGCTAATTACGAGATCTTTAACACTGTAATTTCTTACTCGTGTTATAGATATACGCACAATTTGGTGAAATAATTAAGTGTTTTTCTATGTTTTTAAGAAATTGTTGATTTCATCATGATAAATATAACAAAGATGTATATTTATTAATACTTATTATGCAGAATTAATTATAGATTGTACAAATTTATCGTGAAAATAATTTTGTAATGAATCCAGCAGAATTGCACAAAGTTTTCTTTTCGATGGCTACAAATTTCAAACTCATGTCGTTCTTCATTATAGAAACTAGTCCATAAGTTTTGGCCTATCGAAATAAGAATAAGCAATATTTTTGTACATGCCTGCGAGTTGAAATTTGGCATTTTTTACCTCTCTTGTAAACATGTAAATGTTCTATTTTTATTGAGATATGTAATTTACTGAATGCATTAATAAGATATTTAATATGAGTTTGATACAAGGATTGTACAAATATTAGTCTTCAACCAAATAAAAAATAATATTAAAATTTTTCTATTTGAAATATTTTTATTAAAAATTATCAACTTATGAAAAAAAATTTCAATTTATGTGATAAAAAGAATTAAATTATTTGCCTATATTTTATTTCTATATTAGTTATTTACAGCATTATTTACAAAATGTCAAAAATTCAATGCAAGGCTTCATGGCATTGAAACAAGCTGTACATTCACACATGATTATTGTGTCTTGAAGGTTTAAACATAATAAATGTATCATTTGTGAATTATAAATCTGCCTTAATGGTTTTATACTTTTGCAGAAAATGTCAAAGTAATAAGTACGTTTTGAGCACTTAGCTTCAAGAAGTAAAATTGGTTTTTTTATCTTTTACCCTTCTGAAATAAAAATTTAGAAGCAATTTAACAAGAAGATAATAAATTATTTGATGATTGAATATCAACTTTTGAAGTCTCTCACCGTCAAGCAGGTTGTAAATTTCACGATCTTGTAACATTTTTTAAACTATCATTGTGTGTCTTATATTCCATTGTAGCAGATGGAGGAAGATGTAGTACACGCCTCAATGTATCTCTGATTCGAGCTGTAGTTCCAACATCCGATGCTGTTTTATTCCAAACACAAATAATATCTTCCTGAAAATAAAAATTTATTTTGAGTATTTAAACAAAAGCTGTTAGTATTACATGAAACTGATGTGAATGGTGCAGTTGATAAAGTAGAAATAATACTAACTTGAAATCTTATGGAAACAACTGCACCACATATCTCCTCACCCACCATAAATTGTTCTCCTAACATGGCAAGAATTAAGTTTTCCCAACATCGAGATACTAAACCTTTGCGTAAACGAACTATCCACTTCCCACCTCGCTGATTGGCTTCATCCTACAAACAGAATATCAATTCAATACATAAAATTCATTGATAAAATAATATAGCACAATTTAAAAGTTCACTACCTCCCACATAGGTTTGATACCAATTTTAAATAGATGAAAATCTGTATGAGTAGTTAATTCTGAGGGTCTAGTTAAATGACTATAAAGACCCCAAAATTGTTCAACACTAGCAAACCGCCCAACTAACTTTAAATTCTGATCATAGCTTTGAATGTTACTCTGTTTGCCTGGATTTCTTCTGCTGTACCACAAAGCATAAGCATACTGAAGTTTATGCTCATTTGGACTGATATCTGGAGCAACCTACAATAAAAGAGAAATTCGCAAATTTAATCCCCTTTTTCAGCTTTAAATATCAACGTTGTAAAAAATGTTACCAAATCTTCCTTATCTGTTTTTTGATTATTTTTAGCTTGAGATTCTTCATCACCACTTTCATCACTTGTCTTGAGCCTAAAGGCAAGCACAACGTTTATTGACAAAACAAGACTGACCTTACTGTACAGTATTGAAAAATTGATGTTCTAGTTGAATTTATTTGTTGTTGTTCATAAATTTCAAATTACAACATATTTTTCAAAAAATATGCTTCCCAACTTAACCTTAAACTAAACACATTGCATAGTAAATAACAAACATATGAGATGACTTACGCATCGAATTTGTTAGACATGATTTGTATTGTGAATAAAATAAAACTTTCTTGTCAAAAATGCTTCAAAATAATGGAGGAACTTTTTAAAAGCGCGTCTTTTCCAATCAGTCAGTCTCACAGCAATATACTCAAGCGTTTTAGCTCCAACAACTGCCGCGAACACATTACGATCATACATATGTGGAACATTTACATTGTCCAAATACGAGTATTATATATACGCGTCTGTGCGCCTGCACCAGATTATTCGTTTATTTTTTATTTTATTATTTATTTATTTTATTATTTATTTAAAACATTTCTTACTCATTATAATTAAAAGCAAAATTTTCAAATACTAATAAAAATTAATTCAAAATTGTCAATTTTCTCAAATTAAGCTATCCGTTTTGTCATTATTAATAAAAATATATATTATTGTATTTTTGTTCATATTCTACGATAAAGCTGTAATTGAACAAAATTATTGTATAAATTTTCTAGTAAATTTTTTTATTCAATTTTTATTCATGTGATTAACTTTATTTGAAAGAAAAACTTACAGTCGCCATGAATATTCTAAGTATTATGTTATGTATAGCTCAATTAATTATAATTTGTTGAGTGCTGCATAACTCGATATAGGTCAAGTTTTCCCTTCGCCAGGTATATGTATATGTGTTACGTGCAACATGCGGTCATATATGGATAATGGACATTTTCATTTAAGTTCGGTATTCGTATATAACTGCTTATATATTTTCTTTTTTATGATTACCGTAATTAATTTTCTTACTTTACGGGACCTTAAGAAAAAAAATTATCATTTTTAAAAATATTCATTCCAATAGATTTACGAGTTTTTACGGACTGATTTTACGTAATTTTTAAATATTTCTTGAACTTATACATAATATCAGTACGTTATATCGACTGAAACGAACTTTAATGAAAAATTGGAACAATTTAAATTTTAGAGATACGAATTGTTTAACGACCATTAACCAAAAATTTTGTAAATATTTTTTACTTGGTAAATTAACTTTTTTATACTGCTGTTTTTCCACATAATTGTCTTTGCATTCTCATTACATATAATTTTAGAAATTCTATTCTCCTTATATATACTATATATGATATAAAAATAATTTACGGTTTGGCTTAAAATACTAAACTATATTATACTATGACTTTACATCGATTATATACCTATATATGAGCTTTTAGGTATTAATTATAACTTATTTGAAAACCTCCCGGTCGTCAAAATCCTGCACGGTATCTTATATATGGGATCCCATATAGGATTTTACGATCGGGTAATTATACAAATCGCAATAAAATAAAATAAAATAATAGTAATAATAATAAACTAGGGTAGTTGTACAAATACGTGACCCATAATTAAGTTATGCATATTTGGAATTAGTCATGTAGGAAAGTATTTACGTATCCTATAAATATAATTAATTAAATAAAATCGTTAAAATTAAACGTTGGATGTACTTTGGGAAGAATTTGTTTATTTATTACATTTACAATTGTTTTTACCTAATTCAATTCATATGACATTGTCATTGTAAAATGAAAAAGGAATGAGTAATGAAGCAATTTTCATTTATTTATAAAATGAAAACATGTAAAAGTAATAATCAAATTAATTATATCGAAATTCATTTAACAAATACCAAGTATTGTAAAAAATATACTGAATAAGTTTATAAATGCCTTGTCTTAAAATTATTCAATCTTTTTTCGATTCTTATCAGTACACAGAATAAAAGGATTTATAAAAAATTATTAGTTTTCATTGCAAGTAATTGCAGAAACGATTTAGTCACAGGTAGGTATAAGCTAGTACTTCTCGCTATTGAGTATGTCAGACCCATTAATCACTCAAAATGCAAAAATTTCAACGGCGAGACGTCGAAAAATGATTCTGTAAATTTTTCATAATTTCTTGTCTTTGATATAGAACTTCTCGACGACAGAAACTTGAAAACACTAAAGGACACTGATATTGTATTTTTTCTATACATTTGGTGTCCTTTCCTAATGGTTCAAATATGAATTCTGAATCTGAAGTTACTGAAAAAATGATGATTATTAGATAATTTGTACATTATATATTATTGCTTAAGAATAAGAATAATTATTTACAACAACTCATTCCTATGAAAAAACACGTGTGATGTATGGATTCAATAGCGTATCCCTTTGCTTTTGGTTTTATTGAAAAATGTCCATGAGCAATGTTTTTTATGTAAGGAAGGTGACTAAGATGTTCTGTATATTGCACTGAGTATTTCCAGTGATCATAATTACCAGATTCGTCAATCACATTAAATTCTTCTCTGCAGATCACGCGAAAATAATTCCAAGTTATTTACAATATAAATTTAAACAAAATAGTATTCAATTTGACAATTTTGACGTTGAAAAAAGTGACTTAATGGTCTTAAAATACTTACAAAGTAGGATTGAGTTTCATCATATTGCTGAAATCAGCAACAAATTCCCAGACATGTTTAGGATTGGCATTTTTCACTGTTGCTTGATAAACGAATTGGTGATTCCACTTGTGAATGAAAAATAGGTAAAATACAAATAAACCCAGACCACCATAGGCTAGTGTTCTCGTTTTCCATTTCATAGGATTCAAAATTATCATTGTGCAAAATCTTTTTATCTTAATAGTATAAATTCGTATTTATTTTGTACGAAGTTTTGTTTATATCAGTTACTAAAATGACAAGTAAAAACGCTGTATAATTGTAGTCGGCGTGTTAGCAAAAAACTACAATATTTATTCGACAATCAATGATCATAGAGAAAGTATTGAACTAGTATCGGATGCTTCGAAACTGAAACTAAAAAACTAAAAGCGTCTATTCTGCGGGAATCGAGAGAGATAAAGTGACTTCCGTCGAGAGGAAACTGCGTACGCCATATGATAATGTATCCTCTGAACACCGCATAAACTGTAGTATATCTTTCTCGCATTTGAAAGTCAAGCTATAGTGTCATGGAGAACACGTGCAAAGGCGCGCCCATTCCCCTCTCATCTTCTAAGAATACCGAACACACGTGGCAATTATGCCTTTCTACGATATCAATGTATATACTATACATTCTTATTTATTTAAATTTGAATTCTCGCACTTTGATGCTTAATGTAATTAAAAACTATAGCAAGCGTTACTATCCAGTGAATCATCTAGTACAACTAGCTAATACTTATTATAATAAATTACACTTTGTACACTTTTTACAATAGAAAATAAAGATTGCATTACTTTCTTATGTTTGAACTTAAATGTTAACTTAAATTTAGTCATTAAGTATTGGCATAACATAAATTTAACTTAAAAACCATAACTAATGGATTTCATCAAATTTCCACTCGCAAGCAAACATTGTTTCGGCTTATAAAAACTTTTCTATGAATATGAAAAATGAATGATTTAAATCAATTTACAACTTATCCAAACTCAATACTTAATATCATGACTAAAAATAAAATAATTTTTTGTACTTCAAAATTTATCAAACTAAATTAACACGAATCTTCAGCTGCCGACTGGGCCATTTGGGCCTTTAATATATTTGTATGTGATTGAAGCAATTTATTCCATTCTGCAGTCGATGCCACGGATCTGAATGAAATAAGTCGTACGAACCCACTTTGGTAGCCTACGGCGAGCCATAGAAAACTGGAAGCATTTGGATTCCATGCAACCTGTGATAAGCGTATTTTTTAATTTGTTGCAATTTCCATGTTTTTATTATTTACATCCATGTTTAAACAGACAAACCTTATTGATAGATTTTAGAGGATACTGTTCAATGGGAGTTTGCTCCAGATGTTCGCAAGTCAACGTTGGTTTTTTTTTGTACTTTTGCACTTTTTTTGAACGACTTTGCAGCGGCTAAAACGAACGTTATATTTATATAGTCTAAATACGGATAAGAAGTTACAATTACTTGCAATTTCAGTTTTCATTACTTACGTCGATTTTATTATTGAACATTATACCAAATCGATCTTTAGAATCTTTATACGTCGATGGCATATATTGCGTAGGATCACTATAGGATTCATTCTTCCCTTTTTTGCCTTTTTTTACCGTGTTAATAACTTCTTCTATTTTAAAATCGACAAGTTTAATCGTTGATACAATCTTCACGAATACATATTTTATTATTAAAAAAGTTTAAATTTACAGAATAACTTGTATATCAATAATTTATGAATGAAACTTACGCTTTGGCTACGTTTAGGAGGTATCGTCTTCTCCATATCACGTATGTAGACTAGTTGATGAGGGAATAGCGCTAGTAATTCGCCGGCAACATTACCCGTTGCAACGCTGTTGCCAAAGTCAGATATACTTAGTCCCTGTTAAGCATTTATATTTTATATAAATATTATCTAACTGTCGAGTTGTGAATATATTATCAGATAGTAACATACATAGACCGTTGAGTTTGACGGCAAGATGTTATAATATTTGTAGGTATAATTCCGAAGTGGAAGACAGACAGCTGAATTATTACCCGAACTGCTATATGTTTAATGAACATTTGTTAAGTTAATATTATTAGTTCAGATAATTTATCAAGTTAAAGAACAATGTAAATGCGTACCAAAGAGCATTATCGTGCACAATAATCGCACAGCACCAATTATTGAACCAAGCTCCATCTGTCACGTAGCTTTTTTTGTAAGTATTTTTAGGTTTGCTAATATCTTCTAGATCCCAAAATTTATACAATTTATCAAGACTTGCGGTTGCTAGATATCGTTTGTTATCTTGTGAAACTAACGCTACCACTAAATAATAGCAGATTTTTTAATAAGTACACTATTTTTGAACTTGCTCATTTGGGCGTAATATACGTACTTGTAACCGCATGATGATGAGCAAAAAATTGTCTATAAGGCCGAAGAAATGTCGTATTATTAACTTTGTATTTTAGCATGGGAGATTCGGTTGTTAAATCCCAGAAGGCTACGTAACCATTCGACAGCCCGGCAACAATAACGCTATAAACAGTATGACATTTATTTTATGAGTTTATCGTGATACAGGAAACAATGAATAATAATATAAAATTGATAGTTACTTATGATTAGATTCTCTAGACCAACTCAACTTCATAACTTGCCAATTTTGTTCATTATTTTCATACATATCCGAACTAACAATCAATTGCATAACAGGTTCCGTCTTGTAAATTGGACATCTATAAATAGTAAAATTAAATCATATAATATCTCTCTATTCATTTGATTTACAGACGTAAATATTAGTTCATCGAAACTTACTGATTTTCATTTGGCGTGTAGTGAAGATCTTGTGGGAAAACAAGCGAATATATGCGTATACAACCATCAGAGCAACCTGCTGCTAATAGACCTAATCTATTCGAATCGTTTTTATTCTTCAAATCTGGAAAATCTTTATGCTGGTAACATCCAGATGGACACCACTCTAGACTCCAAACTGTGCCTCCGTCATGACTGATTGCGTATGACAATTCGGGATCTCTTTCGCTTGCATTCCTGTTAAATTATGAAATAGAAGTTATTTTCACCAGCTTTATGTAAACGTGAAATGACTGATTAGTACCTATTGTTATTTAATTTTCCTACATTCCAAATTTGGATTATATTTTTTCCTGAATAAGATTTTCCGACAGAATATTCAATATCCATTGTAGGATGAGTACTAATAGCCAGATATTGTGAGAGATTATCAGAAATAGCTAGATAATTTGGAGTTGGTGCCCAAGCCATTGCCCAAATGGGTCCACCAACAAAAAATGTTGGACAATCTGCAATTCAATAATTTTATGTTACTTATTTTACGAATTTTGGACCACGCAACTTATAATTTATTTAAAATTCACCATCTACGCAATCTGATTCGAATCTTGACCAATTTTTCCACTCGGAATCATTTAAATCACCGTTCTTCTTTATAAATCTTACAGGTAATGATGAATCTAATTCAGGTAGATAACTTTTGGCATCTTTTTCTTTCATCAACGTGAAAACATTTGGCATAAAATCATTAAATATACTAAATTTAAAATGTTTCCTTTCACTGTAAAAGTAAATGAATTATTAGTGTTTATTTTCACTCGGAAAACAAATAAAAATGAAAACTTCTTACAACTCCAAAGTCCATTGAAATCCAGTAAGAAATGTTTTGTTGAGTACTGTATGACAAGCACCGTTGTTGAATATAAATTTAAACATCTTGTTCTCTAAAAAGGTTATTGAAAATTTTATAACATGCCATATTATATTAAGTCATTATTAATGATATTCTTTAAAAGTACTTACCTACGTCGGAAGATTCTTTATAAAAGAATTTTTTTACTAAGCCTTGGCTTTTATTGCTACTATCCTCATCAAGATCACTGTAATCTTCACTATCAGACGCGTCTGCGTCGGACATTGCTGCGTTTATATCTAAATCTTCAGGTGTATGTTTTTCGGCAGCATGCTTAATGATTTCATCTTCAAGTAAAGTTTGGAATCGGCAAACTTTACATACGTAATTCTTTAAAAATAAATTAAGATAGTAATGGATTTTATCATGAATTGATATGAGAATAAAGTATAGAAATGTACCTCCGTAGCTGTAAAATTGCACAATGAGTAATGTTTCCGGATTTCGTCCATTGATTTACAAGTAAACTGGCATCCTAATTGAGTACAAGATGCATCTTGATTGTTGTCTAATTCTCTTTTCCACTTAGTTATCAATACACTCGATATCTTTTTTGTTGCAAGAGGTTTTTGTATAAACTTTTTCTGTAACAAAAATTTACGGAACGCCATTTCTTCAGTATATTGTTTTAACAAATGTTATATTACTCACGATGTGAGGCGAACTTAATTTCAATTTTTTCGCTACTGAACGTCCATCATCATCTTTGACTAAGGCCGTGAATTCAGATATTTTAGAGACAGCTCTGTAATATTAGAAAATAATTATTTATTTCTTTAACGTTATTGCAATATTTATCAAATTACGACATAACGGAACGAATTTTTGAATTTCTAAATTTCTAATATTTACTTTTCAGCAGCTTTTCTTTTCGAACGTGGCTCTGATATGTCAATAATTGTTTCCATCATTTCTTTTTCTCTTTTCTTTTTCCCTTCGATTTCTAGACGGTGTTGTCTTTCATGATATTCCATCGATGAAGGTTTAAACTTTGATCCACATTGATCGCAAGTGACTAAAAGTGATGCAATTTCCTACAAATGGTATTGCAATTAATGTTTATTAATAAGGAGATCGATAAAATATGCAAACATATAAACATTATACGAACTTCATCAGTTTTTCCGCAGAACCTCATGTGCGATATGAATCCAACGACACTTTTTTTGACTTCACGACATTCTTCACATGTAAGGCCTTTTTTGTGTTTCTTTTTATGCGCGAGGGTTAAAACCCTCATAAGAAGTTTTGGATCACTGTCAAAATCCTGAAAACAGATTTTATCACTGAACACTTTGTCACGTGATTCGATAAAATTCGTTTGTGATAAGTCGATGAATTAACTTACTGGCTTTTCTGTTCCGTCAAGCCAACCCATATCATTGTGCGAATATAAATTGTGACTGTACCATTGATTTTTCGGTACTTCTTTCCCACATTTTCCACACTTGACAATTTTCTTACCCTACGAAAAATAACAACAAATAAAACCAAATAAATTTAAGCTAATAAGCAATAAAATCTTACAGGTGTTTCCTTGCATTTTTCTTTAACTTTTGTTGAGCGAGATACGTATGAATGATGTGGAGTGTAATCATCATCATTGCTCTCTTCCTTTTGTACTGATGGTCGACCTCTCCTTTTTGTCGCGTGCACATTGAAACTGTCCTTTCGTTTTCTACCACGACGAGATTTAGGCTCTAGTTTTAAAATTAGAATAAGTTTTAGAATTAGTTTTGGTGCAAATGAAAATAGTGCGGGAAAGTTAATTCTCGTCTCATGCCTTTCCACCCTTGATTCGCTCGCTCGAGTATAAACCTCACACGAGATAAGAATCTACTTTCCAGTACAGATAATGCGTAATTGTGTTACAATAATTAATGAACCTTCAAAAACGTCTTCTTCTTCATATTTACCACTAACGAGACTGTCTTCAAAATCGTTAATATCACCCGTTGCATCTGATAAAGTTTTTACTTGCGACTGATCTGGAATGTCAAATGATTCTTCTTGCTTGACTGACTTTGACTCTGTGTCAAATATATCTTCATCAATATTATTACTATTTGCAGCTCTTCTTTCCCTAGTTGGTATATTACTTATATCAGTAGTTGCCGCATTAAGATTATTGACTGTAATCGAAAGTTTAATTTATATTTTAAAACTATTTATACTATTGATACTAAACGTATTTTATTAAATAATATTATGATTACCGGTATCATCTAAAGTGGTATCGTTTTTTATCGATTCTTGTGGTTCAAGATTTTCTTCAGTAGAAGCATTAAGTTTCATCAGCAGTGTCTTTTTGCTAGGCCGGCCTCTTCTTTTTTTCGGAGCATTTTCAATAGAATCCTTTGTAACTCGTCTTTCACTATCATAAAAATCAACGTCTTCATCAGGAACACAGTAATTTACATTCGACTTTTGTCGCCTTCCACTCTTTCGTATACTGGTAATGCTTGAGTCTTTGCCTACATCAAAATTATATTTTATAATTTTATTATAAGTTTATTTAAAAATTGAATCAATAATCGAGGAAACAATTGTCTATTAAATTGTATACAAAATTAGTTCATCACAGTGTTAACATGTATAACTAAAACTACAGATGTCATCCAACTAAGAATTTTACGGTTTGTACCAAGCTCGTATTTATTAATTAATATCAACTTAAAATTTTATTTTAAAAATTTCAATACACCCAGTATATATGATATTTAAACATAAATATAACAGTTATATTTGGTTAATTATTTTAAGTGATATACTGTAAATTACCTATATATTTTAGTTCATCACCATTGTCCATGACATTATATTTAATCTTAGATCTTTTACATTGTTGCTTTTTTTTTTCATTATTACTCTCACAAGGCCCTATTTGGATATTTAATGATTTAGGTATGCTTTTTGCTGAGTTTTTGTTTGTTTTTTCATCAATACCTCTGGTTTCCAAACCACTATCGTGAATAACATTATCATCTCCAATGAATGTATCAATTTCTATCTTAGAATGAATAGGATTTTCAGCAGAACTGCTTTTACTAGTTTCTGAAATATAACGAATAATATATTAATTTACTATAAAGGTACTACTAAATACATGAATTTTTGGAAGAAAATAATTTCCTTTATTAAATACAAAATTAAAGATATCTAAAATTTACCTTCGATTTGTGTAATATTATCTTCTTGTAAATCAAAATTATGTTTAAGAATAGATGCAATACTATCACTTTCAACCACTTCAGTTTCTTTATTATTAATGTCTATTCGAGAAGATTTTGGGTGCTTTTCTCTTTTTCCTATCTTGACAGATTGACTTTTTATTTTCAAACTGTTTTGTGCAGAAACTAAAATAAAAATATTATAAGAAACAAATACTTAATTAAATTTGAAAATATAAAGATTCTACATTACAATTTTCTGCTTTTTGATCAGCTTCTGAGAACTCAACAGGATTGCATGTTGATTTTTCATCTAAAACTTCAGATGTCCTTACATTTTCCTGATGTTCATGAATTTCAGCTGATGTAATAATATGGTTTGGTAGGATACTATCTTTTAGTGAAATTTTTTTTGAAACATCATATCCAGATTCATCTTTTCCATTGTTTTCTCTGGTTATATGATCTTTTGATAAGGTGAATTTTAGACGCCTTCCTTTTCTACCTTTTTTAAATGAAGACACTTTTTCAGTTTTTGGTGTATTAATGGGTCTGCATTCTGATGTGTTATCCACATTATCTTGTGGTAAAATTATATTTTCATCATTTTGTTTATTGTTTGAACAATCTTCTATGTTTATATATGAAGACATAGATTTGGAACGTCTTTGTTTTTTATCATAAAGTTCTTCAGTATATATTTTTGAGCTACTTTCCTCTAAAACAACAAATTAATTTGATATTGATTAAACCATAGTCACAGATGAGCGTATAGTATGTAATTAGTTTTAAAAAAATTATACCATTTCCCACTTGGCTATCTGCATTTAACATGTCAGTAGAACTGCTCTCTGATATTTCATTAGCTTTTTGATTATTCGTTGTGAAATTGTTTAAAACGGTTTCTTCGTGGTCTTGTAAGCCACCTGTCCTTTCTATTTCATTCTCACTATTATTAATTATATCGAAATAATCTTTTGCAGTTTCTACCATTATTTCTTTGGACAGAGCAGATTGTGTAGGTGTTCTTCTACTTCTTTTGGTAAGAGTTACTTTTTCACATTTCATTTTTTAAAAGTTTGCTTGAACAGCTGAAATCAAAAAACATCTGATAGAAATCTGTGTTATAATACACACACACACAACGCACACCCACACGCACATACACACACGCGCACATAATAAATTGTAAAGCAATTCGATATATTACTAAAGTGGAATTCTGTAACTTTCGATACGCGTACGATGTATGTAGATTGTAGGCACACGCTGTATAGGACTGCGAAGTTGGCCCCCCCATTTTCAAGGGAAATTGGTAGTGAAAAAGAAAAAACGGCATTGATTGCCTTATTTATTCCTGATATCAGTGCTAATTTTCCTTTTTCGATTACTTACTAGGAAATAAGTGAAAATTCCTATTTCCAATCACTTAGTGAATGGCTTTTATCTCTGATTTGTTGTTGCATTTTTGCGGGAAAGATCTCAAAATAAAAATTATTATTTCCTTTGTCACTTTCCCCCTTCCCTTTCATTCACTTTTTCAATATATTGCATGGATTTTAAATAAAAAATTTATAACAATTTTCGATGTTTCGAATGACGGGAAAATGAGCTCAGTCCATATTTTTCCGTTTCATTTCTGACGAAGCTTCGTGTCAACGACGCATAGTCGTTTTCTTTTAAGGGTCTGTCTCCATAGGGCCTGCCTGAGTCCGTCCGAGCCGGCCGAGATTTTTTATGGGCACGCCATCTCTATAATTTCGTGTTCATGGCGTTTCTCGTATTGGCTGCGTCCGATCGGGCTCGTTTATGTAAACGCAGCCATTCGCTATGAAACTCGCCATTGGATACGAAATTATAGAGATGGCGTGCCCATAAAAAATCTCGGCCGGCTCAGACGGACTCAGGCAGGCCCTATGGAGACAAACCCTTACGTACGGATGCGGACGGATACGGACGCGAATCGCAACTCTAGTAATAACATCACTAAAAATATCTAGTTCGATTATTTAGTACCAACACTACCGGTAGTGAGTAAAAGTGACTGTTGTTTAAAACTGTAGCGCCGAACGTACCACATTTAATGAACGCCTATTTAACCTTTATACATTATTGCAGTCTATAAGATGGCAAATGATAGAAAATTGATAGACTTTCAACTACAATTAGTGGAATTAGGCCTTAATTTTATGGAAGTACTTGAATATATGAGAAGAAGAAAATATATATAAATGATAAGTATTAATCATCCCAAAAACTTTTTTTACATTAGCATACTCATCAATAAACAATATTCATGAAAATTTGAAAAGTAAATTGTAGACCTGACATTTGAACATTAAATGTGGTACGTTCGGCGCTACAGTTTTAAACAACAGTCACTTTTACTCACTACCGGTAGTGTTGGTACTAAATAATCGAACTAGATATTTTTAGTGATGTTACTACAGTTGCGATTCGCGTCCGTATCTGTTCGCATCCATACATACCTATGGGACTGGGGCCTAATAATTGTCGTATCAATAATATTTAATGGAACTAACTTTGTTCATGTTTGCTGACATAGCGCTGACGAAATGACGTCTTAATTTAAAAACATTTAATAGCAAATAATTTCATATCGTTGACCATGAGTCAGAATGGAACGGCAAAATATGGACTGATGAGTTCGTTTTCCCACCATTTCAGACGTTGAAAATTGTTATTTATTTTGTTTAAAATTTATGCAATTTATTGAAAAAATAAATGAGGAAATGATGAAGGAAATGATAATTTTCATTGTGAGACCTTCCTCCCAAAAATTTAACAACAAATCATCAAGATAATAGCCATTCACTAGGTGATTAGAAAATAGGAATTTTCACATATTTCCGATTAAGTAATAAAAAAAGAAAATTAGAACTGATATCAGAAACAAATAGGACGATTAATGCCCTTTTCCATTTTTCGCTATTAATCATTTTGAAAATGGGAGGGCCAACTTCAAAAGACTTTCTACATAAGAGCAATTAGACATTGGATATTGGACGAATACTGAGGTTAAAAAACAAATTATTTGTTATTATTTTACCGAAGATTTGTGCTTACTCTGAAAAGACCATGTGCAACATTTATTTGTATTTTATGAATTGATGTCAAATAATTAATTTATTTTTACACCTCCGTGTACGTCTGAAATCCGATGGCTCTTACGTCGAAAATCCCGAATTCAATAACAATGTAAAAATTGTTAATATAAATCGAATAAGCTAAATAAATAAATGTCTGAAATCTAAATCCTTTAAATTAGATTACGAATATAGTAATTTAAGTATAAATAAAAAGTTTATTATATTTTTAGATAGTAAAAATTGACATTAAATTTTATTAAGTAATTAGTGTTAATTACTTAATTACTCATTTGTTAGTCAATTTATTAATACTTTACTATTTCAATCTTCTTAAAAATATGAAAATTATCTACTAAATATAATTAAATTAAAGAAAAAATTTTAAAAGCTGTCAATTCAATAACATAATTTAATAAAAACATGTAAATATTATTTATATAGCACAGAGAATAATAGATAAAAAAATAAAAGCAATGCTTTTTTTATAAATGTACTTTTATTTGTATGAAAGCACATTAATTAACTTAAACCATGCGTCTCAGAAGTTCATTTATTTTATCTTCTCGGTTACCAAAGTCTCCTCCTTCTACATAGTGGTTAGTCTTTTTTCTCCATCCTCCGGTTGGTGTGTTGAGCTGCAATTAAATTTGAAATTAATTATAACCCAACTTTGAATTTATTATATTAATATTGCACTATAGTTAAAACTACAGCGTTTCTTAGTTTGTTACAAAGATTGTGCGAGTCATACTTTCTCTAAAAGCAATATAATCTTATTAAAGTAATAATGTACAACTCATATTACTCTTCAACATAGTGAGAAGTGATTGAAACATAGTTCTTTCAACCACTATGCCTATGTTGGTTGCAGAAAATATTTTTCAATATGAGTACTTGAATATATAATATATAATATCAACTTTAAATATTAAATTAATATTAAATTAATATTAGTTAGAATATATAATACTAACCTTGAATGGCCATAAGAAGTTGCTGGCATACTTGAACTTGGGTCCAACGGTGAAAATTTCATGAATCAAATCTTCAGTACATATTATATCCTTATTACCTGTAAGATAAACAAGAGCAGACATTAAATACAGATTCATTGCTAAGATATAAATAATCAATGTTTTTGTTATTATAAAAATGTTCAAATGTTCCTCAAGCATAAGCATTTCATTTGCTCATATGAAAATTGAAACATTTTTCTGATTTTTGACGACATGGAATGACATATGAAAGCAGATATCATATGTCAATGGAATCGTCAGAAAATGTCAATCACTTGAAATTAAAAAGATTATTACCTAAAGCCTTCTCAATGATGGAGTTGCTTGTTATGGGAACCCTTTGCCTATTGACCTTGGCAAAACCTCTTTTATAGACCAGTTCTCTAACTGACTTAAGATTGGGGTAACCCCATGTAACATAAGGCTCAATGATACGAAGCATATTGATGGTGGCCTTATTCAACTTGATGAACACACCATTATTAATTTGTCTTAAACGAAACAGTTGCAGGACTTTACGAACCTTAGGAGCAACTTGATTAACACTGAAATAAGAATATATTCATAAGGAAACCAAAAGACAATATTAACAAAGCTGTCTAGAAAAAATAAATAATCAAACTTACCCCCGGATTCTCATAACAAAAGCAAGCTTTGCTTCTCCAGGAATGTAGTAATTTCCCTGTTTCTTGGCTTGTCTGAATAGCCTGATCTCATCACGTTCCTTTATTCTATACTCTTTAACATACTGTTCAGCACGCTTAAAGATCTCTTTCCTCTTGGTCTTAAAATCAGCTTTCCGCTGTAATAAATCGATAATTTATTCACTATCACTGTTGTAATCCTCTTTCAAATGTTCACGAGTGTGTACTGATTTTACAAACCTTGAAGAGGCTCTGCACGCGAGCTGCTTTAGCAACCTCACGACGCTTCCTCCTCTTGAGTACTGATTCTGGTACAGCGGGCAGCTTCTTGCCCGCCTCCACCTTAGGTGCAGCTTCTTTCTTGCTGTAAACAGAAAAAAAATTTTATTATTAATGTTTAAATAATTAAGCTTACTAATTTATTACTTTAACCCGTTGACACTTTTTAGTTAACGAAAATTTACGTACTCAGAGTTTTTTATTTAATCGATTACATTTTAATTGAATTGTTGACAACTATTGTTTAAAAAAACTAGTCACATGTTTAAACAACTGTAACCCCATTGTAATACAAAAATATACCCAAGCTTTAAGGTTATAATCCGTCACATTGCAATGGTATTATGATACATTATAGTGATTTTTAAAGAAACTACATAATGTTAATTCGAGATCAATATCAAGAGAAGGTGTTTGGATTATTTTGAACATTTTATTTTTTATAAAAACCCTGATGTTAGAAGATTTGATGATAAATTTCAGGGCTACTTACGTGGCTGCCATTCTTTCGTAAGTAAAAGAAAATCCGATTCGTTCGCTGGTTCGGTTCTAAGGCCGTCAGACGGTCAGAGTCAGACCAATTCGCGGTGTATCACGTTCTACTCTTTGCGTTTTCTGCATGGAGACTATATATAGTATATAGTCTCCATGGTTTTCTATGTGACCTTTTGACTGTAGTAGTAGATTCACATTATTGTCGTCGTACGTATGTGTCTATAATTTATCACATTGATGATGATAGTGTTGATACATCAACACGTGTTTTTTGAAGTTAATTTATAGGATATAGACTTCGTGACCGGTGACTATGACTCGAATAGGTAATTAACAAAATATGTTGAGAACTTATAAATATATTAGAATTAAAAAATTGACAATTGAAATTTGAAAAGTATAATTATGAGTGACTCCGATGACGAAGTGCTGCAACTTAATCCAGATACCTTGGCTGCCTTGAATGAATTTTATCAAGAAAGAGAAGATCGAAAAAAAATTTTTCAAACTGCTTTGGAACAAAATGAAAATATAAGCTGTGACATCGATATTGAGGAAGACTGGGTATTTGTTAAAAACAAACAATAATTATCAATCTAAATTGTTTTAAATTGTATCATTGAATCTTAATTTTTTGTTATCAATTAGCAACTAAGCCAATTTTGGTACGATCATAAGACTGTAACAAAAATAACAAAAGGAGCTATACAGTGTACAGATGAAAATGCCAAAATTGCTTTAATTTCATGTCCTACACTGTATAAAGAGTTAGTACAGATAGCAGGAAAACGTAAAGGTAATTGTTACAGTCAATATTATTATTTTATTTATTTATAAATACAATTGTATACAATTTTTTTGCAGTGAATCTTTTTGAATTTGACAAGAGATTTGCAGTTTTTGGCTCTGATTTTATTTTTTATGACTACAATTGTCCACAAGATATACTAAAAGATTCATACAGAACGTTTGATCTTGTTATCTGTGATCCACCTTTTCTATCAGAGGAATGTCTAACAAAAACTGCCATCAGTATAAGACTGTTAGCGAAAAATAATATTGTGTTGTGCACAGGTTTATCTGAATTTTATTAAATTGTTTAGAAAAATTAACATAAACAAGAATATTTGCAATAATTCACATTATTGTTTTAGGATCTATTATGGATGAATTAGCAAGAAAACTACTTGGTGTCAAAAAATGTAATTTTAAACCTGGACACAAAAATAATCTTGCTAATGAATTTTGGTGCTATTCTAACTTTGATTTTGATAACTTTTTAATTTAAATAAATTAAAGCATTTTATGCACAAGTAGCAAGTTAAATCTTACTTTTCATATTATTTGAGTATGTTATTTCATACTTAAATAATATGCATTAATCAATTGGAGCACTTTTCAAAAGATTAATTAAGAGCGTGAAAAATGAACCTGCCAAATTTATTTGCGATTTTTTTTAAAACCATATTCATGAGCAAGATTGAATAATAGATAAAATTGCTGAATATTGGAACTTCTTCTTTTTGCTCAAGAATGTTTGTTATGCTATTATCATATCAGAATATTTGAATAATAACTAGCTATGAAAAAGAGTATATCTAAGATTTTAAATTATACTTTAATAATATTATGTATGGTGATGAAGTAAAATACAATGGTACTTTAATTATTAAAGATACAATTCATAATTGCAAAAAACAGTAATATTATATATATAGACAAAAACATGTGTGTTCTAAGTGTGTGTGTGTATAAACATTGTCATAGATTATTTAAAATAATGATTAATTTTCTTTATTTAAAAAAGAATATTTTTTAGAAAAATTTTGAAAGCTCCATTGTTTGCATGAAGATATATATATAAATTATATCTTTGTTGGTAAAAACAAATTAATTTGAAATTTCATAGTTATTCGGATAATTTCTTGTGAAAACTTGAAATAAAGAAAAACAATTTTCAACAATATCCATAACATTTTTAGTTTTCAATGAATATAAAAATCGTCAATAAATCAATATTAATTTTGCACTCTTTCTAATTTATAACTTATATATCGATCGATAAAATCAATTTACAACGTATATGTATGTACATACATACATACAACTCGCTAAGGCCCCGGGGGCCTATTCTGAAAAAAAATTTTAGCACATGTCATAAGCATTTATCACATCTAAAGTGATTAATTCTATGGTAAACTGAAGTGACAAACTGATTTACCACAAAATTTTTTTTCAGAATAGGCCCCCCGGTCCCATAGGTATAACTATTCCTCGCATGCCCCAAACGAACACACTTACTCCCGGAACAAACGTACCATAACCTTCAATAATATAGCGTTATGCATGGAGACTGTATACAGTCTCCATGGCGTTATGATACGTTTGTTCCGGGAGTAAGTGTGTTCGTTCGGGGCATGCGAGGAATAGTAGTAACTTTCTGTTGTTGACACTATCAAAATTTTTAGCGATTTGTACGCGTTTGTACGCCCTCGTACGCGCGCATATGCGCATATGTGGCGAGGACCTGTATTAGAGAAGTACCCGACCCAATCTATATAGTATATAGATTATGTTCAGGCTCCTTCACACATGTATGCAACGGGAAGTCTGCGGCCGGGAAGAAATTCGGCGTGTGCACTGTGCAGTCTACGTAGCTTTGAAATAAAAAATGAGCCACACACCTGCCAATGATAGTTTTAAATGTATTTCGACTCCAGGGACACGAACATTTATTTAAAACTTTTCTTAACATTTCTTATAGTTTTCGAGAGAATCGCAAAAAACTGAAATTTACAGTTTTTCGCAATTTTAAGCTATTTTCCCGAAAATACGAAACCTACCAACCCGAAATTCGTGTCCCTGGAGTCGAAATACATTTAAAACTATCATTGGCAGGTGTGTGGCTCATTTTTTATTTCAGAGCTACGTTGATTAGACACATAGCGTAAATAATAGTCAAAAAAATTATGCGCGCATAAATTTGATGGAGAAAAATAACATAACAATCAAGTATATGTGATATCAACTATTGACATAACATGCAAAGAAGGATCTGTTCCTTTACCATGTTAAACCGCGCGCGCCCGCGCTCTCCCTACCCTATCAAATATTTTCATATTTACTTTCCGAAAAAATTGCCGTTACTAATTCAACCTGTATGCCTAAGAAAGAACATTATACATCTATACCTATACACATTGAATACTTCTGAATATACGTACAGTTGCAAACTTGCAAGTATACGATACGTATATAGATACTATAAGATGTATATATACGCGCGCGGTAGAGCAATGAAATGATGAGGATTGTAAATATTTACCTTCTTTAAACATTCAATTGTGCATTTTATTATTTTCAAAATGATAGACGGTAATATATCTATGGAAGAGGATACTGAATTAAGAGATCTGGTGGTGCAAACTCTTGAAAATAATGGAATCCTTGCAAAAGTGCGGGTACGTATACATTGTTTCAGTGGCACGTTTACGATATTGTAGGTTAAGTCGTAGCATAAATAATCGGATTTTTAATGTTTAAAATTACAAAATATCATTCTCAATTATTAAAGATTTCTATGTTATTATTCAGGCTGAGTTACGGGCCAGTGTATTTCTTACTTTAGAAGAACAGGAATCTGTTCTGGTGAGTCACTTAAAATTTTATTATTTTTTTTGTATCTGAAATCTATCATTCCACGAACTTTTCCTTTCATTTTACTAATTGTAATTTATCAACTGAAATAGAATATCACGAAACTTAAAAAAAAATTAATGTTTTTTACTAATTTCAGAATCCTGAGCAATTTTTAAACAAAACAGTAAAACAGTACCTGGCAAGTTTTGAAGGCAAATTATTATTTTCACTAGTACGAGAGTTCCTAGAATATTTTGGACTTGATTACACAATATCAGTATATGATCCTGAAACTTATTTTGGAAAAGAATATAACTATGCAGGTAGGAAGAAACTTAGCGAGGCATTAGGAATTAATACAAAAGAGCCATTGCTTGGTGAACTTTTAAAAAATACTATAAATGGTGCCTTAATTAATATACTGAAGGTAATCATTTTTTTGTTAAAACTCTCTTATTTATTTGATAATTTGTGTTTTATATAATAATTTCATTTCATAGAATGACTCAAGCAGTATTAGATTAGACAAAACTAACGATACTTCAGATAATATTGCTAATGCCACTTTTAATGTCAGTGTTCCAAAGGTATTACAAAAAGACTCTGAAACTAATTCTGCGGAACTGTCAGAAACAATAGAAAATGAATCAAATTCTAGTTCACATGTACCTACTAATGTAACCGTAACAAAATCACAAGAAATCCAAAATGATCTTTCATTGAATAATGAGAGAATAAATAGTATAGTCAACGAATCATCAAAATCTGAAACTGATAAAGATGATGTTAGTTCCCAAATTGTACAGGAAAACAGTAGTTCTTCAGAAAAATCTATTAATGATACTAATAGAATAGACTTGTCTCCAAAATTAGAAAAAGTGATTACTGTTAAACCAGATTCATTTCTCTATACAGAATCAAAGAAAAACAGAAAGAATCTTACTGGAGTTCAAAATGTTAATGAAAAAAATATAAAACAAACACAGTTACTAAATAATAGTGAAAAAACAGTCTATTTTGATGAAATTGTTGTTGGTGGCATCAAAGATAAAATCACTGAAACTAAAAAAAATGATCTACTATTAGGGAATTTACCTCCCATTTTGTCTACCAATAATTCAGTATTAAGTGATTTACCACCACTGAGTGATAAAAAAGCTAACATGAATGATTTAAAACAACTGATGGATATAGGTGATTAATTATAATTAAAATAATTTACCAAATTCCAATTCAGAAATATATTTAAAAAATTAACTTATTTAATTTATAGCTCAAGGAGTTTCTCAATATGAAGATGATTTTCCATCATCTACATCTGGTAGTGCTAGCGAACAAAGTCCTTCAAAAGTTCAAAAAATTACTGAAAGTTTCATACAAGATAAAAATAAAAATGACTATGAAACAGAAAATACACATACTGAAAATGAAAGCGAGGAAATAGATGAAGAAATTTCAAGTAAGTTTGAAGATTGAATAAAATGTTTTTCAAAGATAACAACTTAATTTTATTAATATTAAATATTTCTTGTTTTCTTTCAGCTTGAAAATATCGGATATATTTGATAAATTTACCGACTAATTGGGAATGAACAAGTAAATAAAAATATAATAGAACCGTAGAGTGAAAAACTCAATAATACATTTACAGAAAGATATGATTTGTTGAGTGTGACAGATCAAGCCTTAATAATTTTTTCAGATTAGCAGAATTGGTATAACTAAAAAGAATATTCTATATTTGAAAAGAAAACAGTAAATATGAATCTATACACTTGAAGCACACAATCACATGCCATAGTAAAGTGTGAGAGATATTTTCATATGTTTATAATCACTTAAAAGAAAGATTATAATCATATGTTTACCAAACATTCAATTAACTTTCTTTTGTAACTACTTTTACTTGAAATAAGATTTTCTAATGAAATAAAAATTGTGCATTTGATTGTATGTGTACAATATTTATAGCATTTTGAATAGTTATAGTATATCTTATTTTAAAGAAAAAAAGGCATCTATAATTAATTTTCATCGTAGCTATATTTTATAAACTAATATTTAATTATTTAAAATTCACTTAGATGCCATGTTATCAATTGTAAAAAAGCAATTGCATCTAAGCTTTTATTGATAACGTTTTATGCATTTTATTTTTTTATTTTTAAATCATTTGTGTACTTTTTCTAATTTAGAATATTACGTAATTATTTTAATTATTTTTTTAATAATATAAAAATATTTTAGCTTACCTATATGACGTCATTGCATTTATTGATCATTGTAATAGTCACAGTTGCTTTTGGCTTGAAAAGAATTTGTAAATTAATTTGTAAATACAATTTGATATACAAAAAATATTAACATTGTTATTTTAAAATATTAGACTATATGTTACTACACCACCAGTAATTAGTAATTTCAAGAAAAAACGTAGATAAAATATATTTTGTTACATATTGTATCTATATATATTTTATAAAACTATTACTTTTATAAAAGTTGATCAAGATTTGTACATACGTGCAAACATTTCTTGGCTTATAAAAATTGATATACACAATATTTTGTCTGTAATAAAACATTTTTTAATAAATGTAATTCGAAGCATATTATAGAGAAGAAAAGTGTATAAAATAATAGATATATAACAATGGGAATATACGAAAAGAAGTATAAAATTAACAAAAAATTTTCAAACTTGCATTATATATATTATAATGGTGTGATTAGCATCAATATACAATTTTTTTATCTGAAAACCAAGGTAGCTCAATAGATAAAGCATGGAGCTTTTCCGTACAGCAGAGAGATTCAATTTTTTTTTTAATTTTGTCGCATTCGCTTTGATAGTTCAGGACCAACATTAAGATCATAAGTTAAATAATCAGAGCTTCCTCTGGTTAACTACAGGATTATTCTAAGAGGTTTATGTCAAGAATATATTGCAGAAGCGAATAATAACTTTTGAAACGCACGTGTCAGGTAGTCCAATACTTCTCTTGTTCACAAAGGATGTTTCCCACGCTAGGATGTCTTAGATTAAGAAGAAATACATTTGTGTATCAGTGTACCAATTTTATACGAAAAACTTTTCTCATGCTTCTACTGATGAATGAATTTTTTTACCAAAATACAATTATAAAAATATTATTTGAAACTAAACTTTTATACAATCACCAAGCAGATTATTAGTTTTATATATTAATATCAAATTTGATAACTATGATTACCTGAAATATTTATTGTAGCAATTCTTTTTGCAGACTATTGTAAAATAAGAAAATAAAATATTAATATTGTCTTGAATTCTTGTTACTTTAAATGAACGTGTAAAAAATTTTTAGAAATACATTTTAAAAGTATTTTCAATTAAAACAATTTATTTACAAGACTATTATACATATAATAGATTATAATAAAATGCTCATGTATTTAATTGATAAATATTAATGAAATTAATTTTTTTCAACGCAGTTCAAGTCATTCTTATTTGAAATAACATAAATTCTTAACAATTAAACAATATGTTCCAGATGAATCCATTGTACACGTACAAAAAGTAATATTATCACAACTATTTATTCATCCTATTGATGGTGTTCTTGTTGTATTCTAGTACTGTATGCTCTTGACACTGTGTTATAAGCATCTAAATATCTATCCATACACATTGCTAGGCACTTCTATAATGTACAAGTCAAAATATCAATTATTGGTTGTATTTTTTAAATATTTTTTTATCAAGTTTGACATTTTACTATATTTTGAAAGTCATTTCAAAAACTTACTTGTTCTGAATTATCAAGACTTGTTCCTGGTTTGTTAATACACTGTTTGAAACATTTTTCAGTCATTTTCTGAAATAATTTCAAATTAATATTTTTGTATTCATTTATTGATGAAAATATTTTCCATAAAAATGAAATTAAAACTTACTTGTAAGAGCTCTTGGAAGTTAGCTATCATGATCTCTTGTTTAACTTTATCCATCAATGCATCTTTTTGGGCACTGGTTAATGCAGAACCTCCATCGGAATCCATAGCAAGCATCTATCAAAGAAGTGTGATTAGCTGGTAGCCATAAATGTAACAGATTTTAAGAATCCAGAAAAATATCCAGTTGTTAATGGACTACATGAGAAAGACATTCAAAAATAAAAAAAAATTGTTAAGTCATTAATATTACAAACGAAAAAAAATTAAATTTTAGGTTTAAGTAGTACTGCTGATATCATCTTTTAACTTTGAATGATTAAACTTTTGATAATAATAGTATATCCAACTCTGATATATTAATATATAAATCAAAATCAATATATTGTTATGATTTGTCCATTCAGAATTTTACAAAAAAAATATAAGATCAGCATATATACCCCTATCAACCCTAGTCAACCCGAGTACACTAAAAGGTGATGAAACAACTCTCTACTCATGACTTTTTTATATTTGTTGCATAACACTAGCAAGTTGATTTGCAGTAAAAGTGCTGACAAACTGGCTTGCATAAATATTGAAGAAATGCGAATACTAACTTGATAATCTTACTGCCGGCAGTATAGAACTAGAGGTAACTTTTTATACATCAATAAATGAAGGAAATTGCTATATTCATTTTCAACACGTGGTTAAGCTGTAGCCTGTAGTATTCCATTGTTTCAATCGTTCCTTCGTTCCGGTATTCGTCATCGCGTACACCGGCGCTCCAATCGAATGAATTCAGAATAAGTCTTGTGTTTGTGTCTCTCGATGGTAACCAACCAGTGAGAGGAAACAAACATCCACGCGGTAACGTTTTTAAAAAGAATTCAATATTAGTGAGAAAAATATCGATTGTTGAACATATATTTTATTATCAAACACAGCAATGACAATGGATGAGGAGAAATTCGACGGACTACTGCTGTCGATGGCTCAGCAACACGAAGGTGGAGTTCAAGACGTGAGTAATAATTATAAATTGTACCAGTTAAATCTTTCCGCGAGGTTAACTTATGAAGTTTAATTTCTCTTTGTCATGGTTTTGCTTAATTCTAAGGAATATTTTTTCAGCTTTTGGAAACGATATTCAGTTTCCTAGCAAGAAAAACAGATTTTTATACCGGAGGAGATGAAGGTGCTGCTGAGAAGGTAAATTCTAATTTAAAGACTACAATTCATTTAGTTGTTTCTAGAACTATCCAAACATTGGTGTTCTCTTTGTTTCAGCTTGTCAATAGTATATTCAAAAAGTATCAATCCACAGCAATAACTAAGAAAAATAAAGAGAAGGCTGAACGAGCTGAGCAGGAGAGAAAGAGGAAAGAAAAAATAGAGAAGAAAAAGAAAGAAGCAGCTCTTGAACATGATTCTAAAATTGTTGAATTAACTGATGAACAAGCTGTTAAGTTACAAGAAGAAATTGATTCTAAGGTATGCATGGTAATTTGCATGTAGTTAGGTAACCACAACATCATTGATATTTTGCATTGTAGAAAAATGTTGAAAAAAATACAACTGCTAATACAAGTGATAAGGTGGAAGAGAGCAAGAAGGAAAGTGGTCCAGGTGACGAAGATGAGGATGAAACTGAAAAGAACAAACTGAAGCCCAACATAGGCAATGGTGCTGACATGCCAAATTACAGATGGACACAGACCCTCCAGGATGTTGAGGTAAGACAGAATATTTTCGTGCTATGAGTTATTATAGCTAATTATCGTTTCAAGGAATCAGATTAATTTTTACCAGATATTTATTCTTAAAATATAATTTGTGAGAAATCTACAAATTTTAGAAGAGTTATTTATTTTATTATTATTATTCTAAAAATTATATAAAATAATAACTTTCATAGCGCAATGAATTAATTATTCAACTGTTTATTAATTTCTTCATTTAAATTGGATAAATTTACTTTGCATGCGGTAAGATCTAGATCTAAAACTTCCACAATAATTTGCTAAACATGTTGAAAAACTTGTAAACTTAATTCAACCTCATCGCTTCAAGGTCATGAATATCTTCTATAGCTCTTATTGAATTGTAGGCATTAAGGAGGAAAAAGGTGAAAGGTTCAGACTAGAATAAAAGTAAGCGGAATGCCATTGTAAATAGTGAAAGCTATTTTGCCTTGATCGCTTTATTTTTAATCATACAATATAATATCACAGACACATAGAGTGTTTAGCGACGATTCGCCGCTTCCAGCTCGATTCTTCGCTTCAATGTCCAACGTCGATTCGCTAATTTAATATCTTCTTTTTTAATTCTTTTCATTCACGCTATTTCGATTAAATTAACTTAAATTCTAAGCAATACAAAAGAGTAAAGATTGATGATATGCCTCGCGACGAACTAATTACACGGCCGCAGCATACGCTACAATTGTGAATGATAATGACGTGTAAGTGGCGCGCGAAGCGAAATCGAATACACATACTTGCAAAGTATTACAGTACCGCTATATATACGAAAGAACATGCATTGTAATATATGTTTGCGATGCGTTAAACTTATGACGACGACGAATAATGGGTGATTCAAGACTGCCTTTCAGTTGTATTTGGTTCGGACTCGCACTGGAACAAAAAGCAAAGTAAATGTTGACAGCTGAGATCGTGGCGTTTTTTTACTTTTTTTACATAAGCAAAAGAAAAAAAAACGTTACGATATGTAGGTGGAGACGTGAAATAATCGCTGAAAAAGTATAATCTAATTCAGTCGCATCGTGTGGCATTTGCATAACGCAAGCATTATGATCATAGAGCAACAACAAAGAAAACATTACGTGATCCATATATGTAAGCATGTAGCAATTTTGATGTCCGATCTAACGCTGCTTTTTATCTGTCTTCGTTACGAAGGTTCAAGATATTGACAAAACAGAACTGGCTAATGATTAAAATGGGCAAAAATAACGGGTAAAGCATTGCATTGCTAGTCGAGTTTCGAGATAGCAAATCAAGCGTTCCGAGACATTCCGAAAGTTCGTCAGATGAAAAATCGCGCGTTTAAGATGCGCGCCGAGCAACAGCACGGCAGAAGAAGGAGGAGCGCGCGCTCATACTTACTGTCCATGTAAAGCACGCCGAGAAGCAATCCGAGCATGAACAGCAGGCTCGTGCTGCAAACGAGCACGGTGAGCTGATTCCTGGCGCACCACGACTTCTTCTTCACGACGCTCGGTCTGCCGAGTCCGTTGACGACCGTGAAGTGCGTGCTGCTCGCCACGCTGACGCTGTCCAGCTGCTTCGGCGGCTCCAGAGTCGGCGGGTGAAGCTTAGCTAGGTTGGCCAGATTCGCCGCCGTGAGCAGCAGCGTGCCGGAGGCCGCGCTCTGGGTCGACGACGCCGTCGAGCCGCGCGACGGCGACTCCCACGTCCTGTTGTCGCTGCTCTTGCTCGCCGTCGACGATACCACTAGCGACGGCCGCGGGATCACGAAGTTGGACAGACTTTTCGCCAGCTCCTGCTGCAATGCAAATCCGCGGTCGTTTCATTTCGTCGTGGGCGCTCTCTACGACGGGGAATTCCCGAGCGGGAGAGACCTTTGGCGCCAGCGCGACGACGCGCCTGTTTCACGGCATTCGCCGCGTGCGTTGCCCGGGCGACGGATCAAAGCTGCCGCGGCCGTACATTAGGCGCGCTGCACACGACGGAGCAGACAAAAACGGAGCGCGCCTCCTGACTTTCTAGAGACACGCGGCAAGGCAACGAGACGCCTTCGCGGTGCAGAGCTGCTCTGCATGGAGAGCGGATCGGCTACGCATTTGTAAAAAACGAAACTAACGCCTACAGGCGTGCAAGGCTCCACTCCATGCAGTCTCTCTCTCTCTCTCTCTCTCTGCGCTCCACGACACGGCGCTGTAATTTTTTAATCTATCGCGTTACGAAACTGCATGCCTCGCTCGCAGTCATTCGAAAAGGTACGCACGAGTCGTTTGGACTGCAATTTCTTTCTTTTGAATTCAGTCGTCGCTACGCAGCGAGAAGGAAGCGCAAAGAAAGGTGGACGAACTCTCTTTCTGTCGAGACACCCACGCACACACGTAAGGGACGCTGGGAGAGTGCAACGAACTGGTTACACGCGAGCAGCGCATCATCCTCTCCGTCCAGACGACAAGTCTCATAAAAAGAGGCGCGTAATCGGCTGGGCGACGTATCCTCTCCGGCGTCGTTAGAATCCGCGCGCGCCCGTATACAGTGAAAGTTTCCGGGGTCTCTGGCGTCCTTGTCAAATCGATTCATGTCGCAACGAGACGACGTTGAGAGAGAAAAGCGCGGTCGACTCTTCTGCGCGGCTAGGAACTCATCAGCAACGTAATCCGCCGTAACCCGTCGAAAATGGGGAAACGATTGTTATGTATAGCCTCTCTGTCTCTCTTCCTTTCGCTCGATCAGCAGCTATTGTTACGTGAGTACTCGACACATGGTTATTAGATGGTTGAAATTTCGGGGGATCCATCGACGGTTGCTTTTTGCGTCAGTCTCCCGTCGACTCTCCGTATCGAGATGGTAAAAGCTGCGCTTCGATCATCGACGCCGTTAGGCGACTCGCTTCGAGCACGCCGCGATAAGGACGAATTGCATAACGCCGAGCGCAAGAAAAAGAAAAGTAAGAGAGAGAGAGAGAGAGAGGGAGAGGCGGTAATGATATTGACGAACAGCGAGTGAAAGAACGAGGGCGCGCTACAAGGTGATCGCCGGCAATTCGTTTTCACCCGACCCGATCTCATTGACAAGCCTGCGGACCAGACGACTGTTGTTTACCTCCAAACTGGCGTTGTCGTCGTGCTCGCCAACGATCGCTGGGCCGTCGACGTCGATTCTCATCTCGGGCACGTTGGACTGCAGCATCCTTCGGGCTTCGGATGTGGGAGATTTAAACGTTTCGTTCACTGGCGCACCAAAGGATACAAAAATAACAATCGCACTCGGTCGATCCGCGCACTAGACGCTCTCCCGATTGTGTTCTCTCTCGCTCTCTCTCTCTCTCTCTCTCTCTCTCTCTCTCTCTCTCTCTCTCTCTCTCTCTCTCTCTCTCTCTCTCTCTCAGCGCACGAGTTAGACAGTATTACGCGATGTAGCCACGACTGACGTTCACTCGCGAGCCACGCTGCGCTTATATACCTTCGGCTCTCCCACCTCGCGCGAGCGATCGCGCAGGCAGAGAGAGAGAGAGAGAGAGAGAGAGACCGTAAAGACTCGCTCTTGCCGTTGCTGTATATATATCCTCCACCTCGGCTGTACCTGTATGGCTTTTTTGCGTGTGCGGCTGGACGAAGAAGAACCCTACACGCGCGCGTCTGCCCTTTGTTGGTCTTCTCCCTCGCCTTACCACGCGCTCCTCCTTCCGCTGTCAGACAGTGGTCCCGAGCTCGGCTATCTTGCCTTTTTCGTCGGAGGGCTGCCTCGGTTTTTCGCGGACCTTCCCTGGTCGCGCAATCCGACACCCGCCGAAACACTTGTCCGTGGTTGTACGCGGGGCACACGAGCAGCTTCTTTCCCGGGCCTCCTCTCTCGCCTTCAATTCACCGTCGTCATCGGAATAAAATAGCACCGTCGTCGTCGGAGCTATACGATTTTTCGGACGGAGCGGACGTCGTTAGCTGTTATACAGCTAGCGATCCACACAATTGCCAGGCGTGATTCACGCTGTTCAATTTGCGAGCGATGAATCGCCGAAGAAAATTCCCCCATCAGAATGGTCGAAGCTCATCAGCATGAAATTGCATTTTAGTCGCGGGGGTCACCGTCGATTCGGTAACGGAATTGACGTGTTAAGGCAAACAGCGCGCGCCAGAAAAATGTTAAGGTCGAACGACGAGCGGAACGAGTTTATTCGTCGGCGCTGGGTTTTTTTTTGTTTTTTCGTTTTTTTGTTTTTGCTTTGTGTTTTTTGATTTTTTGTTTTTTTTCGGCGCAGTCGCCGATGGCAATTGATGCTTTTTTGTTTTTGTTTTTGCGACACCGCCTGACTATTTTAGAGACTTCGTTCTTCTCCGAATCGCTTGCTTTTTCGGGGGGCGCCAATCCATGGCGATTCCATGGCGACCTGTCTCGCGCGCGGCTTTGACACTTATTGCCTGCGTTGCAAAATCGGAGGCGTGAGCGTGTTACATCTGAAAGGATCTCTGGCCAACATGCAATGTTTGCGCGTAATTGCTCAATCTTTTTTTTTTCTGTCGAGAAGCTTTGCCTACTAATTTCTTAAGTAGAACGCGACGCGAGTGTCTTTGTATAAGTTGATGAATTTCATCGATGTGTCAATGCGTTGGCCGACTTTAATCGGATTAATTATTTTTCTCGCGAACTCGTCTTGTTGGAATATCCTCGAGCGACAGATCGCGTTAGTTTGTTTTGTTTTCTCCTATCCCAGTACGGTTCGGATGATCAACACGCGGGATTCTTCTATAACGTCTGAAATAACATCAGCTAACTAGCGCGGGAAAGTAGACTCTCTCATCTCGTGTGCGAGCTTCTCTCGGGCGGTATGCTTCAGAATAGCGTGCGAAAAGCGTAAATTGGAGAACACAAGAAAACGTATATAGTGTAGAAGACATAAGAAAATGAATTCGCAACGTCGTGTGAGATTATCAAAAAAAAATAATAATAAAGAACTCCTTGAAGAAAATTCAAAAAATCCTCACTCGCTAAGTCTTTACATATTAACCAAGTCTCTTGACAAATCCAATTACATCTCTCGTAGTCGTTTACGTTTCGCGCCTAAAACCTGACTTTCACCAATCCGCCGATATTTTCGCCGCCGCATAAACAAAATAGCCGCCGCGCGTGCGTTATCCAATGCATTTCCTTCGTCGGACAGCCGCAGCACTCGGAAATGATAAATCGCCGATAGGCGAAAAAGAAAGAACGAAAGAAGGAAAGAAAAGAAGAAGAAGAAAAAAGCGGCAAGTAATTAATCATACGCGCGCTTCCGCTACGGCAGGTAGCGCTGGCTTTGGGCGGGGGGGGGGGGGGGGGGGCATCGCATACACATCGGAGGAGAGAAGCGAGGAGTCCGCGCGGCCGCGAGAACGTTCTAACGGAGCCACGTCGCGGGCATTGTTGCAGCCGGCGCGGATGACGTAAGGCCGAGGCGCGTAGCCGCAAAAAGCAGCGTTACGAGCCTCCGGCTACGGCGACGCGCGGCCGCTACGCGCACCGTTCTCGCTACAGCGCCAAGGCGAGCGCTGCGCGCGCTTTTCCGCGGCGCGACCTCGCACTTCCTTGCGGTGCGCGCGTCAGCGGCGCCGCCGGCCGAGAGCGGCCGGGACCGGCCGCCCAGGGACGCCTCGCGCGCAGCTTCCTACACGCGTCGCGCCTGCGTCATGCGCGCCGATCTAGATCGTTTTCCTTTTTTTTTTTTTCGTCTTTCTTCCTTCTCTCCGTGCGCGCGAGAAGGCCGAAAGGGATCGCCGAGCGGGATCCTCGCGTGGCGCCGCTGCCGTCGTACGCGCACTTCTTCTCGGGCGGCGGCATAAAGAGAGATAATCGAGCTGAAATTCGGCCCGCGAGAAGCACGGTTTATTAATAGCAGCGGCAGCGCCGAGGTCCTTGAGGGCAATCAATCGCTTTCGCTGGAATCATAAAAAAGGATATACCTCTTTTCGTCAGGGGCAGTGTCTTTTTACAACGGTGCAGGCGGCTGCGGTTGTTTTTCCTTTTCATTTTTTAAATTTTGTCTCGGCGACAGATTGACCTACTTGTTCGCACGAAACACCATCGGCCTTTTTAGCCCTGCCCCCTCCCCTCGCCCTTTCTTAATTGCGAGAAGCGGAATGCGACTTCCAATGACGACGGAGATGCATGCGCGACGATCCTTGATGAGCTTACAGATAGCCGGCGGACGTTCTTTTGTCCGCGCTCGATCGGTCGAGCGCCGCATAGATCGGAATTTCAGTGAAGAGCTCGGCACGCGACAGCGACTATCACTCGACACGTGCCTCGAGTAATTTGACGTTTATCCGCTCGTCGCGTCCGTAATCGGCCGTTAACGTTTGACGCGTCGGCGGAACGCAGAGTCCCGTCTGCGTGCGTGAAAAGACGGCGCGTCATTCCTCAAAGACGCGGCATGACGCAAAGCGGAGCAGGCGGCGAACAACGGAGCGCCGCGCGTTCCTGCGGTCCATTGTCCGCGACTCGAGCCTGGAGCGCCGCTTTTCCACTTCTAAAATTGCAGTCGGCGGCCGCTCAAGGACGATCATGGCTGGGCAACTTTCAAGCCTGCCATGGGGGGTTTCCCCGCGTGGGTTTGTGCTAATTCTGGTTATTCAATCGAACGACTCGAGATTTAGCGATTATCCGTTTGCCACATCCGTGGAGCGTCCGTACGCACTTTTACGTAATCGCGGCACCACCTTTCTTCCCAAGTTTTCACTCGTCTTTTGAGCCTCGTGAAAGTTTTTAATGGACTCGGCAAACGCACACCTGCATAATATTATGCCATCGTGATAAGTATTTTTCTTTCTTCTTTCTTCTTTTTTTTTTTTTTTCTTTCGTCGAGCGGATTGAACGCAGACCTGAGAGTGGAATACGTCGACGTGGTCAAGGGAAAAAAATTGTCGGTAAATACTCAAGGATGCTCTTTTCGAAAGTCAATGCGCAGTCTTCTGAAACGAATCCATTTGAGGACACAATAGTTAAGGGCTGCGTTTTTGTCGTCCTTGGAGGGTATGCCAATAAGAAAGATCCGTAAACGAACCATCCATTCCTTTTGTACATTGAAAGCACAGAAAAGTATACTTCCGTTACGTGTACATAATGTATATTAATTAGTTTTGTATAATAACGTTGATGAAAATTTACGTAATCGAACTTGACGTAACAAATTTTTCTTATTCTCAGTTGCTAGAAACCAAGCTTTACAATAATTGTCTTCCTTATCTTTGTTTTTTTTTCTTTTTTTTTTTTAATCAGCAACGTACAAGTGCGATAATCGTTTCGCCAAGAAAATTATTTTTTTCCGGAACAAAACGGTACTAATAATCACAACGAACGCACGCGCGTTTTTTCTCGCTTTGCACTTTACCGTTTTTCAATTATTTTTCCGGGGTTCCTGCTGACAAAGGTCAACGAGACGCACGCGCAAAGAACAAGGTCGGTCTAATTAATCTTCGCGGTATTGCCCGATGTAAATTGCGCTTTTTTGCAGCAGCAGCAACGATACGACAAAGAAAAAATCAGACAAGCATAATGCCAGCCCCGCGCACAACGTTAATTAGCTGCAAGACGAGGCGGCGCGATACCGATGATTTAATGGGCGGACTGAGTTATCGACAGTTTCCAGTGCTCCAACACGCCTCGCGCGTTCGTGATTCCGCGTGATGTGCAAGAAGAAGAAGGAGATTCGGAACACGTTCTTCGTGCAAAAAGAGCCCGCCGGAGGTGTGTCCGTTGCGAGGGGCCCGGCCACGTCGAAAAAAAAAGAACGAAGAAAATTTGCATGCTGCGTTACGTAAAGACGCTGCTTTTCTAGTCCCAATGCCGATTGGCTTCTCTTTTTCTTCTTCTTTTTCTTCTTCTTCTTCCTTTTTTTCCTTTTTTTGTTCATTTGCTAGCTACAATTCGTTTTAATTGCAAACTCCGATTCACGCTTCACACATCCGTGGCGCATTACGCCTCGCTATTATTAACGCGTTGGCGCGCTTTTGTTTCTTAATCACGTGCGTGCGACAATGCGAGTGCATGTGGTCGAGAGCATCCAAGGCTTGGTTTTTGTTTTTGTTTTTGTTTTTTTTTCAAAATTATTGAAGAAAACTTGAATCGCTCGTTGTTTTTATCGCTACGACGAGTGCGAGCGCGCGTATATGTATCGCAGTAGCCGTAAGAGAAGAATCCTCGACGAATCGGCGATTTCCTCGTCGCTTGTGCTCCAAATACAAACGCTTAACGAACGCGCGACGCGCAATACAAAACGCCGAGCGGTATTTTGAAACTCGTTCGTAAAACAAAGAGAAGAACACAAAAGCGCAGAGCGCGCGGAAAAATGATGATGGGCTTCGCACGACTCTCACGAGAAGAGCCTTTCAATGAAAATTGCCGAAAGTAGGAGGGAGC